ATCCCTCAATCCATCGAGTCCATCCGCGTCGTTGCGCTCCTCAACGAACAACACGACGCCGAAGGCACACTCACCAAAATCTCACTCCGCTCCAAAGAAGGCGAATGGAACTCCAAACCCGCAGTCGATGTCAACCAGGTCTGCCAATCCCTCGGCGGAGGAGGTCACGCAAGAGCCGCCGGCGCAAGAGTCCGCGCATCGCTCGAAGAAACAAAACAAATGCTCATTGAGGCACTGCCGTGAGCAACTCTGACGACATCCGCAAAAAAATCAACGACGAACTCCGCAGTGGTTCAGGTAAACCAAAGCGCAATCGTTCAAAGAAACCCTACAAAAAACAACACTCCGCAAACAAACCCCCAAGAGTCAAGCCAGGAAAACGCCCACCCATGGGCATCATGACCACCACACTCTGGGAATACCCCTCACAACACTACGACAGCTCCAACTCCACAATGCAAGGCTCCAAAGACTACATCGGAGCCACACCCTCCTGGGTCATCTACCAACTCCTCAAACGCTACACCAAAGAACACGACACCGTCATCGATCCCATGTGCGGCTCCGGAACCACCATCGATGTCTGCAAAGACCTCAACCGCAAACCCATCGCCTTCGACCTCAACCCACAACGACCCGACATCAAGAAAAACGACTCTAGATCGCTCCCACTCGAAGACGACTCCATCGATTTCGCATTCATCGACCCGCCGTACTCAACCCATGTCGACTACTCCGACGACGACCGCTGCATCGGAAAGCTCGACGCCGGACAACAACCAGAGCACGACGACGAGATGATGGGACACGCGTACTACGAAGCAATGGACGCCGTCCTCGCCGAACTCTACCGCGTCCTCAAACCAGGCAAACACCTCGGTCTCTATGTCTCCGACTCATGGAAAAAGAAAAAAGGCGGCCAACCTGGCGAAGGCACCTTCATGCCCATCGGCTTCGAACTCTTCGCCATGATGAGCCAAGCCTTCACCCCCGTAGACATCATCTGCGTCGTCCGCCACAACACCAAGTTACAACGCGGCAACTGGCACAAAGCCGCAGAAGAAGAGAACTTCTTCCTGCGAGGGTTTAACTATTTGTTGGTGATGAGAAAACTTGATTAACCATTTCACCAGAATTCCTTAAAGACCATTTACCAATATCTCTAGGAATTGCTCCATCGCCTCAGAATGATCATCATTGTCAGTATTCAACAAACGATCTGCAGTCAATACTGTTATCCCCCTGGACTTCAAGACTTCATCACGGATTAAATTTCCGCTAGTTGTATAAAAAAATATCTCTGGATGACTAAGATCGCTCGCGTTTTTTTTCCATACTTCACGCATTCTCCACAGCATGTATCGAACATTAACATCTTCCAAGCTATAGCCAATAAATAACACAACTCTGTTTAATAGATGACTTCGCAACAGCAGGTCAAAAGGCGATTCAAAATCTAATCGCTTAAAATAACTTTCCTCTGTCAAAACGATTGATTCATCACGACTAAAATCACCATGAAATTTAATTATTGCACGAGTGACAGATGCGGGCAGGGGGAGGTCTGCGGCTGATTTCACGACATGAAAATCTACTCCGTATAACTCATGCGCATCTTCAAGTAATGTGTCGTAATTGGTAGTATAAAATTGCGAAGCTCCAATTTGAGTTAACAATTTATGTACATTCGATTTTCTCAGTTGCTCTTTCTCGACTATCCACTCTTTATCCAACCTGCTTCTTAGCTCACCCAAACCACCCATTTTGAGTTTCAAAAACTCCGCCAAGACCCTAGGGTCATTCGAGTATGCACGAAAAACTCTCTCGTCGAAACCCAGCAATTGAGCCATTGTATTAACTAGCTGACTAAAGCTTGGGAGGCCCGCATTCATTGAGACTCCTGCCCCTACAAAAACCAATAGCTTATTTTCTCTTGCTGCCTCTAGCAACGCCCCAGGTACACATGTCATTTGAAACAGCCCTCTATAAGTTTGTCAATTGCTAATTTGCGCATTGAAATTTTGTTTTTCTCATCCCCTAATTCCGCAAATGTCTTGTCGTATCCATCTGGAACAAAAACACAGTCCCATTGAAAAGTACGATCCCCCCGGGGTTCCCTTGCTACTTTACCAGGAACCTGCCCCACGGAGTGGTGTATGTTTTTGCCGTCTATGTAAGCAATATCAGTCTGAGCGACAATGGAGTTGTCTTCACAGTTTCCAAAAATCTCACAAAATCTATCCGCTTCGAGAGAGTCCCACATACATTGAGTGAGTCCGCCTGGAAACCCATTCATTCGGCTAATGAGAAGACTTGTGTGCTCAACAATCAATGGCCTGCGTATTATCGAAAACGCTTGAATAATTTTATCATTGATTAAATCAAGAGGGGTTTGAATTTGTATCTCGTGAATTTGAAATTTCACTGGGACTATTTCGATCCCGTAAGACTGGAAAATTGTTGAAAATTCTTTAATCTTATATTTATTCGACGAGAGAAATCGTATTTTTTTTGGATGTGTCATACTTGCTACCTAAAACAGTAATTCCTAGAACAATCAACAAAATTTCTAGATAAGCCCCATTCGCCAATAACAGAATCAACTAGAGCTCGTTCGGCATTTAAATCGACATTATGAATTCCAGGATTGTCAGTGCAAACAGAGACATCCACCCCTTCTTCGATAAACACTTTTAGGGGATGCTCGTCATATGATGTCACGCAACCCGACAAATAGTTACTGGTCATACAGCACTCGATACAACAACCATACGATTTTATCAATTGAATCGTATCCGGACACTGTGAAGCAGCCAATCCGTGACCTATCCTGCTTGCACCACACTCGGCAATAGCCCACTTTATATTTTCTCGGCTCCCTAACTCGCCCGCATGTATAGTAACGCCGATATCCAAGTCCTTACTAATCTCCCTAAAGAAACTGCTTGCAACTTTTGGAACTGGCTCACTCTCATCTCCCGTTAACCCTATCCCAGCAATTCTAGATAGCTTTGTTTTTCTTAAAGCAATCGACAGGTCATCCAAGTAGTCCTTTGTTGTCTCTACCCTATTCACCGTGATGATTGGCCACATTTCTACGCCGTAGATACTTGAAGCTGAATCTGCCGCTTCTGATATCCATTGAATGGATTCAAGAATAGAAAGACTGGCACATCTGGCTAGCGTGGAAGGCGAGAATTGCACTTCGACATATCGCACTTGCGATCTAGCTAATTGCCTAGCTGCGTGTTCCCAGATCAACCGATGGCATGAATGCGTTTTCGGCAACTGACGCAGTATTCTCCACGGAATAAAATAGTCGGTATAGTCTTTTACCGGATCAATAATCTGGAGTGAATCAAAATCTTCAGCTGCCAGTCTCAATCCCGCATGCCTGGCAATCTCTGCAACATCATCAACAGATAAAATACCATTTAAATGAGTATGCAAATCTTTCATTTCATAATCCTGTCATATGCCAATTCTAGCTAAATAACCACATCCGTGCGCAAATCTCCCCCACTCCCCCAACTCCCCCCTTCCAATCCCCACGCCGATCAACTACAATTCCCCAAGCCCCCACCACAAACACAAGGGGGCACAATGCAAAGCCAATCGCACGCAAACACACAACAAGACACTCCACAGCTGACCGAAGCCCTCCTCGAGGACCTCCTCAATCCCGCGATGAGTCCAATCCTCATCTGCCAAATCCACGGCCTCACCCTTTCACAACTCCACACACTCACCCAGTCCACCGACTACAAAGCCGCAATCGAATCGATCCAGTCCATCAACGCCGCGCGAACCCCCACCATCGAGTCCAATCTCCACCTCCAGTCCCAAGCCGCGCTCAAAGACGCCGCCGACATGGCGCACCAGCAAAGCGACCACGAATCCCTCCGCAAGTCCGCAACCGTCCTCCTCCGCGAAACCCGCCCCACCCCCTCACGCCGCCCAAGAAAACCATCCAACAATGGGTGCCACGGCTTGACCGTCTTCGGCAAGCCGTGCTCGTCGAAATGGGAAGTCCCTCACCCACCAAAGACACGGCTTGCGAAGACGACAAGCCGTGCCACCCTCAAATCAGAATCCCCCCAAACCAACCCCAACAAGTTCTGGCACGCCGTTTGTGTGAAGTCTCCCGCGGGTATCTGGTGTCCACGGAGGGACACGGATACACCGACAGAGGCGCGCCATGAACTACGGCATCCAAATTTCAGCATCAGGAGCACTCACCTCCATCCACCGTCAGGACGCACTGACCGGGAACCTCGCAAACCTCGGAACCGCAGGGTTTAAGCCCATTATGAGCGGAACCCAGTTCCGCCCCGCCGTCCGCCAAGAAGACGGCGTCTTCAACCTCCCAAGCAACGAAATGCTCGAACGATTAGGTGCAGGCGTATTAAGTGCGCACACCAAGATCAACTTTGCGCAAGGCGCAATAGAGATCACCAACGGCGATCTCGATGTCGCGATCGAAGGATCCGGATTCTTCAAAATCGAATACGACGGCGGACAAGCCCTCAGCCGAGACGGCCGCTTCGCGATCGATGACACCGGAACCCTCGTCCAGTCCGCAACCGGACGCCCCGTCCTCGATCCCAACGGCCGACACATCCGCATCGACCCCCAAATGGGACCAGTCCAGATCCACAAAGACGGCTTGATCACCCAGCGCGACACCGCCGTGGGACAGCTCGGACTCGCGGATGTCCCCGACCGATCCATCCTCACCAAGCACGGCGAAGGTTTGTTTGTATCCAAATACGGCACCGACCTCAACCTCATCGACGGCACCGGCGTCTTCCATCAAGGCTCGATCGAAGCGTCCGGCGTGAACGAAATCGATGCGATCATGCAGATCCAGTCCGCCGCACGAGCAGCGCAGGGAAACATCGGCATGATCGACATGCAGAACCGCATGATGGACCGCACCATCAACACCTTTGGACGCATCGCGTAAGCGAGCAGGAGATAGAACAATGGCAGTTATTGCGATGCAATCCGCGGCTTCCGGACTCAAAGCACTCAACACACGGCTCGATGTCACGGCGAACAACCTCGCGAATGTGAACACTGAAGGATTCAAAGCGTCACGCGTGAACTTCGAGGACCTGCTCTATATCGAGAAGGCACAGCCTGGCACAGAGAACGCGAACGGCGATCAGCGTCCGACTGGTCTCTATGTCGGACTGGGTGTTCGCGAATCGGGCACGCAACAAGACTTCTCGCAGGGACCACCGATCCCTGGGAACAGCCCGCTCGATATGTACATCGAGGGCAAGGGGTTCTTCCAGGTGCAGGTGGAGAGCGATACAGGGCAAGGCGGCATCGCATATACACGAGCAGGGAACTTTGTCCTCAACGCGGACAATGAAGTGGTGCTCGCAAACTCTGATGGTCGTCGTTTGCAGCCAACTGTGACGATCTCGGCAGATGCTGAGTCGTTCTCGGTCAGTGCCAATGGTGAGATTCTGGAAGTGATCCCTGGACAGGCGCAGCCGAGCGTAGCGGGACAGGTCGAGCTCGCGATCTTTATCAATGAGACTGGATTGACGCAGATCGGTGGGAATCTCTGGGTTGAGTCTGCGGCATCCGGAACACCGATTACTGGTGAACCTGGCTCAGAGAACTTTGGTTCGATACTGGGTGGTTCGCTTGAGGGTTCAAATGTAGATCCGGCGGTTGAGTTGATTGAACTGATCAGAACACAGCGTGCGTTTGAGATGAACTCGCAATCGATCCAGGCCGCGGACGAGACACTGCAGTCGATCTCACAGCTCCGGCGGTAATGGGTAAGTAATGATGCGTGATGTGACACGAACAATCCGGTTGATCATGGCTTCGGCGATGCTCCTGCTCGCGACGGATGCGATCGCGGGGATCACGACGGTCACGCTGCGCTCGACGGTTCGTGTTTCGCATAATGATTCGATCACACTCGCGGATATCAGCAGCGTTTCGGGTGATCAGGCAGAAGTTTTGAATGGACTCTCGCTCGATGAGATGCTCACTGATGTGGATACCGCGTGGTGTGTGCTGAGTAGCGATCAGGTCCGTTTGTTGATTGATTCGGATAAGCAGCTCAATGGTGGTTCGATCGTCATCAACGGTACACAGAGTTCGGTCCGGCGGATCGGCAACACGAACAGCACGGCGGAGGTCCGCGTCGATACGGATACCAATGAGCAGCAGGTCAGCGATGGGCCGGTGGTTCGGGATCACATCGAGCGGTGGGTTCGGGATCGCTACCAGGTCGGTACGGACCTCGTCAAGATGTCGTTCCGTGAGCATGATGAGTCATTTCTGCAGACCTCGACTGCTGGTCGATTGGTTGAGATCCGTGAGGTTTCAAGGCGCGGACGCACGGCTATCCGCGTGATCGTGCTTGACGAGTTGATCGTTGCAGCGGAACGCGCGTTGATCTTTGATGTCGAGATGTTCCGCGAGGTGCTGATTGCGAACCAACGCGTCAATCGTGGGACTCGCTTGGATGAATCAATGTTCATGACTGAGCGGCGCTGGGTGAGTCCGGAAGAGCACTCGGTCAGCGTGGATGAGGCGATGGGGATGGCGCTGTCCAAGACGATCAACGCGGGGCAGCTTATTCAAGCGCAGCATATCGAGCTCCCGCTCGTGATCCGGCGGGGTGACATCGTTTCGGCGAAGTCGATCTCGGGATCGGTGGTGGTCACAGTGCGCGGCAGGGCCCAATCGAATGCTCGACTTGGGGAGACGATTGAGTTTGAATCCATGAATGGTGAGAATCAGTTCCGCGCCAAAGCGACAGGAAAAGGTCGTGCGGTGATTCTGAAGGAAGGTGATGTATCATGATGCGTGCGTTATCCATTGCAGGTGTGCTTTTACTGACTGCCCAGGTCGCTGTTGCACAGAGCTTGTATCTCACGGCGGATGAGGAGTTTAGCGCGGGTCCAGAGGCGAGCAACGCTCCGGTCATGTTGCTTGAGGATGTTTCGCTGACCTATATTCCTGAACCAGAGGTGCGGACATTCCAGAAGCACGACATCATCACGATCATCATCGATGAGGTGTCCTCCCAGACGAGCTCGCAGAAGCTCGAAACTGAGAAAGAGAGCAAGAGCGAGGTTCAACTGAACGCGATGATCGATCTGCTCAAGCTGCTTGAGCTGCAGGTCAACACCAATCCGAGACTTGAGAACCGTACGATCTTTGATGCGGAGGCATCGCGTGAGTTCACGGGAGAAGGTGATTACGAGCGATCGGATCGGTTCAGCGCTCGGATCACGGCGACAGTCCTTGAGGTCAAACCCAACGGATCGCTCGTGCTCGAGGCGTACAAGCGGATCGCGAAGGATGAAGAGATCCAGACGCTTGTGATCGCTGGTGTAGCGCGGAGTGACGATATCACGGCTCAGAATACGGTGCTGTCGAGTCAGCTCGCGAATCTGTCGCTCGCGGTTGAGAACGAGGGCGAAGTGAAGAAGGCATCAGAGAAGGGCATCATCACGGAGTTCTTTGATATGCTCTTCGCGTTCTGAAGTGGTTTAACAACTGAGTGTTTCACAGATCCGGCTGCAATCACGCCGGATTTGTTGTTTGAGGGTTTCGAGTGATCCGAACTTGACTTGATCACGGACCCAACCAGTGAGTTCGAGCGTGCATGACCACTCGTATTCGGGCAGGTCCTTTGGTGGTGACCACTGCGAAGCGTCGTTGTTGATGAGGTGCGCTTCGGCGCGGCGGGTGAGGCCTTGGACAGTTGGTCGGGATCCGACATTGATCGCGGCGAGGACTCGGTGCTCTTGGTTGTTGTGCGCGAAGCGTGCGTGACCTGCGTAGACCCCATCGGCAGGGAGGAGGGAGTTGGTGTCGAGGTTGATTGTGGGGATGTTGATGGTGCGTCCGAGTTGTTGTCCTTGGACGACGGTGCCAGTCAGTTCGTGCGATCTTCCGAGGGTGTAGGCGGCGTCGCGGACTCGGCCTTGTGTGATGAGCCAACGCGTGAGGGAAGAGGAGGCGGTGACGATGGACTGATCGGTGAGTGTGATCTGGACAGGTCCGAGGATGTCGGTTTGGATGCCTCGGTCTTCGCAGAGTTTGGTGAGGAGTTCGGGTGTTCCGGCGCGGCGCTTCCCAAAGTGGAAGTCGTGTCCCTCGACGATGATGGCTGGGTTGTACTGCTCGATGATGTCATCGAGGAACTGATCGGGTTCTTGGGCGAGCAGCTCGGGGGTGGGCTTGAGCTCGACGACTTCATCGGCGCCGGCATCAAGCAAACGCTGCTTGCGGATCTGGAAGGGCTCGATGGGGTGCGGAGCTTGACTCGCGTTCAGGACTTCCATGGGGTGGGGATGGAATGTCAGGATGACGACTCGGCCTGCGGCTCCGACATGCGATCTCGCTCGCTGGATGAGCATCTGGTGTCCGAGGTGGACCGCGTCGTAGTTCCCGATGCTCAGGGCTGTCAGCATGTTGGACGAATCAGACATATGGGAGTTTATCAAGTTTTTTTGTCAGCGTCTGGATGTCTCAACTGGAGGGATGGGACGCTGCAGATGATCTAGAATGGGGACCCGGTTGATTCAGAAACTCGGGGTGAGCTGTACCTATTTTTTCTGAAGGAGTTCTCATATGGCGTGGTTCGGTCGCAAAGCAAAGTCCTCTCCGAAGCCGGCGACTCAAGCCGCCCCTGCACCGAGCATGCGTCCTCCCGTCAATAGCAGTATTGCGAGTTCATCGAATCCCGAGCGTGAGGAGGCGATCCTGCGGATCGGGACGCACATGCTCGACATCGCGCGGTCGCACAAGTCGGGGTTGTTGTCCAAGCAGTTCTATCAGGACAAACTGATGGACTGGTCGATGAAGGACCACAACTTTAAGGTGCAGATGTTCCGGTTTGTCGATGCGTTCCCGGCACTGACGACTCCTGAGATGGTGCACGATCATCTGGTGGATTACATGACGCAGCCGGGCGTGAAGGCGCCACCGGGGATGGATCTGGCGATCAAGGCGGGCGGGGTCGCGAAGGGGCTAGCGGCGAAGACGATCTCGGGGCAGATCACGGGGATGGCGCACAACTTTATTGCGGGAACGGACGCCGCGGATGCGCTCCCGATGCTGACGAAGCTTTGGAAGCAGGGGATCGCGTTTAGTGTGGACCTGCTTGGCGAGGCGTGTGTGTCCAATGCGGAAGCGGACATGTACCAGGCGAAGTATCTGGACCTGGTTGAGAACTTGGTGGACACGGCTTCGAGCTGGGAGTCGAATGATCGGCTTGAGAAGGACCACCTTGGGGTGGTGCCTCGCGTGAATGTTTCGATCAAGGTGTCGAGCTTGTGCGCTTTGTTTAATCCGATTGCGCCGGAGAGTTCGATCGCGGACTTTATGAATCGGGCGCGTCCTGTGCTTGAGGCGGCGAAGCGGAACGGGGTGCTGATTAACTTTGACATGGAGCATCACGAGTTCAAGGACCTGACGCTTGACACGTTTATGCACGCGTGCGATGAGATCGACTTTGAGGCGGGGATCGCGATGCAGGCGTATCTGAAGTCTGGGGTTGATGACGCGAAGCGGATCTGTGAGTGGGCGCAGCGGACGGGGCGTGTGGTGACGGTGCGGTTGGTGAAGGGGGCGTACTGGGACTTTGAGACGATCCATGCGGAGCAGGAGGGGTGGCCTTGTCCTGTTTGGAATGAGAAGTGGCAGACGGATCAGTGCTTTGAGGAGATGGTCAAGGTGTTCCTTGATCACTGTCCGACCAAGGCGGGTGAGGGGGGCGTGAAGCTGGCGCTGGGGTCGCATAATGTGCGGTCGATCGCGGCGGCGATTGCTGGGCTTGAGCAGCGTGGACTCGGGATGGAGACGATCGAGCTTCAGATGCTGCACGGGATGGCGGATCAGCTCAAGCATGCGGCGGCGGAGATGGGGCTGCGGGTTCGCGAGTATGTGCCGGTCGGGGAGATGATTCCGGGGATGGCGTATCTTGTGCGCCGGTTGCTTGAGAACACGAGCAACGAGTCGTGGCTCAAGGCGGGGTTCCTGGATAACGCGGATACGTCGATGCTGCTGATGGATCCGGCGAAGGTCGGGGCGGGACGAGACAAGCAGGATCTGTATCTGATTGCGCCGGAGCGGCATGAGTTGTCTCCGGCGGATGAGCGGGTGGGGAACGGGCGGCCGTTTTATACGGAACCGATGCGGGACTTTGCGGAGGCGCATCAGCGGCGGATGTTTGCGCAGGCGATCGAGCAGGCGCATGTTCCTGAAGTCAACAACGATCGGACTCCGGAACAGGCGGGGGCGATGGTGGCGCAGGCGCATAGCGCGTTCCCGGCGTGGCGCGACTTTGATCCGTATGAGCGGGCACGCGTGCTGACGCTGACGGCGGGGATGATGCGGGCGCAGCGTGATGAGCTCGCGGGGATCGTGTGCAAGGAATCGAACAAGACTTGGCGCGAGGCGGACGCGGATGTGTGCGAGGCGATCGACTTCTGTGAGTACTACGCGCGTCTGGCGCCGAAGCTGTTTACGCGGGATCGGCTTGGTCGGTTTATTGGGGAGCTTGATGAGTTGTGGTACCAGGCGAAGGGGGTCGCGGTGGTGATCTCGCCTTGGAACTTCCCGCTGGCGATCTGCTGCGGGATGACGGCGGCGGCGCTGGTGACGGGGAACACGGTGATCGTGAAACCTGCGGAGCAGACTCCCGGCATCGCGAAGGTGATGTTCGAGCTGATGAGTAACGCGCTGACGCAGTTGAGTGCGCCGGAGGGCGTGCTGCAGTTCTGTCCGGCTCCGGGTGAGACGACCGGGGCGGCGCTGGTGCGTGATCCGCGGATTAACCTGATCGCGTTTACGGGGTCCAAGGCGGTGGGGTTGAACATCATCGAGGCGGCGGGCGCGACTCCTGAGGAGCAGCCTCATGTCAAGCGGGTGGTGTGCGAGATGGGCGGGAAGAACGCGGTGGTGATCGATGTGAGTGCTGATCTTGATGAGGCGGTGCTCGGGGTTCGCTACTCGGCGTTTGGGTTCCAGGGTCAGAAGTGCTCGGCGTGCTCGCGGTGCATCGTTGTTGATCCGGAGGGTCCGAACGGTCAACGTATGCAGCTGTTCCTTGAGCGGCTGGGCGAGGCGACCAAGACGCTGGTGCTTGGGGAGGCGACGGATCCCAACAGCGATGTGTCTCCTGTGATTGACGCGGAGGCGGCGGGGAATATCAATCGGTTTATCCAGTCGGCGCGTGATGAGGGGCTCAACGAGCTGGTGGGCGCGAAGGACTTCCCAGCGAATGACATCGAGAATCTGGTGGCGCCGCATATCTTCACGGGCGTGACGGAGAGCAACACGATCTATCAGCAGGAGATCTTCGGTCCGGTGCTCGCGGTCGTACACGCGAAGGACTACGGCGAGGCGCTGCGGCTGGCGAACGGTCATATGTACAAGCTGACGGGCGGCGTGTTTACGCGCAAGCCGACGCATATCGAGGTTGCCAAGCGGGAGTTCCGCGTCGGGAACCTGTACATCAATCGCGGGTCCACTGGGGCGCTTGTTGGACGGCAGCCCTTCGGTGGGTTCGGGATGTCGGGCGTAGGCTCGAAGGCGGGCGGTCCCGATTATCTGATGCAGTTTGTCGATCCGCGTGCGTGCTGTGAGAACACGATGCGGCGTGGGTTTGCGCCGGAGCTGTAAAGTTGGACCGATAAGCGGAAGTGCGCTTCAAAGTGCTGGTCTGCGATGGATCTGAATTGCATATCAGTGTGTGCTTCTCGCTTCAACACATCGCCGTGGCTTTACGCTGATTGAGATCTTGGTGGTCGTCATAATTCTGGGAATCATGGCGGCGATTGTTGTGCCGCAGTTCGCGGGGACGGCGCAGGATGCGCAGATCGGGGCGTTTATCTCCAGTGTCAAGACCTACGCGGATGCGGCGGAGTATTACGCGGTGCGAGAGGGGAGCTATCCGGTTGATGGGAGCTCGGGCGTCGTCCCGGCGGGGTTTGAGTCGTACATCGACGAGGATGAGTGGACGCAGGGGACGCCGATGGGCGGGGTGTGGGATACGGAGTTCAATGACTCGGGGGTGACTGCGGCGGTCGGGGTGCATTTCAACGGCGGAACGAATCCCGGTGACAGCGTGATGATCCTTGTTGACGAGCGGTTTGATAATGGTGATCTGGCGACGGGGAGCTTCCGCAAGCTCGCGAATGATCGGTACTACTATGTGCTGGTGCCTTGAGACTCTGTCTATTGACTAAGCAGCACTGCTTCATGTAGTTAAACGGCCTGCACGCTTAGCTAAATACACCTGATGTATTTCAGCCTCACGCCTCTCACCAAATAGAAACCATGCGAGTACATCAGTAGGCAAATTTGCAACTTCTGGGAACTCGCCAGCATTCTCAGGAGCGAACTGTACAATTTTTTCTAGCCCCTCAAACCAAGTAGTAGACAACTCTACATAATCATCTTTGATACTAAACGAAAACGAATCTGAATCTTCTTGTTTAAACTTCACATTAGATGGAAGTGTTGCCTCGTGTGTAAGTGTGCACCTGACATAAGTGTAAAAAAGATCTTGAATTGGAACCATGTTGTCTGGATAGTATTTTTTGTCGCTTCCAGGAACCTTGATGTTTAAATTCTGTCCAATCCCACCGTGAGTTAGAACTCCAATTTCATCATGCATGAACTTTGTAAAACACACACGATCTTCGGGAATCTGATTTCGCGAATATCGCTTCCTCGATGTGGCAGCAATTGCAACACAGATGTTTAGCAGAGCTCCATCGAACCGCTTGTGAGCCATTAAGAATTGGGCGTCTTCAAATCTAGACCTGATACTCATGGGACTCCTTCACAATGCTGCGAGGCGCTCAGCGGTTTGTTGCTCGATGAGGGCGTCGAAGAGCGGGGTGAGGTCGGCGCTGTCGATGATGGATGATTTGTTGAACTTTTCGGTTAAGCGCTGATCGGCGACGATGTTGTCCTGGTAGCGGTAGACGCGGATTTTTTCGGAGCGCTGCGCGGTGCCGATCTGGGCGCGGCGTGATTCGTCGCGCTCGGCGTGGGCTTTGGCTTGCTCGATCTCGTGGACGCGGGCGATGAGGAGGCGGCGTGCTTTGTCGCGGTTTTGGGCTTGGGATTTGGATTCCTGCATGCGGACTTCGACGCCGGTGGGTTTGTGGAGGAGTTGGACGGCGGTCGCGACTTTGTTGACGTTCTGGCCTCCTGGGCCTTGGGCGGTGGTGATGTGCTCGTCTACGTCGTTGGACCAGTCGATGTTGACCTCGACTTCTTCGGGTTCTGGGAGGACGGCGACGGTGCAGGTGGAGGTGTGGACGCGGCCTTGGGTTTCGGTGGCGGGGACGCGTTTGACGGAGTGGACTCCCGACTCGAACGAGAGGCATTGCCAGACGCCTTCTCCTTTGAAGTTGAGGACGGCGTGGCGGATCCCCCCCACTGACGAGTCGGCGTCGAGGGACATCTCCTCGACGCTCCATCCTCGTGATGATGCGAAGCGGGTGTAGACCTCGAGGAGGTCGCGCGCCCAGAGTCCGGCTTCGTCGCCTCCGGTTCCGGCGCGGATTTCGAGGATGACTGATCCGACGGCGAGGTCGTCGGTGGTCACGAGGGTGGATTTGATCTCTTCGAGCTTCTGGGTCGCGGCGGATTCGATGGACGGGAGTTCGGCTTTGGCGAACTCGGCAAGTTCAGGATCGTCGCTTGTGAGTGCTTCGCGGAGTTCGTCGGCTTCGGTGAGCAGGGACTGGTAGTGCTGGAACCCCTCGACAACGGGGGCGAGGGCGGCGCGTTTGATGGAGAGGGTGCGGACCTGGTTGTGGTCAGCGAGGACCTCGGGGGATTCGAGCTGTGTTGATAGCTCGTCGTACTGGGACGCGAGTTCGTTGAGTTTGGATAGGAGACCTTCGTCTTGACTCATTGGCGAAGGATATGCAGTTGGCTGTGATTAACCATTGCAGCAGGATGTTGATCCGCCGCAGCATGAAGATGGGCCGCCGTGTCTTGGTTGCCAGTTGTTGACGCCGTCTTTGATGAGGTCCATGAGGGGCCAGACTGAGCAGAAGTCGTCTCCTGGTCCGAATGGGGTGTGTCCGGTGCGGACGATGGAGCCGTCGGATTGTTTGTGGAATGCGGAGACTCCGGGGAGTGCTCCGTCGGGTGTTCTGTATCCCATCGCTTCGGCGAATCCGGAGTTTTTTCCGGAGACGCAGCGGTAGTTCCATCCTCGTTCTTTGGCGAAGTCGGCGGTGGTTTGGGGGTCGTCGTTGGAGCAGAGCACGAAGGCGCAGCGTTCTTGGATGTGGTTGGCGAATCCGATGAAGCCGTCGGCCCAGAGGGAGCAGTAGTTGCAGTGCTTGCCCATGTTGTGGACGACGAGGAGTTCGGATTTATCTCCGAAGAGCTGCGAGAGTTTGACAGGGGAGCCGTCGGTGTCTTTGAGTTCCCAGTCTTGGACGGGTTCGTCGGGGAGGTTTTTGATGGCGTCGTAGTACTTGGCTTTGGCTTCCATGAGTTCTTGGCCAAGTTGCTTGATGTCGGCGGCGGTGGTTGTCATTGGGTGTCTCCTGTGCGGATGAGTGCTGTTGAGGGGGTTAGGCCATTCGGATCCATTTGATGAGTGTGCGGAAGTTTGGTGGCTTGCCGTACATGAGGAGTCCGACGCGGAAGACTTTGGCGGCGAACCAGAGGAAGAAGAAGACCGCGACGATGTTGATGAGGATCACGGCGGCGGTCTGCCACATTGGAGGAGGGTCGGTGGAGGAGACACGCATGATCATGATGAAGGGCGAGATCGGTGGTATGAAGCTCGAGACGGTCGAGAGCATCGAGTTTGGTGCTCGGACCACTGGCATGAAGAAGAAGTATGGGAGCATCATGATGAGCATGACGGGGGTCATGAGGGATTGGGCTTCGCGCATGTCGTTGACTGCGGAGCCGATGGCGGCCATGAGTGAGGCGAGCATGAAGTACGCGAGGAGGAAGAAGACGAAGAAGAGGATGATGGTGGACGCTTCGATCATGTCGAGGCGTTCGAATGCGAATAGGGCCGCGATCCCGACGGAGTTGTAGACGAGGAGGAGTGAGAGACCGACGCCCATCTGTCCGACGATTTTGCCTGTCATGAGTTCCATCGGTGAGCACGCGGAGAGGAGGACCTCGACGACGCGGTTTGATTTTTCTTCGATAGTGGTGGTGAGGAGGTATTGTCCTCCGGTCATGGTGGCGATGATGAGCAGGACGAGGGAGGCGATTGGAATGAGGAAGGTGGCGATCCCTGAGGATTCCTTGCGTTCGCCCTCTTCGGTGATTTCTTTGCTTTCGCGGGAATCGATCACCCAGATCTCGTCGATCTGGTTTCGGTCGATCCCGGCGTTCTCGTAGCGGCGCTGGCGGATGGACCAGCGGATTCCGGCTTCGATCTCACCGACGGTTTCTTCGTTGAGTTTGGGTCTGAAGTATGCTTGGAACCCGCCGTATTGGTCTTCAACTTTTTGGGCTGCGTCAGCATCGATCTCTACGACGGCGAGGACCTTGTCCATCGGGTCTTGTATCGCGGAGGCGCCGGAGATTTGATCTCGGATCTCGGCTTTGATTTCTTCGATGTCCGCGTCGGGCGCGGTTGGGACGACGCGGAACTCCGGAGTTTTGATGAAGCTCATCGCGCTTTCCACAGGATCACCCGCGGCGTCGGTGGCGGTTTGGCCCATCATGCCTTTGGCGAAGTCGGAGGCACGCTTGGCGCGGTCCTCCCATCTCTTGCGGACTTGCTCTGGAGACAAACGCGTGCTCATGTCATCGAAAACTTCAGCGGAGCGGTCGAGGACATAGATCGTCCCTTTGTCTGCCGGTGGCTGGGCGGCTGCGGAGAGCATGACAATGACGGGGATGAGGACTGCCATCAACGCGGGGACGACGAGGGCGCCGATGATGAACCCTTTGGTCATTGCGGTTGAAGCGAACTCTCTTCCAGCGACACGGATGATCTTGTGCATATTCATGAGTCGTCCTCCTCTTCATTTGAGGATCCGGCTAGGAGCTGGGCTCGGAGTTGTTCTGGATCGTCGTGGGTGTCTCCGCCGGTGACGATTTCTATAAAGACATCTTCGAGGGTGGGTCGTTTGATCTCGATCTTTGCGGCTGGGATAGAGGCGAGGATGCTCTGCATCGCTCGTTGTTGATCGATTGATTCGTCGATCTTGACTTCGTAGATACCCTCGTGCTGTCGGACGCTCGCGACGCCTTCGACACTGTTGATTTGATTTGTGTGATCGTCTGGCCCGATGGTGTCGAGGTGGATGGAGTGCGGATCGAATCGCGTACGGATCGCTCCCAGTGTGTCGTCGAGGACTTTTTTGCCTTGGTGGATCATGACGATGTGGTCGCAGATCTGCTCGGCTTGCTGCATGACATGGGTGGAGAAGATGACGGTCTTGCCGTTGGTGTGCTGCTCGTTGATGAGATCACGCAGGAGGCGCATGTTGACGGGGTCGAGTCCTGAGAAGGGTTCATCGAGGATGATCAGGTCGGGCTCGTGGAGGACTGATGCGATGAACTGGACTTTCTGCTGCATGCCCTTCGAGAGTTCTTCGCATTTCTTTTTGCTCACTTCAGCGAGTTCAACGCGTTCGAGCCAGTTCATGACCTTGGGTTTGAGTCCTCGAGCGTCGAGACCTTTGAGTCTTCCCATGTGCATCAGGAAGTTGGCCACCTTCATCTTCTTGTACACGCCTCGTTCTTCGGGGAGGTATCCGATACGGTCTTTGGATTCGACGGCGGATTTCTTTCCGAGGACGCTGAGTTCTCCGGCGTCTGGGAAGAGGATGGACATGATCATCCGGATGGTTGTGGTTTTCCCGGCGCCGTTTGGTCCGATGAAGCCGTACATGGATCCTTGGGGGATCTGGAGGTCGATCCCTTCGACCGCGACCTTTGCTCCGAAGGTCTTGCGGACGCCGTTCATATATATTGCATCACTCACGCGGTTCCCCTACGAGTAGATTGACGAGTTCATCGGCATGCGGACATGAGACCATGCACGATGGGTGCATTGTACACATGTATACCGATTCGACTCGGCTGCGTTTCACTCTGGGATGATTCTGCGAGCACACGCTGGAAATCGGATGTGATGAAAGCCGTTATTTTGCTTGGTCGTCGACATATCCGCCGAGCTTGCGGGAGCGGACGGGGTGCTGGAGCTTGCGGATCGCTTTGGCTTCGACCTGGCGGACGCGCTCGCGGGTGACCTTGAAGATGCGTCCGACTTCTTCGAGTGTGTAGGTGTAGCCGTCTCCGATGCCGTAGCGGAGTTTGATGATCTCGCGCTCGCGGTAGGAGAGGGTTTTGAGGACCATCTCGATGCGCTGCTTGAGCGCATCCTGTCCCGCGGCTTGGTCTGGGGTGCTCTGGTTGGTGTCTTCGAGGAAGTCACCGAAGTTCGAGTCCTCGGATTCACCGACAGGGCGATCGAGCGAGACGGGGTGGGTCGAGATGCTCAGCACGCGCGCGACCTCGGCGGTGGTCATCTTCGCTTTCTCGGCGAGCTCTTGTGGGGATGGCTCGACGCCGGTCTGTTGTTTGATTTGTTTTTGGATGTTGCGCAGGCGCGTCATGGTCTCGATCATGTGGACCGGGATGCGGATGGTGCGCGCGTGGTCGGCGATCGAGCGGGTGATCGCTTGGCGGATCCACCAGGTCGCGTAGGTGGAGAACTTGTATCCACGCTTGTACTCGAACTTGTCCACGGCTCGCATGAGTCCGGTGTTGCCTTCCTGGATGACATCGAGGAAGCTCAGACCACGGTTGCGGTATTTCTTGGCGATCGAGACGACGAGGCGGAGGTTGCCACCAGAGAGGTCACGTTTGGCTTGTTCGTATTCCCAGAAGACGGTGGAGATGCGGTCGATGCGGGTCGCGAGCTCTGCGGGGTCTTCGAGGACCAGAGCGCGGAGGCCGTCGAGTTCCATGCGCATGACTTCGAGGTCTTCCTCGTCGTACTTTTTGGGGTACTTGGCGGCGGAAAGCATCTCGGCTTGGAGCGCTTCCATCTTCTCGGAGATGGACTTGATCTTGCGCATCAACGGGACGATGCGTCCTGTTCGGAGGCAGAGTTCCTCGACGAGCGCGGACATTCTTCTGCGACGGAGGGCGATGCGATCTTGGATCTCGCGTGCTTTTTTGGTTTCGTGGACGGTGCCGTCGTCGTGGCGGAGGCCTTCGAGTTCTTCCCAGTCGGCGCGGTTCTTTTTGAGGAGCGCTTCGATTGTTGGGAGGTTCGATGGGATGCGGACGAGGAGTTTTTCTTTCGCGTTCTCGTCGAGCGTGCTGGTGCGCATCGTGCGGTCGAACGGGAGTTGTCCATCGCTGACGAGCTTGAGCGTTTCGACGGCTTGCGCGATGATGTAGTCGCACTCGAGGCAGCGTCGGCGGAAGATCATTCGTGTGGTTTCGATCTTCTTCGCAAGGCGGACTTCTTCTTCGCGTGTCAGGAGCGGGATAGTCCCCATCTGCGAGAGGTACATTCGGACAGGGTCGTCCATGCGTCGATCAGCTTCAGCATTGATCGCTTCGTCGAGATCACGCTGCACGACGCGGTCGTTCATGCCTTTGGCTTCTTCGACATCCTTGTCCGCTTGCTTGAGATCATCGCTGTTGAGGATGACGGTGTCATTGAAATGCGGGGCGTTGATGCGGACTCGTAGGGATTCGTTGTTGCCTAGGTTTTCGCCGCCCGGGACGGACATGGCGCGGAACTCGGTGTCGAGGTGCTGGATGCTCTCAAGGGTCTTGGCGTCTCCGGAGCGCTTGGCGCGGAAGACGCGTCCTCGGAACTCCATCTCGTCGACCAGTTCGATTCCTGAGTCATCGATGAGTGCGAGGATGTTGTGGATCGCGACTGGATCGACGAACTCGTCAGGGAGGATGTTGTTGAGTTCTTCGAAGCTCAACCAGCCTCGGGTTTTGCCTGAGTCGATGAGTGCGGTTACTGCTGGATGCGTCATCCCGATCATGTTTCTCTCAGAGCTCCAATCAATCCATCGATTATGAATGCGAACATCGTAGCGCGAAAAGCAGGGGAAGCAGGTAACGGGAGTGAAATCAGTGGTCAGGAGTCACCTGACGACAGACGCCCCCTGAGTGTGGAGTACTTGTCACGCAGTGTTTTTTGTTGCTGAGCGAAGGCTCGCAGCGCTTCCATTTCGTCGTCCTGCTGAGCCTCTGAAACACGGACCTTGGACTCCTGTTGTGCGAGATCGATCTGTCGGATGCACTCGTTTAGGAGTCTTGCTGTGCGTTCGGGTTCCCCTTCGCATTGTTGTTCAACAAGACGGCTGATCTTGGTCGCTCTTCCGGCGGGATCGAGAGGGTTGTCTGGATTGCCGGACTGGATCGTCCCATCGGCAAGCATCTCGGTGATCTCAGAGAGCACGGCGTGGAGTCCGGTCCCTGTCCGATTCGCAACGCTCTCGTGGAGCGCCTGCGCGACATACGCGGACTCTGGAGACTCGATCGAGGTCGTCATCAGCAGGTCGTGCTCGTCGGAAGTCATCGTCAACCAGAGTTTCTCGTCGTTGAGTAAACATCCGAGCATGAGTTCGCGTGGGGTGAGCGGACGATCCGCTTGCTGCTGGGTCGCTGCTTTGGGTTCGATTGATGCGGGAACGCGCCGACCCAATCGCATCGATGCTTTGACGACTTGCTCAGAAACTCCGGCGGCTCCGGCGATCTGACGGATCATGAGCTGACGGCGCATCGGGCTGAGTTTCTCGATTCCTAGATCGAGGAGCGTGCGGATTTCTTCTTCGATGCGTTGCGTGACGCGAGCGGGATTCGCTCCGGTGAGTTCAGCGCGGAGTCGATCGAAGCGCCATTTAAGCAGATCGACGGCACCATTGATGGCTTGTCTGAAGATTTTGGAGCCGTTGTCTCGTGCGAGGAGTTCGTCGGGGTCTTTCGCGTCGGTGTATCCCGCGAGTGCGGCGATCTTGATGTCGATGGTTTCGGAGAAGAGGACTTCGATGGCGCGATCTGCGGCGCGTTGTCCGGCTTCGTCGCCGTCGAAGAGGAGGACGACGGTGTCGCAGAGTCGGCGGAGGATGGTGGCGTGTCCCTTGGTGAGTGCAGTCCCGAGTGTTCCGACGACATGTTCGACGCCGTGCTGATGGCATGCGATGACATCGGTGTATCCTTCGACGACGACGGCGACGCGTTCGCGTTTGATGGCGCGTTGCGCGTTGTTGAGGCCGTAGAGGGTTCTTGATTTGTTGAACGCGACGGTTTCGGGACTGTTGAGGTATTTGGGGTCGTCCTCGTCGTTGATTCGGCGCCCTCCGAATCCGATGACGCGACCTATCTGGTCGCAGATGGGGAAGATGAGTCGATTGCGGAGCGCGTCGTATTGTCCGCCGTTGTCTCTGGTTTTGAGCAGGCCGGCTTCTGAGAATGCTCTGGGGTTGTATCCCTTGGACTCGATGGTCATGAGCAGCCCGTCCCAGCGATCGGCGCTGACACCGATCCCGAAGCGCTCGACCATGTCGGCGTTGATTCCTCGGCGTTCGATGAGATCGCGAGCGGTTTGGCCGTGCTCGGGGTGCGTGAGCAGGGCGCGGAAGTAAGACTGCGCTTGCTCGTTGGCGTTCATGATGTCTTGCTTGCTCAGTCCGGATGATTGCTGTGTATCCGAGTTGCTTGATCGTGATGGATTGAATGGTGTCAGTTCGATGTTGGCGCGCTCGGCGAGGAACTGGAGAGATTCGCGGAAGTCCATTGAGTGGTAGCGCTGGACGAAGGTGAAGACATCACCTCCGGCGCCGCAGACGAAACAGTGGAAGATCTGCTTTGTTGGCACGACGCACATGGATGGGGAGTGGTCGTCGTGGAATGGGCAGAGACAGACATACTCGCGACCCTTGGGTTTGAGACTCATGCAGTCCCCCACCACTCCCACGATGTCGGAGGCATCGCGCACGCGCTGCACATCATCGTTGGGCTGGGAAGGGTACAGGCTCACTCAAATGACTCCATGGGATGAGAATCGCCAATCCGTGGGGCGATCCAGCGAATAGGCATTCTATTCATATAAGGACCTGCACGCGAAATCACGCTCTTGATGGTACGGATCGTCTATATTGATGCAGGATTCGGACACAGTCAGGGAGATGATTTGGCATGCTCATTCTGTACGACATCGATATGACGCTTCTGGAGACCAATCACATCGGGATTGATTGCTTGCGTCACGCGGGCCAGTCGTTGTTTGGTGATGACTTCACGATCGAGGGGATCACCTTCGGGGGGTGTTTGGATCCGGTGATCATCGCGGACATGCTGGTGCTCAATGAGATTGATCCGAGCGAAGAGAACATCCAAGCGATGCGGACGGGATACCACAAGCATCTTGAAACCCTCTCCAAAACACAATCGGTGGCGCGAGCGCTCCCAGGTGCGCATGACCTGGTGTTCGCGACAGCGAGTCATCACAGCAAACCCACGCTGGGATTGCTGACAGGGAACTATCCGGAGACTGGGACGATCAAGATTCAAGCAGCGGGGTTTGATCCGGCGTTGTTTACGGTCAATGCGTGGGGGGATTCGTCGCCGCATGAGAAGCCTCACCGATCGCATCTGCCTCCGGTCGCGATGGATTTGTACCACGCGGAGAAAGAGATCAGGATCGATCCCCAATCAGTCGTGATCATCGGCGACACGATTCATGATGTATCGTGCGGGAAAGACAATGGCTGCCGTGTGCTCGCGGTCGCGACGGGGCATGCGGGCTTTGATGAACTCGTCGATGCGGGCGCGGACCACACGGTCGAGGATTTGAAAGACACTGAGGGAATCCTTCAATGGATCCTGGGGAACGGCTAAGCATGGGCACCACATCCCAATCTGACATTCGTCCGACAAGCGGGAAGCAGCGCTTCGGTGCGATCGATTCGCTGCGAGGGTTTGCGCTGCTGGGGATTCTGGGTCCGAACATTGTGGCGTTCTCGCAGCCGATGAATGCGATGACCGATCCGAATGTGATCGGGGACACTCCTGCGAATCATCTGGCGCACACGATCACGACGACGGTGTTCCTTGGGAAGTTCATGTTCCTCTTCGCATTGCTATTCGGATCCGGCGTGATCATGTACGCACGCAAGTATGATCATCGCGAGCTCGGGGACATCTGTGCTCGATGCGGGTATCCGATGAAGGGGCTCGATGGTGATGCTCCGTGTCCCGAGTGCAACTGTCCTGATCGCAAAGCAAAGAAGCACAAGCTCAGCGAGGGCGCGACGCTCTGGTATATCCGCTGTTGTCTCTTGCTGATGTTCGGGATGATCCACGCGTACTGCTTCTGGTACGGCGATATTCTGACCTTCTACGCGATCTCTGGACTCACCGCGTTATGGTGGATCCGTCGATTGAATCCGAAACTGCTGTTCTTTGGTGGGATGGGGTTGTATTTCTTTGGTTCGCTGCTGCTGATCGGATTCTCGTTCCTTGGTTACAACGCTCTGAGTCAGGGGCAGACCACAGTGGACTCGTTCGGCGCGAATCCCGATGTGGAGATCGCGGGATACACAGGGACCTACATCGAAGCGTTCAAGGTTCGATTCTTCTCGGTGCTGTTTATGCAGTTGGTGCTTGGGATCTTCTTCCAGCCGATCCTCTGGGGGATCATGGCGATGGGGATGGGGCTGACCAAGATGAAGATTTTGACTGGTGAGCGGTCGCTCAGGTTCTACGCGATCTGGGCGCTGGTACTGCTCGGGGCCGGGATCCCGATGACGGCGACTGGGTATTCGCTGGTGCATCAGCACTTCACGCTGCTGCCGGGTTTCATCTGGCAATCGATGGCTCAGCCAATCGGTGTACCGATCGCATTGGGGTATGGCGCGCTGATCTTGGCGCTGACCAAGTGCGACTGGGCGCGGATTGTGACCACGCCACTGGCGGCGGTCGGTCGGATGGCGCTGAGCAACTACTTCTTGCAAACCTTCCTGTGCACAACGATTTTCTATGGGTACGGCATCGGATTCGGGCTCTTTGCGCAACTTGAATATCCGATGATTTGGCTCGTCGTGCTCGGCGTGTGGAGTGTCAATATCATCTTCTCAATGCTGTGGTTACGCGTGTTCGTGATGGGGCCGTTTGAATGGGTGTGGCGCGTGCTTACTTATCGACAGCTTGTCCCCATTGTGCGCCGATCTTCCTCCGATCTGCCCATTGGAACGCATAATTCCGATTGAGTCGCTACAATTATTGTGTCGGGATAGAGCACGATCAGGATGGTCTGTGTGCTCCCGAGTTGATCGGAACGGTCTGGACTGAACGGACCGGCAAGGAGGCCTGCAGATGCCAAGCTCGTATCGTGCTCTCTGTTCTGATTTTTACATCAACTCAAAGTTGAATGTCCGCATGGAGCTTCCAAGCAATCGCGAGCCGGTGCTGGATTTGTTTGAGCGCACTCGACGATCGTTCCCGGCGATGAACGCGTTCCGTCGGTACAAGGATGAACTGGCGCTTGAGTCAGCGGCGAATGCTCAGCCTCATCGTTGGATGGCGATCCGTGCGGCTTCGGTTCGGAGCGGGGTTGTGAATCCGAGCAACGAGGATGAGATGTACTCGCTGCATCGACTCGCGGCGGAAGTGTCTCCGTATTACTTGTCGATCTCGCCGTTGGATCTTGAGTACATTGAGCTGTTGTATGGGTTTGATCTTGCCGCGAAAGAGAATCATGATGAGATTGCGGCGAGCGCTCTGCTCGCGGGGTCTCCGCTCGCGGCGTTGATTGATAACGAGTCGATCAAGATCAGCGATTGCCAGCCTTTGCTTGGGATGAATCTGCTTGATGAGCCTGGACTGGAGGCGCACTTTGAGATCAAGACGCGGACCAAGACTGGGCCGGGCGCACATAGCGCTGGATCATCAAGCGAACCGATCTCGGTGTACCTGACGCTGCGGAGATATGACCCGGTGACGGATCTGAAGGATCTCGGTACGCAGCTGAACGAGTTGATAGAGCGGGGGCAGGATCTTGTGGATCAGTACGCGGTGCCGAATCTGCTGCTTCCTTTGCGGGAAGAGATTGGCTCGCGTTCGTATTGAGCGTTTTTGATGTATACTTGTTCGATGCTTTCGATACTTCTTGCGCAGTCCAGTTCTTCTGTCTCTTCCATGCTGATGTGGATTTTGATCCTGATCGTTGTGGTCCTGATCGGAGGCTTCATCGTCTTCACGCTCCGTAGACGGATGCTTTCGAGCGATGATTCAATGAATGTGGGATCGTCAGGGTTGCTCGATCATCTGCATCAGATGCACAAGTCAGGCGAGATCGATGATGAGGAGTTCGCTCGGGCGCGGAGCTCGATCCTGATGAAGGTTCAGGAGGACATGGACGCACGCAAATCGAGTGACGAACAGTCGGGGTGAGTGGTTGGGAGTACTGGTTGGCATACTGGGTGGGGTTGTGCGGATTAAATCAAATGCACGGGCACTGAGCAGTGGATTGGGCTGATTCAAACTGGTACTCTTGAGCAAAGAGGGCTAGGGTTTTCGGTCGATGTTCTTGTGGCGCACTTATCGCGCCGTTTCATCGCAAAACCGCGTAGAATCGGGTTGAGACGGCACCCCGATCCACCCGATAGCAGTGGAACCTGCCTTGTGATTTTCCGGCAGTGAACCACATGAGAGATCCACATGACCAACACCGATCCAATGAATAACCCGCACGCTCAACCAGTGAACTCCATGGGTTCAGAAGGCTCAGACTCCTCCAACTCCGGATCCGGCGACGGTTCAGGTGGTGATGGAGGCGGGGCTGGCGGTTCGGGCGGCGATGGCGGCAACGGCGGGTTCCGCGGCCGAAAGGTGACCACCTGCTCATTCTGCGGCAAGACCTCTCGCGAGGTCGGGCCGATGGTCGAAGGACCTGGCGAGGTGTACATCTGTAACAACTGTGTTGAGCTTTGCCAGAACATCTTCAAGCAAGAGCGCCGGCGCGTGTCGTCGGTCTCGGCGCAGCTCTCGGAGATCCCGTCCCCACGCGAGATCGTCGAGTTCATGAATCAGTATGTGATCGGTCAGCAGATTGCAAAGCGTTCGCTGTCGGTCGCGGTACACAATCACTACAAGCGTCTGATGCACCACGAGTCGGAGCACGCGGACAACATCGAGCTTGATAAGTCCAACATCCTCCTGATCGGCCCGACCGGTTCAGGGAAGACGCTGCTCGCAAAGACTATGGCTCGCATGCTCAAGGTCCCATTCGCGATCGGTGACGCGACCACGCTCACTGAAGCGGGATATGTGGGTGAGGATGTCGAGAACCTCCTGCTCAAGCTCCTGCAGAACGCGGACTTTGATGTCGAAGCAGCACAACGCGGGATCATCTACATCGACGAGATCGACAAGGTCGGGAAGACCTCGTCCAATGTCTCGATCACACGCGATGTTTCGGGTGAAGGCGTGCAGCAGTCACTCCTCAAGATGCTTGAGGGTACGGTCTCCAATGTCCCACCTCAAGGTGGACGCAAGCATCCTGAGCAGCAGTACATCCAGTTCGATACCACGAATGTTCTGTTCATTTGTGGCGGTTCGTTTGTCGGACTGACAGACATTGTCCGCCGTCGTCTTGGCAAGACACGGATCGGGTTTGGTGGCGCGGCGACTTCCGCTTCGGACACCAAGGGTCGTCAGCACTTCGCATCGGAAGACGCGGAGAAGGAATGGTTGCAATCGCAGATCTCCAACGAGGATGTTGTTGAGTTCGGTGTGATTCCTGAGCTTGTGGGTCGTTTGCCGGTCATCACTCCGCTGATGCCGTTGACGAACGAGGCGCTCGTCCAGATCTTGACAGAACCAAAGAACGCGCTCGTGAAGCAGTTCCAGCACCTCTTCAAGCTTGAGGGTGCTGAGCTGACCTTTACAGAGGATGCGTTGCTTGCGATCGCGGAGAAAGCCGCGAAGCGTGCGACCGGTGCTCGCGCCCTGCGTGCGGTGATGGAAGACACGATGCTGGATCTGATGTACCACCTCCCAGACATGGACAACGAAGGGGCGCACTACATCATCGATGCGGCACACATCGAGCATCCACGATCGCTCGAAGAACTGCGTGTCTCTAAGGCACACACGGCGTAAGGCTGACACGATTGAAGAACAAAGCCCCGGTCATGCCGGGGCTTTTTCATTGGTGTGTTGGGATGGATCAGTTGATCCGCGTCGCGACGCGGATGGATTCGTTTCCGACTTTCGCGTGCGCGAGTGCGTAGAGATTGATCGGTGAATCGATCAATCCACGCATCGTGTGCGGGTCGTCGGAGATCAGATGGAGCTGGATGTCTGATTCGCGATCTGAGGATTTCGGCATCGCGAGCGTCGGTTCGGCACGCAGGATCAGCGGTAGGTGCGCTCGCACCCAAGCGCGAACCGTTTCGAGTCGACCCATCGGGGCGCGGTGGTCATCGTCGGCGACAAGATGGAGCTTGCCTTGGTCGTCCACGCAGAGTTCGACATCGAGCGCGAATGGGCATCGTGTTTCGATCAGCGTCAATCCCTCGATGAGACTCGCGAGGTTGGTGCTCGGCTTCGCGGTCTCGATGGTAACGGGAGGCTCGGTCATCTGCTCGACGGTTGGACGGATCTCTGCTGGGATCTGCTCGAGTGCTTGCGATGCTTCGTGAGCGATCTCGGGTTGAGACTGAGGTCGAGCTGCTGTAGTGGCAGGCGTTTGGATCGCGTCCAGTGCCGGGACACCACATCCGATCTGGATGAGTTCATCAAGGATGCTGGCGACCTCGTGAGCGACGGAGTCGCGGTAGATGTTCGATGTTCCGGTCGCGTCGATGCGTCCGGCGGCGTCGATGATTTCGATCGGACGATCAAGGAACGCATCCACCGCTCGCGTGAGCTTGGCGCTCGCATCAGCGACTTGCTGACCTGTCGCGCCCATGACAGCGAGACGCAGGTGCGGTGTCCCGATGACCTCATCGGCGTCCCAGACGCTGGTGAGGGTCTTGATCAATCGGTAGGATGCGACGATCGCGGTCTCATCAGCGCCGGTCAGGATGGTGATCTCGTCGATCTCATCGCGATCGAGCAGTTCGGGTTCGGTGGTCTCGTCCACGCGGAGGATCACGCGATCTGCGATCGAATCGACCACAGCGAGTGCATCATGGAGCGAGGCGCACTCGCGGGATTCGATTTGTTGCGATCCGGCGATCAGATCCACTGATGTCGATCCCGCGGCGGCGCGAATGAGCGCGACGACCTCGTCTTTGCGACGAGCGGTCGAGCACGCGTACTGGCGGACCCAGAGCGATGCACGAACTGGGAGATGACCGAGAAGCACGGCTTCGATGCAAGGGACGGAACCCAATCCGGACTCGATCGCGTGCTCGACACGAGTGACCGCTTGCTCAGCGAGGTGTGGCTTGCTTGTTGGGGTCACATGAGGCTTTTGAGTTTCTTCATGGCGAGCTTCGACCTCAACTGGAGGACGAGCGAGTCGGACAGGCACGGCTTGACGGTTCGAGTCGACCGAATCGGTCCCGGTGCTCGAGAATGGTTCGGGCGCCAGTTCGCTGTCTCCGAGGAAGAGGTCAGCGAGCGCGTCGTATTCGCCGTCGTCGATCCCGGCGAGTTTCATGAAACCACCTGCGTTTGCAGAAGCTCCGGCTTGGTCGATTGTGCGGTCGTTGTCGTCCATCGTGAGTCTCCACTCATGTGCTGCTCGTCCTGAGCGTCGTGAGCTGTCTATATCCTACATGAAACTGCAATGCTTTACGCCCGCACGCGGACGATGTTGTTTTGTGATCCGATCCCGTTGCGGATGCTGGTTGGGTTGTGCTCGTCGAGCACCCATTGTCCATCCACAACGAGCTTGTATTCATACGATCCGGCGGGGAGTTTGCAGTAGAGCTCGTAGATCCCGAGCTGCTCGTTGAGCGTGAGCTTGGAAAGCGCTGGGTTCCAGGCGTTGAAACTACCTGCGATGCGGACATCTTCGCCAACTGAAGCGGGCTGTACGAACAGCGCCCCTCCGGTCACAGGACGGACTCCCAGCAGATGACGGACCTGCTGTGCGGGTTGCTGTGGAACTGGGGTGACTACGCGATCATCCACAACTTCAATAGCGACTGGACGATGCGGCATCATCGAGCGCCGAAGTGGTGTGGGTGATGGTGCGGTGGCAACAGCTGTGGTTGCAACTGCAGCCGCCGGCTCATGATTGAGGTTGCGTGCTCGGACCGCCATTTCCTGGGCGCGGGTGAGCTTCGGGGTTTCGATTGCAACAGCGTCTACAGACTGTGCGATGAGGTTATTTGTTGAGCCGTTGGAGGTGATCTGGAGTTCTTCGGAGTTGTGATCTGGGTCGAGCTCTTCTGAACCTGGCTCTGGACGATCGATCGCGGCGTGTTCGATGAGCCATTCGCAGAGTGAGCGGTAGTCTTCGGCGCCTGTTGAGTCAGATCGGAATGCTTCGATCGGCTGACCAAAGCTCGCGGCTTCTTTCAATGTTTGGTCGTAGCGGATGACGAGTGGGATCAGTCCGGTCCCGAATCGATCACGGAGATCGTCGAGCAGGTCGCGAGCGAGCGGCTGATTCGGATCGTGCATCGTTGCGAGCACGCGTGGATTCAGTCGCAGACCCACACGACGAGCGATCGAGCGTACAGTCTGGACCTGCTTTGCAGCGCCTTTGAGGGAGAAGAAGCTCGTCTCGACAGGGATGATGACTTCACGACCTGCAGCGATCGCGTTGTATGAGAGGAGACCAATCGAAGGGGAACAGTCGATAATGCAGACATCGTATCGACGAGGGACCTGTCCAGTTTCGTCTGCGTCCTGACTGAGTCGAGAAACTCGATCGATCACAGAGCGGAGTCGGAGTTCTTTTTCAGGTTGACCCATGAGTCCGCCGTTGGCGGATTCAATCCCGGCGAGCATCATGTGGCTCGGGATCAGATCGAGATTGCGGGAGACATGCCAGACGAGTCGGTCGTGATTCAGCTCGCTTGTTGGTTCAGCACGGAGTGCGTCATAAATTGTTTGGTCGAGCTTGTCTTCTGGGACACCCAGTCCTGCGGCGCAGTGAGACTGGGGGTCCATATCTACGAGGAGTGTGCGGCAGCCCCTAGCCGCGAATCCTGCGGAGAGGTTGATGGCGCTGGTGGTTTTCCCACAGCCGCCTTTCTGGTTGATGATGACGATCGTCCGCACGCGAGCTCAGCCTTTCATCGGTGAACAAGCCCGATGAGTGCTTTTATCGGAAGCATGCGCCGGATCGCTCCAATCTGGAGCGAACTTGACACGAATCTAAAGGGTTTCCCCCAAAGCAGATGCCATGTCGTATAAACCGAGGTTCAAATCAGCAGCGGATCGCGTCGAATCCGGCGGCGAGGTGCGATGGATCAGCGTCTGCGAAGACCTCGCATTTGCCTCGCTGGATCGGGTAAATCACGCGGACCGATCCAGCGGTTGCTTTCTTGTCGTGTCCCATCCGCTCGATCAGATCGTCGTTGCTTGGGAGTCCCGATACGCACGATGGGAGTCCGACGCGATCGAGCAGGGACACCAGCTCGTCCCCCACTGTTGGGGAGAGATTGTGAGCAGACTCCGCGGCTCTGCATGCGGCGACCATTCCGAGTGCGACGGCTTCGCCGTGATGGAGTGGGGCGAGGGAGGGGTTGTCTTTTTTTGGGGAGAGATGCGCGATGGTCTCGATCGCGTGTCCGAAGGTGTGTCCGAAGTTGAGGAGCATCCGTCCGCCTAGCTTGCTCGTGTCTTCACGCTCGTCCGCGGCGACGACGCTCGCTTTGAGCGCAACATTACGCGAAACCAACTCACTGACAACCTGAGGCTCAAAGGTGATGATCTGATCGAGATTCGCGATCATCCAGTCCATAAGCTCGGGATGGTTGAATCCTTGAGCGATGCAGCCGTGCTTGATGCACTCGGCGAGTCCTGATCGGCGGTATCGAGCTTCGAGCGAATCGAGTACATCGATATCTGCGATGACGAGATCGGGTTGCCAGAATGCGCCGACGAGGTTTTTGAGCAGCTTTGGGGAGCCATCAGCGTTGCTGATCTGCAGATTGAAGCCGGTCTTGCCCCCCACTGACGCATCGACCATGGAGAGCAGTGTGGTTGGACACTGGATAATCGGGACGCCTCTTCGGTAACTCGCGGCGACGAATCCGGCGAGATCCCCGACGATCCCTCCTCCAAGCGCGATCACGGGATCGACTCGGGAATGTCCGGTCGATGCGATCTGCGTCAGGAGGTCTTGATAGGTTTCGATGGTCTTGATGGACTCGGTCGGCGTGATCGTTGCGGTTGATACTTTGAGTCCGATCGCTTCACAAGTCCGCTCGATCGCTTCAAGGAAACGCGCTGGGACTCCCGAATCAACGACCACAAACGCGTTGCGGGCGCCGCTTTGATGCATGGATGTGAGCGTGGGATGCAGGTGCTTGAGAGAGCCGGGACCTATGGCGATGTCGTATCCCCGATCTCCGAGCTGGACATGCACCGTGCTTGGACTGCTCACGCTTGAGTCTCGCTTGCAGGCGGGATGAACGGCGGAACCTCGACCATCGGCGCTTCGGGCCACATCGATTCGAGATCGTAGTGGGCGCGTGCGTTGGGCTCGAAGACATGCACGACCACATCGACAAAGTCTGCGAGTAACCACAGCGCGTCGTTGTCGCTGGAGATGTGATAGGCGCTGGTCCCGAAGCCCTTCGCGACATCGTTAAGGTTCTCGAGCGATGATCGCATCTGACGAGCGGAGGTTCCCGATCCGATGACAATAAATCCAGTAACTGGCGAGGTCTTGTGGACATCGAGGATCACCACATGCTCGCACTTATCTCCAAGCAGGGAGGTGCCCATCGCTTGCGCAAAGTCCCGCGCCTGCTCGACTTCGAGGATCCCCTGTTGATCTGAGAGGGTGGTCCCTCCTCCAGTGCTTGCGGATGGATCAGGGGCTGAAGAGTGTTGGTCGCTGTGTTCGTTCATATAGATCAAGGATAGGCGGATGGGTCCGGATTCCCCAGTGGAACCCGACTCATTCAAGGAACGGATCTGGTTCGTGATAATCCCGAGTTGGTGGTCTTTGGATCTGACCTGGACGACGATAAAAGGATCCGGTCCACCCAGTCCGATTGCAAGGGATGAGTGTTCTTTCGAGCACGAGTCCGAGACCTTCGAAGCCGTCTTTGAGCAGCGCGAGATCGGATTCTTCGGTCACAATCGCGATCAATAAGCCGCCGGGCCGAACGACACGACCAACCTCGACAATGACGCGGGCGCCCTCTGGGGTGTCTTTGGTCCCTCGGAGCAGATCCACGCATACCACCGCTTCGAAGGCACCATTGATCTCCCCTTCGAGTGCTTCGATCCATCCGAGCTCGAATGAGCAGTGATCAGATCGGTGGCGCTGACGCGCGAAGCGGATCGATTCGCCATCTCGATCCACGGCGACGATCCCACCTGATGGGCCGACAGCGTGCGCGAGGAGTGCGGAGCCGCCTCCTGTCCCGCATCCGAGTTCGAGAACGCGCATGCCGGGACGGATGTGTTCGAGGAACTGCGCGTAAAGCACAACGCGCGGATCGTGTCCTACATCAGCATAAAGACGGCTGTTGGTGTAGCGGATGCGCATACCTCTTCGGCCATCCATATCGATCCAGGGGAGTCGGACATCGTATTCTTTGACGCCGGGACCTGCATCGCTGAGTGCTCTTCGCAGGGAGATCCCGGAGCGTTCTCGGTAGCGGACGCCGTCTTGCATCGTGATGGTGCGTTTATAGACTCCGAGGTAGCGGAGCAATCGTTTGAACTTATAGAGAACGCGGGAGCCTGCGGACATCAGGAGCCTCGATGACTCGCTTGGCGAAAGAGCGAACCCTGACGCATCGCCACACGCGGATAGACCACAGGACGCTCATCAGCGCACGGGTTGATCGGGATCCACGGGGTTGCTTCGTGCTGGAGCGAGATGGTCCGCGTGATCCCTTCATGCACGTGCTCACTCGCGGCGAGGTCGGGCGTGTTGCATTCCTGCGAGAGGTGCAGCAGCACAAGGTGCTCACGCGGTTTCATACGCGACACGGCGTGGGCGCTGAGTTGATTGCTGAGGTGCCCCGATCCTCCCATGATGCGTTTCTTGAGGTATGCGGGTCGTCCAGATGCTTCCTGCATGTCGGGGCAGTAGTTGGATTCAATTGCGAGGGTATCTACATCGCTGAGGTGTTCGATGAGTCCAGGTGTGACTCTGCCGCAGTCGGTCGCGTATCCAAGGTGTGCGGTCTTCCCTGAATCGTTGTCGAACACGAAGCGGAAGCACGCGACTCCAAGCGAGTCGTGCGAGAGGACTTCGGTAAACAAGCGAAGATTCGGTCCAAGCTCGTGCTCATTGTCGAAGGGTTCGGTCTTGAGTGCGAGCAACCCCATGCGTTCGGCGCGTCCGAGGTGTCCTCGATGGATCATGAGCTTGGCGCGGAAGTATCCTGGACGGATCGCGCGGACCCATCCTGCGTAGCAGTGATCCGAATCGAGGTGTGTGTAGATGATCGCGTCCACTTCATCGGGACGGATTCCACGCTGCGCGAGCAGCGATGCGGTTCTGCGTGGACTCAGTCCCGCATCAATCAGGTAGACTCGACGCGGAGAAGTTTCTGTGCACGGGATAACAAGTACGCTGCAGTTCCCTCGTGATCCGGAGGCGAGGACACAGAGCGCGGCGTGTGCGCCGTTGAGATCAAACGGTGGATTCTCGCTTCCCATTTGGATCGGAAAGAGACTCATGCGCGTGCGATGAGTGAGCCTTGGTCGTCAATAGCGCGTGAGCGTTTGCGTCCTCCGACCGGACAGATTGCTCGCTTGGAAGCGATCACAAACTCGTAGATATCTTTGACCGCTGTGGACTCCTGAGCGCGAGCTTCGAGTTCCTTGTGCATCTCCTTCGCGGGAAGATTGCGGCGGAAGACCTCGGTATAGGCACGCTTAACGGCGTTGATATCGTCTCGGCTCATCCTGGCACGGCGCATCCCGACGACATTGATACCCACGACGGTGTTTCGTTCAGAGGCCATGAAGTATGGGGGCAGGTCGTTGGTGAGCGTCGTGACCCCTGAGGTCATCGCTTGACGGCCTACGCGTCCGAACTGGTGGAGCATGGTGCCGCCGGAAAGAATGGCGCGGTCGTGGACCTCGCTGTGTCCACCCAATCCTGTGTTGTTGACCATGACGACATCGGAACCGACCCACGCATCATGACCGGCGTGGGTGTTGACCATGAAAAAGGTACGGTCTCCGACATGCGTCGGTTTCTCTGCGTTGGTCGCGGCGTGGACAGTGGAGTGCTCGCGGAAGATGCAATCCGAACCGATCTCGACCCCTGCGGTTGGCATTCCCGGTTTGAACTTGAAGTCCTGGGGCTCGAATCCGATGAGCGCTCCGGGATAGAAGGTGGTGCGTTCACCCACAGTCAGTGGTCCCTGGAGGTGGACGGATGCCATGAGTCGGACGCCTGCTCCGAGCGTGACCTTGCCCATCACAACACAGTTTGGACCGATCAGGACATCTTCGGCGAGGGTGACTTCGTCGCCGATGATCGCGCTTGGGTGGATATTGCTCATGCGAAGAGTCTAGGTCGATTGCATACCATCTGCTGTGCCCGATCCCTCCAAACCATCCCAGTTTTTATCCCGTTTCGTGCTCGGGAAGACGCCGTATACAGAGGCGTATGAGGTCCAGTGCGAGCATCACCAAGCGGTGCTCGAATCGAGGGAGCAGGACCGATCCGAGATCGGACGGATTCTGATGGTCGAGCATCCGGCGGTGATTACCGTCACGAGACGACCTGAAGCGGCGTCGCATGTCATCGCGTCAGAAGAACTGCTCGCTCAGCACGGTGTGGAGTTGCATCAGACCGATCGGGGTGGCGATGTCACCTATCACGGTCCTGGGCAGCTCGTGTGCTATCCGATCATCGATCTCAACGCGGTGAAAGTCCGGATTCATGAGTACATCCGTTTGCTCGAAGCCGCGGTCATCGGGACCTTGGCGGAGTATGACATTGTCGGATCGACCGATCCCGATGCGACTGGGGTGTGGATTGATCCCAAGGACAACCCACAGCATCACTTCGAGAGCGATCAATCCGCGAAGGTCTGCGCGATCGGGGTGCGTGTTCGCAAGTGGATCACGCTGCACGGGCTCGCGATCAATCTGAGCACCAATATGGATCACTACAAGCTCATTGTCCCATGTGGTCTTGCAGGACGCCCTGTAGTCTCGATTCAGCAGATTTTGGGAGATCGTGCACCCTCGATGAGTGATCTTGTAAACTCGTTGTATTCCCATCTCAGCGGCTTGCTCATTGAGCAGTTTGAAGCCGTGAGCACGAAACCAAAGCTCTAGGAACCGGTAGAAATCAGCATGACTCAATCCAATCCCTTTCGTACACACCTATCCCGCTTCCTGATCGTTTCAAGCGTTGTGCTGTTCGGCGCGAGCTTTCAAGCACCGGCTTGGTCGAGCACGCCTGAGACTGCACGCGAGATGAGAAAGCAGCGTGCTCAGCGGAACCTCGAAGAGAACAAGAAGAATCTGCAGCGCAAAGCACGCGAGGCTGAGCTTCCAGAGATGGACGCACTGATCATCGAGGAATACACACGCATGATCGAGTACATCGGTGATGCGCAGCGTGAGGGGAGAGCGCCGGGAACACAGGGGATCAAGGACGCGGCGAACTATATCGAGAACGAACTCAAGCAGATTGGATTGCAGCCGGCATTCAGTGAGACCGAGACCACTGAAGACGGCGTGGAGATTGTCACCAAGAACGCGAGCTTTCGACAAGCGGTCCCGATCGGGTACTCGCTCAGCGCCAAAGTTCAATCCATGTCGGTCAACGGCGATGATTTAATCGCGGATCACGAGTTCGCACCACTTGCGTATTCGGGATCGACCGATGCGGAGGGCGAGGTGGTGTTCACGGGGTATGCCGTGGTCTCTGGACCTGATGGGTATCTTGGGTTTGACTCCAACGAGAACCTCGAAGGCAAGATCGCGATGTGCCTCAAGTACGAGCCGATGGATGAGCAGGGGAACTCGCTCTGGAGAGACGACGGATGGTCTCATCACTCACGATTGACCTACAAGATCAGCGCGCTCGAACGGCGCGGAGCTGAAGCGGTGCTCATTGTTTCGGTTGATGAAGCAAACGACAACAACGCGGGGATTCTCGATTCCATCGGATCGACCTCACCACCAGCGGGTGTGCGGCGCGGAAATCGCGGCGGTCCAAAGTTTGATATTCCTGTGCTCTCGATCACTTCAGAAGTGGCGCAAGAGATCCTCGATCGAGGAGGTTTGCAGCTCGACGAGTTGATCGCACGGGCAAACAAAGAAGGCGTCGTTGAGGAGATCGATGGATCAGCTGTTGAAGTGAGCGTCGAGATCGAACGCACACCTACTTACACAGACAATGTCGGTGCCGTGCTTGAAGGCAGGGGCGAACTCGCGGACGAGTACATCGTCATCGGGGCTCACTACGACCATGTCGGATACGGACACTTCGGATCACGCGGCGGACACACCGGGATCATCCATCCAGGCGCCGATGACAACGCGTCGGGAACCTCAGGGGTCATCCTCGCGGCGAAGCGTTTGAGCGAACGCTACGCGCAGCTTGCTCCGGATCAAGACGCACGCTCGGTGCTGTTCTTGCTCTTTACCGCAGAGGAATCGGGACTCAACGGCTCGCGTTTTTATGTCAACAATCCGATCGCTGGGATTGATCAGCACACGATTATGCTCAATATGGACATGATCGGAAGACTCGAATCCGATCCACTGGAGATCGGAGGGTTCGAGTCCAGCAAGGAACTCGATGCGCTCGCGACTTATCACCTCGACAACTCAGGAATGGTGTACGACCGGAACACTTCTGTCGGGAATGGTCGATCTGATCACGCGAACTTTGAGAACAAGGACATCCCGAATATGTTCTTCTTCACTGGGTTGCATGACGATTACCACACTCCAGACGACACGCTCGACAAGATCGACATTGAAGGTGCGGCAAGGATCGCGATGACGGTTTCGGACATCGCTTTTGGAGCCGCGATGACGAGCGAGCCATTCCTTCATACGCGTGATACTGGGACCAGGTCAGACGAGGAGCAGGGGAACTCGCAACCCAAGGTCAGGATCGGGATCATCCCGGCGGACCACACCAAGGGCGGTTTGCTGATTCAGCGTGTCTTCGACGAGACCTCCGCGAGCGAGGCGGGGCTCATGCAATATGATCGCGTCACGCACTGGAACGGCGAGCGGATCAAGTCGGTTGAGTCGTGGTCACCTGTGCTTCTTGAGCATGAGCCGGGCGATGTGGTGAAGCTGACGGTGGATCGAGGTGGGGATGTGATCGAGGTCGAGATGACGCTCAAGGGCATCGAGTAATAGGACTCCTATAATCCTCCATGGCCTCAAGCAAAGCATCCAAACCTGAACTCGAAACCGTCGAGCCGATCGGCGCTCGTGTCCTGATCCGCAAGGACGAGGACAAGAAGCAGACCTCTAAGGGCATCCACCTCCCTGACAAGATCGAGATCCCCACCATCACAGGGCGCGTCGTCGCGATTTCCACTCAGGTGGACAACGATCCGGATTACCCCATCCGCAACTACGATCGGATCCTCTTTAATCCCAAGCACGCGATCCCAGTGGACTTCGAGGGGGATAACCGTCTGTTCGTGATCCCGGTCGAGGACGTCGTCGCGGTGTTCCGCAAAGACGGCTGACGCGATGCCGTTCCCTGATCCATCTCAGCTTTCGATTGACACGCTCCCTGAGCAGCTCTCGCTCCCGAGATGGTCGCGGGGAGTTGGGCGGTCATCGCTGGATGTAACGATCCGTCCTCCCGGATCCAAGAGTTTAACGAATCGGGCGCTGTTGCTCGCGGCGATCGGTCCGGGGGAATCGACGATCAATCACCCGCTCATCGAAGCGGACGATGCGCACCGGATGCTCGCGGCGATCCAGCAACTGGGCGCCAGAGTCGAGCACGATGAGCACTCGGTCCGCATCACTGGGACCAACGGAAAGCTGCTGGTTGATCCCAGCAACAGCACGATCAATCTCAACAACGCGGGCACGGCGACGCGGTTCCTCTCGGCAGCGGCGCTGCTCGCGGATGGGCCGATGACGATCACTGGGAACGAGCGGATGCAGCAGCGCCCGATCCGAGAGCTCGGGGATCTGCTCACCACGCTGGGCGCGACAGTCGAGTATCTCAAGGACAACAGCTGTCCTCCGATCCGGATCACGCCTCCGAATGACCTGTCGTCGATCCCGACGACGGTGGTGATCCAGCCAACCCAATCGAGTCAGTTTGTCTCGGCGCTGATGCTCATCGCGCCGATGCTCCCTAATGGACTGACGATCACGCAACCCAACGGGATCACCTCCGAGAGCTACGTGCGGATGACGCTCGAGCTGCTCGATCATCTCGGTGTGCAGACGCAGCATTCAGGTGACCTATCAGTGATTCGGATCCAGCAAGGGATGGATCGCTTTGTCCTAGATATTGAGCCTGATGCATCGGGCGCGACCTATTGGTGGGCGGCGGGCGTGCTGCTCCCTGATTCACTCGTCCGCGTGCAGGGGATCGATCAGCGCCAGAGTCAGCAGGGTGATGCACAATTCCCGGAGCTGCTTGAGCAGATGGGATGCACGATCGTGACTGGTGAGGACACGATCGCGTGCCGAGGGACGAGCTCGCTGCGTCCCATCATGTGTGATATGCGGGATATGCCGGACGCGGTGATGTCGCTCGCGTCCATCGCGTGCTTCACAAAGGGAACAACGATCATCCGAGGCGTCAAAACGCTCCGCGTCAAAGAGTGCGATCGGATCGAAGCGATGAAGACCGAACTCGGGAAGCTCGGGGTGACCATCGCGGACAACCTCAACGGCGACGAGGACACGCTCTCGATCACGCCTCCTTCAGATTTCCGATCCCCAGAATCTCCGGTCTACATGGACACCTACGACGATCACCGGATGGCTATGTCATTGTCACTGCTTGCGTTGCGCCTCGACAACATCGTCATCAACGATCCCAAGTGCGTCGCGAAGACGTATCCGGGGTTCTATCACGATCTTCGCCGCGTCTACGATCCTGCTGAAGTCGTTTGAGCGGGTTTGATCGCGGTTTTGAAGTTGTGTTTGCGGCGATCCCGGCTGTGCTGTATGGTGAAGAATCATGATTCAATATCTCGATATCCTCCAACGCGTGCTCAAAGAGGGCACCCCCTGCGATGACCGGACCGGGGTTGGGACGCTGTCCATTTTCGGTCATCAATCCAGCTATTACCTTGATCCCAACGCGCCGGGAGCGATCGAGCACGAGATCAAGACAGGACAAGCCGCGGGCTTCCCGATCATTACGACGAAGAAGCTCCACCTGCGCTCGATCATCCACGAACTGCTCTGGTTCCTCAGCGGCGACACCAACATCAGCTACCTCAAAGAGCACAACGTCCGCATCTGGGACGAGTGGGCCGACGAGAACGGCGACCTGGGTCCGGTCTATGGACACCAGTGGAGATCATGGGCGAGCCCCGACGGATCGACGCTTGATCAGATCACGAACCTGATCGACGGACTCAAGAACAACCCCCACTCCCGTCGGCACATAGTCACGGCGTGGAATCCGGCGCAGGTCGATGACATGGCGCTGCCCCCCTGCCACTGCTTGTTCCAGTTCCATGTCGCGAGGTCCAAGGACAAGGGACCCGATTGGCTCTCGTGCCAGTTGTACCAGCGTTCGGCGGATCTGTTCTTGGGGGTGCCGTTCAATATCGCGTCCTATGCGCTGCTCACCAAGATGGTGGCGCAGGTGACGGGATTGCGTGCTGGGAAGTTTGTGCACACGCTTGGTGATGCGCATATCTACCTCAATCACCTCTCTCAGGTCGAGGAGCAGTTGGATCGCGATCCGAGACCACTCCCGAAGATGTGCTTGAACCACGAAGTGCACGACATCTTCGGATTCAAGTTCGAGGACTTCGAACTCAAGGATTATGACCCCCATCCGCATATCAAAGGCGTGGTCGCGGTCTGAGTGGAATCTGCTGAAATTGTGCTGAACTGCCGATAGTTCGGTATGCAAAACCCACAGAATCAGCCGTCGCAGGAGAAAATCTGGATCCACTCTCGGTATCAATCGCAGTTTGATTTACTCGGCGCGATGTCTGAGGAGCTACTCGAAGCTTTTAATGCGAAAGGGTACAACGCAGAGATCTTCAACCTCTCTTGCGATCACATGCCCGCCGATGGGACACTGTTCTTCATGAATACCGGGAACTCGCTTGAGGGGCTTCCGCCGGGTTTGTTCTCACCTGATTCGCAGATGCGTGCGATCCAGTACTATGTCGATCATCCGTTCGGGTTGTCCGATGGCTCGATCGATCAGTGGAATCGGACCAACTCCTTGTCGAACTATCGGCTCGCGTTACCTTGTATTGATGACACGCACTTGCTCCGATACCGATTCCCGAATCTCGTGCACGCGTTCATTCCCCACGGCATCCCACGTTCGGCGCTGTGTGATCTGGATTCGATGACTCCTGATAACTTCGCGAATCGCGAGTTTGATGTCGTGGTTACCAGTTCTGTGCGTCCGCAAGAAGAGATCGATGAAGCGATCGCGGCAATCAAAGATCCTGGAATGGTCCAGTTGATCAACTCGCTCGCAAACATGATGATCCGCGATCCGCAGCTCGGATATGTCGCCGCGTGCGATATCGCGCTGGGATCACGCGGGATCATCACTGGGAAGTGGACCACACAGAAGCACCTCTGGAATCTGGTCATCGCGATTGTGAATCGATTCCGTAGGATCGAAACAGTCAAATCGCTCCAGGGACTTAAGGTTGGTGTGTTCGGATCAGACGAGTGGGCGAAGCACTGCAGCGGGACAATCAAATACGCCGGACAAGCGACCTACGCGCAGTGCGCTGATGCGTTCAGCAGAGGTCGGATAGGGCTCGCGTGGGGACCGACGCAGTTTGTGCATTCGTATTCCGAACGCATCATGCAAGCAATGGCGGGAGGTGCGTGCGTCGTCGCGGATGACCGATTGATGGTTCGGAAAGATTTCAATGGCACGATGAGCACAATGCAAACAGAACTCACGGCGACCTTGTTTGATTGGTCAGGAAATAACCTACACAACGCTCGCGAGAAGATCGACGAACTGCTCGCGCAATCCGATGTCGCGCTCGAACAAGCACGCCGAGGGCGTATCCATGCAGAAAACACATGCTTGTGGGAGCATCGCGTGGATCAGATGTTTAATCTCGTCGATTCGTGCCCGCGTCCTCAGACGCAGCCGGTTTGATCAACTGCCCATCTCGTCGATGAACGAGTTCGCTTCATCGATGGACGCTTCCATATCCGCGATCAGTTGTGCGATCTCTTCTTCAAGCTCAACAAGCGTGTCGTCGAGTGATGCGATGGCTCGTGCGTTGAGGTTGTGCTTGAGGAACAGCACCTGATCTCCGAACGCCGCAAGGACCGGTCCCATCTTCGATTCCGCGGTTTTCATCGCGCGGAGCACGCTGTTAAACGCTCGGCGTGTCTCGTCGAGCTGCTGCTCCGAGGCGCTGCGGAGCGATTCGGTCGAGTACTCTTCGAGCTCCTCTTCCCATTCCTCGAACAACGCGTCGCCCACACGCTCAACGGACTTGATCTTGGATGACACCTTGTCAGCGCGGCTTTCAGCACGCTCGTACTGCTTCTTGAGTCGTGAGTACGCGTCTTCGAGTTCGCCGCCATCGAAGTTGGTGAGGGACTTGAGTTCATCGAGTGTGGTCGCGAACTGCTCTTTCGCGTTCTCTTGAGCATCGCGTGTCTCGTCGACTCGATCGACGAGCTGCTCACGCTTGGGAGTTCCCAAGGTCTCGCGCACGGCGATCCCTGTCGAGGCGCATCCCGTCATCGCTGAACCAACGACCAATGCTCCCAACACCATCCCAGTCAACACGACTCGTTTGCTCAACATGATTCGCTCCATTGAAAGAAACACGGAGGCCATAGAGGCCTCCGTGCACTGTATACGAATCTGGTTGATTTCGCCAGTTTATCGACGGCGACGCACAGCCGCGAGACCACCCAACGCGAGGACACCCATAGCGCTTGGGGATGGAACGACATTGATCGCGAGCGAGAGCTCGGTGATGTCTTCACCAGTCTGCTGGACCCAGAAGGAGTAATCCCCGGCTCCGAGCGAGGTCAGACCGCCGGTCAACGCACCGATCGATTCGGTTCCGACGACCGACATATCAGTGAGCACGAATCCCTCCAAACCTGGACCAACAAAGGTATCGGGATCGAAATCGAAAATGTTGTCGAACGCGAGACCGACAAACGCCGTGCTGTCGAAGCCGCCGGCTGGGTTGAACGCGTCGGTCACGACGATCGAGTCGATCGACTGTCCCGCACCGATGGAGAAGGTGAAGTAATCACGATCCCCTCCTGGGAGTGCGGAATCGACGACCTGCATCGTGACGGTGTTGAGGCCGTTGTCGACGCTGATCATCGTGGGGTTGAAGCGATCTCCGGAGAGATCGCCGTCGATGGACTCGTTGTAGACCGAAGCGGCGGCGGTCGACGCGACAAGCATCGCCGAGCTTGCAATTACTGATTTAATCATCCTGTTTTCCTCTCTCTGTAGATAGACACACAGCCGGGAGAAACCCCGGCGACTGGGGATTTATTCGCGGAGGGGAGGGGATTGGATGCGAAAGATTTGGTTGTCATGTGAGTTCAAAAGCTAAACTAAGCACATTTATACCAGAATGCCTGAGGGGAATGGCTTTAAAACCGTAGAACAGGATATCTGCACTAGAATTAAAGTTCACTAGGCCTCACTCTACGCCTTCAATCCAAATTCACTTGAAGAAACAATTATAAAGCCACGCAGGAACTTCCCGTCCAACCCTACCATGGGGTCAATCACAATTTCGGATCCTTCCGTGAGGGAATCATTCACAAAATCGTCAAACTGCCTGTCATTTTGAATCACACGCAAATCATAGTTTTTGATTTGTTTACCAGACGCACTCCAATTAGCTAGAAATACAGGAATATCAAGTATGTTTGATATCAACACATCAACACCGCCGATTTTGAGTGGCTTGCCTGTTTCAGAATCTATAAATCTGCAAAGCGGCGCATAAAAATGCTTGGCTGGGTACATTTTTCCAATACTTGAAGTATACCGAACTACGCTCGCTGACAGACATTGTACCGGATTTCCTGCGGTTTTCGAATGTCTCAATATACCCGAATATGTTGAGAATAAATTTCCATCTGAAGAATAACAAGCGGGATCTCCTCCCTGAGCCGCAGAATCGAGATTGTCCAAGAACAATTCCACCTTCTTCTCAGCAGTTTCTTTGTCAAATCGATCTAATTTCCCGCGTGACATCAAATGACGGACTGTACCATCTTCCAACTGAACCTCGATACAGTAATCCCCATCTGTCCACCTTGCATTCTCTAGATTCCAGAGTATTGGTGTAAGCCCGTTATTGATTTGATAATCCAATCTCATAGATGCAAGAAACTGAGAACTGCACAAGAGCAAGCTGGACCATTCGTATATGTCTAATGTACCTAAATATGACTTTCCTTCATATGCAGGGATTCGCAAATGACCCAAAATACGGTCAGATGGTTTTCTGCACTTCCTATGCACAACCCCAACAGCATCTTCTTCATAATAATCAATCTCTACAAGTGGAGGCAGTTCCTCAGAAACCGCTCTCTCGCAATGCACACATCGATGTGGCTCTTTTCGCGCCTTAACTAATGCATTACATACTTCAGCGCGAGCTCTTGAAAATGACGTTTCATTCTCGTCTCTAGTAAAATTGGCACCCATCAAATTGATATGGCTAAAACTAGCGACTTCTTCTTGGATATAACCAAGTTCCCTTTCAAATCCTGTCCACGTCGATGCCCTAAGCAGTACCCTGCTTCCCTCGGCTTCACTCCCACCCCAGTAAAGCCTGTCTTCACTAAACTTAGTGCGGTAGTCACCTGATTCGCCGAAGCGATATAGCTCCAAAACAGAACATGCACTATCATCCTCCGGCCAATCAACCAAGACTATATCCACACCACATTGAACTACCCCTGATGCTACTTCGATAGCATGATCTAGATCATTGTGTTCACCCACAACCTGCTTGTATTCCGAGAGCTGCTGTTTTAATGCCTCTCGTGTAACACTACCTCTTTTTGCAGCATAAGAAAGACTAATTTTAACCAGTATCGACCATACTAAATCTGGTTCCGGAATAAACTGCTGTTGCAAAATAGTATATGCCGCCAGCAAAGAAGACTTTCCCTTATCAACATCGAGCTCCAGTACATAAACAGATTTGAGAAAATCAATGATCTGCCTATCCAATATGTCAATTGAATCATCTTGAGCAACAGACTGGATCACTTCTTTAAGCTTAGCTAGTACACCCTCCTGCTCCTTTGTACTAGGGTTCAAACTCCATGACTCATTATCCGAACGAATAGAATCCAAAAGCCCTTTCAATACATTTCGAATATTCCTAGATGCGTCTGATGTGGTCACTAACACATAGCTACTGTTGCCTCCAGATCCCTGATTGTGCTGATGCCAAAACTGGCGCACTGTCTTGTAAAAATCTGAAGCAATATCTGCCGACAAAGCCAATTGGCGTTTTATCTGGAAATAGGTAGTTACATGATCTTCATACTCAACAACCAAATCATCAATTGGATCACTAGATTCAAACCTTATTCTACTGATTGCAGCATTTGAACCAATACCGAGAGACTGCCGACACTGAAAATCGCAGCACATCGCAAACATAAACCAAGCACTGACATGTTGTTGATATTCAATACCTGAATTCGTGGCCGCCCCGCCTGAATTTGACTCGTCTGCCATCAGTATCTCCTTACGCACACCAAAAACGCTGTTGCAATAGACTCCCACAGGAGATTCTATTTCAACAGCTTCGTATGACAAAAGCAAATGACAAATATTAAGTTCGAGATCAGTCCATGTGGCTAATCACATCATCCCCAAACTCCGAGCACTTGCGGAGGGTTGCCCCTTCCATCAGTCGCTCGAAGTCGTAGGTGACTGTCTTCGCGCCGATCGCGCCGTTCATCCCCTTGATGATCAGGTCCGCGGCTTCGGTCCAGCCCATAAACCTGAGCATCATCTCTCCTGAGAGGATGACGGATCCTGGATTGACCTTGTCTTGGTTCGCGTACTTGGGTGCGGTGCCGTGGGTTGCTTCGAAGATCGCGTGTCCTGTGTCGTAGTTGATGTTCGCGCCTGGCGCGATGCCGATCCCTCCCACGCACGCGGCGAGCGCGTCGGAGATGTAATCCCCATTGAGGTTCATCGTCGCAACGACATCGTACTCCGCGGGACGCGTGAGGATCTGTTGCAGGAACGCGTCCGCGATGACATCTTTGATGATGATCTCTTTGCCGGTCTTCGGATTCTTGAGCGTGCACCAGGGACCTCCATCGAGGAGCTGGGCGCCGAACTGCTCGCGCGCGACCTCGTATCCCCACTCCATGAACGCGCCCTCGGTGAACTTCATGATGTTCCCCTTGTGCACGAGCGTGACGCTGTCGCGGTCGTTGTCGATCGCGTACTGGATCGCGGCTTTCACGATACGCGTCGTCCCCTCTTTGGAGACGGGTTTGATCCCGATGCCGCTGGTGTCTGGGAAGCGGATCTTCTCAAATCGGTCTGGGAACGCTTCTTTGAGGAGTGCTTTGAACTTCGCGTTATCCTCGCTGCCTTCCTCAAACTCGATCCCGGCGTAGATGTCCTCGGAGTTCTCTCGGAAGATGACCATGTTGGTCTTCTCAGGCGCTTTGACTGGCGAAGGCACGCCTTCAAACCAACGCACTGGACGCAAGCATGTGTAGAGGTCGAGGATCTGACGCAGCGCGACATTGAGCGATCGGATCCCCCCTCCGACTGGGGTGGTGAGTGGGCCTTTGATCCCGACGAGGTACTTGCGGAAATCCTCGAGGGTTTGCTCTGGGAGCCAATCTCCCGTCTCGTCGAACGCTTTCTGTCCCGCGAGGGTTTCGTGCCAATGCAGTTTGCGCTCGCCGTTGTATGCCTTCTCGACCGCGGCGTCGAAGACCTTGACCGATGCGTTCCAGATGTCCGGACCGGTCCCATCGCCGATGATGAAGGGGATGATGGGGTTTGCGGGGACTTGTAGGCCATCAGCGGTCATCGTGATGGGTTCAGCGGTGGTATTCATCGGGAGATCTCCGTATTGAGGGGCAAGGTGCGGTTTCTGCTGGTTTGATTCCAACTATAGGCGAATATGGATTTTGCTGCATCTATTCGATGAAACCTCAAAATCACCAACATGAGCAATGCACAAGCGTGATTTCCTATCATCGTAGATGAAATACACGACCAACTGCTTCCTGCTCATTGCACTCATGATCTTCTCAGCCGGCTGCGGAGCGACGCAAAATCGGACAAGCGACACTCCTTCCTCGACCGAAGCTCGATTGTGGGAAGATGTGCACACACTCACGACCCGATTCCCGAATCGCAACGCGACCAACCGCGACCAGCTCGCTCAATCAGGCGGATGGATCGCCAACCAGTTCGTCGCGATGGGACTCCAGGTCGATCTCGCCCCAACCCCAGCGCTACCGATCTCTGGTCGTCCGCAGGATATGAACATCATCGCGGAGATCCCAGGGACGACCAATCCCGACGAGATCATCGTGCTCGGAGCACACTACGACACCGAGGTCAACACCCCTGGCGCTGATGACAACGCATCGGGGGTCGCGGTGATGATCGAGCTGGCGCGTCGGTTCGCGGACAACCCACAGCCCCGCACGCTTCGGTTCATCGCGTTTACCAACGAGGAGAACTCCAACTCACGCGAAGCCGCGGGGAAGGGGCAGTCCAATGGGATGGGATCGCTGACCACTGCGCTGTCGTCAAAGATGAAAGGCGAGCACATCATCGCGATGCTCTCGCTCGAGATGCTGGGGTACTACTCCGATGAGCCCAACTCGCAGAAATACCCCTTCCCTCCCGAAACCGCGGCTCAGCTCGGGATGAACCTCCCCACCACTGGCAACTACATCGGAATCGTCGGACGCTTCGCGGATCGCCCGCTGATCACGCAGCTCGCTGAGTCCATGTCCGAAGCGGGCACCATCCCCATCGTCGCGGCCCCGCTCCCACCGATGGTCACCGCGATCTACCGCTCCGACCACGCGAACTACTGGATGCAGGGGTATCCCGCCGCGATGATCACGGACACGAGCGAATACCGCAACCCCCACTACCACAAATCCAGCGACACGATCGAGACGCTGGACTTTGTGAGGATGGCGGGATGTGTGGATGCGTTGGAGATGGCGGTTGAGTCACTCACGAACAAAAAGCACAGTGAACTAAATTTTACGGAGTGATACTGGCATACCTGGAAAAAACTTTCCGAGTAGTCGAAACAGCTTTGGAGCAAACAAATACGAGATGCTCAAACAAAGTAAACACACCACGAAGGTCATCCACGCGAAAGGCATTCCAACAACCCTGGCTGCAAGATAGTCGCGTTGCAAATAGTACCCAAGATAAAGAAGACTCCCAGGCAGCAAAACTGACAGCCACATCAAAAATCCAGAAACCAGCACAGTCAGAGCGAAGATTGGTATCTTTACCACAATGCTCGTTCCATTTAATAGCACTCGAAACAACAAACCGAGCGGCGGGCATATCAGCAAGAACCAGAACCAATCAGTCAACACAAAGAGATCAATGTCATCAAATATATCACGATCAGCTAGCATTCGTGACTGCCCAACCTCTTCCCACCAAGTTGGATTGATTTGCTCCCTTGGCCAAAATTCAAACTCATTTCCGTACTGGTCTTGGTCGATAAGGTACTCTTGATCTGATTCACTGAATACCTGGCTCATCTTTTGAGCAAATGGTTGCGCCGCTGCATACGCCGTTGATTGCCCCATTCTAATTAACGCAATAGACAACCCAACAACACATGTGATTAACAACACAAGCCATAGAGATCCAAGCGCGGAAACACTCAGCCATTGGACCAACCTCGAGGTAGGCAGCTGACCCGCTGGTTGCTGCTGCCCACACTTGGGACAACGAACAATCATCAAGTGATACTCTTCAACCAGATATGATTCCTGGCTAGACAAGTCGAACTGACAATTCGCACACTGCTGAATCTCTATCTGTGGATTCGTCGTTGGTTTTGTGGACATAAAAACTCCCGCCTTCATCCTATACGAAGACGGGCGTCGTCATTGTATCACAAATGCTTTGATCCCAGCTCAGCCTTTGATCCCGGCGACCTTCACCTGAGTGTAGCGTTGACGATGACCCGTCTTGCGTTGGTAGGTGCTCTTGGTGCGGAACTTGTGGATGTAGAGCTTGTCGCCCTTGACGACTGGCTCGGTGATCTCGAGGGTCACCTTCGCGCCGTCGACATATGGAGCGCCGAGCTTTGCATCGCCGCCGACGGAGCCGACCACGAGGACTTTGTCGATGTCGATTTTGTCGCCGGCTTTCGCTTCGCCGCCGTTGTAGAGATCGATGTAGATGGTTTCGCCATCGGTGACCTTGCGTTGTCCGCCGGACTCTTCGATGATTGCGTAGGTGTCTGCCATTGGAGGTGCTCCGTTCAGCTGCCGCGTGGGATCGGGGCGGCTCAATCGTCAAGCCGCTTTGACCCGTCTCACATCGGGGTCGAGATGATAGACCCCTGATGAGCGGAGGGAAACCTGTTGGAGCAAGGACTTATCGCTTCTGGGGACCGGATGGACTGGAATCGATATCCACGGCTTTGGGTTCTGCAGCCGCCTTCCGACCAATCAGCTTCCGGATGCACCTGAATTCGTTGCATGGTGAATCAGAACTCAGCAGCCCCATCGCCGCGGCGAGCGCGATCAGCATGAAGATCATCATCGTCCCAAACTCAGGTTGATTTGTCCAAGAAGCAACGGCAGACGCAAGCAGCATCGTCACAGCTATCCCAAGAGCGAGTTTCAATCGATTGGTACTCTTCATTCGGTGCCCTTTCAGGTTGCAATCGATTTGTATACCCACTTCCTAAAGCTCAGGATGCAGCTGAGGCTACGAATCCTGCGAGGCAGTATATTAAAGATTTATTGATCCGTTAATAGCCTTATTAACAGCCGGGCGATAAAATGGGCTTTAAATCTCTTTATCTGGATGAAAGGATTAAGAAATGGGCAATCATGTCGTGATCTTCGAGGCTCGAGGCGGTTCGGACAAGGGCGAGTACGGCTATCGCAAAGATTCCATGCCGATCGTCAAAGCGTTGCGTGAACGGAACTGGACTGCAGAAATCATCTTCTACGAAGACGAGCGTCGAGGCGAGATTTATCGCTACGCCGTGGACAAAGCGACGGCGTATATATCGCGGATCAATCCAGGGAATCTCGAAGACGAGACTGGGTACTTTCAGATGCTGCGTGAACTTGTATCCAACGGCGTCGAAGGGCTCCCCCACCCCGATGCGATGGTTGCGTATGGCGCGAAGAACGCATTATGCAAACTGACTGATACGAACTTCGTCCCTGACGACACCTACGCGTACTACGACTTCGAAGCGTTTAAAGAGCAGTTTCGGAAGAACATCCTTCAAGGAGTGCGCGTGCTCAAACAAAACCGAGGATCGACGGGCGAGGGTATCTGGCGCGTCGAACTCGTCGGTGATGTCCAACCAACAGAGAACAACAACGCGCCACACGACGCGATGGTCCGCTGCACCGAAGCGAAGGACAACCATGTCGAAGAACGCGAGCTTGGTGAGTTCATCGACTTCTGCGCCCAGTACATCGGAGGACGCAACGGCATGCTGATTGATATGCCGTTCATGCCTCGCATTGTCGAAGGCGAAATCCGTGTGCTCATGCTCCGCCGTACCCCTGTGTATGTCGTGCACAAAAAACCTGCGCAGACCAAGGACGCGTTCTCCGCGACGCTCTTCTCAGGCGCTCAGTACACATACCAGAAACCAGAGGAATGGCCTGAGCTCATGGAGATGGTGGACCAAAACCTCGACATGATGATCGACAAGCTCGGCGGATATTCCATCCCGCTGCTCTGGACCGCGGATTTCATGCTCGACAACGACGAGGAAGGCAACGACACTTATGTGCTCGGAGAGATCAACGCATCCTGTGTCGGTTTCACCACACACCTCGAACTCGCTGAGCAGATTGCGGACGAAGTGGTCGGGTTCATCGAAGCCGAGGACATCGTGAACAAACGCTGGCCCGCATTCCGTGTCTAGGACTGGTCTCGACCTGCACCCATAGAGCGTACAATCGCTCATGATGCAAGAAGAGCTTTATCAGGAAGTCCCCACCACCGCCGCGGATTTGCAAGCAGGTTCAGAGCAATCCGCGGACTTCCTGACGCAAGTTGTTCAGAAAGCCGAACAGGCGTGGGAGTTCTCATTTTCAATCGGTGAAACTCAGGTCTATGTCAAACAACTCATCATTGCCTTGGTGTGCTTTGTTCTGGGTCTCATCGTGTCCAAGATCATCGCGTATCGCATCGGCAACAAAGTCCTCCCCAAGCTAAAGGTCGAGTCTGGACCCGCGAGTGCGATCGAAACAATCCTCTACTACATTCTCCTGATCATCACCGCCATCGTCGCTCTTCAGATCGCGCAGGTGCCGCTGACGGTCTTTACCATCTTCGGTGGTGCGCTGGCGCTGGGTATCGGCTTTGGTTCACAGAACATCGTCAGCAACTTCATCTCCGGACTCATCCTGCTCATCGAGCGTCCGATCCAGGTCGATGACTTTGTCTCTGTCGGAGGTGAGACCGGCCGCGTCCTGAAGATCGGTCCTCGCGCGTCGCACATCCAGCGTTACGACGGCGTCACGGTCATCGTCCCTAACTCGCAGCTCCTCGAGGGGCAGGTTGCCAACTGGAACCTCCCGGACCGTCGCATCCGCTCGATCATCCCCGTCGGGGTCGCTTACGGCACCGACGTCGTCATGGTCAAAGCAACGCTCGAGAAACTCCTCGAAGACCACATCCGTGTCCTCGAGCACCCCGACAACCGCGTCCTGTTCATGGGATTCGGCGATTCATCGCTCGACTTCGAGGTCCACTTCTGGATCTCGCCAAGGTCTGTGTTTGACCGCCGTCAGATCGAGTCGGACCTGCGATTCAAGATCGACGAGCTGTTCCGCGAGAACAACATCACCATCCCGTTCCCGCAGCGCGACATTAACTTCAAGACCTCCCCACCGATCGCGGTCGATGTCGAGGTCAAGAGTTAACGCGATGTCGATCTGACAACACGGATTGGATCCGAATGATCATGCGGATCATGAGCGCGACCAAGCACGGCATGCGATCCATACTTCGATGAATCAATCGCGACCGATCCATCCCTTTCATCAAAGGTCCAGCACCCTCTCAAACGATCGTCTGAAAGATCGATGTCCCCCTGCATTGCCGTGCTGAGTTCTGTTGGCGAAATCGCGGTTGACCAAACACGAACATCATCAAGCAATCCTCGGAATCGAGCCTTGCCCAGCGCTCCCATGTACACCGGATCAAGTCTGGACGCCATCTCGATATCAGTTTCTCGGCGTTCAATGAGGACCCCATTGATATAGACCGAAACCCATCGCTCGTGCTGCCCCTGCACCTCTGTGCTTTCGTACACGCATGCGATGTGTTGCCAGATCCCAAGCGCCATATCGAAGCGAACAGACTCACGCTCGCCATGATCATCATCAACAAGAAACTCAAAGTGCGTCGGATGAATCCTCAACGACCACGCATCGCGTGCATCGATGCCAACAGACTCCTGCCCAACAATGGTCACATCATTCTTGTGCGGATAGATGACTGGCTTGACCCACAGTTCCAGCGTCCAGCCTCCCTCTCCGGGATACCGCATCGCTTCGCACGCCGGGACGGTGACGAAATCATCACGCCCATCAAGTGCCACTGCTCGATCCACGAAGTAGTCAGAAGACCGAAGCGAGTTCTGATGAGGCGCACGATCACAAGTAGTTGTATTCAACGCAAGAGCAACGATAAGTGCTGTGGTGTTCATGCACGGATTATCGACGCAACTCGCGCGGACCGCAAGCATGAATCAGTGCTTGTGACGCGCGCGTGACGCTCGCGTGACACAGCTGTGACATGCTCAACTGTAAATCAATCCTCAGCGAGCGCCTTGCTCTTGGCGATGCGTGCATCGCGCTTGCGGACCGACTCGTTGAGCTCAACCTTCCGCAATCGCACGGAGGTCGGGGTCAGCTCGACGTACTCGTCTTCCTCGATGTACTCAAGCGCCTGCTCCAGCGAGATGTCGCGAGGTGCCTTGAGCGTGACTGTCGCGTCTTTGTTGGCGCTGCGCATGTTGTCGAGCTTCTTGACGCGTGCGATGTTGACCGTGAGGTCGGTGTTCTTGTTGCACTCGCCGATGACCTGTCCGGAGTAGACCTTGTCACCTGGACGCACGAAGAGCACACCGCGATCGTGGAGGTTCTCCACCGCGTACGCCGTCACTGGTCCCGTCTCCGAAGCGATCATCACGCCGCAGTGTCGCTTTGGACGCTCGTCGGTCGCCGGGACCATCTTGAGGAACGTATGGTGCATGATCCCCTGCCCCTGCGTCGCTGTGAGCACTCGGCTGCGAAGACCGATCAGCGCCCGCGAGGTGATCTCGAACACACAGTGGGTCAACCCATCGCCGCGTGCTTCGACCTTGACGATCTCGCCCTTGCGCTCGCCCACAAGCTGCATGACCGCACCGACGCTCTCGTCGGGAGTATCAATCACCAGCTCTTCGACCGGTTCATGCTTGATCCCATCGATCTCCTTCTCGATCACGATCGGACGACCCACGGCGAGCTCATACCCCTCGCGGCGCATCGTTTCGAGCAGGATCCCAAGGTGCAGCACGCCGCGCCCTGAAACGACGAACTCGTCCATCGTCCGTCCCGTCGAGACGCGCAACGCGACGTTGTGCTCAAGCTCGCGATCGAGACGCCCCTTGACCTGACGCGAGGTGACAAACTCGCCCTCTTGTCCCGCGAACGGCGAGTCGTTGACCTTGAACGTCATCGAAATCGTCGGCTCATCAATCGCGACCCGCTGCATCGGTTCCGGATGATCGGGATCACAGATCGTGTCTCCGATGTCCAATCCCTCAACACCAGAGATCGAGCACAGGTCTCCCGCGCCGATGAACTCCATGTCCTTCTTCCCAAGACCCACGAATCCCTGGAGCGTGACGATCTTCGCTTTCTTGGTCGTGACGTTGCCCTCTTTGTCCTGCTTGACCAGCGCGATCGGTTGTCCCGCGTGGATCGTCCCCTGCGAGACGCGCCCGACGCCGATGCGTCCGACGTACTCAGAAAAACCGAGCGTCGTGATCTGCATCTGCAGCGGTTTCTCTAGATACACATCCGGATGGGGCACATGCTTGGTGATCGCCTCGAACACCGGACGCAGGTCGGTCCCCTTCGTCTCCCCATCCCAATCGTCCACGGCCCACCCATCACGCGCCGACGCGTACACCACTGGGAAGTCCAAAATATCATCATCCGCACCCAGCGCGACGAGCAGGTCAAACACCTCGCCGATCACGCGATCCGGATCGCCATCGGGACGATCGCACTTATTAACCACAACGACCGGCTTGAGTCCGGCTTCCAGCGCCTTGGTCAGCACGAAGCGCGTCTGAGGCATCGGTCCCTCGTACGCATCAACCACAAGCAGACAGCCGTCCGCCATACGCAGCACGCGCTCGACCTCACCACCGAAGTCCGCGTGACCAGGGGTGTCGATGATATTGATGCGGTAATCCGTCCCCGATGGATCGTGGTACTGCACGGCACAGTTCTTCGACAAGATCGTGATCCCGCGCTCGCGCTCGAGGTCTCCCGAGTCGAGGATCAAGCCGTGCTGACCGCCCTCGAGTTTCTCGAGTTCACCGCTGCGGAAGTTGCCCGATTGTTTGAGCAGATTATCGACGAGCGTGGTCTTGCCGTGGTCGACGTGCGCGATGATCGCAACATTACGAAGGGTCGTAATCGTGGTGGTTTCAGATGCCATTGGTGGTTCCGGATCAGGTCGATGGTGAGCCGAGGGTTTTAACCCGGCTACCACCGGATCTCCTTGGTCCAAAGTCTAGACCGATGACGCCTATCAATCGGGGACTCCGCACAGTTTCAAGCATCAAAGCCGGATCATTTCAATCCTGTGCCGGCTCGATCCGCACACTCCCACGCAGCGCCCCACGCTCCTGGACCACTTCCCAGCGGACGAACCCCATATCGTTCAATCTCGCGTCCCCTCCCATCCAAGGCGAAGCCCCAAAGGATTCCGCCAGCGCACTGATCCGAGCATACCCCTTGAGAATTACAGCACTCTCAACCGCACCCCCACCAATCGCATCGAGTGAAGCGACAAGCTCTGAGATCGATCGGACACGCCGTGAGGTCTCAGTATCCGCGTCCGCGAAGGAAAAGATCAGATCTGATGATGTGCTCCGCTGGGATGTGAGCCAAGAGACATTGCCCTCGAGTCCCTGTTCATCGATGATCTTGTGCGATCGCACCGCCTTGGGGAACAGTCCTTGGTACGATCCGCCGCCTTTCTGAGAGACTTCTGGGAATCCAGGAGAATCCGAGAAAATCATCGGCTCGATGATCGCATCCATGCTCGTCGCATCGACGACCGCTTCATCAAAAATAGAGAGCATCGTCATCCCCATCGAGTCGTTTCCTCGATGGATTGAACGAAGATCGTCACGATCGAACACCATCAACGCCCCGTTGGGTTCGAGCACTGTGCCTTGCTGTTTTTCGATGTCATCAGAACGGAGCAGGATTGATAGCCCCTCCTGCTCATCGAGCACTAAATGGAAGATTCCCGCGGTCGCCATCGCTCCCACCACATCTTCATCAAGCGCATCGAGCATCCCAGTTGGCGCAACGCCTTGGATCTTGTCTCCGCTGAACGGCATCGCGAGTTCCATCGCGACGCCATCCTCACTCAATCCCATAAACACTCGCACATGTGATGCACCACTTCTTTGACCACCACGGACCTGCTGAATCCAGTTGTCCGCACGAATACGCAGCGCCAGAGACCAGTTGTCATCCTCTCTCCACATCGGGATGGGTTCATCACCTTCAGCATGCTCTGCGTCTTTCACAGACAATAACACACGCTCAAGCAGATCCCGCCCACCCTTTGGACACAGCAGCAATCGCCCCGCTCGGTCATCGTTTGGATTCAGCATTACCAGCGCGTAGCGTCCCTGCTCGATGCCGTAGACCGCGACTCCAGAAACAATTTCTCGTGGGATCGGCTTGAGCCGCTTGCGCAGAGCTGAAAACGCGTCATCCCCACCAGAGACTTCTCCCATGAGTACCCAGTTGGTGTCCGCTTTATTCACCATCATCATTGGGTTGTCGGTATGCTCGATCAGCGAATCAACCACAACTACCACACGCCGTGACAGCAGTTGCTCGATCACACCGTCCGCATCCGTACCAAGTAAATCAGCAATCGATCCCCACGCTTGCCTTGTCTTGCTGAACATCCCGATGGACCCAATAAACCCACGCGATGCTTGTCCCTCATCACTTAAAAGCGCTCTTGCTGGATTATCCACCACAGCGACAAGATCGATGTCCTCAGGGATCGCATCAATCAAACCCCAAGGCTGCTCCTGCTGCGCTTGCGCAGCTCCGGTGCACAGGAGTACCAATACACAACTGATACGGAGCACTGTGGAGATCAGCTCAGAAATACTGTTGTTATGGAAGATCGGCGATGCACTCATCACTGGTAGATTCCAGCTCGACCCGTTCAGTGACTACCACGACCCCACGCGTCTCCTTTGCTCGCGAGAGCGTGCGCAGGCCATCATGCGTATTGATCAGCATCTGACCATCCCCGCCGTATGAAACAAGTGTCAGCGATCGATTCAACTGTGCGGGGAATCGATTGATCTCCGTGTCCGTACGCACCATGACACCCGAAGCACGGAGCGCCGCGAGATCGGCCTCGCTCAATCGCACGACTTGATGGTTCAGTGTGAGGGTGAAGGTCTTCGTTCCGCTTGGTTTCGGAGCCGCAAGCAACCCCTCAAGCGGGGAAAGCGACGCACGCATCTGCGCAACCTGTGATTGCACATTCTCAGCGACACGCTGTGTGTCCTGCTCAACCGCCGTCGCGACATCATGGACAGGAGTCGATTGCGCCCCGATCGTGGTCAGACGCGGATACACACTCTGGAGTCCCGCGACGAGCATCAATCCGAGCAAGATCCCTGCCGCGATCGCCATGCGTCCAGTGCGGACCCAGCGGCGCATCGTGCGAGGAATAAAACGCTCATGCTCGTCGAGTCGATTCAGCACAGCGCACTGCATATCAGGCATCGGGATGTCATCAAGATTCATCGCACGAACAGCGTCCGCAGTCTCAAGAAGCTCAGCGCGACGCTCGTGATCGTACTGGAGTGCGTGCGCGATCTCTTCTTGCATGCGATCGCAGATCTCACCATCGAGCGCTGCATCGATCAGCGACTCTGGGATCCGACCTGGAATCCGCTCATCAAACGACTCGTGATCCTGCCCCCGATTCATGCGAGCACCTCGTCACCAGTCTCGTTGAACGCTCCACCGAAGTGGTCCTTGTACAACGATGCAAGCTGCTTGTGTTCCTTGAACAGCACACGCAAACGACGACGCCCACGATGGAGATGGCTCTTAACCGTCCCCTCAGGCATATCCAGATGCGAAGCGATCAACGCGATCGGCCAATCCAGCTGATGGAACAGCACGATGATCTCACGCTGCTCAACAGACAAATGCATTAGTGCTGATTGGATCGCGTCTTTCTGGGTCGTCGAGCGTTCATCCGAATAGGTCGACGCGTCAGGCATTGTCCCCTTGCCTCCCATCGACCCAACAAAGTCCGTGTCATACGCGGGTTTGGATTTGGCAACCGCGTTCATATACAGACGCCGAGCGATCGTGAAGAGCCAGGTAGAGAATCGGAAGCGGAAATCGAAGCGATGCAGATTCGCAAGCACGCGCACGAATGCTTCTTGAACGATGTCCTCAGCCGTCTCATGACGACCTGACATCCGCAGAATGTATCCATAGACCGATCGCTGGTGAGCTTTGATCAGCTCACCCGCGGCTGCCCGCTCGCCGGCGATGGCCCGCTCGATTAGATCTCGTTCTACGGCACGATCCATGCGAATTCGCTCCCATCATTGGGTCCCGGCCTGCAGACCGGTACCACCACTATACAGAGACACCCGGATTCGGATGCACACTAAATCGAACAAACGCCCCATCTCATTGGAAATTACGCGAAATCGATTCCAATTCCAAACATTATACAAACAAACCCTGCGTATACCAGTCAGGCATACGCAGGGTTGGAGAGAGATTTGTATTGGTAATGACCGCTCTGGTTACGCAGCCTTGGAGATCGGGGTCTTGCGAGTGCGTCCCACAGTCCGCTGTTCAGGAGTCGCGCGGATGTCCGCATCGTCGATCATCGCATCGACCAGCTCGAGCGGATGCGATGCCCAAAGGTCGGCACCGATCTCTTCCGCGAGTCCTTCCGCACGATTGAACACCCCACCACCCACGACGATCTGCGTATTTGGACAGGCGCCGATCTCGTGGAGCGCGTCGATTGTCTCGCGGATGTCAGGCAGATCCGCAGGATTTGAACAGAACATCAGCAGGACATCTGGACTGGATTCTTGCACTGTCTGGCGCACCTCGTCCATCGGGACGCCGCCACCAGCGAAGCGGACACCAAAGCCCGCAGCTTCCAGCAGGTCCACGGCCATCTGGGCACCAAGCTCAGATCCCTCACAAGTGCCGCAGCATGCAAAGACATTCCGACCAACCGGCTCAGCGTTCGATCCAGCGATGAGTGCTCGCGAGGTCTGATCCACGAGCACGCGGAACAATCGTGTCGAGAGGTTGTACGCGAGCGATGAGATCTGGTCTTCACGATGAAGCTTGTCGATCATCTCATAGGTCGGCCAGAACAGATCGGTCAGCATCAACTCGGGAGACACTCCCTCGTTGAGTTGTTCATTCACGATGGAACGAGCCAAGGACCGGTTCCCTTCGACCAATGCTTCGAACAGACGCTCGCTCAGTACATGGACACTCATTTCAAACTTCCTCGTCGATGTGATTCCCTTCCGCCTGATCGGGGGTGGGATAGGTTGTGTGCACGGGCGACGACGCCGCGGCCCGAGCCCAAGCTATCGAACACAACGCCTCAACATCACAAGCACACCACCCCTCTGGCGCGTGTTTGTGCGCACCAACCCCGAAACCGCGTTCTGAGTAAATAAACGCCGTTATTCTGGGACCTGATACGAATCTGAGTCCGAGAATGTGCAAATCTGCTTCAACAATCAATAGAAACTAGGGGAAAACGCGGATCCGATTATGCCGGCTTCACGCCCGAATAACACGCACAGATACCCATCGTGAGCCCACGGACCGCTAGATTTTCAAACCCGGCGTCCCCCATCGCGTCCATCATCTCCGATCGAGTCATGAAACTGGTCACTGATCGAGGCAGATACTTGTACGCGCCTGAGGTATCCCGAGCGATCCAAGTCGCCGTGCGAGGCATGATCGTCCCGCAGTACACCCCATTGAACCAACGCACCAGCGGATTGCTCGGCTGATCAAACTCCAAGATCACCAGTCGTCCGCCCGGCTTGAGCACGCGATAAAACTCCCCGATCGCTTTGCTAGGCTCTTGCACATTCCGAATCCCGAACGCGATCGACACCACATCAAACGACTGATCGTCGAATCGCAGGCCCATAGCATCGCCTTGTTCGTAGGACAATCGATTCCCGAGTTCTCGATGCAATCGATCCTTCTTATGTCCCGCGATTTCGAGCATCCCCTCCGTGAAGTCCACCCCGATGACCTCGCGTGCTCGAGAGCGTTTCGCGAATGCTTGCGTCAGATCCCCAGTCCCGCACGCGACATCGAGCACGCGATCTCCAGCATTGACTCCCGCGCGTTTTACTGCATGCTTGCGCCACGCTTCATCGCGCCACATGGAATGGACGCGATTATTCAGGTCATACGAGCGAGCGATCGCGTTAAACATCGCACGCACTTTGACGCTTTTTTGCTCGTTCTCGTGCAGATCAGACAGCTCAGCGTCCTCCCACGCACGAATCACGGCTTCATCGGGTTGTGTTTGCACTTCCGTCATGACACAATGAGTGTAGACTTCGACAGTCACCCACTCGCAGATGCCACGGAGATTCCAGATGAACCGTTTATTCAAAGCTTTGCTCACTTGCACACTCCTCGCGATGATCGCCGCCCCCCTTACAGGATGCTCCGTCAATCCCGCGACCGGGAAGCGGTCCTTCACGCTCATGTCGTGGGAGAAAGAGAAAGCACTGGGACTCGCCGCGGCTCCGCAGATGACCGAAGCCTTCGGTGGCGCTGTCCCCGACGCCGCCGTGGGTGACTACGCGTGGGAAGTCGGCGCCAAGCTCGTGACCGGCATCGAATCAGGTGTCCCCGATCTGGACTGGGAGTTCACCGTCCTCAACTCCCCAGTCATCAACGCGTTCGCGCTCCCAGGAGGCAAGGTCTTCATCTCCCGAGGACTCGCCGACAAGCTCGAATCTGAAGCCGAACTCGCAGGAGTGCTCGGACACGAGATCGGACATGTCACCGCACGCCACTCCAATCAGCAGATGTCCGCGCAGCTTGGTCTGAACTTCGCGATCGGCGCCGCCGCCGTCGCGGTTGGTGTTTCCGATCCCGATTCTGATGTCCGCAAATACGGCCAGCTCGGACTCCCAGCCGTCGCTGTGGGGTCAAACCTGTTCCTGCTGAAGTTCGGACGCTCCGAAGAACTCGAAGCCGACATGCTCGGCATGCGATACATGGCGCGCGCCGGATACAACCCACGCGGACAACTCGAAGTCATGCAGATCCTTGCCGATGCATCACGCGGTACTGATCGTCCGCCTGAATGGCTCTCAACCCACCCACTCCCCGAATCACGCATCGATCGGATCCAGGACTTGCTCGCCGGTGAATACGCAACAACGCAAGGCAACCCCAGCTTCGTCGAAAGACGCGAAGAGTATCGCACACGAATGCTCGATCGACTCGACAACCTCCCACCAGCGCCAGCACCGACCCCGCAGGAACAAGCACAGGCCAACGCGTACATCAACGCGATGCTCTACTGCCAGCACTGCCGGGAAGCGGTCAACTAAAGCCGTTCTTCAACACGCTCGATGATCACGCGATAGTTCTCGCGATAGAAGCGTGTGTACTCAATCTCCAACCGCTGCTGACGACCAGGCTCGCGCCACGCATTCCGCACAGTGCGATAGGTCGCTTCGGTGAATGGCACCATCTCACCATCGATCTCCGTCTCAGGGAACGCGAAGAACAACTTATCCAGCTCCGCGATCTCGTCATCGCTGAACTCGCCCGATGCCTTCGCCTCTCCCAGCGCGTCGTACGCTGCGCGGCAGTCCTCCGCGATATCGATCCCGAAGCACCCCATCATGACCTGCACCCCTGTACGCCACCCCGGATTCTCAACATCTGAAACGATCTCGAACGGATTGACCCGATCCATGAAGTACTCAAAGTACTTCTCATACATCACACGGCGCACAGGCATGCGCCGGAGTTCGCTCCACTCTGGTCCCATTGGCTCGCCGTTGGCACCCAACGGATTGTCCGGATTGTCCTTCGCAAACTGCCACAGCGCCTGCGCTTCTTCCGTCAGACAGTACCGAACGAATCGCTTCGCGAGTTCCGGATCGGGACCGCCGTTGATGATCGAGATCGGATCCGCATCCACATACACCGCGCCCTGCGGATCTTCGTACCCGACACGATCGCCTCCCCCTGAGTCCTTGATGACCTGCGCCTGACCGCGTCCATAGAAATCAATCGCGAGCCCCGCCGCGGCTTCGCCGCTCGAAACATCGATCGGGGGCTTGGTTGATGAGTTCGTGAAGTAACGCGTGTTGCCGCACATGCCTCTCAAAATACGCCAGCCGTCTTCCCAACCCTCATTCCCAAGGATCGAATCGAAAGTTGTCGTAATGGAACCGGATTGACGAGGATCCGCAAGCGCGATCCAGCCGCTGAGTTCATGTTGCGCCAGATCCCGAAAGTGCTTCGGGATCGGAAGACCGAGACGATCCTCGTACACATCCCTGTTGTACACAATCCCGAATGAGGAAAGAGCCGTCCCAATCCAGTACTGTTCTGGGTCATACAACTGCTGCGGCCCGATCACATTCTCCCCGAAGAGTTCATCAAGCTCTGCTTGCGTGAAGTCCATCGGCGCCGACTGCGCGACTTTGAGCTCCAGCGTCGTCGATTCGTTCTGCTTGACCGATACCGTCGATCCGCGTTTAAGCGCCGAGTGGTCGTACGACCCACCACCAAACATCACATCAAACGCGATCGCACCCGGCTCGAGTACCAACAGATCATCCAGCTCCCAGTTGTCCTTGTTCGCCTCGTACTGACGCTTGACCGCATCGGTAAACATCGCCGAGAGCTGCTTGCGGATCTCGGAGGTCCCCCCAGGAGTGCGGTAGTCGATCACGACCGCTTCGCCGTACTCACGCTCATGCCAATCACTGAACGCGTGAGCAAACTCATCGCGGATCTGAGGCACATGCGGCGTCACCACAATCAGCTTCCGAGCACCATCCGCGTGCATATCCGAACGCTTCGCGCCGCTCATCGCAAAGGGAACCCCAAGCACCAGTAACAGCAACACCGCGATCACAATCTGAGTCGTTCTCATGCGCAAGTCTACACGCTCAATCCTGTAAAGAATCTTCTAAAAACCCCTTTCTTGACCTCAGATCATGGATGAAGCCATGCTCAGCGGATTCCACAATCTCAACATATACACAATTTCCAATTCATCGGAATAACGATTGTTTACCATTGGTTAACAATACATCTCCGCTCAGAACATACAGGAAAAACACATGAACCCGACACGATCACTCATCCTCACGCTCGCACTCGCATCCAACACAGCTCTGGCGCAAGACTCAGTCACCTATGAGTTTGAGTTCGTTGCAGAATGGAGCGCCTTCAATCACCCAACCGCGTTCCCAGGCAACCCCCACTTCTCGCCCGTCACCGGCGCGACCCACTCCGATGCGATCAGCTTGTGGTCCACCGGCGGGATCGCTACCCCCGGCATCGAAGTCATGGCAGAAACCGGAGGCACCAACACACTCCGCAACGAAGTCCTCGACCATATCGACGATGGAAACGCCGACAAGTTCCTGCGTTTCGGATCGGTCCCACTCTCGCCCGGATCGACCTCGGCGCAGTTCACCGTCTCGAGAGACTTCCCACTCTTGTCGCTCGTCACAATGATCGCGCCAAGCCCCGATTGGTTCGTTGGAATCCACGACCTCAACCTCCTCCAAGACGGCCTTTGGATCGAAGAGCAAGTATTCAATCTCGACCCCTACGACTCAGGAACCGATGCCGGAGTCAGTTATACCTCTTCCAACGCCGATATCACCCCACACCTCCCGATCGCAAACATCGCCAACGAGTTCCCATTTACCAACACCCCACGCATCGGCACGCTCCGGATCACGCGGATCTCCGATGCATCGTGCTCTCTCGCGGATGTCGCCGAGCCGTATGACCAGCTCAACTTCCTTGATGTCTCCAGCTTCCTCGCTGCGTACTCCGCGAATGACCCATCAGCGGATCTCAACAATGACACCAACTTCAACTTCTCCGACATCTCGCTCTTCCTGAGCATCTACGCCGACGGCTGTCCATAACGAGTCTCTTCTACAAAAATCTACCACAACGGCATCAGCCCCGATCCGTCGGGGTTGGTGCTCTTTGACATCACACTCCGCAAAGCTGAACCCAATCGAACAAGCAGCCGTACTGTTGTGCATGCCCAAACCCGCAACGCGTAAAACAGAATGGAAGGACGAATACACCCTCCTCTGCGAACGCTGCGGTTACATCATCGAAGACCTCGACCACGCCCTCCCCTGCCCCGAATGCGGCAAACCCATCAGCGAATCACTCCCCGAACGACGCGTGGGTACGCCGTGGCAACGTGATCGTCGCGTCACCACACTGATCAAGACCTGGTACTTCACACTGAGACACCCTATCCGCACTCTTGACATGATGTATGTTGGCAGACATGTCTCAGATTCCGGTACGATTCACGCTCTGAAGTTCGCCACTATCATTTCAACCATCATCGCGATAGTTTTCAATATCCCTTTCTTGAACAAAGAGCGATGGGTTATCGATCTTCTGTTAACCGTTCTGATTAGTCCCATCGTTTGTCTATTTGCAGTGGGCATCTTCTTCGCATTAACCGCAACTGAGCAGTTTGGATTGAAAGTAATTGGTCGATCGAAGGGCTTTCGAACTACAGAACAAATTGCTCAATCGATTGTGAATCATGCGTGTGTAGGATGGTTTGTTCTTGGCGTCCCACTTGCATGTGGGTTTCTGATGAAGATGCTAGCAATATCGGCATATGCGAACAGCGATACTTGGAGATCAGGATACGCTTGGATCGATGAGCTCAATAGCCGCGCGAACTTCATACTCCTCTTTGGCTGGATTCCAGGCTTCTTGATCTTCGAAACCTTCGCCTACCTCGGACTCCGCCGCTGCAAATACGCCAACCGTCCGCGACCAACAGACCAGCCCCAGCCCTAGAATCCCGCCATGCAGCCCCCCGCCCCAACACGCCCAATCTTCCTCGGAGATGACCGAACCGGACGCTTCCAGATCGGAGGCGGCCTCCCCCTCGATCACCCCCTCTCCAAAGGGCTCACCCAAGCGACCACCCCCGCGCCAGTCTCCGTCCAGACGATGACCGCTGGATACACGCACGACATCGACAAGTGCGTCGCCGAGATCCACAAGCTCACCGCCGCGGGAGCGGATGTTGTGCGCGTCGCCGTCCCGGAAAAGAAGGACACCGAAGCACTCCCAGAGATCCTCGCGCAGACCACCGTCCCCATCGTCGCCGATGTCCACTTCCACTTCAAACGCGCCCTCGAATCCATCGAAGCCGGCGTCCACAAGATCCGCCTCAACCCCGGCAACATCACCGATCGCAAACAAGTCGAAGAAGTCATCGACGCGTGCAAGGAAAAGAACATCCCGATCCGCGTCGGAGTCAATGAAGGCTCCATCATCGAGCGCAAGGACAAGCAATCCCGCGCCAAAGAACTCGGCGCGATCTTCTCCGAAAACAAGCACGGCTACATGCTCGCGATCATGATCGCCAAACTCGAAGAATACCTCGACATCTTCTACGAACGCGACTTCTACGACATCGCGATCAGCGCCAAGTCCATGGACGCCGCCCTCGTCATCGACGCGTACACGGAAATCTCCAAACGCTTCCCCCACCCGCTCCATTTGGGCGTCACCCACGCGGGACCCAAAGAAACCGGATGCATCCGCTCCGTCGTCGCGCTGGGAACCCTCCTCGCCAACGGCATCGGAGACACCATCCGAATCTCCTACGCCAACGATCCCATCTACGAGGTCGAAGACGGACTCGAACTGCTCTACACCCTCGGCAAACGCGAACGCAAGGGCGCCGAGCTCATCGCGTGCCCCACCTGCGGCCGCATCCAGGTCGATCTCTTCTCGCTTGTGCAAGAAGTCAACGACAAGCTCAACGAGGACATCACCGTCCCTATGAAAGTCGCGGTGATGGGCTGCGTCGTCAACGGCCCAGGAGAAGCAGAGGGCGCGGACATCGCCGTCTTCGCCGGAGACCGCAAAGGCATCATCTACGTCCAAGGCGAGAAGGTCGCGACGATCCCCGAATCCGACATCCTCGACCGCTTGCTCGCTGAGTGCAAGGACTTCCAATCCAAGATCCTCTCAGGTGAAGCAAAGCTCGGCGAGAAGAAAGTCGACATCGTCCCCCCAGACCCAGAGGGAGAGCTCGGCTCAGGATGGGAAAAAATGGCCTCCCAGCGCATGGGACACACCGAGCTCACCATCAACAAATCCTGACGATTCCCGATCCGTCGCTGTGAAAGTCCGCACAAAATGTGCTACATTCTGACACGTTCAGGAGTTTCTCGCCGTGATCAGGATTCAACGCATCTCGATGGACCACCCCCTCTACGAGCAGGAGGTCGCGTTGCGCACCTCCGTGCTGCTCAAGCCGTTGGGGATGACCATCGAGGACTACTACAACATGGCACCGGGACGCGAAGAAAAGTGCGATCATTTCGTCGCCGTCATCGACCATCCGACAGGCGACAAGGTCGTCGGAGCCGCGACGCTCTTCCCTCCCCAGCCCGATTCCGACGAAACCTCAGGGAAAGTCCAGCAAATGTGCGTTGATCCCCAGCGACAAGGCGAGGGGATCGGGACCAACCTCATGATCGCGATGGAAGTGCGAGCATTCACCGAGCTCGCGCTGCCGGGACTGTACTGCCACGCGCAGATCTCCGCGATGCCGTTCTACGAAAAGCTCGGATGGGAAGTCGGTTCAGACACATTCCAAGAAGCCGGGATCGATCATAAACGCATGCAGATTGTCACCCCACAACCCTCCGAAACCTCCAAATAAACACACGCACGCTGTTTTTCTGAGCCCCAGAGCATTTCGCGTTGGTTTAGAATCGTTCTCAATGTAGAATGGGTTATGGTTTCCATAGATCACCACCATCACGACGATTGCACCCACGAGCACCTCGACGCGAAAGGGATCTTTGCCGAGCAAGGCATCCGTTGCACCAAGCCGCGTGTGCTCATCTACGAAGCACTCTGTAGCACCAAGTCCCACCCCACTGCTGAGCAGCTCCATCAGATCGTCAAAGATCAGGACGCCGGGATTAGCCTTGCAACGATCTATAACACACTCGAACTTCTTGTTGACCATGGTCTCGCTCGACGGATCGCGAATCGAGGGCAAGGCTCAGGCGCGAATCGATACGACGCCGACCAAGCCCCCCACTTGCACCTCGTCCTCAACGATGGTCGAGTCATCGACGCCCCCTCGAATCTCAGCAAACGACTCACCGATGCGATCCCCAACGAAGTGCTCCAACAGCTCGCGCAGCATGCAGGAGTACCAGCACTCAAAATCGAAATCGTTGAAGATACCGCAGCGGTTTAGCGCATTTCAGGCATCTGAACTCAGCTGCTCAGATTCGCGCGCACCGCGCTGGGACTCATGAGCACCCCAACCGGATGCACGCCGTCCCGCTCCGCAATCGCGCGCAGCGCCGATGCTTCCTTGCTGCTCAACCCGAGCTTCCTGCTCAGCGATCGGAACGCGAGCTCTCGCGAGTCCACACGCTGCTTTTTCAATCCGCGCATCCACACAACAACGATCATCGACAGCAACAGCACCAGCCCCCATAACGCCCATCGCATCAACCCGCCACTTTCGGTAGCCCCCATCGACTCTGGAATGAACAGCTCCGTCGGACCAATCTGCGCGATCGTCACCACAACCCAATCCGATGTGCTCCCGAGATTCATACCGCGTTCTCCTCAAGCACGCGCGCACGCTGCTGCACGAGCAATCGATGCACGCACTGATCCGCACGAGCTCGCACCGAATCATCCGCTTCGTGTCGAGTCATCTCGTCGAGAATCGAAACCAGCTCTCGCCATCCAACCATGCGATCGTTCGGCTTGCTCTCGAACACACGCTGCGCCGCCCACACTCCTGCGAGTCGATGCCCGACGCGTGCATCAGTGAGCATCCCGATCAGATCTTCAACCGCCGCATCAGCAACCTCACCTCGCTTGCTTGAAACGAGCATCCTTCTGATCGCGCTGGATCGCACTCGATGATGGTCATCCCCTTTGTACTCCATCAGCGTCTCGATCGGTGTGTGCACCGATTCAATCGCGTTGGCAACCACGCGCTGATCATCGCTCTCAAGACTCCGCAGAACCGCATCGCGAGCCGCGGCTGATCCGACTTTGCTCAGACCACGCACCAGTGTTGCCGCGAGTCGATCATCCAGTTGGTGGTCATTGGCGAGTGAGATCAGATCCATCTCAAAGCGATCTTCAAGACCCAGCGCCAGGATCATGTCCACCCCCCCAGCTCTGCGAGCAGGTTGGTGCAGCATCTGACGGATGAGTCGAACAAACTTCGCCGGATCACTCGCAAAGAGTCGCCGTGCCTGCAATCTTGACGACGGACTCGATGCAAGATCGATCGACAAACGCTCGACTTCCTCATCCGAGATCCTGCGGACCCACGCCGACGAAGAACGCTGATTGAGCCGCGCCGAGTTGAGCCGTCGTTCACACGATGCCGACCCCACCGTTGGTGTCGCCGTCCCCACCGAAGACCATCGCACCGCCGCGTGTCGCGCTACGCTTGCGTTGGGATCATACAGATAGTCCGCAAGATCAAAAGCATCTGCGACACAGCATCCATGCAATCGGATGTGCGCATCGCTGTCCGCCATGACGCGTTCAAGCAACTGCCTGCGGATCCCCGCATCCATGCTCAATCCAGTCACCCAGCGGATGTACCCACGCTTAGCGCCCTGATCGAGCTCGGTGTACTCTTGCTGACTCACAAAGGGCGCACTGTCTTCGAGCACCACCGTGCCATTTTCTTGCTTTGACGCGACGCGCACACGATTCAGCCCGCGTGCCCTCATCGGACGCACGCATAGGTGCATGTTATCGAGCACCGCGCGATGTTCCGCGATCGACTCCGCGATCTCCAGTCGCGCTGATGCGACATTTCCGATCGGATCAACCACCAACCACCGAAGCGCCCGCTCACGCAGGATCGGAGCCGCCGTCGTCCGCAGCACCGTCCGCATCGGCATGTGACTCGGATGATGCCGTTCGCTCAGCAGCCGACGCATCTTCTCGAACGCTCTGCGTTCCATCGAAGTGGCGCCCTGACGATCCATCAGCAGCAGCGACGCGAGCAACGGAGATCGGCAGCGATGATTCGAGAACGACCACGCCGCATCCGCGATCGCCGCGAGCATCGAGCACCGTTCAAGCTCCAGGATCGCGGGATCACCCAGCATCGGATTCAATTGGCGCTTCCGAATCGCGTCGTACTGCTCGCCGAGCATATCTCCATCGAGATGTCCGAACATGTCCAGCACCAGCGCGAGCAGCGTTCTATCAGCCGCGAGCCGCACTTGTTGATGTTCATCGCTGAGCATCGAGCAGACCATCACCCCAAATCCCGGATCCCCTGTATCCCGAGCGATGTCCAAAGCAATCTTGCGGATCCGTGCATCAGGATCTGCTGACAGCTGCTTCGTGACCGAAACCCATCGCGTGCGTCCGAGCGACAATGCGAGCTTGCGAAGATCAGTGGGAAGATTCTCCCAACCCGCCGCGAGCGCACGGAGCGCCATCGGCGCATAGCGAGCTCTCCAGCGACCCGACAATCCTGTGACCAACTCGATCGGTCCCATCCCTCGATCGTCGATCCGTTGTTGTCCATACCCCGCGATCTCGATGAGCCGAAGCGCAAAGTGTTGACATTCAACACCTTCCCCAACACGCAATCCCTCACCCAACGCCGCGACCTCAAGACGCAACGGCATCGATCGCGTATGCATCAGCGTATCTTCCAGTTGGATCGGTGCGTTCTTCAACAAACTCGCTCGCGTCAGGGATTCGTTCTGACCTACTCAGAAACTCGAAAATCTTACCCAATATACCATTTCTTGTGTTTGAATATCTTCAACACCTGCTATCTTGTATCAGTTACGGAAAATCAGTCCGATCTCCCCAATTTGGATTCCACTGGATTTTTCCCTTTAGCAATTCCAGTTGATCCGATAACATCGTCGGCTGAATCCCGCTTTTTGCGAGAATTTCCGAGGGACAATCTCACCCCAGATCGGGTCTCCCCCCAATTCACCCCGATCGACCGCATGGGAAGGAATCCATGGCGACCACAGTTCAGACATCCACACGACTCCAGTCGTACCAAACAACCCTCTACGCTCGATCCGTCCAACCCAAGCTCTATCAATGCGCTGATACACAGTCCATCATCCAGGACTACTACACCCTCTCCATGTCCATCATGCCCGGCGCCCACGCATGCACCTTCACCTCCGTCGACGGCTGCGCCACGGAAGTCGTCACCGATTCCCCCTTTGACAACTCCGAAATCGGACTCCTCGAATCCATACTCTGCTCAGCAGAAAAAGACATCGAGATCTCGATCCCGCGTACCAAGATCAACTACATCACCGCCGCTCAAACAGAGCAGCTCTCCGACCACATCTACCACGACACCTATAACGAGCTCGACGAACTCGCACGCGAGCAAGACGCCCTCACCCACCGCTGGAACGACCGAGTCGGCTCATGCCTCTCGATCGTGGACACCCAGAAGTTCGCCAACCAGATCCACTTCCAGAGCTACCACCTCATCGCCGCCGAGAACCTCGTCCTCCGCACCCAGTCGATCTTCGAGCTCAAATAACCGTCTGAGTGCCTATTTTCAGCGTTTTCTCTTGCTGCCAACAAGGCCATGGACGATCTTGTCGAGTATGCTTCTCACCATGAGCAACTTCTCGATCCCATCCGGACGAATTACCACGCCCCGCTGAGGGCCGATGCTGCCAATCCTGAGCCGCATCTTTTGCTCATAGCGGGGCCGCCGATCACCTCGGCCGACCTCCCCACCCAATCCCACACATATCATCAACGATTGACCCGCGACCGCTTCACGCTCGCGATCTGATCCACACCACGGATACCCCATATGACCGACACGACCACCGACAACAAGACCGACAAGCCAAACTACAAGAAGACCCTGAATCTCCCAAAGACCTCCTTCCCGATGAAGGCGAACCTCGTCCAGAACGAGCCCGCCTCGCTCAAACGCTGGGACACCCTCGCAGACAAGAAGGGCCTCTACCACGCAATGCAAGAAACCTCCGAGGGACGCAAGAAGTTCGTCTTCCACGACGGCCCCCCCTACGCCAACGGCTCCATCCACCTCGGACACCTCATGAATAAAACGCTCAAGGACCTCGTCGTCCGAAGCAAGTTCATGGCCGGATACCACTGCCCCTTCGTCCCAGGATGGGACTGCCACGGCCTCCCCATCGAGCACAAGGTCATGACCGACCTCGTCGAATCCGGGAAAGCCGCCAAACTCGACGGCCTCACCGACGACCAGCGCCGCACCGCCGTCCGCCGCGAGTGCAAGACCTACGCCGACAAACAAATCAAACTCCAAGCCGGTCAAATGAAACGACTCATGACCGTCGCGGATTACGAAGACCCCTACCTTACCTTCCTCCCACGCTACGAAGCGGGAGTCCTCGAAGTCCTCGCCGGACTCTGCGAACAAGGGCTCGTCTACAAAGCCCTCAAACCAGTCCACTGGTCCGTCGCCAACGAAACAGCCCTCGCCGATGCGGAGCTCGAATACCAGGACCGCGAAGACCTCTCCGTGTATGTCGACTTCGAAGCCTCAGACGCGACTGCGGTGTTCAACGCGTTCGGTCTCGATGAAGCCGACCATCCCGGCGCGACCCCGAGCTTCATGATCTGGACCACAACCCCTTGGACACTCCCCGCGAACCTCGCGATCGCGGTCCACGAGAAGTTCAACTACGCCCTCGTCCGAGTAGACGGCAACCTCACCGTCATGGCCGTCGATGCCATCGAACGAGTCACAAAACTCGCCAAGAGTGAAGAAGTCGAAACCCTCGCGACTACCACAGGCGACAAACTCGTCGGACTGTCCTACGCGCACCCGTTCATCAAGAACGCCCCCGCGCCGATCAACGACCCAGACGCCGACACCAGCAACTGCTACTCCGTCGTCCACGCCGACTACGTCACCCTCGAAGACGGCTCAGGTCTCGTCCACACCGCGCCAGGACACGGTGCCGACGACTACCAAACCGGTCTCCGCGTCGGTCTCCCAGTCTACTGCCCAGTCCTCGTAGACGGCACCTACGACACCACCGCACCCGATTGGCTCGTCGGCATGTCCATCTGGAAAGCCAACGACCTCGTCGCTCAGCGCCTCACTGAATCGGGACACATGTTCCACGCCTACAAGTTCAACCACTCCTACCCACACGACTGGCGCTCCAAGACCCCAGTCATCTTCCGCTGCACCGAGCAGTGGTTCGTCGCCGTGGACCAACCGACCAAACGCGACGGCCACTCACTCCGCGAGATGGCGATGAAATCCACCGGAGACGACCGCTCCGTCAAGTATGTTCCTGCGTGGGGACGCAACCGCATGCGAGGGATGCTCGAGTCGCGCCCCGACTGGTGCATCTCTCGGCAGCGATCATGGGGACTCCCAATCCCCGCGTTCACGCTCCCGACTGGTGACGCGTTCATGACCGCCGCCTCAGTCCATGCCGTCAACGAGCTCATCCGCGAGAAGGGATCGGACCTCTGGTTCTCCGAGGACCCCGCAACCCTCCTCGCAAACTACAACCCATCGGAAGACCCCGACGCCCCCGCTTCCCTCAAAGACGGCTCCGTCACCTTCGACCAGCTCACCAAAGGACAAGACATCCTCGATGTCTGGTTCGAGTCCGGCTCATCCTGGAACGCCGTCATGCGCCAGCGCTCAGGTGGTGAAGACTTCCCAGTCGAGCTCTACCTCGAAGGGTCCGACCAGCACCGAGGCTGGTTCCAGCTCTCGCTCCTCCCAGCACTCGGAGTCATGGGACGCCCCCCATTCCGTACCCTCCTCACCCACGGCTTCATGGTCGACAAAGACGGCAAGAAACTCTCCAAGTCCGCCGGAGCCGCGCTCAAAGACCTCTTCGACCGCTACGGCGTAGACGTCCTCCGCTGGTGGGTCAGCTCGCTCGCATACGAGAATGACGTCAAGGTCGACGAAGAGTTCTTCAAACTCGCCGGAGAAAGCTACCGCAAGATCCGCAACACCCTCCGCTTCATGCTCTCGAACCTCGACGACTATGAAACGCAAGCAGAGCCCGACTTCTCCGACTTCCACGTCCACTCCGTCGACGCGTGGGTCCTCGGCGAGTTCAACACGCTCATCGACAAGGTCACCAGCGCCTACGAGAACTACGCGTTCCACGAAGCACAGAAACTCCTCTACCGCTTCTGCAACACGACACTCTCCGCGGAATACCTCTCCGCCGTCAAGGACCGCCTCTACTGCGACGCGCCCGACTCCGAGCGCCGCCGTCAGACCCAGCAAACCCTCGCCGTCCTCACCGATGGACTCTGCAAACTCCTCGCGCCGATCATGTGCCACACTGCGGACGAAGCGTACCGCGCCCTCCACAAGGTCGACCAGAAAGACAAGACCACCTGCGTCCACCTCACCGGATTCCCATCCAAGGTCAACCTCGAAACCGCGACCGGCTGGCCAAAGCTCTGGGAAGCAATCGAGCAGGTCATGAAAGCCGCCGAGGACACACGCGCCAAGAGCGACATCGACAACCCGCTCGACCTGGGAGTCAGACTCCCCGATCCAGACTCAACCTTCGAATGGTTCAACACCGAAGACCTCGCCGACATCTGCGGCGTCTCCCGTTTCGAACTAAAGAAGGAAGGCGAGGTCGAGATCACCGACCTCCGAGACCAGCCCCGCTGCGACCGCTCATGGAAACGAGACACCACCGTCAAACAACGCTCCGACGGTGGCATGCTCTCCGACCGCGACGCGCAAGCACTGGGACTCGTTTAAACTAGATCCTTTCAACAAGTCCGAGAACGCACGGCCAACACCGGTCGTGCGTTTTGCGGCGTCCACATCTATCCCGATAACCCCCAATGTTGCCTCGATGCAACACCACCGCGAACCGTCCCAAGATTCATACCGAAACTCGGGACATGAGCCACGACAACACCAACGACTCAAACAGCAATCCGACTCCAGAGAAGCCGACTCCTGAGAAGAAAGTCGTCTCGCCACCGATGCGTGCTCGCAACACGCTCCCGCCGCGCGATCCCTCCGCCGGACCAGACTCCGCGGACAACCTCACGACACTCGCACACGATCTCTCCAACCTCATCGACGGCTCCATGCGTTGGCTCTCCCTCGCGATCACACAGATGGATCCACAATCCGAAGATCCCAACGAACAACTCGACACCGCGCGTCAGCAGATCGACACCGTACAGCAAACGCTTCATCGCATGTCCACGATGGTCAATACCGCGATGCGATCGAACACCATCCCCATCGGTTCCCCAATGCTGGGAGTCTCCGAAGCCGTCTCCACCGCGATGGCGATCGACCACGCCGTGGATGTCGTGCGTCCGCTCGCATCCCAAGCTGGAGTCCGCATCGAGATCGACATCGACCACTCCGCCGGAAGCATCCCCGCCGGCCCGCTCTACACCGTCGTGCTCAACGCGCTCTTCAACGCCGTGCAATCCATCCAACGCGCCACGCGCGTCGACTCGCTCGATCCCGGAGGTCTGATCAAGGTCGCCGCGACCACGGACAAGAGTCACGACGAGCTCGTCATCACAATCACCGACGACGGCGTCGGACTCACACCAGGGATCAACCCAGAACAACCCTTCAAGCACGGCTACTCGACCGAATCACACGATCAACCCAGCGGGATGGGTCTCTCAATCTCCCGTCAGATCATCGACCAACTCGAAGGCGTCATCTCCCTGACGAACCGACCTGATCAACAAACCTCTTCACGCCCCGGCGCGATCCTCACTGCTCGAGTCCCGATCCCGCACGACGACAAGTCCCTTGACCGCAAGGTTGGTTAATCACACGCATGAGCAAACCCAAGCACTCCATCCTGATTGTGGACGATGATCAGATCGTCGCCGACTCGCTCGCCGCGTTCTTCCAATCAGAAGGATGCGAAGCGACCGCGGTCTACACCCCCCACGACGCGATCGAGCAGCTTAAGCAGAACACCTACGACATCCTCCTCACCGATCTCAATCTCCCCAAAATCACAGGGATTGATCTGCTCCGAAAAGCCAAGTCCATCTCCCCATCGACCGCCGTGATCTTGCTGACCGGATACGCCGCGATCGAGACCGCCGTCGAAGCACTCCGAACCGGCGCTGTGGATTTCCTCACTAAGCCCGTCGTTGACGACGAGCTTCGTTTAGCGCTCACCCGCGCACTGCAGCAGCACGAGGTCCTCAAAGAAAACTCATCCCTACGCTCGCGTATCGAATCCACGCACTCGCTGAGCAACATCGTCGGGACTGATCCGCGCATGCGCACAATCTTCGACACCATCAACGCCGTCGCACCATCGCGTACCACTGTCCTCATGTCGGGAGAATCTGGTGTCGGCAAATCACTCATCGCCGGCGCAATCCACCAAGCATCACCGCGTGCCTCGAAACCCTATGTCGAACTCGCCTGCGGCTCGATCCCCGAAACACTCCTCGAGTCCGAACTGTTCGGACATGTCAAGGGCGCCTTCACCGGCGCCCACGCCGACAAGCAAGGCAAGTTCCTCGCCGCCGATGGAGGCACCCTCTTCCTCGACGAGATCAACTCCGCATCCCCCGCGATGCAACTCAAGCTCCTCCGCGTCCTCCAAGAACGCAAGTTCGAGCCCGTCGGATCCAACGAAACCATCGAGGTCGATGTGCGGGTCGTGCTTGCATCCAACCAACCCCTCGAAGACCTTGTCGCGTCTGGAGAGTTCCGACAAGACCTCTACTACCGCATCAATGTCGTGCAGATCGAGGTCCCCCCACTCCGCGAGCGCACCGCAGACCTTCCGGATCTGGCGCAGCACTTCCTCGACCAACAATCCCAGGAACTCTCTCGCAAGTTCGTGGGATTCACTGATGAAGCGATGCAACTGCTCAAGTCCTACCCCTATCCAGGGAATGTCCGCGAACTATCCAACATCATTGAGCGTGCGTCTGTGCTCGCAAAGGGACAGATGATCACCGCCGAGGATCTCCCACCTCACCTCATGTCCGACACACCACCGCTCCAAGTTCAACAATCATCCTGCGAGTGGACACCGATGACACTCACCGATGCGCTCCGCGAACCTGAACGCCAGATTATCCTGTCCGCGCTGATCGCGAACGACTGGAACCGCACCACCACCGCTGAAATCCTCGGGATAAACCGCACCACGCTCTACAAGAAAATGAAATCGCTCAACATCGACCCGAGCGATCACGCGCAAGCGGGATAATCACGCGCGTAAAAAACCGCGGCACTACACCGCGGCATTCACAACAATCAACTCATCAACTCAAGGCTGATTCCCTGGGAAGTTCCGAAGATACGCGATCACCTTCATGATGTCCTCGTCAGGAAGCATCTCTTCAGTGAACCCACCACGAGGTGGCATCGGAACACCGCCGGGAACTTCACGCCCGACCTGCACATACGTCAGCAGATCCTCGTCGCTCGTGTCTTTGACAAACTGCGACGCTGTCAAGTCAGGACCATTGTTCGGCATCCCCTTGCCGTCCGCGCCGTGACAGGACGCACAGGTCTTCTTGAATACCAAAGCGCCCTTGACCGCCATCGCGTTCACGCTCGGCTTCTTCGCGGTCGAAGTGCTTGTCGGAGTCGATGACCCCTCGTCACCACCGCCACAACCACCAACCATCGCCAGCCCGCCGACCATCGCCGCCAAGCACACTGCTGTGAGCATCTGTTTCATGCCATGTACTCCTTCAAATTCGATTCCTGCACCGTGACGCATTCGCGGCACACAGTACTGTAGATCACGAAGTTTGATAAATACAGAGTAAAAATCAAAACTCATTCCTGCAAAACAAGAATCATCCTTTAATCCGCCCAACCAATGATTGAGCCTTCACTTCAACACCCTTCAGGATCGAGTTAAGCATGTCGCGATTCGGCGCATACTCCTGCGCGACCTGCGAGCTGATCCATTCCTTGTCCACCAGCTCCGCGAGGTACTGCGTGAAGCTCACCATCCCATCCGCACGGCTCGTCGCGATCACCGCAGGCAGATCCGAGTCCCGCTCATCGCGAATCAACTCGCGCACAGTTGGAGAAGTCAGCAGAACCTCCACCGCAGGGACCACTTTCGATCCTCCAAGTTCCGGATTCGCGGGAACCAAACGCTGCGCACAGATCGCCTTCATCGTCGCCGCGAGCGAGTTGCGCACGAACGCCCGCTCATCCTGCGGGAAGAACTCGAGCATGCGACCAAACGCGCCCATCGTGTCCGCCGTGTGCAATGTGCCAAACACCAAGTGACCAGTCTCCGCCGCCTGAATTGCCGACAGCACCGTCTCCTGATCGCGCATCTCACCAATGAAGATCACATCCGGATCCTGACGCACCACATGGCGCAGCGCCTCATGGAAGTCCGTCACATCAATCCCGATCTCACGCTGCGAGATGATCGCTTGCTTTGGAGTGAACCGATACTCCACCGGATCTTCGATCGTGATGATGTTCACCGGGCGCGTTGCGTTCACTTCATCAAGCATCGCCGCGAGTGTCGATGACTTGCCGCACCCCGTCACCCCAACGATCAGCACCAAACCCTCGCGCTGATTCTTCACGATGTTCGAGTACACCGGAGGCAATCGCAGATCCGCATAGGTCGGGATCTCCGCTTTCACGCGCCGCACCGCCGCGTGCGTGTGATTGCCTGAACGCAGCATGTTGATCCGGAATCGATCACCCCCACCACCTTCCGTATCTTCAAGATGCCACGCGAAATCCAGATCCCCAGTCTCATCAAACTTCTTCTTCTGCACCTCGCTGAGCAACGGATCGAGCAAGTGATCAGCCTCGTCCTCACTCACCGGATCCGCTTCGATCGGACGGAGCTCACCACCTATCCGATAGGTCGGCGGGATCCCCACTTTGATATGTAGATCAGACGCATCCAAGCGACGCATCGCACCGAGCAGCTTCTTGATATTCAACGCACCATGGATCATCGATAACTCCTGATCTCCCACCCCGCAATCTCACGCGTACACCCCCACAGTACCAAATTACTTTTCCAAATACGCTAGACCGATCTGTCTATTTGGCCTATTATTCGGATAATAGGGTCTCTTTTTGTGTGAGACAGGATCCACCACCAACCAGAAAGGCTTGACATGACCACCACCGACCACCCAACCAACGCCGCCGTCCACTACGAAACCTGGTCTTCCAAAGCCAAAAACATGCACGCCCAAGCCCCCGACCTCTCATCAGGATTCGGCGCCATGTTCCAAAAACTCATGGGAGAAGGCGCCCTCTCCGTCCGCGAGAAAGAGCTCATCGCACTCGCAATCGGGATGGCGCTCCGCTGCGAGCCCTGCATCTACTCTCATGTCGAAAAGTGCGTCAAAGCCGGCGCCACCCGCGCTCAGATGCTCGAACTCGCCGGAGTCGTCGTCACCATGCAAGGCGGACCGGGATATGTCTACACCCCCAAACTCATCGAAGCCCTCGACGCGCTCGGTGTTGAATAACACGATCGCATTCTGAGAACAATCTTCAACCATCACCCATGGAGTCACCCATGACCCGTTCAACCGTTGCGCTGCTCACCACATCCATCCTCGCGCTCACCACACTCACCGCGATGGGTCCCAAAGACACCGCGCCCACGAAAGTGATCCAGCACGACCAAGCAAAGGTTGATCTCAAGGTCGCGCTCGACACCGCACTCGACGACGAACGCAAAGCCAAAGCATTCTACAAAGCCGTGATGGAAAAATTCGGAGATCGCAAGCCGTTCTCAAACATCATCCATTCCGAGCAGCGCCACGCAAACGCACTGATCGCGCAGTACGAACGACTCAACCTTCCAATCCCAGAGGACCGCTGGGAATCCCACACCTTCGAGGTCCCTGACTCGTTCCAAGAAACCGCGGACATGTCCATCGTCGCCGAGATCGAGAATGTTGCTATATACGATCGCATCGAATCCATGGTCAGCGACGAGCAAGTCCTCGCGGTGTTCAAGCGACTACGCTGGGCATCACAAGAACGCCACCTCCACGCATTCACGCGTCACGGCTCAGGTTGGCGCCCCACCACCCAACCACAACTCAACACCACACAACAATCGCAGCTCGGCCGCGCCAGCGAAGCACAACAAGCATTCTTCAGCGCCCTCTTCGCAGAACTCTCAGCCGCACTCAGCGAGTCTGGTCCATCCCACGCGATCCAGATCTGCTCCGAGCGTGCACCAGAGATCGCCGCGCAAATCAGCGAAGAATACCAACTCAGCATCGGTCGCACCTCAAGCAAACTCCGCAATCCCGACAACGCGCCACCCCTCTGGGCGCGCATGATCACCGAGCGTATTTCCAACGAACCCAACATCATGACCAACAACGCCGGAGATCTTGCCGTCCTCTCACCGATCCAGCTCGCCCCCACCTGTCTCCAGTGCCACGGCTCAGAATCCGACATCTCCCCACAAACCAGAGCAACACTCAACAAACTCTACCCACACGATCAAGCCACCGGATACAAAGCCGGCGACCTGCGTGGCTGGTTTGTCATCGAAGTTCCTGCGGATTAACCCTTACGGACACCCCGCCGAGAACGCACTCAGGTACGCGCTGACATCAAGGAAGTTAAAGCTCCCATCAGCCGCAAAGTCCGCGACCGGATCTTGATTCGCAAACGCGCTCAAGAACGCGCTGACATCAAGGAAGTTCAGATCGCCCTCCCCAGTCAGATCCGCAGCGCAGCACCCCGAATCCATCAGCGTGCACAGATCAACAACCACATACTCGTTCGCCTCGTAGTTGCCATCCCCATCAAGCGTCACCCCGACCTGATTCGTTGGATTCAGCGCCGAACCATCCGGACTCCCGAAACTCAGCACACCAAGATGCACCTGATCCGGAACTGATCCAAATTCAGCACCGATATCCAGCGTGCCCTCAAGCACAGCACCGGAAGCAACCTGAGCCGCACCTGTTTGATCGAACCAACCATTGAAGTTGTTATCCGCTTCATTCCCGATAAACGCATCCCACGCCGCGACCGAAGCGCTCTTCGCCCACATCGCGTTGCCCATTACGCCGGGCTGCTCAGCAACCACAAGGAACCGATCCTCACCGTTCCCCGCCGGAGTGCACGCGACATAGAGCGTGCTCCCGTCGATCCCGCCCCAAAGATTCACGCCATTGTTACTGCCAACAAGCAACGCGCCTGCATCGAGCGTTCCATCAATCACAAAGCCTTCATTGGGATCCCCACCCTCAACCGCAAAGTGCCAATCCGCGCCGTTGTTGTTGTCCCAGGTGCCAGCGCCATCATTGAACACCAAGTCGAGCTGCATCGCTGAACCAGGAATTGGGAAGCTGATATCCCAAATGCCGTCCGCGTCGCTGTCATCCATCGCCGCATCAGGAAGCACGCTCGCCCAGTTGTCATAGCCGTAGTGAATCCAGACCGGATTCGCGCCATCCAATACTGTCCCATTGGAATCGTACGAAACCGTGACCATCTCCCCCGCCTGCGCCGGATCGGGAGTGATCGTCACTCCCCCACCCCCACCGCTGGTCGTGCTGCTCCCCACCCACACATGCATGATGTCCGACTTGCTCACATTCCCAACCGTGTCCACGGCTTCCACATAGTAATCAATCAACACATCGTTCTGACCCATGATCATCGCGCCGTACCGCTTCGCCTTGCGCGTCGCTGCAAGCACCCCCGCAGGAGTCGGCACCACATCACTGCTCATCGCAACACTGTTCCACGCGCCAACCTCAGGACCACCTGCATAAGTCTCGTTCTGCACCGAACTCAGCGGATTGACCCCATCGAGATCCACACGCCACTTGAGCGTCGCGCTCGTCACCGCGATGTAATCATCAATCAGCGTCCACACCTCAAAATCGCTTGGTTGCGGAGTGCCCCCAAACTCAAGCCCCCCAGGGTTATACGGCTCGCGCTGCGGCACAAAGATCGTTGGACCGACACGATCATTGATCGCAACATCCGCAAATGCCTCATCGATCATCTCGACCACAGCATTCGCAGCACGCGTCGGATTCGAATCCCAAACTTCGGTCCCATCCCAGTACCAATAGTCCGACGCCTGCGCGATCAGCATCATCCGCCATACTTGGTGCTGCAGTGTCCCCGTGCCGTTGATAATGTGATCCAGATCACTGACATTGTTCGGATTGATCGGGAAGTCCACATCGATCGTCGCAATCGCATTGCGCGCCGAGGTCAGCGCCGCCCAAGAGTTGATGTCCGGAGACACCGCGCCCGCACTGACATCACCGCCGAGCCATTTCTTAAACTCCGGATCGCCCGCGTCCGCGCCCGCCCACGACCCATCCTCGACATGAATCACATCGCTCGGATCCACCGGAAAGCGTTCGAGATAATCATCCACCGTCGTCACATCGTAATCCGGATCGTTGCTCGCCCAGTTCACCATGTTCTGGAAGTTGTGGTGGTAGTACCCCTCGCTCCCACCACCAAAGTTGTCCCCGTCATGATGCAACATCACAAACATCGGATGATCCGCGTCCGTGTTGTCCTGCAGGTATGCATCCATCACCTGGTCATACAAGAACGCGCCATACCCCCCACGACCGTCCTCGTTGCCCTCGTACCGCGCCGCGGGAACCGCGACAATCCGCGACACCACGCCCGATTCGGGATCCACATGCTGCGCGTAATGCGGCTGATACCCAAACGGCACACTCACCCGCGACGGCGCCCAAAGATTCTGCAGTTGAACCCAGCGCCCACCAGTGCTTGCCGGATCCGGATTGATCTGATCCGCCTTGTTCGGACGCGCCACACCAGACGAATCCACATGCGGATAGTTCTCGCATGCACGATCAAAGTGGAAGTTGTCCACCAGCACCCACTCCACACCCTGCTCGACAAGCGCCGGAATCATTCGCGTGCTGAATGCCGTCTCTGGAGGGAACAACCCCGTCGAGGGACCCGCCGTCCCAAAGCTCAGCTCCCGCGCCCGATCATGCAGCGCGATCTGAAACCGGATCGATCGCTCATCGATCAAAGGCATCAACGGATGGAAGTATCCAAACCCGATCATCTCAAGCCGTGGATTCCCCAACGCCGTGTAGTTGCTCGATGGGGACATCGACTGCTCGCCGCTATACGCCCACTCCCAGTTGCTCCACAACCCTCCATTACTCCCCGCCGCTTCGAGCTCCATCAAGTTTTCAATCAACGAACCAGAGAAGCTGACATGCGCCCCAAGATGCGCCATCCCAGATCCCGCATCCACCGCATTCTTCGGCCAGTTCGTATACGGCCCGAATCGCTGATGATGAATGTCGGGAACCGAGAAACTGAAATACCCATCCGACCCAATCGGTCCAAGATCAGGCACATATCTCGGCTGATGCATGTGCCAGAGGAACCCTATCTGAATAGGTTCTCCACCAACCGACTGAGTCGTCCCAACACCGATCGCTGTACCAGCAACTGCACATCGAATACAACCCAACACAACTGACATCGCATCACTCCTCTTCAAAAGTCCACACACCCTACCAAGTCTTTCCATAACCAACAAGCGTTTTGGTATCCCGGATCAGTGAGCACACGGCTCTTCAATACACCAACGCAAACAGCACCCGTCCGATAACTTGACAAACTCTATATAAATCGCTGACTGTCCCATAAGCAAAAAAACCCAATGACCACCGCTAAAGCATCAAAAACACAGGTATGCGTGAAATTAACTAAGAAAATCTATATTTAGCCATTGAACTCAACCCTATATCCAGTACCATAAACCCAGCTTACAGAGGGGAATACCCCCAAAACCGCGGCACGAGAGAGAGAAATCCCGTTCGCAAACTGAAGTAAGTCATTCCGCAGCGCAACTCTTTTTGTTGTCTGCTTCGTGTGTGATTGCCCGCTCAAGGGTGTGTCTTGAGCTTCAAAGGCAGTATTTCGTTTTGAGAAAGATTCAAAGAAAGAGAGCAACCAAATGAACAAGATCGCAACAATCGCAGGTCTCGCAGTCGCAGCTTCCGCTATGACCGCAAACGCAGAAACCCTTCTGATCGTTGACCTCGGCACCACCAACAGCATCACCATCTCCGCTACCGACGGCCTCGCTTCCGCATCCGTCGCAGGCAGCGACTTCACCGGTGCACTCCTCGCTGACTTCTTCGGCGCTCCAACCCTCGTCGGCTTCCTTGAGTCCGGCGGAGTTGGCGACCTCGTCTACGGCGGCGAAGCATCCGACGGTACCCCTGGCCTCTTCAACGCTGCAGGCAGCGCTGGCCTCAATGTCTGGTCGCTCGGCGGCACCGGCAGCTTCACCGCTGGCTCGCAAGGCTTCACCGGTTCGGCTACATGGGCAGTCGATGCAGGCGTCTACGCTGACATGCTCGCAGGCAACGCAGGCGGCGACATCTTCGCTCCAGCTGACTCCGATGACGACATCGGCGCTGCAGTCCTCGTCGGTCAGTGGGAAATCATCCCAGCACCAAGCTCCCTCGCTCTTCTCGGCATGGGTGGCCTCGTCGCTGGTCGCCGTCGTCGCTAATCAGCACGACAGCACTTCATACGAACATCAGTTCAACTGAAGTAACATAAACACACACAGCACGAGTCCTTCGGGACTCGTGCTGTTCTTTTTCACATTTACCTCCTGATCAAGCAGCATGTGAAACAAGCACAATTCTCTAGACTCAGTTTGTATATCAGGTACACTGAGGCCTAGAGGGAATCCATAGACAATCAAAGGAGTATGCAAATGAACATACCAACACCGATCCTCGGCATCGCACTCGCATCATGCTCGATCAACGCAAACGCAGACATACTCCTCCTCATTGACCTCACAGTACCAAACACCATCACCATCTCATCGACCAGCGGTCAATCCTCCGCAACCGTCGCAGGCACCGACTTCACTGGTGTACTCCTCGCAGACTTCTTCACCGGCTTGGGTACCGGATTCCTCGAGTCCGCCGGCATAGGAGACCTCGTCTACAACGGCGACCCTTCCGACGCTACCCCCGGACTCTTCCGCTCCGCAGACAGCGTCGGACTCAACGTCTGGTCACTCGGAGGTAGCGGCAGCTTCACTGAAAACACCGTCGCTTTCACTGGTTCAGCGACCTGGACCGTTGACCCAACCATCTACGCTGAAATGCTCGCAAACAACCATTTCGGAGATATCTACGCTCCAGCTGACTCCGACGACGACATCGCCACCGCGACCCTAATCGGCCAATGGGGATACATCCCATCTCCAAGTGCGCTCGCTGTACTCGGGATCGGTGGATTTGTGATGAATCGCCGCCGTCGTTAGTAATCACGAGGGATCGGACCGGACCGGACCTTGCACAGTCCAAATCCGGGAAAATACCCAGATTTGCTTCTATTTTACTACACTTAGATCCAGAAACCGCTATACTACACCCACTTACAGGGGGTATACCTCTAGACGCGGCACGAGAGAGAGAAACCGTTTCGCATCTGAGTAAGAAAAAGTTCAATGCAGCACCGCTGTATTGATTCGTGTGTAAGTGTCATCTATTCGCACTTTCAGATAGATGCCACAGTTCTGTACAGAGAAAGAAAGAGAGAAAACAAATGAACAAGATCGCACTGATCGCAGGCCTCGCAGTCGCAGCAACCGCTTCGGCAGATGTCCTCATGAACGTTGACCTCAGCGTCGTCGACCAGATCACCATCACCGCAACCGATGCGGCTTCATCCGCAGACGCTTCGGGCTCCGACTCCACCGGCGTCCTCCTCGCTGACTTCTTCACCGGCGCAGGCGGCGGAGGAATCTTCTCCAGCGGCACCGGCGACCTCGTTGCCAACGGCGACTCCTCAGACACCACACCAGGTCTCTTCAACTCGTCCGGCAACTTCGGTCTGAACTTCTGGTCATGGACCAACGACGCAACCGTGGGATTCACCACCGGTGCTCAAGCATTCTCCGGTTCAGCAACCTGGGACATTGACTCCGACGACTACGCTGACATGCTCGCAGGCAACACCTTCGGCGACATCATCGCATTCGCAGACACCGACGACGACATCGGCGTCGTCATCGGCCAGTGGAATGTCATCCCAGCACCAAGTGCAATGGCACTCCTCGGCCTCGGCGGCATCGTCGCTGGCCGTCGTCGTCGCTAATCAGCAACGACCCCATCCAACACGCTATCCACCGATAGCACACGGATGAATCCAGTTACTTCGCAGCACGGACTCCCACGAGTCCGTGCTTTTTTTGATCACACAAACAGTCCCTACACACATATAACAACTCAAGTGCAAACGCACACATACCACACTTACATGTACTGTTCGAATCAATAATTCAAACACCCTTTCTGCACAGATGCCTGTTTCTTGTTGCAAAGCTACGCATTGTGTGAAAGGATACGCCCAGCAGCCAATACACTGGGCGTACTGAGCAAACACCATGAGGAGAGTCCAACATGAAACTCGCAAACACCATAGCCGCACTAATCGTCGCGGCCGGCGCATCGTTCACAATCGCAGCACCCGTCCCCGGATCGTTCACATATCAGGGCACCCTGAATGTCGATGACGAGCCGGTCCAGACTGATGCGGATTTCATCATCCGCCTCTATGACGGCGCCACATTCATCACCGGCATCAGCCAACTCAACGTCCCAATCACCAACGGGCTCTTTGAACTGGACCTGAACTTTGACCCCGCATACTTCGACGGCACAAACTACGAACTCGAACTCATCGTCCGTTCACCAGCAGGGGGCGGTGCATACGAAACCCTAAACCCACGCCAGCTACTCTCAGCAACCCCCTACGCATACCACGCAAACACCGCGGACACCCTCATTACCCCAACAATCATCAAAGGGTCCGACCCAAGCAACCTCGTCACCATCCACCTGGACAGCACCGCTTCGGATGCATCAGCCCTCCGAGTCACAAGAGGCCTCGGCGGAACCTTCGCCAACAGCCTCGTCGACCGCGTCATTGAAGCAGAATCAGAAAACACACCCATCGGCGTACTCGGACTCGCAAACCAGTTCCCGATCGCAGGCGTCCTCGGACCAGACACAGCAACATTCAACAGCGCCGCGGTCCTCGGTCAAATCTCTTCTGGCGCACCAGGGGGCCAAGCCGCAGTCTGGGCTCTCAACTCCGTCAGCAACAACAACGCATTGCTCGGCACCGACGACTACTCAGCCGATCTACAAGGCAATGTCCGGATTACCGACGGAGAAATCACAAAGAACTACACCGTGGGCTCATACGACCTCGCCACTCCAATCGCCTACGGCTTTGTCAACTTCGACGGCACCATCGCCAACGGCACTCCAAACTTCTCGGCCACATTGAGTACATCGCCACCAAGATACGAAATCGAGATCGACAACGAAAACTACTTCTATAACGAATATATCACTGTGGTCACCCCGACCGCCGCGGATGTCAGCACCCGAACCGACTCATCCGGCGGACGACTCATCGTCTACTTCGAAAACACCGACACGCAGACCTATGCGCAAACAAACTTCCAGTTCGTCACCTTCAAGACATCCGGCGCCGCAGCCATCCAAGGCCAACCACGCCCACCGCTCATCCCGCTCAACACACCCTACACAGACTCGGAACTCAACCCCAACCTCCCCCCCCCAGCTCCTCGCCTACCAATCATCACCGAGCAACCTCCCCAGAACCCACTCAAACAAAACTGAGCATCGAAAAAACTCCCCACTACCACACGCCCCACTTCCGGGGCGTTTTTTCATGCCCTCTCCCACCACCAAACCCACACCAAACCCGCTAAACTAACACTCAAACACCACACCCCCCTCCACCCCCCGCAAGGACGGCAAAAGATGAAAATCCACGAATACCAAGCACGCGACCTCCTCTCCTCCTTCGGTATCCCCGTCCCTGCAGGTCAAACAATCACCAACGCCAACGACGCCGCAAACGCATACACCGAAGTCACCCAAGCCGCAGGCACCGACCTCGCCGTCGTCAAAGCCCAGGTCTTCGCCGGAGGCCGAGGCAAAGCCGGATTCGTCAAGCTCGTCCGCTCAGCCGCAGACGCCACCGCCGCCGCAGACTTTATGCTCTCCAACAAAATGGTCTCCGTCCAGACCGGACCCGAAGGCCTCGACGTCAACACCCTCCTCGTCGCCGCAGGCGTAGACATCGCCGACCGCGAACCAGGCAAACCTGACGAGTACTACATCGCGATCACCACCGACCGCAACACCCGCCGCAACACCCTCATCGCCTCGCGCGAAGGCGGCGTCGAAATCGAACAAGTCGCCGCCGACACACCGGAACTCATCATCAAGCAACCGATCAACCCGCAAATCGGACTCCAACCATTCCAAGCAAACGAAGTCGCCTTCAAGCTCGGATTCAAAGGCAAGCAGGTCCGCCAAGCCGCGATGATCATGCTCAAGCTCTCCGAGCTCTACCACGCGAAAGACTGCTCACTCGCCGAGATCAACCCGCTCGTCGTCACCCCACCAAACGACACCTACCCCGACGGCCAAGTCATCGCGATCGACGCGAAGTTCAACTTCGATGACAACGCGATGTTCCGACACAAAGACCTCCAAGCACTCGCCGACCCCACCGAAGAAAACCCAGCAGAAGTCGAAGCCGCCAAGCACGGCATGTCCTACATCGCACTCGACGGAAACATCGGATGCCTCGTCAACGGCGCCGGACTCGCCATGGCAACCATGGACACCATCAAGCTCTACGACGGCGAACCCGCAAACTTCCTCGATGTCGGAGGTTCCGCAACCGAAGAAGCCGTCACCGAAGCCTTCCGCATCATCCTCTCCGACGCCGCCGTCAACGGCATCCTCGTCAACATCTTCGGAGGAATCATGCGCTGCGACATCATCGCCCAAGGCATCGTCAACGCCGCCAAATCCATCGGATTCTCCGTCCCACTGGTCGTCAGACTCGAAGGCACCAATGTCGAAGCAGGCAGAAAGATCCTCGAAGACGCCGCAGCGGACCTCCCAACCCTGCAAGCCGCAGGGGATCTGGGTGACGCGGCACAGAAGGTAGTTGCTGCGGTTGGATAACACACTGAGCAATTTTATTTACTATGTGCATATTGATGATCGCACATTAGCTTTTTGGGATGCAGATCCATCAAAGACTGTTGATGACTATTTAGATTCAATCGACCCAGAATACTTCCACTGGATGATTAAGTCCGAAGCAAGCAATATCCCAAAAGACTTGATTCTGAGGCAGGTATATTTCCAATCCATGGAAACTCTATTCGCATTAATTGCGGCTTTTTTACAAGCCAAAGATTATCCGATAGGCTGGATGTTGAAATATACAAACAGAGAACTTTATTCAGTCGTCGACAAAATCACAAACGAATGCCCCTTGCGTGTATCAAGAGTCCCAAATAGCACCGGATGGCTTGGCGTTGTAAAGGCGTTGCTTATAAACGAACAATTAAAATGGATCGATCACAGTGAGTCGATTCAGTCAAATGCGAATGTGCTTCAAGTGCTCGCTAAAGAGTTCACTGACAAAGTGTTCCAAAACGAGTACAACTCTATCAAACACGGCATGAGAGCTTTACCCAGCGCTGACCAACTGACCATGTTCAAAGTATCGGAACAAAACAACTCTGAAGAATCGTTCATTGTGAGTTCTACGCATGGAACAACTTTTAGAAGAGCAATGCAAATTACAAAAAACAAGCAATATAGCCTTCACAATGTAGTCAAATGGAGCACTCATTGGAAAGCTGATGTGATTAGTGATCGGATAGATTTTATTTTGGACTGGATTGAGAACATGCGCTCTATTCTGCGTGGTATTCGCAAACCTCTGTCAAATCAGGTAATTCAATTGCCTAATACAGAGTTTTGCGACTCTTGTACAAAATCGATGGCTATGTTCCCATATTTTGGTCTCGCAGGACACAGTGACAGTTTGAAGAAAACTCGATGGATCCACAACCTCGATGTTTCGTCAAGCTACGAATATTGGCCACCAGTAAATGATGGTGATAACACAAGAGATTGTTGATGCTAAACCTAACTGCAAGAAAATTTATCAAACTAGCTAGGGTGTGTTATCAAACTGCATACTTGCTTGAATCTATGTACTCATCAGATTCGGAGTTAATCCAAGAAGCCAATGCATCGAATCCTTTTGGCGTTGAAGATTTCCAATCATTGGTAGCGTTCTGTCCAGATTTATTCTACCTGGCAGGATTTTACTCCGGTGCTGTCGGCCCTACAGCTTGCAGAATGCAAACGCTTTCTATTGACTCCATGCTGAAGAACGAAGACCTCAGGGCAATTGCAAGCGAGACACTGAACCTCAATCAATCTTTAAAGACAGCGCTTTACAAATGGTTTGCGATCAATGAACACAAACGCATTGCAGCACTATCAAAAATCTTGACTCCCAATAATCCTGGCGAATCACGCGAGATGCTCGCAAACGCACTTGACTTACAAGCTCGTAGACTCGAAGCTGTTTGGGTTGATCGCTCAAATCTTTAAGTACTGACCAACAACCACATCCGTGCGCAAATCTTCTTCGCCGCCCAACTCCCCCCTTCCAATCCCCACGCCGACCAACTACAATTCCCCCAGCCCCCACCCACATTCAACCAAGGGGGCACTATGCACACTCAGTCGCACACGCAGTCGCAAACAGACAAACCACAACGCACCAACAACCTCTCCTCCCCCGGGCTTCACTTTGGGGGGGCGGGGGAGGTGACTGCGTCTTCGCACACGGAGGGGGTCTTCGACTTTCCCCCTCTCCCTCGGGGAGAGGGTCGGGGTGAGGGCTCTTCAACCCCTCCCCTCACCGAACAACTCCTCGAAGACCTCCTCGATCCCGCGATGACCCCCATCCTCATCTGCCAGATCCACGGCCTCACCCTCTCGCAGCTCAACACCATCACCAACTCCCAAGACTACCGATCCGCGATCAGCATGATCCAGTCCATCAACGATTCCCGCGCTCAAACCATCAAATCCCAAACCCACCTCCAATCCCTCGCCACCCTCAAAGACGCCGCCGACATGGCGCAGCAGAAGCAGGACCACGAATCCCTCCGCAAGTCCTCAACCACTCTCCTCAAAGCCACCCCGATAACAGCTTCTATTGACCACGCGCCCCAGTCCCCGAAAGCCCACCAGAACGCTGTTCTAGATCAAAATAACACCACTTTCATGGCATCTCACCACTCAAGAGGTACCTTTGCCCACACTCAGAGCGTTTCACTCGAAACGCCCCATCCAAAGCCATCCGGCTTTGAACCAGTGCCCGAAGCCAAACAGAGCCAAGGACACGAAGATAATCTCAAAGGGACACACCATGAACATCAAAGCAGCAACCATCCTTGCCGCGCTCGCAACCGCAAGCGTCGCCAGCGCCGACATCATCATCGACGATTGGTCCACAAGCCAAGGCCCATACAACCCCTCGAACGGATGGAACCAAACCCAAGCAGGAAACATGCTCGGAGACCTCCGCCGAACCTTCATCCAAAACGCCGGATCACAAGACGGCGAAGTTTCCGGAGAGATCTCCGACAACCGCCTCCGCTTCTCCGCAACCAACGGCGCCCGCAACTTCTTCACCACCTACTGGGACGGCCCAGATCGCCAAGGCACAGTCCCCTACGACTTCTCCGAAGGCGGTGAAAACGACCGCTTCCGCCTCGACTCCTACAACACAACCAACAACACCTCCGCCCTCGTCGTCGTCAAGTTCAGCGACGGCACCTTTGCCAACGCCCACTTCGACTTCGACGCACGCGTCGGCCCTCACTCCGGACCAACCGAGATCATGTTCTCCTCATTCGCAGGAGCAACCGACTGGTCCAACGTCGAGTGGGTCGCCCTCGATCTCGGAATCGCCGCCGATGTCGGAGCCGAAGCCTCTGTCACCGTAGGCACCTTCAGTGTCGTCCCAGCCCCAGCATCCGCGATGCTCCTAGGACTCGCCGGCCTCGCAACCACCAAACGCCGCCGCTAAAATCTAAAATCCACAAGACCCCAAAAGCTGAGCTCCCCGCTCAGCTTTTTTTTCGCCCCATAGCAAGTATAAATCCGGTACAATACCCAAAACACTCAACCCACAGGAGTCTTCAACAATGGCCGGAGCCGCAGAAAACAAAGTCCTCATGATCATCCTCGCGATCCTCATCCCACCCCTCGCCGTGGGACTCAAAGTGGGATTCACCGCGCACTTCTGGATCAACCTGCTCCTCTGGTTCTTCACCTGGATCGGCGGGATCATCCACGGCCTGATCGTCGTACTCAAGTAAACCAAGCGACACTAACAAACAATCCCGCTCGAAAAACAAAGAACCCGCCGAACGAATCCAATCGCCGGCGGGTTCCTGTGTCTATTGAATCGCTACAAGAGCGTCAATCTCATGGACAGCTGATGTTGTTGAAATCATCAAGGAATCCGCTGACATCGAAGAAGTCGTAGATGCCGTTGTCATCCCAATCCGCAGGCTCTTCCATCAACCCAAACGCCGTTGTGAACAGCGAAACATCATAGAAATCAAGATCCCCATCCAAGCTCAGATCCGCCGGCTGGATCTTGAGCAGAATCCACTCCCGATCTTCCAGATCGTTGTCACCATCCAGATCGACATCGAACTCCACTCGATATCCAGGATCACAGACAGTCAGCGCCGGATCAAACTGATGCGCCAGCACTCCTGCAAGATCATCACAATCCACAGCGAGATCGCCGTCATCATCCCCAGCAACCCCCTGATCGAGCGAGCTGAAGAAGTTCCCAAGCAGGTTGAGATCTGTCAAATCGACATCATTGTCATTATCAAGGTCATACGCCTCGATCGGATCCCCAGATGAGTAAGTCGCCGGGACCAGCGAGAACACATCAAGCACATCAATCTGATTCACGCGTCCATCACCATTGAAATCCCAGTAGCCATTACCCGCAGACGGTATAGTCCCGATCACAACCGGACCAGGCCCGCCGGAGATTGGGATCGTGATGGAATCAGTCCCACACGCCGCTCCGCCAGGAACGAGACACCACGGGTAAAAGATGTCATACGCAGGGTTCCCGTTCGTGTCGGTGTAGTTAATGAAGTACCCAACGGTGTCCGTCGCAGGTGTGCCTGAAGGATTATCACAATCGATATCGGTGTCGATTTCAACATTAAATGTGTAAGAGCCGTCAATCTCAGTGGCCACAATCGCTCCGGCTGAACCACCTGAGTTGAGCATGTATCCACATTCGGCACAGTTGATCGCGGTCACTGTTCTGACACTGCTTCTCACAGCCATGAACTGCGGACTGAGCGAGACATAGGACGATGCATCTCCGCACAGGCTACTGGACGCCGATGCGGATCCGTATCCTGAGAATACATCCGCATCACCATCTGTGCAGGTCGAAGGATTGCCGCAGAACAACGGGATATTCGATGATGCGGTGAAGGCATAGGCCATCCCAAACCCCGGCTCAAAGTGAGTCGGTGCAGTCAGAGACCAATCGATTCTCATTGTTGCATACGCTTCAGTGTACATGTTGGTACATTGTGCATTTGCAGTCCCGGCGAGCAGTCCAATAGCAAAGCTTGCTGACATCAGATCTTTCATAAACATTTCTTTCTCCATATCAATATTGAAACTCGATCGCACTGTGCGATTTCTTTCAACTTACCTTGCATTTTGATGTGGAGGGGTGTGCGCTTTTCGTTGAAGGCTTCTATATCACAAAATAGCCTTTTTTATCCAGAGGATATTTGCGCTAGTCGTAACTTGTAAATGAATTCCATCTTACGAATCGTGCGAATGTTTTGGCGACCAGAAACATACCAACTTGAATTGTTTGCGTACTGTTATTGTTGTTACCTGATCGCTAATGCAATCTGCTACGACCTGTTTCCGGCTAAGGTGCGGATGACCCGTTCCTGTATGCGCTGAGAAACAAACAATGCATCGCCGTAGAGCAGTTGTCCGCCTTGCGAACGATGCAGGTCGTACACATCAAACAGCGCATACCCCAGCTCGCGCATCTTCGACCACACCCCATCAAACTGAGCCGCCCCTTCGTATAAAGGCACAAACTGGATCTCACTGTATACCACATCCACCAACTGCTCCGACAACAACCGCTCCGCCCCCCCGATCGCCATCAGCTCCCCGCCTTGGATATCGAGCTTCAGAATACCCACCCGATCAATCGACCCTGAAGCGCAATACGAATCCAGATCCACCGTCTCGACCTTGATCTCACCCTTTGGACCCGCGGACTCGGGATACAACCGATCCTGCTCTGGACGAGGCAGCAGCGAGTTCGTCGCTGCCGCGTGATTCACAAAGAAGGTCGTCTCCCCCACCTCCGTCGAGACCGCTTTGGGGACAATCGTGATCCCCGCATCCGACCCAAACCGATCCTCAAGCTGAGCAATCGTCTCCGGAAACGGCTCAAAGCAGTGGATCTTCGCTCCTGGAAACATCGAGCGATACAACGCTGCCGTGTCCCCCTTGTTCGCCCCCACATCCAGAATCACTGGATCGGACACTTCCAACTTTTCAAGTATGCCACGCTGCGCCTCGAACGGATCCGAAGCAAGCACGCTCGGCGTGTTCTTCGTCCTGATCGGTTCCAGCTTGTACCCCATCGACGCGAAGATAGCGTTGATGATGTCCTTGGATCGCAGCTTCATTCGCTCGCTACTCCAATGACTCGCATGACATCTCCTACATGCTCGTTTGGGATGAGGAATGTCAGCGAGTAGTGCGCGATTTTCCAGACCTCGCCGTTCTCGCGCAGCACGGCTGTGCCGCGGAGGACGCCGTAGCGGTCGTGGTCGAGGGTTTCATCGACCCACGCGACATCGCCATAGGCGTTGGTGCGGATGAATCGGTCGCGTGGTGTGTAGGTCCAGCCGTGTCCGTCGGCGAAGTGTGGCTCGGCATAGGTGCGGAGCTCGGCACGCGTCCAGCGTTCGTGCTCGTCGGTCCCCATGAAGATCGCCCCCTCGGTCATTGCTCCGATGTAGCGTTCAAGATCGCCTTTGGATGCGGCAAGGTGCCAGTTGTCGAGCACAGTGTTGATGTCCGATTGGTTGATGTCGTTGTAGGAGCTGTTGGATTTTGCATCCTTGCGGACCTGCTCGGAACAGCTCGCGAGAAGTAAGAGCGAAGTGATGATGAGTGTGCGAGTGGCGTGTGTGATCATGAGTCTTCCGATTCTGGTAGGGCGTTGACCATCCAACTACTGAAATCGTACACGAACTTCCAGACGCTTTGGGTGTGCTCGGCGGGCATGGCGTATTTCTCTGGGGCTTCGTCGAGGGTTTCTTTGAAGCAGCGGAGCCATTCCTGGCGTGCGGGTTCGTCGATGATGAATGGGAGGTGGCGTGCACGCATCATGGGGCGGCCGTAGCGCTGCTGGTAGAGGTGCGGCCCGCCGAAGAGGAAGGTGAACATCGCGGCGGATTTGTCGGCGGCGCGGAGGAGATTCTTCTCGCTCTTTGGGAACATGTGGGCGATCGAAGATTGTGAGAGGCGTTTATAGAAAGCGTGGAAGTAGGCGGTGATGTTGTCCTCTCGCATCGCTTCGTATACAGCGGGCGGCACGCGATCCGTTTGCGGAGGTCCGTTGGGCGGAGTGTAGATCGGGCGGTTTCCGGGTCGGTCCGGATAAGCATTGAGGATATCCATGGCTGATGTTAGAGCCTATGAGCGAAGCGGGCTGAGATTGGGTTGGTTTGTGACGATTGTGAGTGGTGAACCGTCGCCTCATCGACTTCGATCATTTGATTCTGTATTGGTCTGGAACCTTGTTTGTTGAAGGTCGATTTGAGAAGTTATGAGCCGATGGACTGCAATCGCGAAGATGATTGACGAACAGGACAAACCTGAGGGGCGTCGTTCTCCGAGGTTTGTGGCGCGGAATATGTGCTGCGAGGGTGCTGGGCAGGTTCAGGATTTTTCTGCGACCGGTGTTCGCGTGATTTATTCCAAGAAGCCCAAGTTCGAGGTTGACGATGTGATCGATCTGCGGATTGAATCTGAGCGGGGCACACACTGCGGCGAGGCTGAGGTTGTGTGGAGCAAGAAGATTGGGTTCCGGAAGTTTGAGGTGGGGTTCCGGTTTACCGATCCTGAGGCTGTGAAGAAGATGCGGTTGTTCCAGAGCGGCTTTGACACGCTTGAAGACGGGCATTGGTCGGCGGCGTGAATTTGTAAAATCTTGAAATAGTGGATGGAGTATCGGGGTTGTACTCTGCGCCGGTGGCGTGGTTGTGTGCCGGTGATATTTGATGTCCTGTGCGTGAGGCCCGGACGCGGCGGTTGTCGTGGTTCGGGCCTCTGTTTTTGAGTGTGTTCATGGATCAGTTCTTGTGTTGGTTTGATCGATAAACTAAGATCAGGGGGATAGCGAACTCACTCACATCAGATAGGTTTTTTTCATGATGATCCAGCCTCGTTTTTTAATCGTTGTCTTGGCGCTTGCTTTGTGGTTGACTTGCTCACATCGCGCTGCTGCTGGCGAGGTCCTTACAGGAGTCTCATCCAAATACACCCAAGCGGTTGGTGCGGGTTTGCTGAGCTTTGATTACGATCCGGACAACAATCTGTTCTCGAATGTTGTGCTCGGTCATGCGATTGAGTTTGTTGATTTGAACTTTGACGGTGTGGAGGACATGGTCCTCGATGCTTCTTCATACAACGGACGGATCCAGTATGCGTTCGGATTGATTCAATCAGATGGCTCGATCGGTTATGTTTTGCATCAGATGCATTCCGAGGCCAGTTTCACAACAGCGACCGCGGGTGATTTGGATGGCAACGGGTGGCCTGATCTGATTCGGCGTAACTCAAACAACAGTACATATAAAGTCGATTGGGTCGAGAATGGACAAGTTGTCGACACAACAGTCGAGCAACACGAAGATCTGTTTTATCAAGAGGTTCAAGACTTAGGGATACCCGATGCGGGGGTTTGGGTTCGTGCTGGGGATCTGGATGGTGACCAGATAGCCGATTTGGTTTTGAACACCACGAACGAGAAGTTGGTTGTGCGTTGGTCGAGCCGAGACGAGGCTTCTCGGTTCGCATCTTACAACACTCCATCGGGAACAGAGCAGACCAAGCTATATCCGTTACAGGATTATGATGGGGATACGGTTCCGGATATTCTGTTGCTGGATTTGGAGAACGAGGGGCTTGTCTTCTTTGCAGGGCAATCGACCGATTCGATTGGCGCTCCTCAAGTGATTTCGTTTTCTCTTTCTGGATTCTCGACGGCTTCGAATCCCGCGAAACTTGGTCAGTTAGATTTGAATCCGGCGATGGATGTGATTCTGGGAGACTCAACGAGTGGTGAGACTCGGGTGTATTTAAACTTTGTGCAGGGCGCTGAAGATTACTTTGTATTACCGGTGCTTGAGGGGGAACAGGTAGAGTGTGTTCCGGGTGATATTGATCAGAACGGGATTGATGAGGTGCTTCTCACGAGTGTCGATCCGCTCTCAAACTCAGATCCAGAGGTTGAAGACAAGACGATTTTATTGAACCCGTCCAGCTCGGGCTCTGATCGCATTGCGATTGAGACTGGGAACACTCCCGATGAGTTGAGCGGTAATGTTGATCGATTCGTTGTGTGTCGTGCGGTTGAAGTGAGCGGGGATGGGCTGATCGATTTGATTTGGCCAAACGATTTGAGTTATCACAAGCTTGAGCAGGACTCTGATCCTGGTTTCTTCAAGGGATTCGGACTTCGCGTGAGTCCGCAGGCATCGCTTGATTCAGGACTGCCAATGTTCGGAGCATCACAGTTCGAGGGACAGAAGGATCCTTTGCACATGTTGCCTGTAGATGTTGATGGTGATGGGATCGATGAGTTGTATGTGGTGGGCGATGGAACGCGGGCTCGCTTGGTTGATATTGATGCGGGTACCGTAGTGAATATCCCTGGCGCAAATGATGGGTTTATGAGCGCTGCTGCTGATCTTGATGGTGATGGAGCTCTTGATACTGTTGTCACCACGATTGAGGATGAGCTCATTTTGAAGCCGATTGATAACGGCGGTCTATTCGGTCCGCGTATTGTGGTCCCAATCCCGAATGGTGCTGTTGCTCGTGGGGTGGTGGTCGCTGATGTTGACCTCGATGGTCGTGATGATGTGATCGCGGTTGAGATCAGTTTGCATCATGCCCATGTATTCAAGGGTGTTGATGTGGGCGTGCTGAGCTATCACTCCTTTTTGGAGTATGACGAGGGGAGCAGTCAAGTTGTGAAGCCTGCCGTCTTGGATCACAATGGGGATGGGTATCCCGATCTGGTCTATGGATTGAAGGGCGGTTTTCAGGTGTATGAGAATCGAGGGGATGGCATTTTTTCTGAGGGAGTTTTACTCGTAAATCAATCTGTTAATCCGTATTGGGTGATTTCCGAGGACATGGACCAAGATGGAAACCCAGACATTATTTCTGCAAACATCTCTTTTACTGAATCTCCGACTGTCTCGGTTCACTACCTGGATACAAAAGGAAACATTGAAGACAATGTGTATGTGTTTGATAACTCGTTTGCTCCGATGAATGAAGTCGTTGTTGGTGATTTAAATCAAGACGGACTACTCGATTTGGCCTGGAGCATTGGGATAAGAACTTTTAATGCTGGTTGGACACAGAATCGTCATCAGGTCTGGATACAGCAGGGTGATCGAAAGTATGTGAGTACCGCTACTTTGCCGGCTCCTGCATCGGCGACTGTTGCGATGAGCGATTTCAATGGGGATGGGGCATTGGATGTGGCGACTACTTCTGACGCTGACGATTCGGTGCGTGTGCACTGGGGGTCGCCGACGGCGTGTGCGGCGGATCTGACTGGAGAGGGGGATCTGAACTTCTTGGATATCTCGGAGTTCTTGAGCACAGAGCTGGATTTCAATGGGGATGGGAGCTTCAACTTCCTAGATATCAGTGCGTATCTGCAGGCGTATGCGGCGGGGTGTCCTTGAGCCATAGGAGTGTTTTTTCTTGTGGCTCTCCGGGATATGGGTTAGCATGCTGGTTGGGCGAGTTCTTGTATTTATGCCTTAATTATTGGATGGGTTCTGATATGGTTCGACTGTGCTGTTTGTTGATTGCGAGCTGGCTGGTTTTTGGTAGTTTGGCACAGAGGTCTGTTGCGGGTGTTGGACTGCCTCCTGTGTATTCTGAGTACGATCAGGTGTTGGGCGCGGGTGGATTGCGGTTTGAACGTGATGTGATTTTTTCTTCGATATATCTCCAGCGAGGGGGCGTGAGCTCTGTTGGATATGTTGTTCAGTATTCTGATTTGAATAAGGATGGTGTCGATGACATGCTGATGGGTTTTTCACTGTCGGCACAATCGACGATTCGGTATCTCCTCGGCGGGATACAGGAGGATGGATCTACTGGGTTTACCGAATACACCTTCGAAGTTACTGAGCAGTACGATGCGCTGGCGTGCGGTGATCTTGATGGGAATGGTTGGCCTGATCTTGTCACTCGGGAGTATGAGCATGATTCGATCAGCATCTGGTGGGTTGATGAGGGAGAAATTGTCGCTATGACTCAGGAGGATTTTTTCTTTCTTGAGTATGACGACTCGATGCCGGATGGCTATCACGATGCGCGGGTGACCATCCGGGCGGCGGATCTGGATGGGGATGGGATCGATGATCTCGTTATGAACACATGGAGTGAGGGGATCGTGGTGCGCTGGTCATCGCGGAATGAGGCAACGCGTTATTCAATGTACTTTGTGCCTGGATTGGATGATCGGAATGGGTTGTATCCCATCGCGGATTATGACGGGGATGGTGATCTGGATGTGTTGTTGCTGGATGTTCCGGATGAACGGTTCTCGTTGCTGTCGAGCACAGGGTCTGACTCGTTGACGATACCCACTAGCTTCAACATTCCGGTGACGGGATTTGTGGGTGCGCTTGAGTATCCGATATTTGGGATGTTTGATGCGAATCCTGCGATGGATCTGGTCATCTTTGATGCGATGAGTGATCAGTCGCTTTTGATCCCGAATTTTGTTGGTGGTCTTGATGGTTCTGTAGAGCTTGGGGTAGATCCGGGATCGCGTGTTGTGGAAGTTCCAGGCGATGTTGATGGATCGGGCTTTGATGATTTACTCGTCGTTGGTGATGATCCGCTTTCGAATGCTGTAGGTTTAGTGGACGAGGTTTCGTTGATTTTTGATCCGCTTTCGGTAGATACACAGAAGCTTGTCATTGAGACCGGGAATGTGTCTGATGCTGATATGCTTACATTGCTGGGTGAACCACGGGTGCCGATTTGTCGAACGGTTCGGCTTGATAGCGATGCGGATGAGGAGCTGCTTTGGCTCGCTGATGTGAACTCCTACAAGATCCAGGACATGGATACTGGGTCATATACGATTGGGCATTTGTTTCGTGTGAGCGAGCAGCGGGACAAGGGTGTGGGGTTACCACGCTTTGGGGCGACACAGCGCGAGGGGCAGAAGGTTCCGCTCCATCTGCTTCCGATTGATGTCGATCAGGATGGTGTTGAAGAGCTCTTTATGGTTGGCGCGAACACACGCGGTCGGCTTGTGGATTACGACGCGGGTACGGTTGAGAATCTCGCGGGTTTGAATAACGGTTTCATGTCGATTGCTGCGGATCTTGGTGGGGATGGGCAGGATGAGATTGTGGTTACACGGCTTTTGGATGGGGCTGGGGTTGTGCCGATGAATGGGGATGGGACCTTTGGTCAGCGGGTGCTGATAACCAATCCAAACGGGAATCCTTATGTCTCAGGAGCTTCGTCCGACTTCGATCTGGATGGGAATGATGATCTGGTTCTGTATGATCAGGTTGATGGCGAATATCATGTGCTGCTTGGAAACGGAAACGGATCAGTAGTTCTCCATGATGTGTTGGTTCCAACAAGATCCGGAGTAGTGAAGCCGGCGGTGTTCGATCAAAATGGCGACGGCTTTGATGATCTTGTGCTTGCTTCAGAGTTGGGATTCCAGGTTTACTTGAATAACCAAGATGGAACATTTTCAGCTTCGGATGTTTTACAAGCATTTGTGCGACCATATTGGATCATCATTGCGGATATGGATGGGGATGGGATCGTGGATCTGGTCAGCGCCAATCTTGACCAGGGTGATATAGGCTCCGGGTTATCAGTTCACTTCTTAGGAGCTGATGGCCAGATCGAGTCTACGAAGCTCCTCAACAATCTTTCTGTGAGTTCAAGCAGTGTTGCGGAGGTTATCGCGCACGACCTAGATCACGATGGGCTGCTTGATCTTGTGGGTGTTGAAACACAATCAATTTCGGATGTCATCAACCACACGATTGTCTGGAAACAAGTTGCGGATCGAGCATTTGTGCCGAGTTCTGTGCTCCCTGCGCCGGAAGGGTCTACTGTTGGTTTAAGCGATCTGAACTTGGATGGTGCGATGGATGTTATTACAGCATCCGATATGGATGACTCAGTTCGCATTCACTGGGGCGACCCGATGGGGTGTGCGGCGGATCTGACTGGGGAGGGAGATCTGAACTTTTTGGATATCTCGGAGTTCCTGAGCTCGCAGCTGGATTTCAATGATGATGGGGCGTTCAACTTCCTCGATATCAGCGCGTATCTGCAGGCGTTTGGGGCTGGGTGCCCCTGAGCTCGGTGGTGCGTTTTTGGGGGCTTTGGGTGCAGCGGGCGCTATGATCTTGGTTCGATCGGGGAGTTGGCTCCGATCGGTGATTTAACCAAGAAAGCACGGGCATCACTATGGGCATTCGGACGCACAGCTGCGGGCAGATTCGGGAATCGGACATCGGGACGACGGTGACTCTCAATGGATGGGTCAACGCGTTTCGTGGGCATGGATCGGGGCTGATCTTTGTCGATATGCGGGATCGCGATGGGATCACACAGGTGGTGTTCGATAGCGAGGATGCGCCGGCGGAACTGATCGAGGCGGGTGATCGTCTGCGGAACGAGGACTGCATCTCGGTGACGGGTGTAGTGCGCGAGCGGGCGAAGAAGAACGACAAGATCCCGACGGGTTCGATCGAGGTGCTCGCGAGCGAGCTGCAGGTGCTTTCGAAGACGAAGAAGCTGCCGTTTGTTCCGAGCGACGAGAAGAACCTTCCGGCGGAAGAGACTCGTTTGAATTATCGGTACCTTGACCTGCGCCGTCCCGACATGCAGAAGATTCTCAAGACTCGGCATCGGTTGACGAAACTGACTCGGGATTACTTCGATGAGCACGGGTTCCTTGAGATCGAGACTCCGATGCTGTGTAGGTCAACTCCTGAGGGTGCGAGGGACTTTTTGGTGCCTTCGCGTCAGCAGGAAGGGATGTGGTATGCGCTGCCTCAGTCTCCTCAGCTGTTTAAGCAGATTCTGATGATCGCGGGGTGTGATCGGTACCTGCAGATCGTGCGGTGTTTCCGGGATGAGGATCCGCGTGCGGATCGTCAGGCGGAGTTTACGCAGATCGACCTCGAGCTTGCGTTCGTGGATCGCGACGCGGTGCTGGAGATCATGGAGGGGTTTGCGAAGAAGATCTGGAAGGAGATCATGGGTGTGGAGCTTGGGGAGTTCCCACGGATGACGTTCCAGGAAGCGATGGACACCTACGGCAGCGATCGTCCTGACACGCGGTTCGAGCTCAAGCTGGTTGATGTCTCTGAGATTGCAGGCAAGACGGACTTTGGTGTGTTCCAGAACGCGCTTGAGAAGAACAAGGGGTGCGTGAAGGCGTTCCGTGTGCCTGGGGTTGCGGAGAAGTTCTCGCGGAAGGTGACTGATGGATTCAGCAAGTTTGCTGAGGACTTTGGTGCGGGTGGGATTCCGACGACGAAGTATGTCAATGGCGCGTTTGAGGGTGGGATCGGTAAGTTCCTTGGGGATGTTCAGGATGAACTGGTCTCGGCGCTGGGGCTTGAGAACGGGGATGCCGTGGTGTTCGCGGCGGATACCTATGGCATCGTTTCGCGTTCGCTTGGTGAGCTTCGTTTGAAGATCGCGAAGGACTTTGATCTGATTCCTGATGGGCTCTGGAACTTCCTCTGGGTGTATGACTTCCCGATGTTTGAGTATGTTGAGGATGCGGGACGCTACCACGCGCTGCACCATCCGTTCACGGCTCCGACGGATTACGAGGTTGAGCGTTTGCTCAGCGCGGATGCGAAGGATGTCGACATGGTTGAGTCGATCGTGTCCGATGGGTATGACATGATCTGCAATGGGTCTGAGATTGGCGGCGGCTCGATCCGTATCCATCGTGCTGATGTGCAGGCGAAGGTCTTTGAGCTGCTTGGTCTGAGCGAAGAGGAAGCGAAGCTGAAGTTCTCTTTCCTGATGGATGCGCTGAGTTACGGCGCTCCACCTCACGGCGGGATCGCGTTCGGGCTTGATCGCTTGGTCATGCACATGTGCGGGACGGAGAACATCCGCGAGGTGATCGCTTTCCCGAAGACGATGACTGGTCAGGACCTGATGTGCGAGGCGCCGAATGTGGTGGACGACGAGCAGCTTGATGAGCTGCATGTCCGCTCGACGGCGACGGTCTCCAGCTAAGTGCTCTCTTATTGAAAACCCACGACCCGCATCGGATGGTGCGGGTTTTTTGTGCGCCTTTGTTGTGCGCGGTTTGTGCTGGAATTGTTAACGCGCATGGCTGTGGTTAACGCATGAGTAAGAACTTGTGAAGAGCGTGTGCAGGATTGATAAAGAGTGTGTGAGGTAGCGCAGTCTTCATGCTTTGGCAACATGGAGCAGGGAACGCGGGGTCTATGTTTGATCCGAACACAATCGCCTCTTTCCAAATGGAGATCTTGGAATGCACAAACACACGCGTCGTAATCTACGGAATATTCGGGGATTTACTTTGATTGAGCTGCTGGTGGTCATCGCGATCATCGCGCTCTTGATTGGTATTCTGCTTCCCTCTCTTGGTTCGGCACGGCTGAGTGCTCAATCGATCATCGTGGCTTCAAATGCTCGCGGAGTGACGCAGGCGGCGACGCTGTATAACTCGAGCAATAAAGATTTGTTCCCACCCTCGTATGTGTATGGACAGGATCGTGATGGGTACGGCTGGCGCTCTGAGATGCAGCGTGAGAGTCATCCGTCTCCGATCAATGGATACATCCACTGGTCGTACTCGTTGTATGACAATGGTGAGGTTCCTGACGATGCGTTTGAATCCCCAGCGGTTCCGTCTCGCGGTGCTCCTCGCACGAATCCGGGTCCTGATCCGGAAGCGTGGGAGAGTGAGCAAGTGAACGCGATGGGTCAGCGTGAGGGTGCGGGGTGGCCTCAGGATCGTCAGGTCAAGCGTTTGGCGTTTGCGGCCAATGCGGCGATTATGCCTCGCAATAAGTTCTTCCTTGGGAGCTCTCAGCGCAAAGCGGTTCTTGTGAAGCAGCACAAGATCGTGCGTCCGGCGAATGAGATCTTGTTTACTGAGTTCCGCGAAACGGCGAACTGGCGTTCTCTTGCTGATCCGGTCGGGATTGGCGGAGATGGCGGGAGCGAGAATGTGATCAAGAGTCACCGACCGATTACGCCGTTTAAGGGGCGTTCGGCGGGTGCGGCGGTGTTTGATGAGCCTTCTCAGTATGACCTTGCTCGCTATGAGTATCCGGATGTGGATGAGTTCCGCGAGGTGCTTAAGACGCTGCAGGATGATCAGATTGGTTTGATCATCGGACAGGGCGGATCGGGATCGTCGCTCGAAGCGGTGAACGATGTGTTCAAGGGCAAGGCGAACTTTGCGTTTGTGGATGGGCATGTGGCGCTTGATGAAGTGCTCAATACCGTGATCAATCGTCAATGGGGCGAACGCTTCTACTCGATCTCTGGGAACAACGAGATCATCGAAGCTGATGACGACGACTGAATGAGTTTGCATGATGAGCACTGAGAAATCGGTGCTCATTGTCTTTCAGAGCTGTAGGACAGCGGTTCTTGATTCGTAGCTGACACAAGGACGGAGATATTGGATTTGACCTTGCCACGGGGCGTGTTGCTCTGCGGCGTATGTGATCGTTCTGCTCATACTTAGGAGAGAGTTGACATGACTAACTTGCACAAGGTTTGTATGCTCGCCGCGGCTTGCGGTACTGTTTCGGGTGTTGCTTCGGCGCAGCCGTTTGGGGTGAATGGATCGGGCGCGACGCTTCTGGAGGCTTTGTTTAAGGCTCCAGCGAACACGCTCGACTTTATTGACGCGGACGGGGACAGCATGGTCCAGGAGCAGCTTGCTCCGTTCGATGCGACTTCGCCGTTTATTGCTTCTCAGCACTGGCAGTTCACTTACCGCGTGGTCGGTTCGGGGAACGGCTTTGCTGAGATGCGTGACTGGGGCACGATCTTCGCGACCGGCATGGACGGTGACGCGGCGAACCTCACTCTGAACTCGGATGAGGCTGATGCGGCGTACTTCAACACACAGTTGTTTGTGAATGCGGCGATGACTCAGGGTGCTGCGGATAGCGACAATCCTGGCGCTACTCCATTCCGTACACTCACCGATGGTTCGTTCGCGATTACCACCGGCACTGGTGCTGGGACTGGTGTCCAGATCGACTTCTCGGCTCTCGATGTTCCTGTGAGCTGGTTTGTGATCAACGACAGCGGCGCTCCGCTGTACAACAAGGTTCCTGGTGCTCCTGGGTACGGTGACAACCCTCGTAAGGCTGTCGACTGGGACGGGAGCGAGCTCTCGCAGGGCAACAAGCTCAAGACGCTTGTTTCCCCGAACGGCCCAACCTTCAACACCAATGTGAACGCTCCTGACGCGTTCACGATCTTTGATACTCCTGTGACGCTGACTCCGGTTGCGGCTCCGGTCAACTTCGGTGTTGGTCTTCAGGAGATCAAGATGTCTGACCTTCGTCACCTCAATGCGACCGGCCGTCGCATGTCGGGTGAGAACCTGATGGTTGTCACTCGTGACTCGGGGTCTGGTACTCGTAACGCGTTCATGAACGGTATCTGCTTGGATCCATCGTGGGGTGTTGGTGAAAACATCGGGCCGAAGACTTCGTCTTCTGACAATGACAAGCTTGGTGCGGACTTCCAGCCTTCGAACAAGGGTGGCTCGTCGCGTATGGAAGCAACCGTGAAGAACTCGCGTCTCGGTGTTGGGCACACTGGTGCTGAGCGTGGTGAGTCCAAGGGCTGGCTCGTTGATGGTGAGCTCGAACTGCTCGCGGTCCAGGCGGACCTCAAGGGCGGCAGCGTGTACGCTCGTCCAACCATCGGCAATGTCGTTGACGGCAGCGCTGACGGCTACAACATCCAGGGGCTTGGTGGCATCGCGACCATCGGTGATCCTCGCTCGGCACCTGCCGCGAAGGGTGGCTGGGGCTGGGATGCATCGGAAGTTGGTCCGAATCCAAATCCGATCCAACCGATGGCGAATGTTGAGGCTGCGGCGTATGTGAACAACATCACTCGTTCGGTTGCGGCGGTGACTGCGGTTCCGACTGATCCAGCGAATGCGTTTTCGCCTGGTGAGTTCCTTGGTATCCAGTTTGTGCTTCCGGCGACATCGTTTAATGTTCCTGAGACCAATCCGGATGCGAGCGAGCCTTGCATCCCGATCGTTGCAAACGCAGCTCGTAACGATGTGCTGACTCAGTTCGTGCTCAACGATCCGAACAATGTGCTTGCACTCGCGGATTACGCTTCGTACAACACCGAATCCGGTGGTGTGGTTCCGACTCGTACCGCAGGCGTGACCTACGACGACGGTGTGCTCGGCGGTACTCACTACGAGTCCATCGATGGCACCATCATCAGCTACGGCGCGTTTATTGGTGACGAGGACTTCGATACCGATATGGACAACGATCGTAATGTGATCGCGGGCGACTTTGACGGCGATGGTGCTCGCACCCCTGCTGATGTTGCGGACATGATCGATGCGTACAACTTCCGCTTCAACAGTGGTAGCTGGAATGGCGGCAGCGTCAACCCGGACGGTCGTGCGTGTCCAGAAATCCTTGGCGATTTCGATGGCGATGGCAACTTCAACGCGATCGATGTTCGCTACTGGGCTGACGGTCTGCACCTTGTTGGTGGCAACCTTGATCGTCGTGCGGGCTTCACCGCTGTGGACGCGGCTGCTGGGATCAACTTCTTCGGCACCACCCTCGCGACTGGTTCGTACGACGACGGTGACTCGCGTGGCGATGTCGCTTCGGCTGCTGCTCTTGGTCTCGGTGTTCAGAACCTCCCAACTCGTGGTTTCCGTCCGAACGGCCACGACGGCGTTGTTGATGGTGCGGACATCGACTACGTCTGCCTGAACTTCGGTGACTGGTCGGTCATCGAAGAAGCCGTTCACATCGACCTCTCGTGTGACATGAACGGCGACCTCGTCGTTGATGGCGCTGATGTTGAAGAGATCGTCGTCAACATCCTCGACTCGGTCATCGGTGACATCGACCTCGACGGCGATGCGGACGCGGATGACCGTGACATCATCGTCTCGTTCCAGGGCGAGGGCGCGTTCTACAGCGAGGGCGACTTCGATTGTGACGGCGATGTTGACGCGGACGACTTGGCTGCTTGGGATGCAACCCAGGCACAGCCATGTCCGGCGGACTTCACTGGCGAAGGTCAGTTGAACTTCCTCGATGTGTCCGCGTTCCTTACTGCGTACGGCAACATGGATCCAGCCGCAGACTTCACGGGTGAAGGTTCGTTCAACTTCCTCGATGTCTCGGCGTTCCTTACTGCGTACGGCAACGGATGCCCATGAGTGAATCACTGCTCGATTGAGCATTGATCAAACCACAACTCGGCACCCCCTCGAGCGATCGGGGGGGTGTTTTTTTGTCTGGTGGTTTTTATGCGGAGCGCTTTCGAAGGTGGGGCGAAGCTGGTACGCTGTTGATCCAGATGTTTGGACGAAGAAGGGATGCACAATGCGTATGACTGGGTTGATCGGGTTGGTACTGATGGTCTTTGGGATGGCGGGGTGCGAAACGCTTCCGATTGTGGACGAGATTCATAAGGATGGGTGGGTCAAGCTGTTTGATGGCGAGAGTTTGGATGGGTGGGCGTGCGAGGGGGATCTAGACGCGTGGGGCGTGGTGAACGGGGAACTCGTGACACTGAATCCCGGCAAGGGGTGGTGGCTGCGGACGGACAAGATGTATCGGGACTTTGAGCTCAAGTTGGAGTTCTGGATGCCTGAGGGTGGGAACTCAGGGGTAGGGTTGCGTGGGTCGTCCAATGGTGATCCGGCGTTTACGGGGTTTGAGGTGCAGATCTTGGATACGCATGGTGAGGAGCCTGCGGATTACACGTGCGGTTCGGTGTACACGGCGATTTCTGCAGATTCGATGGCGGTGAATCCGGCGGGGCAGTGGAACTCGTACCACATCAAAGTGATCGGGGACACGATTGATGTGAAGCTCAACGGGGTGAAGGTGATTGACAATCAACAGCTGGATGATCGTGGGTATTACCGATCACCAGAGAATCCGCTGCCTTTGAAGGATCGGGCGACGACGGGGTATATCTCGCTGCAGGATCATGGGCATCCGTTCCGGTACCGGAATATCAAGATTAAAGACCTATCGGTTGATCCGGAACCTGATGGGATGGTGGCGCTGATTGATCCGCAGCTTGACAACTGGTTTGCGGAGGATAACGCGGAGTGGACGAACGAGGGCGGGACGCTTGTTGGACGCAAGGGTCCTGGGCATTTGTTTACCAAGAGCGAGTACGAGGACTTTGAGATGCGGGCGCTGGTGAAGGTGAACGAGCGTGGGAACTCGGGGATGTACTTCCGGGTGAAGCCGAATCCTGATCCGAACAATCCTTGGCCGATCGGGTATGAGGCGCAGGTGGACAATCATGATCCGAAGAACTTCACGGGCGTGATTTATGACAAGGCGTGGCCTGAAGATCATGCGGTGCCGTTGACTCGGGACGATGCGTGGTTTGATTATCGTGTTCGTGTCGAGGGGGACTGGATCCGCACTTGGATCAACGGCGAGGCGATGGTGGATACCAAGCTGAGCGAGTTTGATCTCGGGCATCTGGCGGTGCAGGGGCATCACGTTGGGAATGTGATCGAGTACCGCGATATTCGGGTGCTTGAGTTGGACTGATTACAAGCTGACTACGGATTTCGTTGTTGAGCTTTCTACGCAGGCTTCAACGAAGCGGACGCCTTGCTTTCCGGCGGTCAAGGTTGGGATGAGTTGGGCGAGGCGTGATGGCTCAGTGTCGTTGTGCAGCGCGTGTATGTGGTCGGCGACTCCGCGGTAGATGTTGGCGAAGGCTTCGAGGTATCCCTCGGGGTGTCCGGCGGGGATGCGTGATGAGAGCTCGGCGTCTTGGTGGAGGTCTGGGCCGCCTCTGGTGTAGGTGGTAGGGTTGGCGTTGAGTTTGGTGACGACGAGGTTGTCGGGGGATTCCTGATTCCATTCGATTGAGCCGAGCTCGCCGTGGACTCGGATGGTCAGGGCGTTGGATTTTCCGATGCAGATCTGTGATGCGGTGAGCACGGCGTGGGCGCCGGATTCGTAGTTGATCATCACGCTCGCGTCGTCGTCGAGGGCGCGGTTGGGGACGAAGGCTTTGAGCGTTGCGTACACAGATTGCGGTTCTTGATTGGTGATGAACGCGAGGAGGTTCTCGGCGTGGGTGCCGATGTCTCCGAGGGCTCCGGCGAGTCCGGCTCTGGTTGGGTCGACGCGCCAGGATGCTTGTTTCTGGCCGGAGGATTCGAGGTCGGTTGCGAGCCAGCCTTGGTGGTATTCGACGAATGCTTTGCGGAGAGGGCCGAGGTCACCTGAATCGATGAGGGCTCGGGCTTGGCGGACCATCGGGTATCCGGTGTAGTTGTAGGTGACGCAGCAGAGGAGGGATCTGGAGCGAGCGAGTTGCAGGAGTTCTTCGGCTTGCTCAGCGGTGTGGGTCGCGGGTTTGTCGAGGACGACGTGGAATCCTGCTTCAAGCGCGGCTTTGGCGATGGGGTAGTGCGTGTCGTTGGGCGTGACGATGACGATGAAATCCACTCGGTCGTCGCGCGCGGATTCATTTTCGAGGAGTTCTAGGTAGCTACCGTAGGATCGGTCATCGGACAGACCGAGTTGTCTGGCGCTTTCTTTGGAGCGTTCAGGCGTTGAGGACAGTGCGCCGGCGACGAGGGTCGCGGTGTTGTCGAGGGCGATGGCTTTGCGGTGGACTTCTCCGATGAAGGCGCCGGCGCCTCCTCCGATCATGGCGTAGGTCAGGGGGGGTTGGGGGGTATTCATGACTGGTCGTCCTTGTCGAATGCGGCGTCGAAGGCGCGGTTGTTGGATGGGAAGTCGAGGTTGGCGACGAACTCAGCGGCTTCAGCGGCGCCGTGCTCGCGGTCCATGGCGCTGTCTTCCCATTCGACGCTGAGTGGTCCCTGGTAGTTGATGCGGTTGAGGGCGCGGATGATGGATTCGAAGTCGACATCGCCTCGTCCTGGTGAGCGGAAGTCCCAGCCTCGTTGGTGGTGTCCGAAGGAGAGGTGGCTTGAGAGGATGGAGTTTGAGCCGTCGAGGGTGGTGGCGGCGTCTTTGATGTGGACGTGGAAGATGCGGTCGGGGAAGTGGTTGATGAGCTGGACGGGATCGAGTCCTTGCCAGATCAGATGTGAGGGGTCGAAGTTGATCCCGAAGGCGGGGTGGTCCCCCACTGCTTTGAGCGCGCGGCGGAAGGTGATGATGTCGTAGGCGATCTCGGTTGGGTGGACTTCGAGGGCGAACTTGATGTTGTGCTTGGTGAAGGCGTCGAGGATGGGTGTCCACTGGGAGGCGAAGTGTTGGTATCCCTCGTTAATGTCTTGGTCGGAGGTTGGTGGGAAGAAGTAGAGTTTGTGCCAGATGGGAGATCCGGTGAAGCCGTTGACGACGGAGACTCCGAGTTTGCTGGCGGCTTGGGCGGCGTCGATCATGTTTTGGGCGGCGCGTTGTTGGACGCCGGCGGGGTCGCCGTCTCCCCAGATGTGATCGGGGAGGATTGATTGGTGTCGTGAGTCGATGGGGTCGGAGACGGCTTGTCCGACGAGGTGGTTGGAGATGGCGTGGCAGGAGAGGCCGTGGGTTGCGAGGGTGTCGAGTTGGAATTGGCAGTAGGAGTCTTCGGAGAGTGCGCGATTGATGTCGAAGTGGTCACCCCAGCAGGCGAGTTCGAGGCCGGTGTATCCCCATGATGCGGCTTTTTCGGCGAGGACGGCGAGGGGCATGTCGGCCCATTGTCCGGTGAAGAGGGTGATGGGTCGTGTCATCGTGCTGGTCCTTCGATCCTACGAGTGCGTGATTGATGGATGATACACGATCGGAGTGCGGGATGGCTTGTGTTTTGATACACTGAGGGTTCTTTGAACGGCTCAGCCGTGGCACTTTCTATTGAAGGAACGGAAGAAGATGAAGAAGTCTCGTGTAGGTTCGCTGTCGTTGATGATGTTCTTTCAGTATGCGGTGTGGGGCGTTTGGCTTCCTTACCTTGCGAGCTATCTGGGGGCGGCTCCGATCCTGGATGAAGCAGGAAATCATGTCGGGGGTGGGTTGGGGTTCAGCGGGGCGCAGATCGGTTGGATTCTGGGGCTCGCGGGTTCGATCGGTGCGGTGAGTGCGCCGTTTCTTGCGGGGCAGGTCGCGGATCGGTTTTTGAATGCGGAGAAGTATCTTGGGATCTTGCTGATTGTGGGCGGGGTGCTCAAGTTCATGACTTTCTATGCGCACTCGTATGGCGCGTTCATGGCGTTGTCGATCGCGTATTCGGTGGCGTATATGCCTACGCTGGCGCTGACGAACTCGATCGCGTTTGCGCATCTGAAGGATCCGGATAAGAGCTTTGGTCCTGTGCGGACTTGGGGGACGATCGGCTGGATTGTCGCGTCCAATGCGTTCCCGTTGATTTGGTTGCAGACGAACTTGGAGTTCACGGCGTTGCCGCCGTTCTTGGCCGGTGATCCGAAGATGGATCAGGCGGGTCTGATTGCGACGGCGCTGCAGGTTTCGGGTGTGGGCGCGGTGCTGTATGGGATCTGGGCGATGCTTGTGCTTCCCAAGACTCCTCCGACGCGGAGCAGCGAGCATCCATTGGCGTTTCTCAATGCGTTTGGGTTGTTCACGAAGCCTGGCTTGCTGGTGGTGACGCTTGCGGCGCTTCCGATTTCGATGATTCATCAGGTGTACTTTATCCGCACGGCTCCGTTTCTTGAGGCGGTCGGTTTTGATACGGCGCTGGTTGGGCCGATCATGTCGATCGGTCAGGTGTCGGAGATTTTCTTCCTTGCGATTCTTGGGTTGTTCTTGAAGAAACTCGGGTTCAAATGGGTGCTGGCGCTGGGGTGCTTGGCGTACTTCTTGCGGTTTGCGCTCTTTGCGATTGCGCAGGAGGACACGAACTGGATCGCGGCGGCATCCAATGGATTGCACGGCTTGTGCTATGGGTTCTTCTTTGCGGGGGCGTACATCTATGTTGAGCGCGTCGCGCCGGCGGATCTCAGGCACAGTGCGCAGACGGTGTTTGCGATCATCATTCTCGGGGTTGGTCCGGTGCTCGCGGGGTTCTATAACCAGATGCTGAGCGGTGTGGGCGGCGAGGAGAACGGTGTCGTCGCGAACTGGGCGTCGGTCTGGTGGGTGCAGGGCGTGATCGGTCTGGTGTGCGCGGTGTTTATCGCGGTGGCGTTCCGGATGGACGGCGATCATGTGTCGGAAGATGAACCGAAAGAGGAAGAGCTCGCGGATGCGCGTCCTCCGAGCGAGGGTTAGGCTGGCATTTATTCTACCTCGACTGGTTTGTTGGATTGCATGCTCTTTGATTCGGCTTTAAGAATCTGCGCGACGATGAGGGCGTCTTCAATCGGCTTGGTTGTGTGGGTGTTGCTGACGATCTGGTCGATGGTCCAGCGGATCTCTTGGTCGTATCCGGTGAGAAGGCTGGTTTCGAGTGGTGTTGATTCATCGGCGTGGTGAAGGATGAGCTGCGGATCTCGGCTGAGATCGAAGTCGAGGGTTGCGTGCTCGAAGGTGATGGTGCACTTCATCTGGAATCCCGCTGAGGGTTGTTGATCCCACGCGCTTTGGGCGGTGATATGGGGGATGTTGTCGTAGTGATAGAGTGTCGTGAGATGCAGCGGATCGCCCGTCGTGGTGACGGCGTTGGGTTTGCCAAAGCAGTGAAGAATGAAATCGGTATCGTGGATGTGGAGGTCGTGGAGGACACCTCCTGAGCGGGACTGGTCTTTGTAGAAGTCGGCGCCCCATGTTGGGCGTGATCCGAGTCTTTGGAAGGCGGCGGAGCGGAGAGGGCCGAGCTCGAGCTGGTTGTGTTTGTTTGTGGTAATGAGTTCGTGGATGGTGGTCCATGCGGGCCAATGTCTCATGCACATCGCGGGGATGCAGAGAGTCTTTGATCTTTGAGCGGCTTCGACGAGCCGCTGGACTTCTTCTGGAATGATCGCGATGGGTTTTTCGACGAGGACGTGCTTGCCTGCGCTGAGCGCATCGATCGCGAGATCGACATGGGAGTCGGTGTGGGTGCAGATGGAGATGAGGTCGATATTGGGATCTCTGATGAGTGATTGGGCGTCGTTGAAGAAGGTGATGTTTTCCGTGTTGATTGATTGCTGATCGGTGTTGATGTTGCCTGCTGGTTGGGATTGGTTGAGGTCTTTGAGGTTTGCATCTGCGATCGCGGCGAGGGTGACGGGGTAGCCGTCGGCTTGGGCGTCTTGGTAGCACTTGGCGTGGGTGCGTCCCATGAATCCGTAGCCGAGGACGGCGGCGTTGATGTTTGCGTGGTTGCTCATGCGGTCCCTAGGTATTGCTCGGCGATGATGCGTGCGGTGATGATGTCGTTGATGCGGTTGTCTCCGGCTTCGCGTTCGATGACGACGTTGACGGTGTCGGGGAGGGTGTTGATGACGCTGAAGAAGTGTGGCCAATCAACCTCGCCTTGTCCTGCGGGGACTTCGGCGCCCCAGGTGCCTGGGGTGGTTGTTGTGGTTGCGTCTTTCATGTGGACCTGCGCGATGCGGGGTTTGAGGAGTTCGATGGCTTGGGCGGGGTTGCCCATCGCGTAGAGGATCATGTTGGCGGGGTCGAAGTTGACGGCGACGGTGTCTAGGTTGGGAAGATCGAGCATGTGAAGGAGGTCTTCGGCGTGTTCTTGCCCGGTTTCGAGGGCGAGGGTGATGCCGAGTGTTTGGAAGGTTTCGTTGACGGCTTTGATGCGATCGGTGATGGTGGTGTACTCGTTGGTGGAGTGGTCTGGGATGAATCCGGCGTGGAGGGTGATGAGTTTGATATTGAGGGCTGCGGCGAGGTGGGCGCTGGCGTGGGCGCGGTGGAGGTTGGCTTCCCAGTGTTGATCGGGGCGGAGGCCTCCGGTGTGTTTGATGGTTTCGAGGGTGGTGTAGTCTTCTCCGATGGTGGTCATCATGGCGGAGCAGATCTGGATGTTGGAGTCGTTGAAGACTTTAACGAGTGATTCGTGATCCCAATGTCCGGAAGTGATTGGGTCGAGTGCGAGTTGTGTTTGGTGAAGACCGGTCTGTTTGATTTTGGCACAGAGATCTGATGGATCTTTGGGATTGAGTGACCAGGAGCAGACGGCGGTGTTCTTTGGCATGCTTGTTCTCTGGTTGGTTCTCTGGATTTTGTCTGGAATTTCTGTGGGATCAATCTATCGAGGTTTGTAAAGGGATCGGGTTCATGGTACGCTGACCGGCTCACAGGCACCGCTTCTTGATTGGGGCCGTTTCATTTGGTATGGATCTGGAGGATCACCGCATGGCACACGATAACGGAACGAGCAACCCATCGAACGGGCATCAGACGAATGACTCTCGGCGTACTTTTCTCGCGCAGACCGCGGCGCTTGCGGGTGTGGCGGGCGTGGGCATGCTTGGAGGCGCGGGGCTCAATACGAATCGACGAGAACGGCTGGTGCCTACGGTCAAGGCGGCGAAGGGGCGTGTTCCCAAGGACGGCGAGTCGATCAATCTGGCGATCATCGGGACCGGCGGGATGGGTGGCGGTCACCTGCACTCGATCATCTCGCTCGCTCAGAGCGGGAAGACGGACGCGAAGTTTGTCGCGTTGTCGGATGTGTGTGATTCGAAGCTTGAGGGTGCGGTGAAAGCCGCGGAGGAAAAACAGGGGATCGAGGTCAAGGGGTATCGGGATTATCGCGAGCTGCTCAAGCGGGATGACATCCATGGGGTGATCATCGCGTCTCCGGAGCACTGGCACGCGCAGCACATCATTGATTCGCTCGCGGCGGGGAAGGACGTGTATACCGAGAAGCCGATGACGCTTCGGTTGGATCAGGCGCTGGAGGTTCGTGAGGCGGTGCTGGCGCATCCGGAGCGGATCTTCCAGGTGGGGACGCAGATGATTATGCTTCCGAAGTACAACAAGGCACGCGAGGTGATCAAGGAGGGGCTCATTGGGACTCCGGTGTGGTCGCAGACGAGTTACTGCCGCAACTCGACGTCGGGGGAGTGGAACTACTACGGGATTGATGAGAACTGGAAGCCTGGTGTGAATCTGGACTGGGATGCGTGGCTTGGGTACCTTGGACCGCGTGAGTGGGATCCGAAGGTGTACGCACGCTGGCGCCGGTACCGCGAGTTCTCGACGGGGATCATCGGTGACCTGCTGGTGCACGTGATGACGCCTTTGATCTTTGCGCTGGATTCTGGTTGGCCTACGCGTGTGGTCGCGACTGGGGCGCATGTGGTGGATCACGACATGGAGAACCATGACCAGGTGAACCTGACGGTGCAGTTCGAGGACGGGCACACGATGGTGCTCGCTGGATCGACGGCGAACGAGGTGGGACTGGAGACGATGATCCGCGGGCACAAAGCGAATATGTATCTCAACTCGCGTCACTGCGAGGTGCGTCCGGAGCGGATCTTTGTCGATGACATCGATGCGGAGCGGATCGAGTGCGAGGACATCGGGAACGATCAGGATCAGCTGCGTCTGAACTGGCTCGAGTGCATGCGTACACGCGAGCCTGCGAAGAGCAACATTGATCTGGCGACGAAGGTGCTGGTCGCGGTGGATCTGGCGACGCGCTCGATGTGGGAGGGGCACGCGTTCCGGTTTGATCCGCAAAAGATGCGCGCCTCGAAGGTGTGAGTTGCTAGCGGGACTCGAATCTGAGTTTGTTGCGGGATCGTTTGAGGCGATGGGCTGTCGGTTTGAGCTGCTGCTCGGGATCGATGGGTCGGGGTTGTCACGCACGGATTGTCAAGCGGCGACTGAGCAGATCCGCGAGTTGGTTATGGAGTGGCATCATCGGCTCAGTGTGTTTGAATCTGGGTCGCTGGTGTCTCGGATCAATCGTTCTTCGGCGGGTGAGGCGGTTGTGGTTGATGACGAGTTGTTTGGGCTGCTGAAGCTCAGCGAGCGGATGCGGGTGGTGACGGGCGGCGCGTTTAACATCGCGGCGGGGACGCTGATGGAGGCGCACGGGTTCCGAGATCAGCGGGTTGAAAGTCGTGATGGGTTGTCGCTTGATGGGCTGTCGCTCGATGGAGCGGTGGTGCTTGATGAGATTCGGCGGACAGTGACCAAGGTGGACGATCGGGTTCGGCTGGACTTTGGGGGGATCGCGAAGGGGTTTGTGCTGGATCTGATCCGTGATGAGCTTGAGGATCTTGGGATTGAGCATGCGTTTGTGCACGGGGGGACCTCGAGCGCGATCGGGATCGGTACATCTGGGGGATCAGATTGGGTCGTGGATGCTGGGGATGGGGTGCGGGTGTCGCTTGGGGGATATGGATTGGGGGTTTCGGAGATTGGGGGGCGCGTTGTTGAGCGTGATGGGGAGCGGCTTGGGCATGTGATGGATCCGCGGCTGATGTCGTCTGCGAATACCAACATTTCGCGGGTGGCGTGTGTGCATCGGAGTTGTGCGGTGGCGGACGCGTTGTCTACGGCGTTGGGGGTTGATGGGGTGATGGATGAGCCGCATGTTGAGGCGGATTTGTGTACACTGATGATCTTTGATGGCGGCGACTCGCCGCGTGTGTGTGACCCGCTTGGGGTTGTGCTGAGCTGATGTAGAACTGAGGTAGTGATGACTGAGATTGATCGACGGATGTTTCTTTCGCAGGCGGCTGGTGGACTGGCGGCGATGGCGCTGGTTCCGGAGCTTCGTGCGTTTGGCGGGTTTGGGATTGATGCGGGCTTGCGGGTCGGCGTGATCGGGGTCGGGCGACAGGGACGCGAGATCATGGGCGAGCTCGGCAAGATCGATGGGGTGTCGGTTGTCGGGGTGTGTGATATTGATGAGCGGCGGCTCAAATCGGGGCTGCGGCGTGCATCGGGCGCAACGGGGTACGCGAGTGTCAAGGAGATGCTCGCTTCGGGAAGTGTTGATGCGGTCGCGGTGGCGACTCCGACGCATACGCATCGCGAGGTTGGGGTAGAGTGCTTGAATGCGGGGGTGCATGTGTATCTTGAGTGTCCGCTGGCGCACACGCGGGAGGATTGTGTGGCGCTGAGCGACGCGGCACGCAACGCGAAGGGTGTGGTCGCGGCGGGGCTTCAGGGGCGATCGAATCCGGTCTATCAGCTGGCGCGTGGGTTCTTCCGTTCCGACTCGGTGCGGGACCTGGTGTCGATGCGGGCGCAGAATAATCGGAAGACGAGCTGGGTGACGCCTTCGAATGATCCGGCGCGGCGCGAGGCGCTGAACTGGAAGCTGGATCCGGCGCGGAGCAACGGATTGGCGGGGGAATGGGGCACGCAGCAGTTCGATGTGTTCCACTGGTACACGGGCAAGTATCCGACAAGGGTCTCGGGGTACGGCTCGGTTCGCTTCTATGAGGACGGACGGAAGGTGCACGACACGATCAACTGCTCGATGATGTACGAGGACGGGGCGGTGCTGGGGTATGACGCAACGCTCGCGAACTCGTACGGCGGGAAGCACGAGGTGTTCTTTGGATCCAACGCGGCAATCAAGCTCGGGTGGTCGCACGGGTGGCTGTTTAAGGAAGCGGATGCGCCGACGCAGGGCTGGGAGGTCTACGCGAATCGTCAGCAGTTCCATAATGATGAGGGCATCACGCTGATCGCGGGGGCGACGAAGCTCGCGGAGCAGGGGAAGCTCAAGGAGGGCGTCGGGCTTCCGAATCCGGCGGTGTACTACGCGCTGGAAGACTGGGTCACGGCGATCGCGAGCAAGGGCGCTCCGGCGTGCTCAGTCGCGGAAGCGGCGCGGGCGACGGTGGTCGGGATCGCGGCAAACGACGCGATCGTGAGCGGGAAGACGGTTGATATTGATCTGGACGGGCTTTAAGAATGAACGACTCGATTGGCTTTCGGCTTAGCGGACTCCCCTACTGCTTTCGGCTTGGCATCGCGCTGTCGGTGCTGACATTGCTGGGCGGGTATGTGGTTTCGGGGCTGCACCTTCAGTGGCACTACGACAATCGGGATGAGTCTCCGGGGCTGACGATGAACGACATCGTTGGGGCGTATCACGGGGTGCAATCACCATCGCCTTTGATTGAGGCGCTGGAGTCGGGGCATCCGGAGACGATCGAGGACTACGAACGATCGGCGCTGCTGGACTGGCTCAAGGGGGATCGGGTCTCGCAGGATTATGACAATCTGGATCTTGGGGATGAGGCGCCGTCGGAGATCATCGCGGTGAGTTGTTTGGATTGTCACACGCGGAGTGCGTCGGGACCTGATGCGTATCCGCAGGTGCCTCTGGAGTACTGGGACGACATCCAGAAGATCGCGGTGTCGAAAGATATTCAGCCTGCGGGGACGGAGATTGTGGCGACGAGTCAGCATGCGCACGCGCCGACGATGGCGGTGATTCTGATCGTGCTGGGACTGCTGGGCATGATGACGCGGTTCTCGCGTCGTGTGCTTGGGTTTGTGGTGTTCGTCTCGGCGCTGGGGCTGCTGGTTGATATGGCGGGGTGGTGGATCACGCGTGAGTACGCGGGGTTTGCGTACGCGATCGTTGTTGGCGGCGGGTTGTACGCTGCAGGGACGATGATCGTTGGGCTGGCGGTCATGGTTGACTGCGTGCTTCCGGCGAAGAAGATCGCAGCAGATTAAGACGACTTTGGTTTAGCTTGAGAGCTCTTCGCGGACGTGTTCGAGGAGGGCTTTGGTGAGTATGCAGCCTTCTCTTGGGGAGTGGTTGGATCCTTCGTATTCGACGCCGACCCATCCGGTGTATCCGGCGTCTTGGACGATTTTGAGCATGCGGTGGTAGTCGGTTTTGGTTTCGTGTCCGTCATCGTCGAAGTCGTAGGACTTGGCGCTCACGGCTTTGGCGTAGGGCATGAGTTCGGAGACTCCCTGGTAGCGGTCGTACCACGCGTCGGGGTCGTCGGCTTTGGACCAGTCCATGCAGAAGTTTCCGAAGTCTGGGAGCGTGCCGCAGTTTGGGTGGTCGACGAGTTGCATGACTTTGGCGAGCCATTGTCCGTTGGATGAGTATCCGCCGTGGTTTTCGACGATGACGTTGATGTTGTGGGGCTGGGCGAACTCGGAGAGCTTTCGGAGACCATCGGCGGCGAGCTTTTGTTGTTCCTCGTAGGACCCTGAACTGGCGGCGTTGACGCGGATGGAGTGGCATCCGAGTTTTTTCGCGGCTCGGACCCATTTGTGGTGGTTCTCCACGGCTTGGGTTCGTGCTTTGGGGTCGGGGTCTCCGAGGTTGCCTTCACCATCGCACATGATGAGGAGCTGGGTGATGTTGTGGTCGGAGGCTTGTGTGTTGAGTTGTTGGAGATACGCGTCGTCGTCGGCTTTGTCTTTGAAGAAGCTGTTGACGTACTCGATCGCATCGAAGTCCATCAGGCGAGCCTCTTTCGCGAAGTCGAGGGTGGTCATTTCGTTTGCGAAGAGGAGCTTGTGGAGCGACCACTGGGCGAGGGAGATTTTGAAGATGGGCTTTGATTTGCTCATTGGTGTTGATCCGAGGAGGGTGGACGGGATGAGCATGGACGCGGCGCAGGTGGCGCCGACGGCTTTGAGTGCGCTCCGGCGGGTGAGCTGATCTGTTGGAATCATCATGGGGCGAATATAGCAGACATCCCCGCTGATCACAACGGGGATATCTGGGTGTTGGGTCAGGATGTGTGTTGCGTATTACGGGCAACCAGCTGCGAAGAAGTCGAGGAACTTCGCGATATCGAGGAAGTTGAAGTTTCCATCTTCGTTGATGTCTGCGGCGGGATCTTCGAGGCCGTAGAGGGTGAGGAACTCGGAGACATCGAGGAAGTTGAGGGCGCCTGCTGGTGCTGCAAAGTCGGCAACGCAGACGGCTTCAACGGAGAAGACATCTTCTTGGAGTTCAGGACCGATCCCGGTGTTGCGGCGGATGATGTGCGAGAGTTTGGTGTTCTCGACTTCGGTCACCATGTGCGGCGGGAGGTAGGTCTGGTACCAGAAGCGATCGGCATCGCGGAGCTTTGTGAATTGTTCGCTGAGGACGCGGAACAGTGTTTCACCCACGAAGGCGCCGGGGCGGTGAGGCTCTGCGAGGAGTCCGACCCACGCGTCGATCTGGTCGACATCGGCGTAGCTGGCGCTGAGTCCTGCGATGACATTGGCGTCTGGGTTGATGTCGCTGAAGTTAACGACTGCTGGACGACCAAAGGCGACGCGGATGTCGTTGTAGCTTGGGAGGCCGTGATCGCGTCCGCGTTGGAGGTTGAGTGATGCGAGGTCGAATCCGCCTGATCCAGGTGCGCCAAAGAGGAAGTTGCGGACATCGTCGACAACGAAGATATCGACGGTCTGAGCGTGCTGGGACGCGAGACCACGGAGGAGCGGATCGATGCCGTGGTTGATGACTTCGTCCGGACTGAAGAATGCATTGGCGAGCGAAAGGTGTCCGGCGGTGATCTCATTGCGGAACTCGTCGGTACGCATGATCTGAGTCGAGAGCATGGTGTGTCCGACACGGTACGCTGCGGTCGCGAACAGGTTGGTGATTCCCGGATCGATTGAGTCGTTGTATCCGGCGAACGGTGGGATTGAACCTGGTCCGAGGAGTTTGGGCAGGAACTCGTTGTAGGTGATCGCTTGGAGTTGCGCGGTCACGATTGCTTTGGCGTGCTGGTAGATTTGCTCGCCGGTGAATCCTGGGTTGTCGATCGCGATCTGGTCGGCGAGTCTGTTGTGCTCGCGGACGAAGAGCGTGTGCATCGCGGTGAGTCCGACCTGCTCGTTGGCGCGGACATCTCCTGCGAGGAAGAGCGTCGGGTCGTGCTCGGTTGGTGCGTTGTGGAAGCCGTTGGTGTTGAACGGCAGGAGGTTCCCTGCGGAGGTCTTGAGCTTCCCGGTTCCGTCGTTGGTGCGGAGCTCAGTTTCACGAGCGGTGTCGGAGCCGTAGACATTGGTGCCATCGATCCACGATGAGATGTTGTTGATTTGCTGACGCACGCCACTGTTGTCGTGTGTATACGCGGAGCGATCAACGGCGATGGTGACGGTTCCGGTGGCGCCTGGATCAAACCATGCATCACCTGATGGGACGATCACATCGAAGTGTTCGGCTGGGGATGCGATTGGGGTTTCGTCGATGTCGTGGTCGAGGAACTGCCCCCACTGCCAAACGAAGTCGGAGTAGTTGTAGTTGTTGGGCATTGCGACAGCGCCCTGAGCGCAGATGTCATTGCTGACCTTGCGTGCTGATGGGCGTCCGGCACCTGCTGGGGTGTTGAGGCCGTCGGCATAGTCTGCTGCAACGGAGCGGACGAGGTTCGTTCCGGCGGCGCCCCATGTTGGGTTTGCTGAGTTGTTGAATGTGCCGTCGATGGTGCGGAACTCGAGCGGGAAGACGGCTGGACCTGAGGGTACGCCTTGTCCTTCGACTTCGCCGATGGGTTGTGCTTTACGCTGGTTGAGCGACGAGCGGCGGTCTTGTTGTTGGGCACCTTTGTCAGCAGACTTCGTGGACTTGCTCGGCTGCATCTGAGCGATAGCAACGGGAAGTGCGCACGCGGTGGCGAGGATTGTAATGGTGACGGCGTGATTTCTACCCAGCTTCATGGGTTCCCTCCTGATGGATGCGATCTGTCGTGGTTCGTTGTCCTTCTTGGACTTCACCGTCTGAATAACGCATGAACTGACAACAGATTGCGATTACGGACATATTGAACCACTTATCGGGAGATTTGGCAAGGCAAATTAAGGGAATTGGCATGTGATGCGGTTGTTTTTAGACTTGTTTTCTCGTGTCTGTATTGATTCTTGTTTGCAGTTACGGAAGTAACAGTTTCGAATGCTGAAGACCAGTTTACTGTGGGTTTTTAGATACTCATGCAAAAACGGACTCCGTACCGCGCGCGGGGATGGCGTTTGTCGCTTTGTTTGATGGCGAGACGAGGTCTCGGAACAAAATAAACCATCAAAACGGAGCTGGAACATGTATATGAAAAACTGCTTTGCCGGGGCATTGGCTATCGCTGCGGCGACTTCGCTGAGCGTTGCGGACACGATTACTGTTGGACCGAACTTTGTCGATTACGACTTCATCACGATCACGGCGGCGATCAATGCGGCTTCGAGTGGGGATGTGATTGTGATCCAGCCGGACCTGTATCCGGAGAACTTGAGTGTGACGGGAGGGAAGGATCTGACGCTCCAGAATGCGGGCGGCGGAGATGTCGTTGTGTTTGGACAGGGGCTTGGGAAATGCTTCCTCGCTTCAGGAGGAACGACCGATGTGGTGCTCGATGGGATTACGTTCACGAATGGGTCATCGGCGACTGCTGGATCGGGGGTCTCGATTGAGGGCGGATCGACGGCGATCATCATGGACTGTGTGATTGAGAACAACTCGGGCACGGGCAATGGTGGCGGGCTGTACATCTCCGGCACAGCGACGGTCATGGACACGATCATCCGCGGGAACACCACGACAGGCGACGGTGGCGGGTTGTACATAATTTCAACGACAAACAAGACCTTCATCAACTGCACCTTTGAAGACAACACTGGGACTGAAGGCGGCGGAATGGCGTATGCGTCGGCTGGTGACACGGCGGACTTCATCGGTTGTAGGTTTATTGACAATGACGCGACGGTCCGCGGCGGGGCGATCGCGGTGCTTGGTACATCGAGCGCTGGGATTGTGGATGTGTTGGACTGTGTCTTTGATCAGAATGTCGCGGGTTCTGGTGGTGGCGCGGTGTGGATCTCGGATCAGGATGTGTTCCACGCGACGAACTCGGTGTTTTCAAACAACATGGCGCAAGTTGACGGCGGTGCGGTTCGCAATGAGCAGATCTTTGAAGCCGTGAACTGTACATTTGTGGGGAATGATGTTGTCGCGGAGGGTGTGGCGGATACATTCCGCTCGGCGCGCACGGATGCGGATACGAACCTGCTCAACTGCATCGTGGTCAATGACTCGGCGACCTCGGACAGCGGGACGGGTGATCTGAACGCGACATATAGCTTGCTCCCTGAGGGACCAGCGGGCAGTGCGGATTCCAACGGGAACTTCAATGCGGATCCGATGTTTGTCGATCCAATGATCGGCGATTACTCGCTGATGGCTGGTTCGGCGGCGATCGATGCGGGGAACTCGCGTGGGGTGCTGGGAGCGCCGAACATCGGAATCATCGATGTGTTGGATCTGGATACCGATCTAGCGGGGGATATCCGGAATCTGGATGATCCGGATACTGTAAATAGCGGGATCTCGACCTGGGAGTTGTGTGTGGATCTGGGTGCGTTTGAGTACCAGCCTAATCCGGCTCCGAGTTGTACCGCGGACATCAACTCGGATGGATCGCTCAACTTCTTGGATGTCAGTGCGTTCCTTGCGGCGTTTAGTGATGGGTGCCCTGAGTAATCAAGAAGTTTGCTGGTGAAAATCAAAGGGACATTGGCAGGCCCGATAGGTCGGTGCGATTTGATCGATCGTGCTCCATATCGGGCTTGCTGCATTATTGGCGATTGCAATTGCCATTGAAACGGGCGATTCAGCGGGAGTATTCTTGAATCCAGCGTGAGATCTTGGTACTTTGTGGTTACCCATGGCTCGTTCGAGTTCAGCGTTGTTGACGCCCATTTTGGTATTGTGTTTGTGCACTGAGTCCGGTGTAGGCGCGGTCCCTCCGGGGGCAACAGAACTGGATCGGCAGGCATATGCGGATCAACTTGAAGGGTTCTGGCTGGGTCAATGCATTGCAAACTGGACTGGATTGAAGACAGAGGGTCGACGGCGCGAGCATCCATTTTATACAGATGCGGACTGGCCCAATACATTTGATGGGGTCGCACTTGAGTTTGTGATCCACCAAGATCCGTGGCAGGCGGATGATGATACGGATATCGAGTATGTCTACGCATCCCTGATGACAGAACAGCAAACTGTTCTGCTCTCGGCTGATGAGATCCGTGAGGGTTGGATCGAACACATCAACAGCTTCATTTGGGTGAGTAATGCACAGGCGCGAGATTTGATGGATCGTGGGGTTTCGCCTCCGATGACGGCGCTGGCGACGGCGAATACTGATTTTCAGATGATCGATGCGCAGTTGACGACGGAGTACTTTGGGGCTGTGTCGCCTGGGATGCCTTCGGTCGCGCTGGAAATTGCGGATCTTCCGATCCGAACCACAGCGGGCGGGCACGCGGCACACGCGGCACAGTTCTTTGTGGTGTTGCACTCGCTGGGTGCGGTTCGAGGACAGGATGCTCTCAATGCGTCTGGGATTGAGCAGCTTGTCGAGGATGCGCAGGCTTATATACCTAGCACATCAAAGGTCTATGACATTGTCGAAACTGTGCTGACTGATTACCGATCGAATCCGGACAAGACCAACTGGGAACGCACACGCGATCTGGTTGCGGATCGGTATCAGGTGAATGATGCGGCAAATGGCTTCCGATTCCAGGCTTGGTTTGAGAGCTCGGTGAACTTTGGTTCGGCGCTGGTGTGCTTGTTGTACGGCGAGGGGGACTATCGCGAGACTGTGCGCATCGGGACGCTCACTGGATGGGACAGCGATAATCCCACGGCAACGATGGGCGGATTGATCGGTCTCATGCTGGGTGCGGATGCGTTACGCGATGAGTTTGCGGGAGAAGATCTGAGTGATCGGTACTGGATATCGCGGACACGCGATGCAATGTTCGATTATCTTCCCGAAGATGCTGAAGCAGAGGATTTGTTCACATTGCTCGCGCAGCGGCAGCTCCGCAATATTGATCGTGCGGTCCAGATGGGGGGCGGCGTAGCGAACTTTGCGGGATGGTTGATTCCTGAGCATCCAGCGGGTGATCACACGCAGCATAATCCGATCAGCCGAGAGGGGTTACGAAGCGCCAATGTTCAGCAGATTGAGCTCGGGACACCCCCTGTTGCGTCTACATCTTTGGTTGAAGATCCTGTATTGCAAGCGGGGTCTCCGCTCCCGGATCGGTTTGCCAATGGGGTGGAGCATGATCCGAGCGGCCGGGAGTATCTAGATACACAGGACTTCCAATTCTACTGGACGAAGGGATCGGCGCCAGACATGAACGGCGAGGTGGCGCTGGAGGTGCAGTACGCGCAGCCCGTTGAAGCGCACACGCTGCGTTTTATTGAGGGTGATCACTTTGTTGATGGCGGCTGGTTTGAAACACTTGTGTTCGAGATTCGTGTCAATGGAGTGTGGATGCCTGTTACGCGTGGGGATGAGTACGCGCTTGATGAGACGATCCCGTTTGAGCGGATTGACTTTGTGCTCGATCAGGTCACGATGATTGATGGTGTGCGTGTCCGTGGCGAGGTTGGTGGTTCGGCGAGTTACATCACAGCGAGCGAGCTTGATGTGCTGACGGCTCCGGTTCAGCGTCCTGACTTTGGGTGGGATATCAATCAGGACGGGGTGGTGGATGTTGAGGACCTGTACTCGTTCAATGACTCCCCGATTGATATGAATCAGGACGGGTTAATCGAGGACATCGACAAGAAACTCCTTGAACAGGCGGTGCGGTGGAAGGAACTCGAGGAGATCCGTGGGGATCGTTGAGTACCAATCTGCTTTACGGGCATCCCATCGCATAGGCACTCAGGAAAGCGCTGACATCGAGGAAGTTGAACGAACCATCGGGCTCAAAGTCGGCGACTGGGTCCATGTTGCCATACGCGCTGAGGAAGGCGCTGACATCGAGGAAGTTGAGTTGGCCTTCTCCGGTCAGGTCGGCGGGGCAGTTGAGGAGTCCGACGTAGATCTGATCATCGTCGAGATTGATCCATCCGGTGTTCTCGCTCCATGCGTAGCCTTTGAATCGGTTGTCTTCGATGCGGGCGGGGTTTGGGGGTGATGCCATCGCGCCGCCTGCGAGGTTGATCCATCCGGTGTTCTCGCTCCAGGCATAGCCGGAGAGGTCTCCGGTCATGGGGTCGCGGTTGACTCCGAAGTCGAGTCCTGTGGTGTTTGGGTATGGTCCGGCGCCTGATCCGAGGTTTATCCAACCGATGTTCTCGGCCCAGATGTAGCCCTCGAGGTAGTCGTCGTTTGCAAAGACCTGGTCTGCACCTGCTCCGGTGAAGTTGAGGAATCCGATGTTCTCTCCCCACGCGAAGTTGTTGGCGGGATCGATGGCTTGGGCGCGAGCGAACGAGGCGCACGCGGCGAGTATGGTGGTTGATGTGATGTGTCGCATGTCGTGACCTCCGGAGTTTGTGGGTTATGGGAGGACGATGTTGTCCCACGCGCCGGCTCCGTTTGGTGTGGAGGATTCGTCGGCGAGTCCTGGGAGGACTGAGCTGATGTCGAGGTCGAGGAAGTTTCCGCTGACGATGTTTCGGACGAACACGGAGGAGTACATCGAGCGGAGACCGATTTCGTTGTTGTTGACGACGTTGGAATCGATGAGTGAGCCGTTGCCTTCGATCTGGATGCCTGCGGTGATTCCGAAACCGATGCCGTTCTCGGTGACGAGGTTGTTGCGGACGATGCAGTTCTCACCGACGCGGATCCCGTCCTCGGTGTTGTCGCGGACGATGTTGTCATGGACGATGGTGTTGGCGCCAACGTAGATTCCCTGCTGGTTGTCTTCGGAGATGCAGTGGTTCACGAAGCCGTTGCTGAGTACATAGATACCAACCCCAGCGGAGTCCCTCACGATGCACTCGGAGACGCGTCCTTCGTGGATGATGATTCCGGTGTTGTCGCTGTCGAGGACGCGCATGTTCTCGACGATGATGTTGTCGCTCTCGGTGGAGTTCAGGGCGATTCCTGTGTTGAAACCGATGAGTGTGCCGTTCTTGACGGTGACATTTTTGACTCGGACACCATCGGTGGTCACGCCGTTGAGGGTGGCTTCTCCGAGGGTGATGAAGGAGAATCCTTCGAAATCGATGGTGACATTGTCCGCGGCGACCTCGATCGCGTGCCTCGCGGCGCCGAACTGGAGGAAGCTGATGTTGCGCGGCACGTAGTACGATCCGGGCTGGGTGATCTTGTAGGTGGAGTTGTCGTCGCCTGGCGTGTTGATCGCATCGATGGGGGTGCGCGGCTCGACCTCGTCGAGGGTTTTCATCGTCGAGTCGATGGGACCTGCGGGCGGATCGAGCGGTCCGGCGCATGCGATCGCTGCGAGTGCGGAGAGTGTGATTGTTGCGAGTGTGGTGTTCATTGGTGGTTCCTATCTGGGTGGTGTTGAGTTTGGTGTTGGTGTGTGTTTATGGGCATCCCGCGCTGTACTGGGCGAGGAAGGCGCTGACATCGAGGAAGTTGAATGAGCCGTCGGGCTCGAAGTCAGCGATGGGGTTCATGTTGGCGTAGGCACTGAGGAAGGCGCTGACGTCGAGGAAGTTGAGTTGTCCTTCTCCGGTCAGGTCGGCTGGGCAGGGGGCTTCCATTTCGTACGCGCCCATGTCGGGTGCGGGGATGGAGTCTGCGTTGCCGTCGATGAGGCGGTGGTATCCGAGTTGATCGAAGGATGGGACCTCGTCGGTCGCGGCGGCGTCGATGATTGGGCTGGTGGGCTGCATCGGGAACGCGAAGGTGGTTCCGATTTGGAGCGGGGTTCCGAGGAACTCGGGGTTGTCGCCCACCATCACGTTGACGAGTGAACCGAAGGTTGCGCCGCTGAGTGTGGTCAGGAGTGAGTGATCGGCGAGGGCGAAGTTTCCGATCGCGTCCGCGTCGTCGCCGTCGAATGTGTTGTATGCGAGGACGCTGGATTTGATGATGGGTTGTTCGGATGAACCGAGTGCGTCGATGCCTCCGGCGGAGTCGTCGTTGGGGAAGACGCCGGCTTCGTTTTCGAGGATCGTGCAGTGGAGCAGGCGGACGGGTTGATTGGACTGGGTGCGGATCGCGCCGCCTTCCCAGAAGCTGAGGTTGAGGTAGAAGGTGGAGTTGAGGATGTCCACGGCGGAGTCGTTGACATAGACCCCCCCACCGTTGAGGGCTTCGTTCTCGAAGAACGAGGAGCGTTTGATGGTGGCGCTGGTGTTTGAGGTGTGGATCGCGCCGCCGTCGTTGTTGGCTTGGTTTCCGGTGAAGTGAGATTTGTAGATATGGATTGGCGCGGTGGTGGAGATCCCTCCGCCGTGGTCAGCGGCGAATCCGTCTTTGATTGCGACGCTTTCGAGTGCGACGGGACCTGATGCGAGGATGTTGCCTCCGTTTCCGCTGTTTGCTCGGCCGTCTTGGATGGTGAGTCCTCGGGCTTTGAGCATCGCGGCTGGGGCGACATTGAACACGCGTGAGGTGTTGGAGCCGGTGATTGTTGTGGTGTCTGATCCATCTCCGACGAGGGTGATGGTGGTTTGGATATTGAGTTCACCGAGCGTTGAGATGTCGTAGGTTCCGGCGGGGAGGACGATGGTGTGCGGGATGTTCTGGGCGTTGGCTTCTTCGATCACGGCTCGGAGGGTGAGGAGGAATCCGGGGTTGAAGTAGTCGCCGTCGCCTGGGGTTGGGTCGGCGAGGTCGGTTGTGGTGTTGAGCTCGATGACGCGCGAGGGTTGCTGGACGACGCTCAGACTGGTTGCGTTATTGAAAACGGTGCCGCCGGTCGCGAGGACGGATTGCGATCCGGTTTGTGTGTCGACAGCGATGATGGTGCTTTGTGGGTTGGTTGCGTCGAGAACATAGATGTTGCCGTCGTGTGCGACGACGAGATCATCGATGGACTGGATGTTTTCGGCGCTGGTGAGTTCGGTCACTCCCCCGCTTGCATCGACTCGGTAGATGATGGGTTGTGGCGGTGATACTCCTCTGGAAGCACCGTCGGATCCCCAGACATAGGTTGTTCCTGGGATGACGGGATCGATGTGCATGCCGTCGATTGCGAATGGTCCTGCGAAGACGCCGTTGACGGCGAAGGGCTCGAGTTCGAGGAGCTCATCTTCGATGGATGCGCGATCGAGGGGCGCGAGGTACATCCCTGGGCCGTTTGGTGCGTCGTAGCTGAAGACGGCGAATCCGGCGTAGTTGGTGTAGGACTCGCCGTCGATGCCGTCGAAGGCGTCGAGTTCGTTGGGGTCGATGAACCAGGCGCGTGGGTAGGCGAGTCCGGCGGCGACGGTTGCGGATGCGATGGTGAGTTCGTGTTCTTGATCGAGTGTTGGGTAGCTGATAATCGCGGAGTTTGCGGTGAAACCCAGCAATGGATCATCGAATCCAAGCAAAGGGTCGTCGAATCCGAGCAGAGGATCATCAAACCCGAGTAGTGGATCATCAAAAAAATCCGGCATGTCGGCACGCATGGGGTGTTGGATTCCGATCATGCTTGGAGTGAATGCGAGGATGGGATTGTTGAATCCCAACAGTGGATCATCGAAAGCAACAATTGGGTTGTCGAAGGAATCGAAACCTAATGCTGGGTTGAGGAGTGAGGTGTAGAGGGGGCCGCCTTCGATGGAGCCATTGCCGGAGTAGGTGAAGCGGAGCATTCCGGAGCCGTTATCGAGGACGACGAGTTCGAGTCCTTCTTCGGAGATGGTGCTGACGGGCGCGAGCTCGACTGTGGATGGAAGCTGGAGCCCTCCGGTGTATCCGGTTTCCCCGACCAATCCTGTGGTGGTGATGGAGAAGATGTCGGGGAGTCCCGACTGGGTGTCGATCGCGGAGACGAGGATGGTGCCTGGTTCTGGGATCGGCTGAGCCGACGAACCACAGGCGACCAGTGGGATACAGAATGATGAAATCAAGTTGCGAGTGGTTCGTCGGCTTGGCATATCCGTGTCTCCTCTTTGGTGGATGGGTCCTCCTGTATGGCCTTGGGGGAGGCGGGTTTGACACGGATTTGAGATTTTCTTGTGATTTGGGGTTCGTGGTTGTCCAAGTTGTTCATTGCGGCTTGGGGGGCGGATTTGTATACTGATCGCTCATGAAGTGGGAAACGACGACCATTCTGCTTGAGCAGCTCCAGAACTCGGAAGACGATGCGTGGCAGCGATTTACGGCACGCTTTCGGGAGCCGATGCTGCACTTTGCGTCGCGGATGGGCTTATCGGACGCGCAAGCGGAGGACGCGGTGCAGGATGCGCTGGTGCAGTTTCTCGAGGGGTATCGCGAGGGGAAGTACGATCGGTCGAAGGGACGATTGGGGAGTTGGTTGTTTGCGCTGATGTACCAGTCGATCCGCTCGCATCGGCGCGATGGGTTCCGCTCTCCGAAGCAGGCGCCCACGCCTTTGCAACCCACGACTTCGCATCGGACAACATTCTTCTCGGCGCTTCCTGATGAGGATACGGCTCGCGCGGAATGGGAGATGGACTGGGATCGGCACTCGATCAATCGGTGCATGGCGCAGCTGCGCGGCGAGGTGAACCCCACCCACTATCGCGCATTTGAGCTGATGACGATTCGGCAGGTGCCTGCGATGGAGGTCGCGGAGCAGCTGGGGTTGTCGCGCGATGCGGTGTATCAGGCGCGGTATCGTGTGCTCAAGCGGCTCGAAGAGTTGCGGAGTGAGTTTGATGGGGTTGGGGGGATGGCTTCATGAGCGAGCATCTTTCAATCGGTGAGCTTGAACGGCTGCGCGCTGGGGAGGAAGCGGCTGGAGTGAATGATGGGCGTTCGCTTGATGAGATCCGGACGCATCTGGATTCGTGCGTGGCGTGTCAGGGGACGCATGCGGAGCTTGGGTCGCTTGATGCGCTGGTGAGTCGAGTGCGTGAGGTTTCGGGAACCGAAGATGTGCAGGCAGCGGGAACACTGAGCATTGAGGGGTACACGATCTCGCACGAGATCCATCGGGGTGGTCAGGGGATTGTGTATCACGCAACGCAGAACTCGACGGGGCGGAAGGTCGCGATCAAGGTGCTGCTCAAGGGGGCGCTGGCGAGTGAGGGGCAGCGGCGGCGCTTTGAGCGGGAGATCGATCTGGCGTCGCGGATCAATCATCCCAATGTGGTCTCGATCATTGATCGCGGAGAGACGGCAGACGGGCGTGGGTTTCTGGCGATGGAGCTGATAGAGGGGCCGACGCTGGATGGGTATCTCGCGGAGCGGGAGTTGTCGGTTGAGGATCGCTTGAGGTTGTTTGTGCAGGTATGTGATGGTGTGGTGGCGGCGCATCAGCGTGGGGTTTTGCATCGGGATCTGAAGCCTGCGAATATTCTGATTGATCAGGCGGGGCGACCAAGGCTGCTGGACTTTGGGCTCGCGAAGGATCATCTGAACGAATCGGCGACGATGGTTCGGACGATGGAGGGCGAGTTCATGGGGACGCTCGCGTACGCTTCTCCGGAGCAGCTGCGCGGGGATCCGTCGCTGATCGATGCGCGGACGGATATCTATACGCTTGGGGTGCTGTTGTATGAGATGCTGTGCGGGAAGCTGCCTCATGAGATGAGCGGGTCGATCGAGGCGGTGATCCAGCGCGTGCTTGAGCAGACTCCCAAGGCGCCCAGCGCGATCAACGGGAAGCTGGACGGCGATCTGGATGTTGTGGTGCTCCATGCACTGGAGCATGAACCGGAGCGGCGGTATCAGACGGTTGAGGGGTTTGCGAACGATGTGCGCGCGGTGCTGGAGCATCGACCGATTGAGGCGCGTCGCGCGAGCACGGTGTATCAGATCCGAAAGTTTGCGCGTCGGCATCGCGCGGGGGTTGCGGTTGTGGGTGTGCTGCTGCTGGGGATGATCGGGACGATGACCGGGCTTGCTGTTGGGATCGTGCGGACCAACGCGGCGAATCGGTTGGCGGAGCAGCGACGGATCGCGGCGGAGACGGAGCTGGATAAACAATCGCGTATCAGCGTGTTCTTCCGGGATCTGCTGTCTGAGGTTGATCCGGGGCAGAGCGGTCCTGACATGCGCGTGATGGAGCTGCTCGATGTCGCGGCGGGTGAGGTCGATGAGCGGTTCGCGGAGTATCCGGAGCTGGGAGCTTCGATCCAGAGCACGATTGGCGAGACGTACACGCGGCTGGGGAGTTACGAGGCGGCGGAGCGGCAGCTCAATGATGCGATCATCGCGATGGAGTCGCTTGATGAACCCCCTGTGATGGCGATGGCATCGACGCTGGTGGTGCTGGCGCAGGTGCAGACGGCGACGACGCGGCTTGATGACGCGGACGCGACGCTCGATCGGGCGCTGGAACTCATTGAGGAGACGGATGCTCCTGATGAGCTGCTGGGGCAGCTCGAACATCAGCGCGGGTCGCTGCTGTATGAACGCGGAGAGTTCGCGGCTTCGATCGAGGTGTATCAGCGTGCGATGGATCGGCTTGGTGATCTGAATGAAGACTCGTCCAAGCGGATCGGATCGCAGGTGCTCATCGGGATGGGGGTCTCGCTCAAACGGCTCGAGCGGTTCGAGGAATCGCTTGAAGCGTATGAACGCGCGCTGGTGCTGCTCGCGGATGTTCGCGATGAGGATCATCCCGACACGCTCGCGTGTCTGAGCAATCGTGCGGAGGTGCTCAACAACCTCGGCCGCGCTGAAGAGGCGGAGTCGCAGCTGCGGGAACTTGTGGTGCGGCGCAAGCGGGTCTTTGGTCCGACGCATGAGCGGGTGGGGATCACGCTCAATAATCTTGCGGATCTGCTCAGTGATCGCGAGGCGTATGACGAGGCGGGCGAGCTGTTCGATGAAGCGATCGGGATCTTCCGGATCAATCCGGGCGATCCGAGCTTGCGGCTGGCGATCACGATCCATAATGCTGGGGTGATGCATCTCGAGCGGTCGCATCTGGAGCGGGCGCATGAGATGCTCGGAGAAGCGGCGACGATGACCGGCACGATTCTCCCAGAGGGGCACTGGATTCATGCGCAGTTTCGCGTCAAGCTCGCGGAGTGCATGATGCTCAGCGGGGAGATCGAGGATGCACGCTCGATGCTTGTTGACGCTCGTCCGAACCTGGTCGCGGCGATGGGTGCGGAGCATCGGCGGGTGGCGCATGTGGACTCGCTGCTTGATCGCTTGACTGATTAGGGTGGGCGGATGTAAAAGCGACCTGCCAATGGCAGGCCGCTCTCATAATTGGTGACCTGGCGAATCAGGTCACGAGAATAATCTCGGGAATGTTGCTTGGCTCAGCAACTTGAAGCCAATCAGTTGAGATTGCAGCCAAGGCTTTGGAGTCTGAGGAACTCGCTGATATCAAAGAAATCGAACTCCCCCCAACCAGGTCTGAGATCTGCGGCTGGGTCTTGTGCGTTGAATCTCACGAGGAACTCACTGACATCGAAGAAATCGATCTGACCGAATGGCTGAGCGAAGTCTGCGTATGAGCACCATCCGATGCGGACGACATTGCCCGCGGTGGTGGCGGATCCTGCCATGATTTCGGCACCGGTCATGGTCACGACTGATGGCGCATCGTTTGGATCGAGCCAGGTGACGGTGATGGTGATGGTGTCGGCTGGGCTGATGTCTCCGAGTCCGAAGTGGGCTTCGGCGGGTTCGTGACCCATGAAGCTGACACCTGCGGAGATGGTGTGGAGCATGCTCAGGTCATCGCCTACGGCTTTGTCTACATCCACGGTGATCTTGGCACCCAGCGCGAACGGGTTCGCTTCATCGCCACGCGGTTTGACTGTGAGGCTGTGTCCGATTTGTCCTATGCCGGTTGGTTGGTTTTCGTAGAGGAGGATTGCTGAAGGATCGGTAGCGAATTTTTCAACTGTCTCCATGACATCGAGGTCGCCGTCACGGTCATAATCGAACTTGATCAATGAACTGCTATTTCTTACACTCGGGAAGTCCACACTCAAGGAGGAAAACAGTTCTTCCACAAAGATCCGCCCCTCTTCAGCGGGATTTTGAGGATTCGATGAGTTGCTTGAGTTCATGAATACATGAGACTTATTATTCAAATTATGAACTTGATTCGTAACGAGAATGTCTTGCCATCCGTCATTGTCCAGATCAGCGAATGTAGCTCCCCAGTTCCAAGTATCTTGAGAATAAAGGTTGTTGACACTCGAAACAGGGTGCATTGCACCGGAAACGCTGGGCGGATTCGGTGTCAGATTGTTTCGATATAGCACATTAAAGTTCGGTGCAATGCTGTCATCGGTGATGTTGGAGGTGAACAGATCTAGATCACCATCCGCGTCGTAATCAGCGAATGCGACCCCCATGTCAAAGTCATCATTCGCCATTCCAACAGACGACGCAACGATGTACTCCAGATCCAGTGCCCCTCCCGGAACGGTGTTGTTGATCCACATCCGGTTGTCGAATCCGTCGCACGCGGCGAAGATGTCGAGGTCACCATCTTGATCGAGATCGATCATTACGGACTGCCAAATGCTGGCGATCAGATCCCCGTCATCCTGTGGGTTCCCTTGGGGATCATTGATTGTCGGCGTGAGTGTTCCAGCTGGGACTTCTTCGAACATTCTGCCGCTGGGGCCTTGAACATTCCGAAGCAACCGTGCATTTCTTACATACGGATTCGAAGCACTATTCACTACGTAATACCCTAGGAATAGCTCTGGGTATCCATCACCATCAAGATCGCCTGCTGAAACTCCACCAGCTTGCCTATTCCCGATTTGGAGACCTGCATTGAGGAGATCTTGGGTTAAGTTTAAGCTTGAGAGTCCTGATTCTGCAGAGACATTTTCAAAGGTGTTATCGTGACGCTGACGAAAGAGACGGGGCTTGATCTCGTTAGGACTAGCTGTACTACTACATGTATGGCAATCACCAAATACCACAAGATCTAAGAGGCGATCACCATCATAATCGACCCACAATCCAGTAACTGATTTGAGAAAGTCCAATCCGATATCCCAGTTGGATACTACTGATTGAAACTCAGTTGCTGTGTATGTCGCCGACCCTTGATTTCCATCCTGATCGAAGAGGTTGTTGATAAATAGAATGTCTTGCCTGTAACGGCCTCCTGATGACCCCCCTTCAGTAATCAACCCGAAAGGGACAAAGACATCAATATCACCATCATTGTCAAAGTCAGCAGCGGCTATCCCACTGCTTTGCGATGCCAAAAGGTGCCCGGGGAAAGAGTATTCAACATCAGATATTCCCTTATCACCGGATACATCCATAAGTTTGAATGAAGCCGTCTGTCCCAAGAGCATGCTTGGGGTTGCCGCTCCGGCTAGCAGGGTCATCTTCATGCACTTTGAATAGCTGAATCCATTCATGGGGTTCTCCTCGGTGGTTCTGATTTACTGATCGCATATATCGCATAGAGAGCCGGGATATAGAAATGGCTCCAGAGAACAACGCTCTGAACTTTGGGCTTTGCGCAACGGATTCTGAGAAAAACTTGAAGTTCTTGAGAGCACTCGGTGTCGAGGTGGTGCATTCTGAGCGTGGTAAAAAACCCGATTTGGAGGCCGCGAACGAACCATTTGCACTGGTTTTCGTATACATTCAGCAGGGAACGGTCGGATCGATCTTTGCCTTGTGTGCCCGATAGTGGGCGTCGTTTCTTTGCTCAGGTTCGTGGGTACAAACATGATTGATCTCGGAGTTGAACAAGATCGCCATGGGATGCTGACGGGCATTGATTCGGCGTTGATTGATGACATCTATGCGGAGCTCAAGCGGGTCGCGGCTTGGCACTTGTCGGCGATGCATCAGGACATCACGCTTGGGCCGACGGACTTGACGCATGAGGCGATCGGGCGGGTGCTTCGGCAGAAGAAACGGGACTGGAACAATGAGACGCACCTGCTGGCGGTTGCTTCTCTGATGGTCCGCAGGGTGTTGATGAGTCATTTGCGATCAAAGTCCGCTCAGAAACGGGGTGGCAAGTCGTGTGGTCAGGGGGGCGGTCATCGCGTGATGTTTGAGCCTGCAAGCAGGGATGGACTCTCTCCGATTGATCTGCTGTGTTTGTGTGAATCGATCGAGGGGCTTGAAGAACGGCAGTCGACCATCGTCCAAATGAAAATCTTTGGGGGCATGAAAACAGAGATGATTGCTGAGTTTTTGAGTGTATCCGTACGCACGGTTCAACTAGAATGGAATCATGCTCGACTCTGGCTCGCAAGAGAACTCGCGAACGAACACTGATCCAGTCTTCCAGGATCGAGTGAACGAGGCGATTGACCATGCTCTTCGATTGTCGGATGAGGAGCGTGCTGAGTATTTGAAAACATTGTGTCGTGATGAGCCGGATGTTGTTGCGGAAGTGATCTCATTGCTTCAGTTTGAGTCGATTGCCGAGCAGATTGACGAGTTGCCTTCTCTGAATCCTGACTGGCTCACACCAGGCAATCTGAGTTCTCTATTACAGTTCAGTGTTGAGATTCATGGGTTTCGGATCATTCGTGAGATCGGGCAAGGCGCCAATAGTGTTGTGTATGAAGCGGAACAGTTGGATCCGCATCGCCAAGTTGCGATCAAGGTATTGAGTTTGACGAGCGGAGCGGCTGACGCTGCGGAACGCTTCAAACTCGAAGGGCACATCGGCGCTCGTCTCGAGCATCCGTTAATCGCACGGGTGTATCAGACCGGAGTGACACGAAGCGGGGTTTTGGAACGCCCATACATCGCGATGGAGTATGTGCGAGGAGTGCCGCTGACATCGGTTATTCATGATCCGAAGCTCGGGTTTGAGATCCGCCGGAGTATTTTGCGTTCAATCTTCCAGGCGATTCATTTTGCACACGAGCAGGGCGTGATTCATCGTGACATCAAGCCTTCCAATGTGATTGTTGACTTTGATTCTGAATCTTCAGATTTGACCGGCGTGAAGGTGGTCGACTTCGGGATCGCGAAACTGGTTGACGATACAAGTATACCGATTTCGATCCGAACGCTGGATGCTCAGCTGCTCGGGACTTTGCGGTATATGAGTCCTGAGCGAATTTCTGGGCAATGCAATGGCGGGAATGTAGCCAGTGATATCTATTCACTTGGCGTTCTTGCTGAAGAGCTGCTTTCCGATGGCCGGGCAAATTCAAACGATTCAGGAGTAAAGAAGACTGAGCGCGCTGGGTTGAGCGAGCATGTTCGGCATGTGCTTCAACGGATGATTGCTGATAAGCCATCAGATCGGTATTCAAGTGTACTAGATGCACAGAAAGCATTGGATGCAGCGTTTGATAACACACGATTTGTGTCACACATACGGAGCTATCAACGCCGAGTAAAAGCATCAGCGAATCGGTTGTTTTTAAGGCATCGACGACTTGTCGTTTTGATTGCCCTACTGGCATCGGTAGCTGCAAGCGGCACCGGGTGGATGACGATCCAGCTGGTCAAGAGTAACCGTCTTGCTTTGGAACAAACAACGGAAGAGTTCAATGCGACCAGAGAGCTCGAAAGTGTTTGGAGACATGTGAATGCTCAGGTTCAACTCGCGAATGCCTATATTGATTCTGGCGAGTTTGATGAGGCAAGGCAAGTATACCGACAGCTGATCGAACGAATTGGTCCCATTGATCAACTTGACCAAAGAGTGCAGCACGCAATCTTGATTAATCAGGCGTACTTGGCTCAAAAAGCTCGGAACATCGATGAAGCACGTCAGTATTATCTACAGATTCGCGAAGAGATCGATCAACTCCATGCGCATGATCACACGAACATATGGTTCACATGGATCTCAACTGCTCATGGACTGCAGAACTGCAAAGAACCTGAGATCGCTCGCGAGATGTACGAGTATGTGCTCAGTATCCCGGAGTTCCAGGATCTTCCTTGGAGGATTCGGACTCATGGTCTTGCTTGCTATGGGGGATTCTTATGGACTCAAGGCGAGTATGAAAGCGCTCAAGAGTTACTGTATGAATCCTTTCAGGACCCACCTGAACATATGTCACTCAAAGCACGAACGGACTTTGCGCACAGGCATTCTTCATACGGATTGATCCTGGACACGATGAAACAGCATGAGGAAGCGACTTCGTATCATGTCGCCGCTCGTGAGTTGTTAACTGTTTTAAATGGGCCGATGGATGTGATGGTCTACAGGGCGATTCTCAACGAGGCAACCAATGCGTTATACCTGGGAGAGATTGATCGCGGCAGGTCTCTTGCTCAACAAGCCAAAGCGTTCTTCCAAACTTCACCAAAGGCATGGGCCCCGGAGTTGATTGAGAGTGATATCTTGATCTCGGCTTCTGCAATGTTGAGCGGGAAAGCAGATGAAGCCGTTTTACAACTAGAGTCAGTCTTTGAGTTTGGCGCTGAGTATTCTGTGCCAACATATCGATGGGATGTGTACGCAACTCCCCTGCTTGCCGCGGCTTTGGTTGTGACTGGTGACCAGCCGGAAAGACTGGATGATATTTTTGCAAAATGCGCTGAGATCAAAGAGAGGCTTGGTCCGACACATCCTTGGTTTGAGCTGCTTGAACCATACTTTGTACAGGCTGAGGATGAGTGGGTTGCGCTTTGGGCTGACTAACTAGAGCAGGAATCTTCAAACTCCTAAACAAGAAAGCACCCAGTACCTTGCGGGACTGGGTGCTTTTGAAGAGCGGGTGATGAGATTTGAACTCACGACATTCACGTTGGCAACGTGACGCTCTACCACTGAGCTACACCCGCGTTTGGTTGTCGCCGGGACTGGTGTGCCGGCAGGGGTAAAAATAGTCTCACAATTCGCGTTCGTCAAACCATTTCCTGATGAACATGGCAAGAGTGCGGAGTTGAGGGTGTTATTGGGTCGTCCGGATCGGGATTATCGATCTGAACCGGCTTTGGCACGCTCGATCGCTTCCACGACTTGTGTCGGTGTGTATGCGTTGGAGAGCCAGATCGGATTGGGATTGCCGGGCTCGTAGACGGCGAGGAGCGGGATGCCGGTCTGTCCGAGCTCTTTGAGCTTGTCCCATCCTGGGGCGGAGGTCGACGTGAGATCCGCAACGAGCGGGACGACCTCAGGACTCAGCAGGAGTGGCTTGACGGGGTTCCGCGAGAGCACGGTCGCTTCGAGGGTTTTGCAGTTGAGGCACCACTCGGCGGTGAAGTCGAGCACGACGACCTTGCCGCTGATGAGCGCGTCGGAGAGAGCGGCCTCAGAGAACGGCTCCCAGAAGTAGTGGTACTGGTGGCTGGTCTGGTTGGCAGCGACGGCGATCCCGCCGGCGGTGACGAGCAGCGCGATGGTCGAGAAGATGAATCGGCGAGCGGCGCTCTTGGTGATCTGGATGGTCCGGACGATCAGGAGGAGTCCGGCGGCGAGTCCGAAGAACGCGATGATCCACCAGTGGATGGTCTTGAACCACCACGGCATGGACCACGACTGGGAGGAGGAGATCGAGATCGCGGTGGTCCCAAGGAAATACGCGGCGGCGGCGAGCATGAGCAGTCCCATGACTTGCTTGACGAGCTCAGAGGCGGGGCCGGTCTTGGGGATCTTGTTCATCCACTTGGGGTTGAGGGTGAGGATCAGATACGGGAACGCCATCCCGAATCCGAGGGAGAAGAAGATGGTGAGGACCTGCCAAGGTTCCATGGTCGCGGCTCCGGCGAGCAGGGCGCCGGCGACGAATCCGAAGCATGGGAGGCCGAGGATCGCGGTCATGACTCCGAACATGAATGAGCCAGACATGGAGTCGGCTTTGGGGTTGATCATGTAGGTGCTCTGGGGGAGCTTGATCGTGAACAATCCCATGATTCCCAGTCCCATCAGGGCAATAAGCAGTCCGATGATGAGGGTGACCCACCAGACCCCGAAGATGATGGAGGGATCGACGAAGTCGGCGACGAACGCGACGGGGAGACCGATCCCGAACCAGAAGGCGATGACTCCCAGCGCCATCATCACGCCGAGCTTGAGGGCGCGGCTCTTGCTCTCTCCGGCGTGGTTGGTCAGGGTCATGACCTTGAGCGGGATGACTGGCAGCACGCAGGGGGTGAGGTTGAGGATGAATCCCCCCACTGCCGCGGCGAGGGCGATGATCGCGAATCCGGCTGGGGTGTCGATCGGTGGGAGCACGAAGAGTCCGAGGAACTGACGCTGATTGGAAGCATCGGTTTGTGCTGGTGCGGTGGTTGATGCGTCCCATGCATCGGGATCGGAGAAGATCGCGGGATCGAAGCTCGCGAAGAGGTCGTTCTGAGCTGGGGATTCGGCGGTGTCGGCGATGGTGAGGGTGAAGGAAACTTGCTCCGCGGTTGGTGCAAGACAGGTGAAGTCATCACACGCTTGGAAGTAGGTTTCGATGGTGAAATCGAGGTCGGCGAGTTGTGCGTCGTCGGCGATGCGGATGGGGATGTACGCGGTCGCCTCGCCGTCGTAGGTTTCGAGGTTGATTGGGGGGCCGAGGAAGCGGACCTGGACGGTGTGTGTGTCGGGCCATTGGATTGGTCCAACTTCGATCCCGGCGGCTTCGAGCTCGGCTTGGTTGATGATGGTGATCGTGGTCGCGGTCGCGGGGAAATCGCCCAGTTCTTCAGGGATGATGGGCTGGTTTGGCCAGGTATGGAAACCCTCGGCGTGGTTGAGGGTGACGGCGATGACCATCGTGGAGCCGGGGGAAGTGGTGGTGACGGAGGGCTCAACGGAGGTGGTCACTTCCGGCTCTGAGCTGGCCATGCTCAGAAAATCGGGCTGAGCGGGAGCATTCGGAGACAGCAGCACAGAGACGCAGCATGCGATGAGGAAGAGGACTCGGGTGGTCATTAGTCGTTGGCTCCGGTGGGTGTTCGTGTGGGCATCATATTGAATGCTCAGGGTGCGAACAGGGTTTGCGGCGGGTTTGTTCCCGCTCGGTGGGTTTGGGTGGTGATTGTGGGATGAAATCCGGACTGTTTCTGGTGAATTCTGGGCATGGCGGCCGATAGAACGCACAATTGGCTCGCTGTCTGGAGACAGCATGGGGCGCGGTGCGCCCAAACGCGGAGTACTTGGTCCATGAGCATGCTTGATCAGAGTGAAATTGATTCACTGATGGCGGCCGTGGACGAGGACGAGATCTCCGAGCCGTTGGAGCAGATCAGTATTTTCTCGCGGACGCGGAAGGACCTGGACAACATCGAGGTCCGGCAGTACGACTTCAAGCGTCCGGAGCGTGTGTCCAAAGACCAGATGATGGCGCTGGAGACGCTCCACGAGGCTTTTGCTCGAAACTTCGGCGCTTCGCTCTCTGGATTCCTCCGCACGATCGTTGAGGTCCGCGTCGCGGCGTGTGAGCAGATGACCTACGGCGAGTTCGTTTCGGGACTCCCCAATCCGACGAGCTACAACCTGATCCAGACAGACAAGCTCGAAGGGCAGATGTGTTTGGAGATCTCGCCGCTGATTATCTATCCGATCATTGATCGCTTGCTTGGTGGAACCAATCAGGATTTGTTTATCCCTCAGCGTCCGATGACCCCGATCGAGCAGCGGCTGATCTCCAATGTGCTCGGGCGCGGACTCGAGGCGCTCACTGAGGCGTGGGCGAGTGTGCGTGAGCTTGAGTTCAACATCGTCGCGCATGAATCGAATCCGCAGCTTGTGCAGATCGTCCCACCCAATGAGGTGGTCATGGTGATCGGCTTGGAGATGCGGATGTCGTCTCGCGCAGGAACGATGAATCTGTGTATTCCTTACAATGTGATCGAGCCTGTGATGGAGGACCTGAGCAGTCAGAGCTGGTTTGCGGTCACTCGCAGTGATGACAGCAAGGAATCCGAGGAGCGGATCAATCAGAATCTGGATCAGTCGGGTGTGCAGGCTTCAGTCGCGATTGCGAACACCACAATTACGCTCAAGGAACTCTCTGAGCTGCAGGTTGGGGATCTAATCGAGACGACACATGACGCCAAAACGCCTGCAGTGCTCAATATCGAGGGGGAACCCAAGTTCTTGGTCGAAGTCGGGCAGCATCGCAACAATCGTGCGGTGCGGGTCATCCGATCGATCAATAAAGGCGAGCGGATCGCGGATTAAGACCCTGTGGGGTCAATTGAAAGCGTTTTAGACTATTCATTGAGTTGCATAGATATAGGTTCCGGATTGATCCTGTCCGGGTCGTGTTCTAGACTTATGCACGGCGAGCGTGGAATGCTTGTCGCTGGAGATTTCTTCATGAACAACGGTTATGCACAATGTCGGTGATGGGCTCCTCCAGCCCGATCACTGTCCGGCATCGAAGCCGGGCGGGAAGGATGCGGATCATGCGGTGATCTGAGCATCCAGCCTGATGGGAACGACCCTGATTGGGATCGGACTCGATGTGCATGACCGGAACTCATTGGAGTCTCCGGTCGTTTCTGTTTTTAGGAATTCCCCAGATATGTACGCAGAGCTGGGGTTTGGACAACTCAACAACCAAGCAACTCGGTAGCACGGAGACTTACAGAATGAATACCCAAGAAATGATGCGACTCCTCGATGGCATTGCTCGCGAGCGTAATGTCGAAAAATCACTGCTGATCGCGGATCTTGAAGCCGCGATGGTTTCGGCGTGTCGCAAATACTTCGGGACTTTGGATGCGGAAGAGTTTTCGTGCACTGTTGATCCGTTGACAGGGGAGATCAGTCTGTTCCGTTATGACGAACCCCTTGAGATCAGTCCTGAGGACTTTGGTCGCATTGCGGCTCAGACCTTTAAGCAGGTCATGATCCAGCGGTTCCGAGATGATGAGCGACAGTCGCTCATGGAAGAGTTTTCGGGGCGTCAGGGCGAGCTCGTCACAGGCACGGCTCAGCGGTACGATCGCGGGGCGCTCATTGTGCAGGTCGATCGCGCTGAATGCGTGATGCTCCGAAGCGAGCAGATCCCTGGCGAGCAGTTCATGCCTGGTGATCGGGTGCGAGCGTTTGTGCTTGATGTGAAGGACATGGGCTCGCAGGTAAAGATTTACCTGAGCCGAGCACATCCGGACTTTATTAAATACCTCTTTGAGGTTGAAGTGCCAGAAGTGCTCGATCGCACGATCGAGATCAAGGCGATCGCACGCGAAGCGGGATACCGCACGAAGATGGCGGTCGCTTCGATCGACTCGAAGGTTGATGCGGTCGGTGCGTGTGTTGGTATCCGCGGCTCGCGCATCAAGACCATCGTTGATGAACTCAATGGGGAGAAGATCGACATCGTCCGCTGGAACGAATCGTCGCAAATCCTGATCGCCAATGCGCTCAAGCCTGCTGAGGTCAACGAGATTTCGCTGTGCTTCGAGCTAGGGCGCGCTACAGTGGTTGTTCGTGATGATCAGTTGTCGCTCGCGATCGGTAAGCGCGGGCAGAATGTCCGCTTGGGCGCACGATTGACTGGGTGGGATGTGGACATTCTCACTCCTGAAGAGTTTACCAAGACGCTGACCACGCTCTCTGAGACGCTCACGCAGGTCGAGGGCGTGACAGAAGATAAAGTCGATCGTCTCGCGGCGCTGGGCATGATCTCGGTCTTCGATGTTGTAGAGGTCGGCACCGAAGTGCTCGAAGCGGAGCTCGAACTGTCTCCGGAGGTTGCTGAGCAAGCGGTTGAGCTGTGTGCTGAGCGTGCGAAGATCGTGGAAGAAGAGCAGGCACGCGAGAAGGCGGAAGCCGAGGCGCGTCGCGCAGAGGAAGAAGCTGCGGCTTCGTCCATTCTTTCTGGTGATGTCAACCCATCGGATAATCCAGAAGCCGCGGCTGCGGCGATCTTGGGTGGTGCGATTGACGCTGTACCTGAAGAAGGCGACGAGGCTGCTGAAACTACTGAGGAAGCGGAAAGCAGAGCATCAGATATCTTGGGTGGTTCGTAAAGAGCACATCCGTATAGAGAACTTGGATAGAGAATCAGACTTCAAATACCGTTCGATGAACGGAGGATCACTTGGCGAATAAACGAATCTTTGAACTGGCAAAAGAGCTTGGGATCAAATCCAAAGCGATTGTTGAGAAGTGTCACGCGGAAGGCATTCCTGCGGATGTGATTAAGAATCACATGTCAACGATCTCGATTGGTCTTGAGCAGACGGTGCGTGAATGGTTCAGCGCTGAGGATGGTGAGGAATCTCCTCACACCGCGGTTGAGAAGACTGAGAAGGTCGATCTCGAGAAGGCGCGGTCTCCGAAGAAAGCATCGAAGGCAAAGAAGACTACTTCTGACGACGATGATGCCGCAGACAGTAAGGGTCCGGCAACTGCGGTTGCGGCACCCCCACCACCTCCGGCGGCGAAGGTCGCGGCGCCACCTGCTCCGACAGCGAAGAAGATCACTCCTGCTGCTGCGGGTGCTGAGGAATCGAAGCCTGCAGCACAAGCGCCGATGCAAGACACCGATACTGATTCTGGATCTGGTACAGAACAGGTCGTGAAGGCTCCTGAAAAACCGAAGCCGAGTGCTCCACCACCACCGCCGAAGATGAATGTGCCTACGCGTCCATCAGTCGTGACCCCTGCGGGTCCTCGGATCGAGGATCTCAAGAAGAAATCGATGAAGCTTTCGGGTCCGAAGGTTGTTCGCGTGGAAGCGCCTGAGCAGATTGAAGCTCCTCGTCGGCGTCCACCACGTGATTCTGGTGGTTACCAGGGTGGCGGAGGTGGCGGGTATGCGGTCCCTGGTATGGATCCAGGAGGTCGTGCACCTCGCGGAGGCGGGAGCACACGCCGTCGTCAACCTGGCGGGAGCGGTGTGCGTCGTAACGATGGCGGAGAAGGATCCGGATGGAGTGCGGCAGATCTCGCTGAACGCGAGGCACGGCTCAAGAAATCTGGTGGTTATCTCAAGCAGCGTCAGAACCAGATGCGTTCGAGCGCCGCGGCATCGCAGACACCTGCGAAGGTTGGCGGCAAGGTGACCATTTCTGAGCCGTTCACCATTAAGGACCTTTCCGCAGAGACTGGTGTGAAGGGTGCGGACATAGTCAAGAAGCTCTTCATGCAGGGTGTGATGGCGACGATCAACTCGGGGATTGATTCGGAGAAGGCCCAGGAAATCATGATGGACTGGGACATCGAGCTCGAAGTCGTTGAAGCGAAGGGCGCTGAAGAGCAGGTCGCTGAACAGTTCGCTGAGCGCGATCGTGGTGACGAGCGTGCTCGCGGACCGATTGTGACGATTCTTGGTCATGTGGATCACGGCAAGACTTCACTGCTCGATCGGATCCGCAACGCGAATGTCGCGGAAGGCGAGGCTGGCGGGATTACCCAAGCGACCAGTGCGTTCCGGGTTCCAGTAACTGCTGGTGACAGTGAGAAGTTTGTGACATTCATTGATACACCTGGTCACGAAGCGTTTACCGCGATGCGTAGCCGTGGTGCGAATGTCACTGATATTGTGGTGCTTGTGGTTGCGGCGGATGACGGCGTGATGCCTCAGACGATTGAGTCGATTTCGCACTCCAAAGCGGCGGGTGTCCCGATCATCGTGGCGCTCAATAAAATCGATAAGGAGCAAGCGACTGAAGGCAACATCCAACGCATTCTTGGTCAACTCGCTGAGCACGGCTTGAATCCGACAGAATGGGGCGGCGACACGGAAATCGTCAAAACTTCTGCGATCAAGGGCACTGGTATCCAGGAACTGCTTGAGATCCTCGATCTGCAAGCAGAGGTGCTGGAACTCAAGGCGGATTACTCTGGTCAAGCACAGGGTACAGTGATCGAAGCCCGTCCTGAGGGTGGCCGCGGTAATGTTGCGAACATTCTTGTCCAAGAGGGCGAACTCAATGTCGGCGACTTCATCGTCATGGGACGCGCGTTTGGTCGTGTTCGTGACATTACGGATGATCGTGGCAATCAAACAAAGAAAGCTCTGCCTCCTGTACCTGTCCAGATCTCGGGTATCAATGAGCTTCCTGATGCGGGCGACAAGTTCTACTGCGTTGGTTCGCTGAAAGAAGCTGAGAAGGCTGCGGAGCAACGACGCGAACGCGAGCGACTCGAGCAGCTTGCTCAACCCAAGGTCACGCTGGATTCGATGTTTGCTCAGATGGCGGACAGCGAACTCAAAGAGATCCTTGTGGTCCTCAAGGCGGATGTACAAGGGTCGGTCGATGTGCTCAAATCCGAGATCGAGAAGGTCTCGGGAGACGAGGTCCGCGTTCGAGTCATCCACTCGGCGGTCGGTGGGATTACCGAATCGGACATCCTGCTTGCGAACGCATCGAACGCGGTCATCATCGGATTTAATGTCATCGCGAATGCGAAGGGTCGAACCCTCGCGGAAGCGAAGGGCGTGGAGATCCGGAACTACCAGGTCATCTACCACATCGTCGAGGACATGAAGAAAGCGGCAGAAGGCATGCTCGCTCCGGAAGTCCGCGAAGAGGTCCTGGGTCACGCGGAAGTGCGTCAGGTGTTCAAGGTGTCCAAGGTCGGCGCGATCGCGGGCTGCTATGTCACCGATGGTATCGTCGAACGCGACGCGTCCATCCGCGTTACGCGTGACGGTGTGGTCATCGAGAACAATCGTAAGCTTGATCAACTCAAGCGCTTCAAGGACGACGCGAAAGAGGTTCGCGCGAACATGGAGTGCGGCATGAAGGTCGCGGGATACGACGACATCAAGGAAGGCGATGTGATCGAGTGCTACAAGAGTGTTGAGATCAAGCGGACACTGGACTAAAGCGGAGTGATGATGGTCATCGGAGTCATGCAGATCGAGATCGATATCCCTGGCGCGGGTTGTCTGAAAGACAAACGCCGGGTTATTCGTTCGGTCAAGGACGCGTGTCATCGTCACCACATGGTCAGTGTCGCGGAAGTCTCGGCACTTGATGTTTGGAATCGTTCGGTGCTTGGTGTGTCGATCGTCTCGAACTCGGGGATGATCGCGGCACAGACACTGGATCGTGTTCTCGAACGCATCCGCAGTGGGTATGACTGCGAAATCATCGACACGCATCGTGAGTTTGTGCGGATGGAAGATCTTGCTGGAAGTCCTGCGATTGATTCTGAGCAGATTGATCGTGAGATGCTTGCTCACGCGGAGGGTGTCCTATGAAACGCAGGGCGCAGCAGATTGCATCAAACATACAGCGTGAGTTGCAGAATCGGATCGCACGAGGATTCAACGATCCTCGCATTCGTGGCTTGATCACAATCACGAAGGTTGAGATCACTGACGATCTCAAGCACGCGAAAGCGTTTGTAAGCGTGATGCCTGAGGACAAGGCGGATCTGACGATGCACGGGCTCAAGGCGGCGATGGGACGGATCCGCAAGGATGTGATGGAGCGGATTCATCTCAAAGAGATGCCAACCCTCAAGCTAGAGTACGACCACGGGATGAAGGAACAGCAGATGATTTCCGAGCTCTTGGCATCCGATCCGTTCCGCAAAGATGACGGAGATGTACAGAGCGAAACGGGTGGGGACGCATAATCGTGGCGAGCAAGCAAGAGTACAACCCTGAACCGATCCTCAAGACCTTGAGTTCACGCGATGAATGGGCTGAATCGGTCGATGCGTGCTCGCTGTGTCCGATGCCGGAGTGGTGTGACGATCGCTTGCTCCATGAGTTGGTATTCTCGATGTTGCTCTGGGAATCGACGATGGACAACGCAGTCCGCGCGATGCAGAAAGTCCACGAACAGTTTGTCGATTACAACGAGCTCCGTGTTGCTTTTCCAAGTGAGATCGAATCATTGCTCGGCACACGCTATCAGCGCGGCGAGGATCGTTCGCAGAGATTGCATATTGCGTTGTCGCTGATCTTTGAGAAGAATCAATGTTTAACACTTAAGCCGCTGCTTGAGATGAATAAGCGGGACGCTCGAGAGTTTCTAGAGTCGTTGGAAGTGTTGCCGCGATTTGTTGTCTCGCGTGTTTTGCTGCTTGGACTCGACGCTCATGCACTCCCACTGGATGCGAAGATCGCGCGTGCGCTCCACAAGGCGAAGTTAATTCAGAGCTCGAAGAATCCCGATACCATCGCGGTATCGATGGAACGCGTCATCCGCGCCAATCAGACGCTCGAGACCTATACGCGTCTGGAACGCTGGTTGATTTCCTTTGAGAACGGATCGTGATGCGTAGAGATCACTCTTGGATTGTTGGGATTCTGCTCGCTCAGTCGCTCGGCGTGTCGGGTGTCTGGATCGGTGGGTGCTCGTCTTCGCAACAGCGCGGGGAAGGCAAAGTACAGAACGGGTATTCGTTTGCTGCAGACTATGATGCGGGCGATCCATCCGCGGCACTTGAATCCATCGCGGAGCGTGAGGCGCGGAAGCCCTCTGAATCAGCACGCGAGCTCGTGAATCGGCTCATGGATGGTCGGCTTGTGGAGATCCGCAATGGGACTCCTGAATACACCAAGGCGCATCGTTCGATTGAAGATGTAATTCGCGTTGCGCTTGAAGGGGTGGAAGAGATCGAGCGAGCAGAACTGCCTTTGATCCCGCAGCTTGCGAAGGGATATGTGCGAGCGCGAGCAGCACTCGCAAACGAGGATTACGAAACGGCGGCGGGGATGTTCAATGAACTCCACCAAGCATCGCCTCAAACCACAGAGTTCTTGGTGGGACTGGGCGATGCGTTTCTTCGTGCAGGCGATCGGCTGCAAGCGTCGGAGGCGTATCTGCGAGCCGTGGATTTAGGGGAGCGTGAGACGCGTGTGCTTGTCTACGGCGCGATGGGGATCGTGGATGATTCGGATCGCGTGATCGAACTGACCTCGATGGTCTGGAGCGATGAGAATACGAGCGATTACGCGGGGCGATTGCTCGCGGGAGTCTTGCTTGGCCAAACGCTCATCGAGACTGGATCCTACGACGCTGGCGCGGAGGTCATGGGGTCGGCTCTTGGGATGCTCAACGCGCAGGTCGCGCGTGATCCGATCTATCGGCGTGAGCTTGTGCAGTTATACACCAAGCGTGCGGAGCGGTTCGCATCCATGGGTGATGCGTGGATGCTCCTCGGAGACGGTGAGCGTGCGGTGCAGGCGTATGAGATTTCTCGATCGCTCGTAGGGATCGAACCACGCGAGCTGATGTTCCGGCGCGTCGGCGCGGATCTTCTGTCTGGACAGAGCGCTCGTGCAGCAGCGACGCTGCTTGACTGGATTGATGCTCATCCCGGTAATGATCGAGTAGAGCTTCAACAAAGAGTTGCGATTGTTGCTGAGCACCCGGTGATCGGGAAGTTGATTGTTGAAGCGGTTGCTCAACGCGTGTGGGACGATTCACGACCGGTCTCTCATCGAGTCGGTTTGCTCGGGATGCTGTTGTCCATGAGTAGTGATGTACAGCAGGGTGCGGAACTGTTGGGTTCCGTTGACCCTTCTGTTGTTTCACCTGTCTCTGCGGCTCGCGTTCTCAGTGCGTTTGAAGATCGGGCTGATAGGATTGATGCCGCTCATTCGATCATTGAGAGTTCCTCTGGATCGGCACACATCATCATCCCTGCGTTAATACGAATCGATGGGGATGCGTATGAGTTGCACCAATCGATTGTTGGCGATGGGAATACATCGTCGCTGATGCGTCGGATGATTCGATTGGAACTTCATCGTCCCGATCTTGCGACTGATAGCGATCTTGCTCAGATTCAGTTGGATTCAGCTGAGATCGATGACACGATTCAACTGATCGCGATCGCGCGCGAAGCCGCGATCGCGGATTGGTGGGATGTTGCGGAGGCTTGCTTCAAGAGTTGTGCCGAGCGGGCATCGAGTATGGGTGATGCGCAGTGGTTCTTCTTTCTGGATTCACTGGCTGCTTCAAATCAGTTGGAGCTCGCGTTTGAGCTCTCACGAGAGCGTGCGGCATTGAATGCCGATTCGAGTTCCGATTGGATTGCGCATGCACGAATGGCGCAGCGATTGCAGCGTGAGGATGCGATGATCGAAGCGCTTGAGCGTGCGATTGATCTGGATCCGTACAACGAGGGCGTGTATGAGCAGTTGATCTCGCTGCGAGGACCGACTGGTGCTGCTCCGGACACTGATGCACTGCGAACGGTCACGCGTTCGCTTGGGCAGCGACTCCCTGAATCGGCGCTGGTTCAACTGATCAGGGCGCATGAGCTCGCTGGCGCTGGCGCCAGTGGTGAGCAAGATGGACGAGCCGCGGCGTTGATCAATCAGAGCGAGCGTCTGCTTCTGCAAGTTCATGAGCAGCATCCATGGAGAGAGATCGGGATCGATCTGCTGCTAAGCATCTGGGCAACACAAGCATCGAGGGGAGATGATTCGGCACTTTCTCGTGGATTGGGTTGGCTGGACTTTCAACTTGGGATGATGCCTGGTTCGGTTGATCTATCCGGAGCACTGGCGCGGTTATTGGTACTGCGCGGTGATGAGATTGGGGCGGAAGGATTCCTCGATGAACTGCATCAGCGGATCCCATCACGCAAGGTTGGCCGTCTCCACGAGGGGTTGATCCGCTCGGATGAAGCACGACGAGAGGAAGCGGACCTGATCGCGCTGGATCGATTGAATGGATTGATCTCGATCGAGGATGGACTTGAACGTCTTGAGCGTGCGGGATCAGTGGGCAAGGTCAACGAGTTCGAGGTTGAGTTGTATATTCCAGCGGATGACTCATGGACCTACAGCAGAGCACAAGGCTTGCGACTTGCACGAGTTCTTGGTGCCGTGATCGAATCAGGTACAGATCAAGCGACTGCGGATCGGGTCCTGGAACTGATCGATGTTGCTCGCGGGCAGATCGGTGAGGACCAAGGCGATGGGATCACAGCGGCTGATGCGTTGGATCAGATCGAAGTGGTTGCTCGTCCGACGGGCACTGCGTTCTCGATGGACTCATACGAACAGCTGGTTCGCAGACTGCACCGAGAGCGTGGCTTAGACAATCCTGATCAAGCGAATCAGATCCTGACCATCGCGATGCAGTCGATGATGCGTGGGACTTCTCCGAGTCAGGCGCTGGAACTGCTGAGCCGATTATCAATCGACGATGACGGGATGCTCGATCAAGTGATGACGAGCGATCTTGCTTCATTGATGGGGCAGATGGGTTCGGCGGAAGATCTACAAGCGGCGGTCACGCGGTTTGATGATGCGGGGCTCCTCATCGAAGCTCGGGATCGTGTTGTTGAAGGGCTGGGGACACTCAATGAGGGATCACTCACGGGCGCCGAGGATCCGGATGGGGTGGTCGCGGATCTGGTGTACTCGATCGCGGTGGTTGCTTCCTTCTATGACCGAAAGAGCGATGCTCGAGAGATGTACCGACTCGCGTTGAGTTACGACGAACTGCATGCATGGGCGAACAACGATCTCGGCTACGGCATGGTTGAGGACGGCGAGGATCTCGAAGAAGCACAAAGGCTGCTTGAGATCGCGCATGCATCTGAACCAGGTACGGCGAGTATCACTGACTCGCTCGCATGGGCGCGGTACGCGATGGGGATCTTTGAGGATGAACTCAATGATGAGGGTCAAGTTGTTCGTCAGGGTGCTCGATCATTGCTTGTGGAAGCGGTGAAACTGGACGATTCCAACGCGACGATCCATGACCATCTTGGGGATACGCTCTGGATGCTGGCGCGGTTCGACGAAGCAATGAGTGCTTGGCTCGAAGCGGAGGATCGATTGCGTGATCGGCTCACGGAGATCTCAGATCAGCAGACCAACGCGCGTGCCGTGGATATGTTGAGAGACGAACTGAGTTTGATCCGATTCAAGATCACGGACGCGGAATCGGGACGGACCCCTAAGGTTGCTCCCAACTCTGTAGGGATTGCGGTCCCGGAGCGTGGTGATATGATGAACGGGCTGGACCCAACGAAGTAAGCAGAGGATTTGATCGATGGCTGGACATAGTAAATGGGCGAATATCAAGCACCGCAAGGCGCGTCAAGACAATAAGAAGGGCAAGATCTGGTCCAAGTGTTCCAAGGCGATCATGGCTGCGGCTCGTGCTGGAGGTGGAGATCCTGATACGAACCTCGCTCTGCGCTACGCGATCGACGAGGCGAAGTACGAGAACATGCCCAAGGACACGATCAAACGCGCCATTGATAAGGGCGCTGGTGAAACGGGCGGCGCGGACTTCCAGGAGCTCGTCTACGAAGGCTACGCGCCAGGAGGCACAGCGGTGCTGATCCTCGCGCTGACGGACAACAACACACGCACGGTCGGTGATGTTCGCACAAGCTTCAAGAAGGGCGGCGGCTCGATGGGCAACGCGGGGACCGTCGCGTTCATGTTCCAGACCAAGGGGCAGATCATCGTCGATGCGAACAAGTACGGCGAGGATCAGATCATGGAGGTCGCGCTCGAGAGCGGCGCCGATGATGTGGAATCCCCTGAAGCGGACGGCGACGACAAGGGTGTCTGGACGATCGTGACCGAACCCAGCGAGTTCCAGGGATGCAAGGAAGCGCTCGAGGGGGCCGGCATCGAAATCATGGAAGCGACCATCGCGCGGATCCCTGACAATACGGTCGAGGTGACGGGCGACGATGTCCAGAAGGTCATGAACCTGATCGAGACGCTCGAAGACCTCGACGATGTTCAGAAGGTCTACACCAACGCGGACTTTGATAGCGAAGAACTCGCGAAACTGTGAGATCTCATAGCTTACTTACAGAAAACTGATCTTGTGCAATAATGTGTATGGCGTGAACCTGTAGTATCGATGCAGACCCCATGATGGCCGGCGCCGGAGTTTGATCATGCCTGTACCACAACGCGGCATGCGGCTGAAGTATGAGTGCTGAACATTGCACACATACTCATTCTTATCTACCAACGCACCGTGCTGGTATGCTGTTAGGTCATAGGTACTCGCGAATGTCTCCGGTCTGTCATGCCTAACGCCAAAGGTCTTATCGAAGCGTACCTTTGTCTCTGACCGCTTTACATGCCAAGTCTTGTCTTGATAGTAGATCCGCGTGGGCGCATTCCATATCGCATGAATGAATGGGGATTGCGATGTATTCCTCGAACTTTCTTCAGAGACTGGCCCTATTTCGATGTACTTTGGATCGACATACAAAGCATTTTCGTAGCTCATCTCTATGCCTTCAAGATTGAGGGCGACGAACTCAACTCGTTTTGGAATTTTCTCTAGTGACCACCAATACCTTCGTGTGGTTTCAACATCGAAAGTGTCATTCTTGTGATCGTATGTAACTCTCACCGGCACAACTGCTGGCTTGATGAATATCTCAGGAATCCATGCGATGCATTGTATCAAGATTACAACAAACACAGCAAACAGCCACGCTGGGGAACGCTTCCATGCTCTTTCCAACTTTGCTTTGAATGCTGCCATTGGACCAATATACGCAGAATTTAGTAAACAGATCTGAAACATCAATGAAGTGACATTGATGTGACAGGACGCATTGGTTCAACGCTCAGAGTTTCGATTTATTGTATGGTTTGTCGCAGTTAACCCCGAATTTTTTGCAGATGGGGTGGTCGTGTTTGCAGTTGGGTCGTGCGGAGCATGCGTAGCGGCCGTGGAAGACGAGGGCGTGTCCGAGTTCGGACCAGCGGGGTCTTGGGAAGAGGGCCATGAGGAGTTTCTCGACCTTTGCGGTGTCCATCTTGGGTTCGTCGACGAATCCCAGACGCCACGCGAGGCGCTGGATGTGGGTGTCGACTGTGAATCCGACGTTGATCCCGAACGCGTTTCCGAGGACGACATTGGCGGTTTTGCGCGCGACGCCTCGGAGCGTGAGGAGTTCTTCCATGGTGCTGGGGACCTCTCCATCGAAGTCGTTGACGACGGAGGTCATGGACGCGTGGATGGATTTGGCTTTGTTGCGGAAGAGGCCGATGGTTTTGATGTACGGCTCGATCTTCTCTGGGGTCGAGGCGGCGTAGTCGGCTGGGGTCGGGAACGCTTTGAAGAGTCCGGGGGTCGCTTTGTTGACTCCCGCATCGGTGGACTGGGCGCTGAGGATGGTCGCGATGAGGAGCTCGTGGGGGGTGGAGAAGGTCAGCGCGCAGTGGGCATCGGGGTAGTGCTTGCGGAGGGCGTTGGCGACTTTGAGTGCTCGGCTGCGTTCTTCTGCGGTGACCTCTGGGAGCGCGAAGGGGATGTCTTTGAGTCCTCTTGGATTGTCCTTGCCTTTGGGGTGTTGTTTGGTCGCCATGGGCGATCGTAGGGATCAAAAACCGCTCGAAAGAGGTCAAAACCGCGGTAGTTGGCTGGCAATCGCTGGAATATCGGGCATATTTGGAGTGACTGCACACTGCATACTCGATAAGGGGAGTTTCCATATGCGCACACATTTCGCACTGCTTTCAATCGCGGCTCTGACTTCGACCTCATTCGGAGGCATCACGTATTCGTTTGATTCTGATGACATGGGCTGGGGGACTGTTTCCGACGCGACCGGCTTTATGTGGGACGGCACGATCGGTAATGGTGGCCTCGGCGCCATACGCGCTCGGGATGTCGTCGGCGGGGACATCTGGTACTTCAGTGCTCCAGCGGGTGATCTGGGGAATCTGTCCGGCTTGTACGGCAACTCGATCAGCTACGACCTCCTGGGACTCACTGGGAATCAGGCGCTCGGCGGCGATCGTGCGGATGTCATGATCAGCGGCGCGGGAATGACAATCGGGATCGACTTTGGTGTCCAGCCCGTCTTGGATCAATGGATCTCGGCGTCGACTATTGTGTCGGCTGATCTTGATTGGCGGATCGTCAATGATTTCGCGGATGGCGCATTATCTGGGACAGATGCGACGATCGCTGACATTCAAGCCGTGCTCGCGGATGTGACTGGACTGTACATTCGCGGCGAATACACCAACGGCGGTGACGCGATGGCACTGGATAATGTGAACTATGTTCCGAGTCCGGGTGCTCTGTCGATGCTCTCGGTTGCTGGTCTGCTGATCGCACGCAGACGGCGCTGATCAGAAACGATTAATAAGTCCATTCATCTGGACCACAACGAGAAGATCATCCTCAGCGAGGGTGATCTTCTTTTATTCAGCGTGCTTTCATCGGGCTCTTGGGCTCAGCGCCGATCGCGGTCCAGACGGCGAGGGTCAGGCTGATGAGCGTGCCGAGGGTGAGGGCTTTCAATGAGTTGGCGGCGGTTTCGTGAAGAGCCATGAAGCTGTTCTTGTGGATGTCCGCTTGCTCGGTGTCACCGATCTGCGCGTAATCCCAGTAGAGGACGAGGTCTTCGCTCATTCCAGGCATGAGCATGAAGAGGTGCCAGCTGAGGAGTCCCATGGTTGCCATGAGCGTGATGACGCGGAGGACTCTTGGGATGGTGTTGAGCGAGTATCCTGCGATGAGCATTGTGACGAGTGATCCCAGAGCGATTGCCGCGGCTCCGAACTGGATGGAGTCGACGATCAAGAACACCTTCCCGGCGATCTGTCCCGCGGCCAGCAGTGAGTGGTCGCCCTCGTACTCTGGGTAAGCGCCGAGGGTCGGTTGCATGCGCGCCATTCCTGGGAAGACGGTTGCGGCGACGATGCCGCTCATGCCTACGGCTCCGAGCCAGAGACTCAGCGCGGTGATGTGGATGACCTGAAAGACTCGTTGGACGCCGTGCTTGCTCATGATTGATCCTAGCAGGGGGCCGTCGCAAACACCTTGGGTTTGAGATCCGCGCGGAGGTAGAGCGGATGCTTTGGGAAGCCATGCTTGGTGATCGCGAGGCAGTGCGGCGTGCAGACCTGTTCGAGTAGTTGGTGGACCTGAGTGCCACGATCAAGAAGGGCGGCGTGGGTTCCCCATCCGACGATGACCAGATCGGCTTGCTTTGCGAGGCGCGTGATGTGTCGGTCGTTGTCGGGACCGATGGGATCATCGACCTGCTTGAGTCCCTTGGGATCGGTGGACCTGAGCGCGAAGACATTGACGACGTCCATCGCGTGGAACCCCCATCGCACGGCATAGCGGTGGCAGCGCGTGAGCGTGGGGTCGAGGACTTTGGCATCAGCGGTCGATGGATTGAGCAGACAGAAGCAGACGCGTTGTCCTCCCTCGGCCCATCGGCGGCCGAGCGTGTAGCGGTACTGCTCGCAGTCGGAGAACTTCGCCCAGCCCTTCACTTCGACCACCCCTGCATTGTGTTTCCAGTTGCTGGATCCATACGGAGGGGTCTCGGGGAGGATGAAGATTGAAAGGGGAAGCGATCCCGCTGCGATTCGAACGCAGAACCTTTGGCTTCGGAGGCCAACGCTCTATCCAGTTGAGCTACGGGACCTGTACATCCCACAAGTGTTTGGACGCCTCAAATGAAGTGTCTTGTGACTTGTCGGAGCGGAGTGAGTCTACGATCCCCGCTGAGCAATGGCAATCCCCCCCACCAATCCTGAACACCCAATGATCGAATCTGTAGGGATCTCTCGCACGGCACATCTGTGGAGGGTGCTGTTGATTACCTTCCTCGCGTCCATGGGAACCGCCGTGGTCACGAATGGGATCGCGTTTATTGCTGATCAGGGGTTAGGGTATACAGGGACGCAGAACCTGATCTTGGGACTGGTGATTGGCGCGGTGTATATCCCCTTTGCGCTCGTGAGTGGTCCGGCGTTACGGAAACTGATCAGACGCAATCCCGCATTGACGACTCGGCGAGTGTTGTTGTTCATCATGTTTTTGCTTGCGTTTGTGGCGCAGGGGCCGCTGCTTGCGGATCGGTTCGGGGGTGAGCACTCTGCTCGGTTGACAGAAGCGGCGCTTTGGCTCATGGGATTGGTGTTTATGGGGGCGACGGGTGTGCAGTGGCCCATCGTCGAGGCGTATCTATCGGGTGGTCGGCGAGCAAAGAATCTTCGCAACGCGATCGGGAAGTTCAATATCGTCTGGTCGAGCGCGATTGTGCTTGTGTACTGGATGATGGCGCCGCTGCTGGAGAAAAATCCGTTCCTGATTGTTTCGCTGCTTGGTGGGTTGCATGTGATTATCGCGTTCTTTATCGCGCAGCTTCCCAATGAGCCGGCAAAGCATGTGGAGGAGGATCACGAGCCGCACCCACCGGTGTATGTGCCATTGCTGCGCGTGTTCCGGATGATGTTGATAGCGAGTTATGTGATCTTGTCTGTCATGATCCCGCTGATGCCGAGCATCGAGGCAAGACTGGGACTTGATGAGCTCTGGTGGACACCGATCGCGAGCACCTGGCTCACGGTGCGTGTGGTATTTTTCCTTGTGTTTGAGCGTTGGCACGGCTGGCACGGGCACTGGTGGACGCCTTGGCTCGGGATGAGTGCGATGATTCTTGGATTCGCGCTCGCGATGCTCGCACCGACGATTGGACTTCCGAATGCCGAGGGATTGAATGTTGTCGGTGTCGTACTGCTCGTTGCTGGACTGTCTCTCGCTGGAGTGGGGATCGCGGCGACTTATTACGGCGCTCTCTACTACGCGATGGCGGTCGGCAACGCGGATGTGGATGCGGGCGGAAAGCATGAGGCTCTGATAGGGGTCGGATACACCGTTGGACCTTTGTGCGGATTGTTCGGTGGGATGATGACCGATGGACCTGCTGGAGTGATCGGGATCACGAGTATGGTGGTGCTGATGATGGTTGGGATTGCGGTCGTGGGTGCTCGTAAGCAGCGTGCTTGCTGAGCTGATCTTTACAAACACAGGTAGACTCGCGTTCTTGTTGAAATACTGAGCGGTGTTCGTTCGTTTTAGCTCATGGCTGAGAACAGAAACTTTATCGGTTCTCAGGCGTACACCCAATGTGGGTCAACACGGTTCGGACTGTCCGATACCATGCGTGCGTACCCAAGTTTGGTGCTCGATCGCTTGTTTTGGTCTATTCAGCCGATCCACGATGCAGTTCTGTACCTTTTGATTGGGTCTTTCAACGGAGTTCACATGAAGCCAACCAAATCCATTCTTCTCGCGGTCCTCGGGACCACACTCGGTCTGAGCACGCTCCCGGCGATTTCTGGGACTCCGACCGAGACTCCTATCACTCCGACTCCGCAAATGGTGTGGGACAAAGCGTTGCAGGGGGAAGATTCTGGGATCGCGGATCTACTGACTCCTGATCTTTGGATGAGCAGCGCGGATGCGGACTTCACCGATGCGCTGGCGCTGCTGCAGCAGAACATCGTGAAGCGTGAACAGACACGCGGAGAATCAATTGATGAGGCGAACGAGACGCTCGATGAGCATCTGGCCAAGTTTGACGAGAACGGTTCGTACATCGAGCTTTCCAAAGCACTCAGCGCCGCGGTCGCGTTGCAACTGCTCTATGACAACGAGGATGTCTTCTTCTCGGATGAGAAGATCTCGCGATTGATTGATCAGTCGATCGAGGCCGCGAAAAAAGCGGAATCGAAGGGTGATTGGTTGATCGCTTCGGAGCTGTTTTACCGGCTCGATGCGATCCACGATCAAACGGGAACCTTCAAGGACGATGTCGATCGTCTGACGCGTCGTTTGACGATGATCCGTCTGTATGTTCCGGAGCGATTGTGGGAGCTGCGCAATGAGCGCCGGCTTGCGGAAGAGCTTGATGGGCTTCCTCCATACAACTCGTACGGCGATCTATACACAGACAAACTCCAGGGGATCGATTCGATCACGGTGCGTACAGCGATCCAGCGTGCCGCAGCGCAGCACTTGTCGCGTCAATCCAAGGTCGATCCGAGTGGAGTCTCGATGAATGATCTCATCGTCGGCGGTATCGATGCGGTGAGCACGATGGCGACGACCACCGATCTGTCCGCGGCGTTTCTTGGATTCGCGGATGATCGGCAGCGCTCACAGTTCATCCGCGAGCTCGAAGCGATCCGTGCGAAATACGCGGACAACTCTCGTCCCGCGAGTGCATACGACCTGCGTAGAGCGATTGATTCGATCATGTCGGCTTCGCGTGATTCGGTGAGTGTGATGCCTGAGGCGTTGCTGCACGAGTTTGGCAACGGAGCGATCGCTCAGCTTGATGCGTACACCTCGATAATCTGGCCCGACGAGGTCGCTCGGTTCCGACGCTCGACTCAGGGTGAGTTCATCGGCGTTGGTATCCGCATCCAGCTTGATGAGCTCCAGAACATCACGATTGTGACGCCGCTCGAAGGAACTCCCGCTCAGCGTGTGGGTCTGCAAGCGGACGACATTATTAAAAAGGTCGATGGCATCTCCGCGGTCGGTCTGGGACTCGATCAAGCGGTCGAGGTCATCACCGGTCCTCCGAACACTGATGTCACGCTGACGGTTGAGCGCCGCAGCGAGGACGAGACTGGTGCGGAGACTCTTGAAGAGATCGAGTTCACGATCACACGCGCCAAGATCGACCTGCCATCTGTGAAGGGTTGGTCGAAGAACGGCCCTACTGATGACGACTGGGATTACTTCCTCGATCGAGATGAGGGCATCGGGTATGTGCGACTGACTGGATTCACTGAGGATACGACTCGCGACTTTGATCGTGCGGTTGCTTCGATGAAAGAAGAAGGACTTAACGCGCTCGTGCTTGATCTGCGTTACAACCCAGGCGGGTTGCTTGACCAAGCGGTCCAGTTGTCGTCGCGATTCGTTCCGCATGGGATGGTTGTGAAGACTGTCGATGCCGCGGGGATCACGCAGGATCGTCAGGATGTCCGCTCTGTGAATCCGAAGTACTCGGTGCGGGATATCCCGGTCGTGGTCCTCATCAACGAGGGTTCTGCTTCAGCATCTGAGATTGTCTCCGGAGCGATCCAAGCGGGCGCACACAAAGGCAAGAACAAGGCGCTCGTCATTGGCGCTCGATCATTTGGCAAGGGATCGGTGCAGAATGTGTACATGCTCCCAGGCGGTTTGTCGGCGATGAAACTGACGACACAGCACTACCAGATCGATTCGCCTCGCATGATCCACAAGATCCCTGGCGCGACGGAATGGGGGATTGAGCCGGATCTGCACGTAGAGATGCTCCCGAGCCAATCCGCGGAGGCGTTGCTGCTCCGGAGGGATGCGGATATCTTCCCGATCGATCAGTTTGGCAACGAGATTGTCGATGCTGAGCGTCCTGATCCGTCGACATTGATCAGCGACGGGATCGACCTCCAGGTGCAGACGGCTCTTGTGCTTCTCCAATCGCAGGTCCAGGATTCGATCGCGAAAACGACGATGAAGGATTGATGATCTGGTGCCGAATCCGATCGGTGATCATCAAGAATGAGACAAGCAGGCCATCGACCCGGCTCCAGTGGGTTGATGGCTTGTTTCTTTTTGCTCATGGATCCCTCTATTATCCCCATTTTTGGGCTTTAAACCGCGTCTTGATCCCCCGGACAAGCGAAGTACCCCTACAATGTGCGAATCGGTCCTGAAGATCAGCGCGATCTTTCTGGACCGAGTCAAACGAGCACTGAATACGACCGATATCTCCCCAGTCGATTGGAACTGTTCCGGCATGTTCCGACGATGGGAAACAGGGGCACCCGAATGACCCAAACCACGACCGACTCAGCACATGCAGCGAAGGCGGCTAAGAACATGAGCGTCAAGACTGACAACACTTCCGCCTCCCCCACCACTGAGCAGAAGCTCCAATGGCTTCGATCCATGCAGCTCATCCGCGAGTTCGAGAATCGCACGATGCAGGCGTATCAGCAAGCGAAGATCGGTGGGTTCTGTCACATCTACACGGGACAGGAAGCGTGTGCTGTGGGAACCATCGGCGCGGTCAATCACGACGATCCCGTCGTCACGGCGTATCGCGATCACGGGCACGCGCTGGCGCGCGGGATGACCCCAGAAGCGTGCATGGCGGAGATGTTTGGCAAGATCCACGGCTGCGCCAAGGGCAAGGGTGGATCGATGCACATGTTCGACAAACCCAACTGGTTGTTCGGCGGTCACGGCATCGTCGGCGCGCAGACGCCACTGGGCGCTGGACTCGCGTTTGCTGAGAAGTACAAGCTCGAGGTGATGGGCGAGGGCAAGAAGAAGGTCACGCTTTGCTATCTCGGCGACGGCGCGATCGATCAGGGCGCGTTCCACGAGGCGCTCAACTATGTGGCCGTCCACGATATCCCGGTGATTTTCATCATCGAGAACAACGGATACTCGATGGGAACAGCAATCAAGCGTCATACGGCGAACAGCGACAACCTGATCTCGCGTGGTCAGTCGTACGGCATCAACTCGATCGAGATTGATGGGTTGGATATTTGTCATCTCTACGAGCAGTTCAAGCCGTTCGCGGAGAAGTGCCGGGAGAGTTCACGGCCTGGGTTTGTGGACCTCAAGACCTACCGCTACCAGGGACACTCGATGTCCGATCCGCAGAAGTATCGCACGAAGGACGAGGTCGAGTCGTTCAAGGAACAGGACTCGATCGCTCGCTTGCTCTCCCAGCTCATGGACTCTGGTGACATGACGGAAGAATCATGGAAAGAGATGCAGAGCGAGATCAAGGCACAGGTGATGGGCGCGATGAAGTTCGCGGAAGAATCCCCTGCTCCGGAAGCGAACGAGTTGTACACGGATGTGTACGCGAATCCTGAGAAGAACCTGTCACCCACGACTGAGTTTGGTCATGGGTTGAATAATCCCCTGCTCTAAAACTCAAAAAACCCATATGTCAGCAATTGCATCATATCTTGCGGAACGAGGCATAGAACGCATAGCGGATAGCATTTTCAATTCAATCATTAAAGGTCGATCACACGCCCGCGCAGTTGATTTTTATGACCAATTTACTGACACAATTAGCAAAGGTGACGAGCAGGATCTAGCAGCACAACTGCAACGAATTGACAACGACCCCAACAGCGCAGAGCTTTTGTTTAGTGCATACAAGAGCGCCGTGTTCGCCAAGTCAGCAATTTTAGGACCTAGATATATCGCGTTCTTGACAGGAACAATTTTGAATGACTGCCGAAAGGCAGAGCCTGATGAGTTGGTATCAATGTCTGCTGCAGAAATCCTGGACGATATTGAACTTGTTGAATTTTCAAAATTCATCCTCCAATCATTAGAAGACTCTTCAATTGAGCAGACTGGTGAACAATACCGTGTTGAACTCGAAAGTCACCAGTCAGACAGCAACTGGAGATTCAACTCGGAAGTGACAAACACCATCAATCTCCAGGAATATCTAGGTCGCTGGGCCGTTCGATGCCAAACGCTTGGCCTTTTGCACCAAAGCTCTATAACAACTGAACAGGATTATGAAGCAGATTGCGAACTCCGCAGAGATGAGCCTGGAACCATTACAACAACTAGCTTCAGTGTAGAATTTGGGCCAGAATCAATCCTGTTGGCAAACGGTGTACGAAAGATTTCAATAGGCACGCCCTTTTATTGGTAAATGAGAACTAAAGACATGACCACACTCCCCACCATCGAGCCGATTACTGATCAGATCCATCCTGCGATCGAGGACATGCTCGAGATGCCTGAGATGCTTCCCAATGACCAGCTCCCTCCGTTTGAAGGGGATCGGGTGATTCAGTACCGCGAGGCGCTGCGTGAAGCGATGAGCGAAGAGATGCGACGCGACAAGCGTGTGTTCCTGCTGGGAGAAGAGGTCGCGCAGTACAACGGCGCGTACAAGGTCTCGCAGGGGATGCTCGACGAGTTTGGTCCTCAGCGGATAATCGACACGCCGATCTCTGAGAACGGGTTTGCGGGCATGTCCATCGCGGCGGCGATGAGCGGCTTGCGTCCGATCGTGGAGTTCATGAGCTGGTCGTTCAGCTTTGTCGCCGCGGATCCGATCCTGAACAACGCTCCGAAGATGCTCTACATGTCCGGCGGGCAGTTCGGATGTCCGATCGTGTTCCGCGGGAACGACGGCGCGGGTGGTCAGCTTGCATCGACCCACTCGTGGTGCGTGGAAGCGCTGTACGCGAATGTCCCTGGTCTGAAGATGGCGATCCCATCAAATCCGTACGACACGAAGGGCTTGTTGAAAACTGCTATTCGCGATCCGGATCCGGTCTTCTTCCTTGAATCGGAGCGCATGCTAGGCGACAAGGCGCATGTCCCTGAGGAGGAGTACTACATCCCGTTCGGACAGGCGCGTCTTGCTCGCGAGGGTGATGCGGTGACGCTGGTGAGCTTTGGTCGTCCTGTGAACTTCTGTCTGGAAGCCGCGGAGCGGTTGAGCGCTGAGGGGATCGAGGTTGATGTGCTCGATATGCGCACGATCCGTCCGCTGGACATCGATTCGATCATCGAGCGCGTGAAGATCACGAACAAGATTCTTGTTGTGGATCAGTCGTGGCCTTTCGCGTCGATCGCGAGTGAGGTGATCACGCAGATCTGCGAGCGCTGCTTCGATTGGCTCGATTCACCTCCGGCTCGTTTGAACACCGCGGATGTTCCGACGCCGTATGCGAAGGGGTTGGAGTACGACTACCTTCCGAATCCGGATCGGATTGTCGGTTCAGTGAAGGAACTGCTCGGAGTTCAGTAAGAACACATGGGAATGCACACCGATCCAACCACTGCCCCCCACGGCGTGATGTTCGCTGTGGACGGCTCAGGAAATGAGCTGTCCGATGCGTACGCGCCGATCGCGGCTGGGGGTTGGTCTTGGTTGCACCTCTCACAAACTTCACAAGAAGCATGCGACTGGATTCGCAATCAAGCGGGGATCCCCGAACCTGAGGCACAAGCACTGATCGCGGATCATGCTCGGCCGCGCTGTGTGCAAACTGAGACTGGACTGCTGTTCATAGGCCGTGGGATCAACCTCGACGAGGGGAGTCTCCCTGAGGATATGAAATCGATCCGCGTGTGGATCGAGCAGAATCGGATTGTTACTGTGGTTAAACGGCGGATGCGATCGGCGGAATCGATCGCAGAGCGGTTCTTGAGTACCGAACGACCTGACTCTCCGGCGAGTGTGCTTGTCTCGTTGTTCTCGCAAATGACTCAAAGGATTGCGCCATTCGTGCAAGAGCTTGGGGATCGACTGGACGAGATTCAGTTCAGTGTGATTGATGACCGCGTCGAGTCTGCGGATCTCCCCGAACTCAGCCCGATCCGATTGAGGACAGTGAGCATGCATCGATACCTCGTCCCGCTCTACGACGCGGCGGTCTCGCTGTGTAATGCAAAGCAGTTGACTGGCTCAAAGCGGGTGCTTGCACAAGCGACCTCCACTCGTGATCAGCTCGCGCGAATGGTGGACGAGCTCTCCGCGATCGAAGCGAAGGCGGCGGTCACACGCGACGAGATGGTGAGCAAAAGATCAGAGCAGCTCAATGAGCGTGTGTACAACCTCACAGTGCTCGCGGCGATTTTCTTGCCTTTGACTGTGCTGACTGGATTGCTGGGAATGAATGTCGGCGGGATCCCGCTGATGGAGAATCAGAATGGATTTTTATTGATGAGCATCGCGTTGGTGGTCATCATGACCTTTACGATATTGTTGCTCCGAAAGCTCCGATGGATCTGATTGTTGATCTGGATAGGGATCTAAGCGGACGGCTTAAGAAGAATACGATTGAAGCAGTACGGCAAGTTTGTGCCGCGAACTGAGATGACGGAGATTCGAAAATGGCTATCAACATCACCATGCCTCGCCTCTCGGACACGATGGAACAAGGGACGGTTGTCAAGTGGCATGTGAATGCCGGTGACACGGTCAACTCCGGTGATGTCATCGCGGACATCGAGACGGACAAAGCGACGATGGAACTCGAGTCCTTCGACGACGGCGTGGTCGCATCGCTGGCAATCGGAGAGGGCGAGAAGGTCAACGTTGGAGAAACGATCGTGATCCTCGCAGAAGACGGTGAGTCTGTGGATGACGCGATCGCTTCGGTTGGTTCATCGGCTGACGCTGCACAGCAAGAGGGTGGTTCGGACGCTCCTGCTCCGTCAGCTACTGCGGTCGCTGAACCTCCAGCGACTCCACAAAGCGATACGGCTGATGCCGGTGAGCGTGTGTTTGCATCGCCGCTGGCACGCAAGATTGCACAAGAACACAACATCCCGATCGGATCGATCAGTGGATCTGGGCCTTCCGGACGTATCGTCAAGAAGGATGTCGAACAGATGATTCAGAATGGCTCAGCTGCTGGAGCTCCCGCAGCTCCGATTTCGATGGCATCTCCATCGGCAGCACCGATGCCTGCACCACTCCCAGCACCTGGCGCGGCGCTTGAGTCGCGGAGTGTGCCGCTCAACTCGATGCGTGAGACGATCGCGAAGCGTCTGGTTGAATCCAAAACCACGATCCCCCACTACCAGGTCACGATCTCCGCTCGTATGGATTCGCTGCTTGCGCTTCGCGAGGAACTCAACGGACAGCTCAGCACGCAAGGCGTCAAGCTCAGCGTCAACGACTTCCTCGTGCGTGCGTGTGCGATCGCGATGCATCAGCATCCGTTCGTGAACTCGTCGTGGAATCCAGGGTCTGGAAAGTCAGGGCCGTCGATTGATCTGCACGGGCATGTAAATATCGGTGTTGCGGTCTCGCTCCCAGAGGAGAAAGGCGGCGGTCTTGTTGTTGCGACGATCAACAATGCGGATCAGATCGGTCTGCGTCAGATCTCAACAGAAACCAAGCGTCTCGCATCCAAGGCACGCGAGAAGGGGCTGTCCCCTCAAGAACTGAGCGGATCGACCTTTACCATTTCGAATCTTGGCATGTTTGGGGTTGATCACTTCACAGCGATTGTGAATCCTCCGAATGCGGCGATCCTTGCTGTGGGCCGAGCGATCCAGAAGCCGTTCGTTGAATATGACGAGTCAGGTGAGCCGGAGTTGGTGGTTGGTCACGAGATGTCGATGACGATCTCGAGCGATCACCGGATCATCGACGGCGCGATGGCGGCGGCATATCTGAACACTGTGAAGGAACTGCTGGAATCCCCGGCTTCCTTGCTGGTCTGATCTGATCGAATATTCGCTTGTCGGAAGCGGTTCGGATGTGGTATGAGCCGAGAACCTCAAGATCCTGCACCTCAGTTCTACATCGGTCCTGATTCCAGCGCCACGAGTCCGGATGATCCGGATCGACTTCTCGACGAAGCACGCGAGCGGATCCGGAAGCAGGACGAGCAGAATCGCGAGGGTGTTCGGCTTGCACGCCGATTGGTGATCGCGTTTATCCTGATTGCCCTTCTTGGGATCGTTTTTTACATTGTGCTCCCGGAGTATGGTTTACGACTCGATCCGATTGTCCCTGTGCTGAGCTTCCTTGCGATTTTCCTAGGAGCTGTACTCACGGCAAGCGAAGAAAACAAGGACGAGGATGACTTCTGGGACGACCCGGACGATCCGCGTGGTCCCAACGGGGGGGGCGGTTGCGAGAACGATGGGTGTGCGGTTGGGATGTGTCCTGGACCACGTCCGCTCAGAGCGTTCCGACATCCGAAGAAGAAGTGACTTGATTACGACCACCCCTGATCGGGATCCGCGAGTCCAGTCCCTGTGATCAAGCGGACGAGGTTGATCGATGCCATGATCGCGAAGATGATTCCGAGAAGTGCACAGAGTGCGGCTCCGGCGTAGCCGTAGATCGCGACTTCGCCGCTTCCTCGCTGGAAGTCGGAATGATCGTGTCCATCAGATGCCGACATCTCAACGAATGTTTCCGCGCCGGCTTCTCCCATGCCGAGCAGGAACTTTCCAACCCCGAAGCAGGCGGCGATCAGAATCAGCATCCCAATAACTACGGCGAGTTGCTCGCCGCGGGTTTTGCACTTGACGAAGAGCATGCTCAGGAATGTTTCAACCACGAACACCGGTCATCCTCGTTCTGAGCGCCGACGTTTGAGTTCCGCGTCGATGAAGGGTTGCAGGTCTCCGCGATCGAGCACATTGGTTGGGTTGGCTTCGTGATTCGTGCGATGATCTTTAACTCGATTGTCATAGAGTACATAGCTGCGGATCTGAGCACCCCATCCCTTGTGTTCGAGCTTGCCGCCTGATGCTTCGTCGATTTCCGCTTGGCGCTGTTCTTCGGCGATCTGTTCGAGTTTCGCCTGAAGGATTGAAAGCGCCTGTTTGCGGTTTTGAGGCATTTCCTTGTGCGTGCTCGACACGACTTGAATGCCGGTCGGCTTGTGTGTGACGCGGACCGCGGTTGCGACTTTGTTCACATTCTGACCGCCGGGACCGCTTGAGCGTGCAAATACGACGATGTCGAGCTCGTTATCGGGGATGTTGACCTCGACGTCTTCGAACTCTGGGGTGACATCGACGGTTGCGAAGCTGGTCTGCCGCTTCCCCTGCGCGTTGAATGGGGACACGCGTGCGAGTCGGTGGGTGCCTTTCTCGCACTTGAGGTATCCGAACGCGTAGGGACCTTTGATATGGAGGGTGACGGAATCGAGTCCGACTTCTGAGCCGTGGGATTTTTCGACTTCTTCGACTTTCCAATCCATCTGATCAAAGTAGTAGAGATACATGCGGAAGAGCATCTCACACCAGTCGTTCGCTTCGGTGCCGCCGTCGCCGGCGTGGATGGAAATGAAGCAATCGCGGTGATCGTGCTTTTCTCCCAGGAGTGACTGGATCTCGATTTTGTCCATCCTCGAGAGCAGATTGAAGAGTGTTTCGTCGGCTTCAGAGAGCAGATCGTCGTCGCCTTCTTCGCGTGACATCTCGTACGCGAGCTTGGCGTCTTCGAACTGAGAGAGCACCTCGCTGAGTGGTTCGGTCTGAGCTTTGACGAGTTTGAGTTGAGCGACAACCTTGTTCGCATTATCGGGATTGTCCCAGAGATCGGGCGCTCCCATCTGGTCTTCCAGATCTTTCAGTTGATCGCGTTTGTTGTCGTAGTCAAAGAGAGTCACGGATCGTTACAATCCGCGCCTCTAAGTCGTTAATCACATTCTGGTGGGCTTCCAGATGCATGAGCGGGTCCTTTCATGGAACCATTGGGTTCCGAGGGCAACTGTAGCATCCTTAGGTGCGATTCGTCCGTACAATTGGGTGTGAACCTGACGCTCCTCGACATCGCGACGGTACTCCCCACGACTCAGAGCCGAGACGAGGCGATGCGTCAGGGGATGTCGCTGCTGATGATGCTCTCGCTGCTTGGTGTGCTTGTGGTGTGCATGCTCGCGGTGATCATGGTCATGCGATCCACTCGGCGCAAACGCACCAAGCGGGCCGCGGTCCCGACGGATGTGAGCGTCGATGCGTGGTCCGAAGCGAGCAAACGGCTCGACGACAGCATCACGGAGTTCGACGAGGAAGTTTAAACTAGTCTGGGAGCGAGTCGAGCCAAGCTTGAGCTCGTGGGTGTCCCAGATCGCGTGCTCGGCGCCCCCACTGCTGTGCATCGTTCATGAGCTTCGCTCGCTGCAACCAGATCGCGGCGTCGAACGCGGCTTGTGCGTCCTCGTTGTGGCGCGTCGCGTAGTCCATCATGCGTGAGGCGGCTTCTTCAACTCGACCCACCATCCCGAAGCTCTCGGTGAGGAGCTTCATCGCTTCGGGATCATCCAAGCTGCTGTCCGTGAGCGAGGTCAGCAGCTCGATCGCTCGATCGGGGTCTCCTAATCGTTTCTGGATTTTGGCATCGAGGATGGTCCATGCTGCGTTCGTTGGTTCGAGTTGCCGAGCTTTGTCGATCTGCTGGGAGGCGATGGTGAGTTTGTTTTGTCGAAGCGCGATCTGCGCCCAGGTGCCGTAGATCATGGCGCGGTCCGGAGCAAGCCGAGCAGCGATCGCGAGGGATGCTTTCGCTTCGTCGAGCTTGTTGAGCTTGAACTGAATGCTCGCGAGATAGAGCGCATAGTCCGCATTGTTGGGGTCTGCATCGAGCGCTGTTTGGTAGTGGACGAGCGCCATCTCCGGCTGATCGATCATGTTCGCGAGGGTGCCTGCGGTGAATTGAGCTTCTGGGAGCGTGCTCTCGGAGTGCTCGATTGCTGCGACAAACTGCTCGTACGCGAGCGAGTATTCCTGCGTCACCATATAGAGATCACCGAGCGCGAAGCGGAGGTCGACATCGAGCGGATAGCGAGCGATCGCGCTCTTGAGGATCGCGATCGCGGGTGGGTAGTCCTCAGCGGAGACATAGACCTGCACACTCTCGAGGACCTGCTCGATGGTCTGGGTCGGTGCGGTGGTGGTTTGGGATGCTGTGGTCTCAGGAGTTGCATCTGCTGAATGCTCAGTGGAGCCGATCAGCGAGCGGATCGCGAGGATGATGAGGACAATTGAGACCAACGCTCCGAGGATGAGGGCGAGGGTTTCCCGCTCGATCACAGCGGCTCGGGAACGGGGAGATTCGGGATGGGACGCTGGTTTCTGGATCATCTTTCCTACGCTCGTCGCGTACACTGTAGTCGACGAAACTGACCTACTCCCATGACCGATCAGATCGGAAATTCACGCATGAGCACCACGACCCTCGAACCGATGTCCAAGGCGTACGACCCCGCGGCGACTGAGCCCGCGATGTGGTCCAAATGGATGGATTCCGGCGCGTTCCACGCCAATCCAGATCGTGTCCTGAGCGGCGATGCTCGTCCGTACTGCATCCTGATCCCGCCTCCCAATGTGACGGCGGCGCTGCACCTCGGACACGCGCTCAACAACTCGATCCAGGACATCCTCGTCCGCGCCCATCGGATGAAGGGGTTCGAGACGCTCTGGATGCCGGGAACGGACCACGCGGGGATCGCGACGCAGACGATGGTGGACAAGAAGCTCAAAGGAGAGGGCAAAGCCGGGATCGCGGAGTACAAGAAGAAAGAACTCGAAGGCGGGAACGGCCGCGACGAGTTCATCGGACTGGTCCAAGAGTTCAAGGACGAGTTTGAGGAGCGGATCACGCATCAGCTCCAGACGATGGGGTGCTCGTGCGATTGGGAGCGACAGCGCTTCACGATGGACGACATCTGCGCCAGAGCAGTCCGCGAGGCGTTCTTCCGATTGTTCAAGGATGGATTGATTTACAGGGGCAAGCGCCTCGTCAACTGGGATCCGATCTCGCAGACGGCGCTCGCTGATGATGAGGTCGAGATGGAAGAAGTGGATGGACACTTCTACTACCTCCGCTATCCGCTTGTCAAATCTGTTGAAGGCGATGACACCATCCCGGTCACTTGGGGTGAGCTTGTGCCTCGCGGATATCCCGATGCGGAGAAGCATCCGGAAGACGAGCAGGCGTGGGTGACCGTTGCGACGACGCGTCCTGAGACCTACATGGGAGACACGGCGGTCGCGATGAATCCGAAGGATCCGCGTGCGGGATCGGTGCGTGGATTCCATGTGATGCTGCCTTTGGTGGGGCGCGTGATCCCGATCATTGAGGATGAGTATGTCGTCCTACCCGTCAAATACGGCGGCGAGGAGGGTGACGCGAAAGCGGAGATGTCGACTGGGTTCCTGAAGGTCACTCCGGCGCATGATCCGAACGACTACATGATCGGTCAGCGACACAATCTGGACACGATCAACATCATGGCGCCCGATGCGAGCATCTCCGATCAGCACGGCTGGGATCGCGAAGAACGCAACGAGGGAGGGCATGTCTTCCTCGGAAAGTCACGCGAGGATGCACGCACGCTGGTCATCGAGGAGTTCAAAGCACGCAGCGTCGCTGAGGGGAGTGAGGGGTCGCTGCTTGAGAAGATGGTCCCGCATCGTCACTCGGTAGGGCATTCGTATCGGAGTCATGTGCCGGTTGAGCCGTATTTGAGCGATCAGTGGTACTGCAAGGTGACCGATGATCGCCTCCGCGGCAACGCGCAGCGGGCGCTCAATCCAGAGCAACGCACGGAGCAGTCGATCAAGGACTGGGTCGAGTCGCGTCCCAAGATGATGACCGAAGGCTCCAACGACGGCACGATGTCGTTCTACCCCTCGCGCTACGCGAAGACCTACGAGACCTGGCACGATAATCTGCGGGACTGGTGTATCTCACGCCAACTTTGGTGGGGGCATCGGATTCCTGTGTGGTTCAAGGAGTATGAATCTTTTGAAGCAATGGAATCAGAAAGCGATGCAATCGTACTTGGATGGCTCAAGGATTATCAAATTGTTTCAATTGGAGCTGATGAAGTTGCTGAGTCAGAAGGTCACGGTGATTTCATTTGTATTGCTGATGCGGACGAAAGAGCTATCGAGCTTCTCCTAGAACATGGCTATACCCAAGACCCCGATGTCCTCGACACTTGGTTCTCTTCCGCGCTCTGGCCGTTGTCGACGATGGGTTGGCCGGACGCTTCGGCGGCGAAAGACTCGTCGGGGGTTGCGGACTTTGAGTCGGTGCTCGGTGCGTTCAATCCGACCTCCGTTCTCTGCACGGCTCGTGAGATCATCACGCTGTGGGTCTCGCGGATGACGATGTTTAATCGCTACTTTCTCGGGGAGGAACAAGCGGGGAAGGCGCCGTTCAAGGATGTGTTCATCCACGCGATGATCCAGGACGGCGAGGGACGCAAGATGTCCAAGTCGCTCGGCAACGGCGTCGATCCGCTCGACATCATCCACTCGCACGGCGCCGACGCGATGCGCTTCACGCTCTGTCAGATGACGACGCAGACGCAGGATGTTCGGATGCCTGTCGAGCTCGACGAATCGACTGGGAAGAACACCTCTCCGAAGTTCGACATCGGACGCAACCTGTGCAACAAGCTCTGGAACGCGGCGAAGTTCGCGATGATGATGCTGGAGAAGAATCCCGTCCAAAGTGGCGCTCCGATTGATGCGCAGGAGCTTTCGCTGGTCGATCGGTGGATGCTCTCGCGTGTTGTCCACGCCACGGGTGCGGTCAACACCGCTCTGCGGAACTACATGTTCAAGGACTACGCGGACGCGATCTACGACCTGCTCTGGCGAGATTTCTGTGATTGGTATCTCGAATCAATCAAACCAACCGTCGGGACCGATCCGAATCAGGCGGCGGTGCTCCGTCATGTGCTCGATTCGATTCTTCGGCTCATGCATCCGGTGACGCCGTTTATCACCGAGGCGATCCACGAACGCTTGTCCGCGATCCCGATGCGTGAGATCGAAGGATTCCGCTTCGACGAGACCAAGTCCTCGGAGACCTTGTGCCAATCGGGTTGGCCGAATCCTGATCAGTCCTTGCGTGACGAGGTCGCGGAGGAAGCGTACGGGCGTATGGTTGCGCTGACGACGGCGATTCGCGAGGTGCGTGCGTCCAACAAGGTGCCTCCGAAGCGGAAGGTTGTGCTGCATGTTTCGGGTGAGCTTGCGAGCGATGTCGCGCGTTGGTCGCCGCTTGTTGAGACGCTGTGTAATCTGAGCGAGGTCAGCGGCGAGGACGCGCCGGACGCGAGTGCTTCGTTTGTGTTTGAGGGCACGGAGTATCGCGTGAGTGATCTCGCGGATGCTGTGGATGCGTCGGTGGAGAAGGAACGCTTGACCAACGAGCTCGCGAGCTTGAATAAGGCAATCAGCGGTCTCGAAGGACGTCTCTCCAATCCGGGGTATGTTGATAAAGCACCGGAGCATCTGGTGAATCAGACCCGTGCGGAGCTTGAGCAGAAGAAGCAGGATCGCGATTCTGTTCAAGCGTCGCTGGATAAACTCGGATGAAGCGCACGCTCGCATTGATCGTGATCGCCGGGACGATGATGGGCGGCTGCTCATCGTCGAGTCCGTCCGCGTCCCCCACTGTTCGCAGCGCTCCTGTGCAGCGGTTTGTCGCGGAGCGTCATCGCTGGTCGTATCAGGGCAACGATGGATGGACCTACTTCACTCCCGGCGCGACGATCCGCACGACGATCACGGATCGGCGCATGCTCATCCGCATCCCGGCGTTTGTCGAGCTCTCGCAGATCCATGCTCGGACGGCGCTGACGACGCTCCCTGCTCCGAGTGAGCCGGTCGATACGTTCTTTCTTGGGTCGCGGCGTGAATGGGAAGCGATGACACGCAAGGTGCTCAAAGACCGCGCCCCGGTGTACCTCGCGATCGAGCGCGGCGGGTTCAGCATCGGGACCACAGGCGTCTACTACGACCTTGGTCCACGCGATTCGTTCGCGATCGCGGCGCACGAGGGCTGGCACCAGTACGCACACTCGGTCATGATCGATCGGCTCCCGGTCTGGCTCGACGAGGGTATCGCGTGCTATCTCGAAGGGTTCCAGTGGGACGAGATCAATCCGGATCAGCCCGTGTTCCTGCCTTGGTCGAATCTGGAGCGGTACGACCAGCTCCGCAAGGCGCACGCGGAGGGGACGCTGATGTCGCTCCACACGCTCGTGAGCAATCGACCTCAGGACCTCATGGCGACGGACAAGGGCGGCGATCGCGTGCTCAACTACTACGCGCAGCACTGGGCGCTCGTGCATTTCTTCCGCGAGTACCAAGGCGGACGCTATTCATCTGGACTCGCTCGCGTGTTGCAGCTCGCATTGAGAGGCGGCTTGCTCGACGAACTGAGTCCATCGGAGGCACGCTCGATGCGGAGCCGGCGCTCTGGACCCGGGGTGCTGTCGATCATCGCGCCTGGCGTGGAGCTCCGCGAGCTTGATGCGCAGTATCAAGCGTTCATCACACGCATCGTGCGTCCCGGCGGACGCAACATGCTCTTGAACGGTCAATCTCCCGCTTGATCGTCTTCAAGGACATCGGGCTCGACACCTAGGTACGGCAGCACACGCTCGGTGATGCTGCGAACAACCGGTCCCGCAACCCAAGACCCGTAGTGACGGCGCTGGGCGATGTGCTCTGGTCCCGGATCGTCCATCACCACGAGCACGACGATCTCAGGAGCCGTCGCTGGAGCCGCGGCGATGAAGCTGCTGTTGTACTGCTTTGCGAAGTATCCGCTCGCGTTATTTGGACGGCGCATGCCTTGGGGAGGGATGCAAGGGATGTATGCGGTTCCTGACTTTCCGAACATGGAGTACTTGGGTTCTGGAGCGTCATTGACGCTCTGGTTGTTGCGATCCATGCGTCCGGCGACCAATCCCATCGGTCCGCGTACGCGGCGAGCAACTTCTGGATCGAACACACGCTCGATGATGATCTCGTCTTTGGTCAGTCCGCGGCGATCGTCCAGTCCCGCGGCGGTGAGTCGGAGTTGCGGGAGTGTGCCGGACATGTCTCCTTCGCGAGCGAATACAGAGAACGCACGCGCCATCTGCACTGGAGTCACCGCGACCTCGTACCCCATCGCGACGGAGGTTTGAGTCCATTTGGACCAGTTCTTGTCGCTCGTCACGAGTCCCGGCTGTTCACCCATGATCCCGAGTCCCGACTTGCTCCCGAATCCCAGAGCACGGATGGTGTTGCGTGTCTGCTGCATTTCGAGTCGGCTTGATGCGATGGACATGCCGATGTTGGATGAGAACTCCATGACCGAGTCCCAGGTGAGTTCTTTGCGGAAGGTGACGTCCTCGAGCGAGCGTCCTGGATAGGGCTGGTAGTAGTTGACATCGAAGCGCAGCACCTCGTCGTCAGGGAGCAAGCCTTTGGTCTTTGCGAGCGACCAGATGAACGGCTTGAAGGTCGAGCCGGGTTCGTAGAGATCGCGCACGCAGCGATTGCGTGTGAGTGCTTCGTCTTGTCCTCGTTGTGTATCAGGTTCAAGGACGCGCCAGCGTGGGCGATCAGCTTGGTCTGGGAGTGTTTGTGCCGGGATATCGCCCTTGGGGTCGTACCAAGGGAACTCGACGAGATCAGGGATCTCGCGGATGATATCAATCATCGCGAGCACTTCACCAGTTTGTGGATTGACCACAACAGCTCGTCCTCCAGCAGCGTCAGCATGCTCTACGCCTTTCTGGAGTTCTTCCTGCACGATGCGTTGGATCTCGAGGTCGATCGAGAGTCGCACATCGTCGCCGCGTTGTTCTTCGGTCCACGCGCCGCGCTGGACCCACAATGGTCCCCCACTCGCATCGCGGACATAGGTGAGCGAGCCGTCGTCGCCTTTGAGTCGGTTGTGGAAGAGTTCTTCAGCGCCGATGATCCCTGTGCGTTCTACCGCTCTTTCGTCTTCGTATCCGAGTTTCCCGATGATGGATCCAATAAGTGGGCTGGCGCTCGCTTGTCGGACTTGCTGGTCTTCGAGGAAGATGCCGCTGAGTTTATGCTCTTTTTTGAGTGCTTTGATCGCTTCGGCGGCTTCCAGATCGATCAATCCACCGATCGGGAGATATCGGCTCAATCGGGGCTTGGCAATTGCTTCACCCGATTCATCAACGAGCGGCGCGAGTCCGTCACGCTCACGCTGCTCTATTTCTGCGATGATTTCAGCGCGGCGTTTGTTCTCCATAACAGCGCCGATGATGCGAGCGCCCAACTCGCCGGGGTTGAGATTCAGCGTTTCGGACAACCCCACGACGGCTTGGTCGAGGTTCTTCTCGATGGTTGTTGGATCGACGATGACTCGACGCGCGACGCGTGTGGTCGCGAGGACGCGTCCGCGTCTGTCGAGTAGGTCTCCTCGTGTAGCGCCGAGCGTGTGCGTAGTTGCTCTAGGTTGGATGTGATCAGCGAGCGCTTCGCTTGGGAAGAGCTGGAGCTGCGCGACGCGTCCCAGCACGAGCACGAGTCCGAAGATGATGGCGATTCTCAGAGCAAGCAGGACGCGATGGGTGAGCACAGATTCTTGAGCGGGGATCGCGGTGGACAATGCGTACTCCTTGCTTTACGGATTGACTGATGGATTGAGAATTCTGATCCGTGTGCCGTCTTCGAGCGTCCAGAAGTTGTCGTTTGGTTCGACAACTTCATGCCCAGTATCTTGGAGCTCGTCGATCTGCTCTGGTTCCGGCTCGCTTGGATCGAGCAGTTGGATGTTGTGGTGCGTCTGGTCGACAAACTCGCTGGTCGCGTCGTCGCCGAGCATCGCGCGGATCTGATCTGGAGTGATGTTCTGTGCGATCTGGGCGCGCAGTTCCATAGATCGCTGTGTGAGCTGTCGGCTCCGCAGTCTGGACTGGGTCATCTCATTGGATGCGACGAGGCGGGATTGACGCACGGACAGCACACCGACTCCAGTCGAACCAAGCGCCACGATCAGCACGATCAACTTCACAAACATCATCGGCTCCGGCGTTTGATAGACGGCTTACTTTGCAGGGACTTTGAGCTTCATACCCACACGGATGTCGTTGGCGTCGTCGAGCCCGTTCAATGACACGAACTCATCGACACGCTTGGAAGTTCCGAGCAGACGCATGGAGATCTCTCCGAGCGTATCACCTGGAACCACAACATAGGTCTTGACCGATTGGCTGGTCTTCCGCTCCGATTGAGTTGGCTTGCTTTGCGTAGGTGCGGAGACTCGCGCATTGGATGGGAGCTTGAGTTTCATTCCTACAGCGATCACTCCGTCACGACCAACCTTATCAGCGTTGAGTTCCTGGATCTCGCGCCAGCGGTTCCCATCTCCAAGCGAACGCGCCGCGATGCGGTAGAGCGAATCGCCTTCTTCAACGATGTAGGTCGCGTAGGTTGGTTCCTTGAGCGGACGCAGGGTTGAGGTCTTGGTGTCTTCTGATTTAGTCGGACTCGCAAGCGCCGGCGCATTCATCTGCTCGATGTTCTTCGCGAGTTCGTTGTTGATCCCGTTGCTCAAGCGGTCGAGCAATGAGCCTGAGGAGGTGGAGTTGCTGTAGTTTGATCCATTGGCGATGACGATGGGGTCTGGTTGCTTCTCAGGGATGACGCGTTCGATCGCTTCGTTGATACGATCACGCTCAGCGCCGGGCAGTTGCACGATGGGCTGGTTGGGCGACGCATCGAGACTCTCAGGATCCATCGCTCCCGCTTGGGAGAAGTGGTCACTGACAAGCACTCCGACCACGAGGATGAGGACGAAGGAAAGAATGAGCGCGAGTTTGCTTTCTCTGGTCACGGCCTGGTCCTTGGCTCTGCACCGAATGAAACAACTGAACTGAAACATGATCAAACAGATCAATGCATAGACGCGGCCTTGCGTCTGGAACTGGATCACCCGATCGTTGGATCGAGCACCCTGCATACACGCAGCTTCGCGGAGCGGGATCGTGGGTTCACCTCGATCTCTTGCTCATCGGCCCCTACGGGCTTGCGTGTGATCAACTCGATGTGCTCGTCCGTGTTCATCCGAGCAAAGGCTTGCTTGACCGGACGATCTTCGAGCGAGTGGAACGCGATGATCGCGATCCGTGCGCCGCTTGCGAGCCAGCTCGGTTCTCCCTTGTGCACTTTCGCGGCGCCGATCGCGATGGAGCGGAGGAGCGATTCGAGGGAGCCGAGCTCATCGTTGACCGCGATGCGGAGCGCCTGGAAGGTGCGAGTCGCGGGGTGGATGGAAGGTCGAGGTCCTCGAGTGTACGGGACAGCCGATCGGACAAGATCAGCGAGTTGATCTGTCGTCTCTATCGGCGCAAGTCCTCGCGCTTCAACAATCTTTGATGCGATCCTCCGAGCGTGTCTTTCCTCTCCAAATCGCTTGATCAGATCCGCGAGTTCGCGTTCTGGGAGGGTGTTGACCAACTCCGCGGCATCGATCGGCGAGGTTTGATCCAGTCGCATATCCAGCGGTCCAGAGTTCCGGAAACTCAACCCCCGCTCCGGATCGTCCACTTGTGTGCTCGCGAATCCCAGATCTGCGAGGACCATATCCGCTTGGATATCACGCTTTGAGAGTTCTTGCGGGAGCTGAGCGAAGTTGCCTTGGATGGCAATAACGCTCGCGGAATCAGGATTCTGTGGATTCAGTGCTTTTCGAGCGGCGTGCTCGGCACGCGCGAGATTCCCTTCGTCCATGTCATTGAGGACGATCGTTCCCTCGGCGCCAATATGCTGTGCGATCATGCTCGCGTGACCACCCAATCCGGCCGTGCAATCCACAAACACTTGTCCTCGCTGAGGTTGCAGCAGATCGATTGTTTGCTCTGGAAGCACAGGGATGTGGTCATATTGCTCGGACACACCCCACAGTATCCCCTATTGTCTTCCCATGCCGTCTGACACCGATCCGATTCTGCTCACCACAGCGCCCAACTCATCTGCGGCGGCGCAGATTATCTACGGGCTTGAGCTGCGAGGGATCGGGGCGCGGGTTGTCGAGAATCGGAAGAAATCACACGATCCGCTTGCGATCGTGCTCATCGACGGCGATGAAGAGCAAGCTCGATCAGCGATCAATGTCATCTGGGATGCGATGCTTGATTTGGTTCCACGCGCGACTGATGCGGAGGGGAACTGCTATTTCTGTGGGTACAACATCCACGGGCTTGAGCCGCCGGTCACATGTCCGGAGTGTGGTCACAATGTGGATTCGATCGAATCTCGAAGAGCAGCGTCTGAGGGTCGATGAAGCATGTTCTCTTATTCCCACTCCCAGAATCTCATCCAGTTCTGATGCGAGAACTTTGCGATGTCCGTGTCGCTCCAGCCGTGACTGCGGAGCGCTTCTCCAATGAGTTGCAGATTGCTCGGAGTGTTGATTCCTTCTGGGAGTTCATCGGCGCCGAATCCGCCGTCCATGTCTGACCCCAGACCGACTGCGTCAGTGCCGCCTGTGATTTCGCAGATGTGCTCGATGTGGCGCACGATCCAGTCCATCTTCGCGCGTCCCTTGTCCCTGAGTCCCGGCTCAAGGAACGCGGAGAGCAGATTGATCCCGATGACCCCCCCACGATTGGCGATCTCAGCGATGGTCTCATCACTCTGGTGACGCTGATTCGGGAGCGAGTTGGGATCACCCATCAACGCTCGGCAGTTGGAGTGCGACGCGATCACGGGACGATCCGTCATCGAGAGCAGCTCGTCTACGCTGCGCTGCGAGAGGTGCGAGAGATCGTGGACGACTTCGAGCTGATCCATCTTCTGGACGAGCGCTCGTCCCAGATCGGTGAGTCCATTTCCCGATCGTGTGTGATCGGTGCCATTGCCCCCGGCGTAACGGGACTGGTGCCACCACGCCATCCCGATCGCGACGACGCCGCGCTCGACCCACATCTCGAGTTCATCGGGATCGGTGATCGGATCGGCGCATTCAACGAGGATCCCTATGTTGATCGGGCCGCCCTCGAGTGGGCACTCCGCGACCATGTCGATCTGGTCGTGTCCCCTTCGGGGCATCTGACGGATCACGCCCGCGTCGCGCCATGCGTTGTACAGGAGCAGTTGACGCATCCCGGCTCGGTACGCCGCGTTCGCATCCCCAAACGGATAGGTGAACGCGCCGGTTTCCTCATCGTCCTTGCGTGGATCGACTCCCTCGGTGAAGATCGTCGCGAGACAGTGCTTCACGCCCCCCTCGATCATTGATGGGAGTGTGATACTCGGCGGCTGGTAGCGACCCCGGCAGGTCCGCAGGTCCGCGTGCATGTCTCGCCCGTTCTCGGCGAGGTACGCAAGATCAAGATGGGCATCGAACCAGTTCATGCATTCTCCAATGAAAAATCCCAGAGCGGTACTCCGGGATCTTAGTCATTCAATGTTCAATCATTTTCGTTGAGTGGTTTAGTACTCAAGAGCACGAGGGAGGGTCTTCGCTTCCGCGACCCACTTCTCGACATCAGCAGCGGTTGGCACACGACGGGTCAAACTCTTCGCATCGTTGACCTCGATCATCTTCGCGGCAAGATTCTCAGCGTTGCGCTGCGCCAGTTCTGGAACGGTGTCGACGCCTGATGCTTCGAGCAGTTCGGAGAACTCGGATCCGACACCGCTGATGCGGTAGAGATCGACCATGTTTGCCCACTTGAGGATGTGAGTATCTGAGATGCCGGTCTTCTCAGCGAGATCCTTGCGTTGTGCTGGGGTCTTGCATGCGTTGAGCAGTGCATCGGTATCATCGATCCCAGCTCCGCGGAGTTTCTCGCCGTAGGTTGGTCCGATTCCTTCAACATCTTCAACTTTGTAGTTCGCCATTGGTAATTCTCCCTGCGAGAGTGTGGTGGATAGTCCCTATAGAGTATAGTTATGAAACTGTCCAAACATTGCTCTGGACTGTTCAGATCATTGAATCTGTGAGAAATTGAAGCCGTGTGATTCCGAATAGAATGTGAACACACGCACAAGGAACAGCTATGAAATACCCTGATCTCGTTGAGTCAACCATGAGTCCTTCCAAAGCACAAACGCTCCCAACTCGAAGGGGAAATCTCCTCGTTGGATGCGGCGTTGTCCTGCTCGTATTGATCATCCTCGTTGGAGTCGGCGCATACTTTGTCATCAGTAACATTCGTGGATGGACGGCGGATGCGAGCACCAAAGCAATTGATCAGATGCTCGTTGAAGCAAAGATCGATCCGGATGAACACGCCGAAATCATGGTTCATGTCGAATCACTCATGACTCGATTCGAAGATGGTGAAATCGAATGGAATCAACTCGGACAAGTCGTTGAACAACTGGCAAAGTCGCCGATCATTCCGTCCGCGATGGTGATCTCGATCGATCGGCTCTACATAGCTCAGTCCGAACTCCCTGAGGGAGAACAAGCACAGGCACGGATCGACCTTGCTCGATACACGCAAGGATTGTTCGACGAAACAATCGATCCGGATAGCATGAATGATGTGCTCGAACCAGTGATTACTCACTCACCCGATGATGATGACATCCGTTTGAATCTGAAGATCGACGAGAATGGCCGAACCATCACTGCATTGAAATCAGCGGATCAGGTCTCGACTGAGGAGCTCCGTGAACTCATCGCAAACGCGAAAGCGCTCGCGGATGAAGCGGGTGTGACTGAAAGTCCAGAGCCGGTCGATTTGTCGGATGAAGTACAGAAAGCGATCGCGACCGCGTTGGGTGAGATCGCTGCGGATGTGGAAGTTGAAGTCGAATCTGATGAACCTGCTTCAGACGAACCTGCTGATCCTGCCGAGACACAGGATAACGATGGACCTTGATCGATTAGAGCAGCACGCTCATTAGACGCGTCGCGACCAGTTCGAGCAATCGGAATGACCCCATCCCGAGCAGTACTCCGGCGCCGATTGTGAGGATTGGATGATCCATCAGGATCGACGCCGGGAAGTTTGCGTTGACCGGGATCGCGTGGACGCGTTTGGTTGCGAGCGGATCAGCATAGATGAAGCACTTGAGGTCTTTGTGGAGCAGATCGCGATCGGTGAGCTGATTCACTTTGACCTCGATGAGCCCGTGATCGACGGCAGTCAATGCCGCGTCGTCGGCGTTCTTGGCGCTGACTTCGAGGGTCTTCTGAGATCGTGTGCGATGGTCTTGACCGGTGACTTCGTAGAACGCCATGTGTGCATCCCCTTGTGCTGGTCCTTCAGCTGGATGCACCAGAGTACCACAGACCAAGTTGGCGCGTGCAACGACCGTTCTGCATCACCCCGATCGGGTGGTGCAGGGACTAGAAAATAGGTATTTCTCCGGAAGATTACACCGAAACGACAGCCGGCTCGTCGCTGACGATCAGCTCGGCTTCGGTCTTATCCACAACCTCTTGCACGCTCACGCCCGGCGCGAGTTCGGTGAGTTCGAACAAGCCGCGCTCGTGGTTCATTGTCAGCACACAGAGATCGGTGATGATCATGTCGATGCACGCGCGTCCCGTCAGAGGCAGGTTGCACTCCTTGAGGATCTTCGCTTCGCCCTTCTTGTTGCAGTGCTCCATCGTCACGACAACCTTCTTGACGCCCGCGACCAAATCCATCGCGCCGCCCATGCCTTTGATCATTTTGCCTGGGATCATCCAGTTCGCGATGTCGCCTTTCTCGGAGATCTGCATCGCGCCGAGGATACACATGTCGATGTGTCCGCCTCGGATCATGCCGAAGGATTGGGAGCTTGAGAAGAACGACGATCCTGGGAGCGCGGTGATGGTCTGCTTTCCCGCGTTGATCAGGTCGGCGTCGACTTTGTCTTCTGTTGGGAACGGTCCGATCCCGAGGAGTCCGTTTTCGGATTGGAGCCAGACCTCCATGCCGTCGGGGATGTGGTTAGCGACGAGCGTCGGCATCCCGATCCCGAGGTTGACGACATAGCCGTCTTTGAGTTCCTGAGCGGCGCGTTTGGTGATTTCATCGCGTGATAGTGGCATGCGAGAGTATAGGAACGCTCCGCGATCGGGATCATGAACCTGATTTCTTGACCGGCTTGCCCCCAACGGTCAGCGAGGCCTTGGTGCCTTTCTTTTTCTTGGGAAGCACCAATCGGATCAGCCACAGCGCGGCGAGCGCCCCCACCGCTGTCACGACCCAGAACTGCCAATCATCTACAGGCATGGCGTACTCTAGCCCTCACGACAAGAGCGTGATCGACTGATACACGATCAGCGCCCCGCCGTACGCGAGCAGGGTCATCCATCCGAGCTGGAGCAGCGCCCATCGCCACCCGCCGGCTTCTTTCGCGGTCACGACGACGGTCGGGAGACACAGCATCGCAAGGATGTAGTACACCAACAACGACCAGCTCGTCGCGCGATCGAAGAGCACGCTGCCGTCATCTCGTTTCGCGTTTGCAATGGAATCGAGCACACCCTCGTCCTCCGTGTCGTCATTCCCAACGACCTGCACGGCCATCGTGGAGACGAAGACCTCGCGAGCCGCGAAGCTTGCGAGGACACCGATCGTGAGCTTGCGGTCGTACCCCAACGGCTCGAAGACCGGCTGCACGACCGACCCGATCTGTCCGAGGAACGAGTTGCGTGCCTGCTCGGATGCTTGGAACTGCTCGACCTGCTCGACGGTCATCTCAGTCGCTGGATCGATCTCGACTGGTTTGTTTGGATACGCGTTGAGCCACCACAAGACAATGGACACCGCGACGATCAGCGTCCCCGCTTTGCGGAGAAACGCCATCGCTCGATCGAACGTCAGCATCAGCGCCGCTTTGAGATCAGGGAATCGGTAGCTCGGGAGTTCCATCGCCATCGGCCGTGATGAACCTTGCAGGATTGTTCGTCTGACGAGCAGCGAGCTGAGCAGTCCTGCGAGCACTCCGATGACGTAGCACGAGGTGAACGCGACGGCTTGCATCGCTGGGGAGTCTGGGAACAGGATCAATGTCAGCAGCACATACACCGGGATGCGAGCGGTGCAACTCATGAACGGCGCGACGAGGATGGTCGCGAGCCGATCTTTGGGATCGGGAACCGCTCGGCACGCCATGATGCCTGGGATCGCGCACGCGTGGCTCGAGAGCAACGGCACGAATGCGTGTCCGCTCAATCCGAACGGACGCAGCACGCGATCAATCACAAACGCGGCGCGTGCGAGGTATCCCGTACCCTCCAGCAGCGCCAGCAAGAAGAACAACAGCACGATCTGAGGGAGGAAGATCACCGTCCCCCCCACGCCTGCGACGATGCCATCGGCAATCAGATCGCGGATCGCGCCCTCTGGGAGAATCGATCCGACCCAGCCTCCGATGGTCCCGAACCACGCGTCGATGAGGTCCATCGGGATCGACGCGAGCTTGAAGATCACCCAGAACAATCCCGTCATCACGATCGCGAAGGTCAGCACACCAAGCAGCGGATGCGTGAACGCGCGATCGAGTCGATCGGTGAGTCGATCATCAACCGGCGTCTCGCGAGCGGCTGCGACGAGCGCGTAAATATCATCGCTCCACGCTTCGATTGCATCCAGCTCCGTCGGGGCGCTGCGATCGGGGACCTTCGCGTGCTTGAGTGCATCGAGGAGTTGATCGACACCCTCGCCCGTTTTCCCTGAGCATCCGACCACAGTGCATCCCAGGCACTCGCCTAGACGCTCAAGATCGATGTGGATGCCTCGGCGTTTCGCGGAGTCCATCATGTTGACCGCGACGACGGTTGGCAAACGGCGCTCGATCGCTTCAGCAACGATCATCAAGTTTCGCGACAGGTTCGTCGCGTCGATGACCACGAGGATCGCGTTGGGGACATGCGCCTCGACACCGATCGGCGCGAGCTCGCCCTCGAGTGTCTGTCGGCAGACGCGCGACTCGGATTGTTCTAGATTCAGCGAGTACACTCCGGGGAGGTCGATCAGCACCGAACCATCACGCAGCGCGTGACGAGCTTCTTGCGTCGTGCCTGGGAAGTTGGAGGTCTTGGCGCGGATCCCAACGATGCGATTAAACAGCGTCGTCTTTCCAACATTGGGATTCCCGAGCAAAGCGACGATGCGGCTATCGACAACAGCTGGAGTATCGACGCTGCTCATTGGATCTTTACTTCTGGGTTTCGGTGTCAATACTGACCATCACGCGTCCCGCGATTTCCTTCGCGAGACCGATCCGGCATCCGCCGCCGCAGGCGCCGCTGAGCGAGACGATGCAGGGCTCTCCGAGTCGGCACATCGTGACGGACGCGTTCGGACGCAGTCCCATGGCGCGGAGCATTTTGACTTCTTCTGTGCTGCCATTGATCTGCACTCGCCCGCGCTGTCCACGCGGAAGCTCTGTCAACGGCACTGAGTTGGTTGCGATGTCCATTGTCTGGTCAGTCAACACGTGATGCTCCTGTACAAATCGTACCTGAGTATATCCAATAGCAGACTCCAATTGAGACTCAATCGCAGAAACTCTTGCTGATACCGTCTTCTTGAGCTGAAATCAGGGATTTGGAGCCGAGCTCAGTCTGTTGCAGATTGAATCGGCTTGAACTTCATGCAGTAACCGCCGCGCCAGATTGGGTAGTCGACCTCGCAACGAAGACCAAAGAACTGGTCTGGGTTCCAACCGATCCGCTCAAAGAATGATTGGGTGAGCTCTTTATGTTTGGAGTATCCCTTCGATGCGGCATTCGTTATCCCACGCCCCAAGAGTTCAAGCGTTGGGAGCTGCGGATAACGCAGGACCCACTTGTCTCCGCCGGGTGCTGAGAGATTCGGGTTCCACATCTGCGCATCGATTGAAGGACGGTACATGCGTTCCATGTCTTCATGCAGGTAGATATCGAAAATCAATCTCGTCGATGGGCAGTTTGAGAGCGACCAGACTTCGTCAAAGATTGGTTGACCGTTTGGGTCGAGCACAGGATGATTCGATCTTGCGGCACTCACGACATCGAATGTCTGCGGACCATCAAGATTCTTTGGATCGATCACGCGGATCAGCGATTCAGAGCTCCCACGCGAAGTCACTGTGGGGAGAGGCTGAGAACAAAAATCCTGCAGCAAAGCATCGGGAGTAGAACCCTGCGCATCAGTATCATCGAGATTTTTAAGAGCCTGAGTGAAGTCGTCATCCCATTGGATCGTGCTGCCATTGGAGATCACGACCGGCATCCCGCCTGGAACGACGGTGGTTTGGATCATTCCAGTCGCGATTGCTCGCTGGAGTATGTTGGGATCATCTGGTGCATGACGGAATGCATACAGCGATATGGTCGTTTGCGCGGCGCGGCCTGTAATCCCAGTTGCCGCGTGGTACAACGCTTGGCGTGCTTTGAGGGATGCAAGTTCAAACGGCGCTTCGTCATCATCGTGAGCGTCAATGCGTGCGATGAGTTTGGAATGTGATCCCGCGATCTCACGAATGAGCACATCAAACTGCTCAATTCCATTCGAAGCGATTTCAATCACGGCTTGATCGTACTTCTGTGCTTTCATCGCATCGATCAACAAACGCAGACCTTTCGTGCCTGGTAGTTTGACGAGCGTTTGGAGACTTGGATCGTTGTCCGACAGCGCGTGAGCGAGACGCTGGCAGGTGTTCCGGACAACCCCTAGGTGCCTTGACATCCCTGATCCCCCCTGCGCGTGATCAGGAAGCAAACTCACGAGCGCTCCGAGTTCACCGTAGAGTCGGGCGGCGACACGCTCACAGCGAGCCCGCTCAGCGGGGCTGAGTGGGGCTGATTTCGTTATCGCTGGCATCAAGGAATCAGCAGGCATCACATGCACAATACCGCCTTCCAGAGCAGTTGTGCGTAAAAACGCGTGATGGAGGTTGTCTGTATTTTGCCGAGACATGAAACCCGCTTTCTCCTGTTCCAGTACAAATTCCCGCATTGTGGGATGTTTTTGGTAGAATATCTGATTTCAGGGTTGATTTCAAGTCAGATTTGTTTATATTCCATTCCCAGACCAAAACCCCACTACCACGACAGTCGGGACATCACCCCAATACCTCTTTAGAGAGAAGAGAAACAGGAGAAGACCTCATGAAAGCACACAAGATCACTGCGGCATTGTGCATAGCAAGCATCAGCGGCTTTGCGATGGCACAAAGTGTCAATGCACTCCAAGGACCTACCGGCGGATCAACAGTCGCACACGACATCAATGATCTCGGGCAAGTCGTGGGTCAATCTAACTCGGGACTCTCGATCAGCACCACCGTCTGGGACGCGAATGGCGTAGGGATGAACCTCGGTGCCGCTTCGGGATACGACACATCCTTCGGATACGCGATCAACAACATGGGACAAGTTGTTGGTTACTCCGAAGTCACTTCCACAGGGATGCGCACCGCGACCCTCTGGGATAACGGGCGGATCACAGATCTTGGCGCAGACCTCGGAGCCGTCGGCGACTCTGTCGCTCGCGATATCAACAACCTCGGACAGATTGTTGGGAGCGCGAGTTTCTTCGGCGGATTCGGAGAAGGTTTCTTGTGGGACAGCACCGGAGGACGAGCAGTTGGCACCCTCGGGATGGGGGGCTCAAACCTTGGCATCAATAACATTGGTGTCATGGTCGGACACTCGTTCTTCTTCGGAGACCCTGACACCGCATCCATCGCGATTCCAGACGATCGCGGCGGTTACTTCACGGGCGATCTCGGCCCAGCGGGCTTCAACTTCTCGATCGCCACTGCGATCAACGACAACGGCATGAGCGTTGGCCACACCAACTTTGGAACTGACGGCGCTTGGCAAGCCGCGATTTTTACGACTGACCTCATGGGACCACCTACACCTCCGACACTGCTCGGATCTCTCGACGGGCTGAACACTTCGGAAGCAAATGATGTCAACGACAATGGCATGATCGTTGGATACTCATGGGACGGCACGCACTCAGGAATCGATTCGCGCGCATGGGCGTGGGTTGAAGGCACTATGTACGATCTCAACAACCTGCTTGATGAAAGCTCAATGTTCTCACTGCTGATCGAAGCAACCGGCGTCAATAACAACGGCGACATCGTTGGATACGGCTTGCTCCATGACGGCAGCACTTCTGCGTTTGTCATCGAGGGATTCGTCCCAGCACCAAGCGCTCTTGGTCTACTCGCGATGGGCGGCGTGCTAAGCACACGACGCAAGCGTTCGACCACATGATTTAAACCCGTTCAAGTACTCACCACCATTTCAATCACAAAGGACACCCAATGAAAAAGGGAACACTTATCGTTCACACACTCATCCCAACGCTCATCGCGAGCTCAACTCTCGCCGGGTTCGCGGACTTCGAATCAGCACGAGAAGGCTTCGCGGGCGAAACATTCGTCGATGGAGGGATCACCTTTTCTCGCTTGAATGATGTCTCTGGGATCAATCCAGACGGCGCGATGTTTGAGCCAGGAGAATACGGGCGTCAGTTCATCGTCGAGAATGCGACACTTGCGATCAACGACTTCCCAGGGGTCCTCGGCGGGACCAACGCGCTTTCTTTCGGGAACTCCTTCATCGCGGGCGACAATCTCTCGATTAACATCCTCTCCTCGTTCCACATGAGCACTGGACAGGTCGAGAACTTTGCATCCCTCGATCTGCTGATGTTCGAGAACGGACCCTGGGGTGGCAACACCATCTCGCTCGACGCGCTGCTTGATGGCCAAGTCGTTGCAAGCGATTCGTTCGTGATCTCCGATCTTGGGGGCAGAGACAATCTCGTAGGCATGGCGCTGTCTATCGACGGCGTGAACTTTGATTCGCTCCAGCTCTCAGCACGCATGCCCGATGGAACATACACCGCGTTCGCGGGACTGGTGGATAATGTCACCATCACACCGACTCCAGGCGCGACCAGCTTGCTCGCGATGGGAACTGTGATTGGACTCCGCCGGAGACGATGAGCTCTCTTCGATGCCGTTGCGATACACAACGCACCGCGATTGGATCACTTGCTCTCGCCCTTGTTCTTCTTGGAACGAGGGCGGAGCGTGATTCTCGCGGCTCCGAATCCGGCAAGAGCGAAGATCACATAGACCAATGCCGCGGGCGCGGACGCTTTCCAGAACAAGATCTGAATCATAACCGATTCCATATTCTGTAGAATCAGGATCAAGAAGACCAGCGAGACGAACATGATCGCGATAATGCGAGGCTTGGTGTACCACGCTCTGGGTTTGACTTCTGCAGTTTCGCTCATGTGTTCACCCCTCACTGATGGTGCGTTGTTCGATCCGTTTTTCCGAAACGGTTTGCACAACGCGATCAACATAGACACCGGACAGATGGATGTCGTCAGCATCAATCGCGCCGGTCTCGACGATCTCGTCAACTTCCGCGATGGTGAATCTGGCGCCGGTCGCCATTTCAGGATTGAAGTTTCGTGCTGTTGCGTGAAAGACAAGGTTTCCAAAGTGATCCGCTTTCGCGGCTTTGACGAGAGCAAGGTCACCAAACAGACCGGTCTCCATAACAAACTCTCGTTCTTGTCCGCCGTTGGGAGTTGCGAAGACGCGTGTTTCTTTACCTTCTGCGACTTGTGTACCGACTCCGGTTGCAGTGTAAAACGCTGGTATACCAGCACCACCAGCACGCACTCGTTCAGCGAGTGTGCCTTGCGGATTAAACTCAACTTCGAGTTCGTTGGATAAAAACTGTCGTGCAAACTCTTCGTTCTCACCAACATACGAGGAGATCATTTTCTTGATCTGCTTTGTAGCGAGCAACAAACCCAATCCCCAATCGTCCACACCGGCGTTGTTGGACACACATGTGAGTTCTTTCACACCCGTGTCACGAAGCGCCATGATGAGCTGCTCTGGAATGCCACATAAACCGAAACCACCAACCATGCACATCATCCCGTCAAACAGGACGCCTCGTTCTTTCAGGTCTTGGAAACATGACGATGGTGTTGCGTATACTTTGGACCCCATAGGAATCTCCGATTGGTGTTTTTTCCCAGTACATAGACTGTCGAATCTCTGTATAGTCTATGCGACTCGGCGAGCCGTTTGCCGAGCACTGATCTGTTTGGGTGGGGCAAGATTGTGACGGTCTTGAATTCTATAAGGGACATGCTCGTGAACAACGAGTCACTATCAGTACCGAACGACGGCTCATCTGAGCACGCCGAGGAGTTGACTCCAGGTTCGTCATTTCAACTGGATGATGAGTTTGCGCACTTGATTGTCCAGAGTCTCATCAAAGGATTCCACGCAACATCGATTCTCGCGACGACCCCTGATGGGACAATTCTTTTTGCAAACAAGATTGTCGCGAATGCTTTCCCTGGACATGACACAGAATCCCTCGTGGGCAAAAACCTCATGGAGCTCGCTCCAAAGGAATGGGCCGAGGAACGCGTCCGGATCATGCAGCTCGCGATCGAGCGTGGACACCCGATCATTGTGCTGGAGATTCTCGCTGGTACACGATTGAGCTCCACGATGAATCCGATCAAGATCCATCGAAATGGTAAAGATGAATGGCTCATGTTCACCACTGTTGAGCATGTCACGCCCGCGAAGCTTCGATGGCTCAGGAACCGAAGGAGTCCCGACGAGCTGATCGACGCACAGGTGATTGATCTGGGACAGCTTGCCGTACTCACTCCTCGTGAACTCGAAGTCATCGCACTCATGGGACAGGGCCTGAGGCAGAAGCAGATCGCGGAGCGTCTCCATCGCTCAGTCTCTACAATCGATCGACATAGAGAACGAATCGGAGTGAAGCTCGGTATCACTGACCGCATCGAACTCGTGGGAATGGCACGAGAGGCGGCACTAGAAATCGAGGATGCTTCGAAGAAGCAGGTTAGTTTTGGCTTGCCCCGATTCAAAAGCAAACTCAGCGAATCGAACTAAATCCAGCTCAAACTCAATCAAATCTGTTATACTTCGGTCATTCATTACCTGAGGCCATAATTGATGACCATTGAACAAAACCAATCGAGTTCCGAGACAAGTAGTATTCATCCATCCTTTAGGATGCTCCCGCCGCTCACTCCCGACCGACTTTTTCTGGAATTACTGACTGGGATGTACGCCGTCTCGATCATGGTCTGGGATAGCGATGACCACATTATCTGCTGCAATGATGTCGCCGCACGCGGTTTCCAGTGTGATTCAATTGACGGTGTCATTGGAAAGACCCTTTACGACTTTGCGCCGGAGAACTGGGCGCGTGAACGCTACAAAGCCGCGAAACTCGCAATCGAATCTGGTAAGCGGATTACATTCCTCGAAATTCTCGGCGGATTCCGACTGCGCACACTTATGCGCCCGATCACACTGATACACGAGGACTCGACTAAGGAGTTCGCGCTGATCACTGTTGAGCAAATCACATCCAAGGAATACGAGTTTGCATCATCTGAACGCAATAACGAGATGGTAATTCATGCAAGCATCAATGACCTGGGTAAGCTTGATGTGCTCACCAATCGGGAGTTGGAAGTGCTTGCGTTGATGGGTCAGGGACTGCGCGCGAAAGATATCGCGAAGCAGCTCAGTCGATCGGTTTCGACGGTTGATAATCATCGCGACAACATCGGAGACAAACTCGATGTCCACGATCGAGGTGAACTCATTGCGCTTGCAAAGCTTGCGGCTCTCCAGTTCGATGACGCGAGTCGTCAGCGCGTACAGTTCTCGAAGTACATTCCCAAATGTGACAATAAAAGGTGATCAGTGCTTCGGATGCTTTGCCGAGCGACCTGAAACAAACAAGGACGCTTGATCTGGTCCCGCGGTAGGTCGGGAAGAGAGGTCATCCAGTTCTCTCTGAATGTCCTCGAGCGTGGAGAGTTGAAGGTGCTCAGTCGCAAAGCGGATATACGCGATCTTGTCTACGCCTCTCAGCTTGCTCATCACACGCTCGCCGATGATCTGGGTCGGGACCTCGCGCTCGTATTCCGCATGGAGTTCGTCCTCGACCTCGCCGGCGAGTTGCTGCTTGATGTCTTCGGAAATCGGACGCTTGCCGCACGCGTTGGCTATGCCTCGCATGATGTTCTCGCTGCTGAAGGGCACGCGCGATCCGTCCCGCTTGACGACCATCAACCGACCAGTGGGCTCGACGCGCTCGTAGGTCGTGAAGCGCCGATCGCATTTGAGACAATGCCGACGACGACGGATGACCGAACCGGACTCGGTTGAGCGTGAATCGATCACCTTGTCCTGATTGTGGTTACAGAATGGGCAGATCATTCAAAGACGCCTCCGATACACGGATCATACCAAGTATGGTAGCCCGATGCTCAGAGGCGTCGAATCCCTACGAGATCCTGTGCTTATTCAAGAACATCAAAGAGCTGTGCGTACTGAGAGCTCAGAAGCGCATTGCGGAGGTAGGTGTACCGTTCTTGCGCCTCGTCAAGCTCCAGGTTCAGTTCATCGAGCATTGCATGCTGACTCACGAGATCGACATCTCTGACCGCTTGCTGTTTTTCATCCGACTGATGACCTCGGAAGACATTTCGAGCGGACTGGACTTTGTTCTCGACCACACGGACCTTCTGCTTGATAACCAAGAGTTCATTTCGTGCTGCGTCCAGTTCGTGCTGGAGCTGATCAACCGCGATCTGGAACTCGGCCTCCCTCTGCTCAGCGCGTTGTTTCATGCGCTGCTCTTCCGCTCTCCATTCAATGCTTTGCTGTTCTCGACGCTGCTGAATAATCGCGTCGAGTTCCGCAGCGAGCTTTCCGAGTTCAGTATGAATCTCAGGCGGTGCCGCGACGATGATCGCTTGATCAACAACACGGATCGAGGCATAGGACAGATCGTGCTTGACCTTGAGTAGCTCCTCCAGTGATTCGGCGTAGTTTTGCCGCTCTGAGGTACCACCGATCCATGAGGGGGTCGCGTAGATCATGTTGATGATCTTTGCTTTCTGAAACTCGTCGTAGGACTGGTAAAGGATCGCGTCATCCGTGATCGTCAGCTTGTACCCTCTGATCTCTTCGCGGAAGATCGATTTGAACGCGTCGATCGCTTGCGTGAAGTTGTACTCACCAATGAAGTTCCCGTAGTGCATGTTGAGCATCGCTCCCAGATCGCTCCGCTGCACATCCCAGCTGATCTCAACAGTCCGATCGAAGGTGCTGGCAATTGAAGTCAACACTTCTTTCATGCTCTTGTTTTTCACTTCAAAGGAGTGGACCTCAAAATCGCTGGATTCATCTTCCGCAGCAGCGACCGACGCAATCCCCCCCGCTCCCGCGCCGGCGATGAGGCCGTGGTTGGTGTTATTGCTGTTGTTCCCGCTCCCGTTGTTCGTCAGGGAGTATCCCCCGATCGACATGCCGGCGATTGCGGTGATGATGAGTGCGGTATTCATGATCCGTCTCCTTGGTGTGGTGCGTTGGTGTGCGCTTGTTATGAGTTGTGCGAGCTCCGCCGTCTCCCCGAGCTCGCCCACGGCGACTCGCACGGCTTCGTGTTCGCTCATCCCGGTGATCAACAGGTCGTCGACGCGAGAACGGAGGTGGTCCTCGATCTCGTCACGCACCTGCGAGCGTTGTGGTTCTGAGAGCGGCAGCATCGAGGTCAGCACATCGAGCCAGCCCGTGATCGAGTCCTTGCTTGAAGGCGTGACCGATCGCTTGCGCGACGCTCTGCTCTTGGATTGATCCGCGTTGAGCTTCATCCCGCGAGTCCAGTGTGTGGTTCTTGCTCTCCCATCGATCCATGAACGAAACCATCCAGGATCGACTGAAGCTGACGATGAAGCTCGATGCGTTTGGTGAGGTGACGCTGTCCCTTATCGCTCAGCGTGTACCACTTGCGCCGGCGTCCGTTGGACTCGGGATCAGATCCTGATGCTTTCACTTCTTCCCAGCTTGTAGTGACCAAGCCGTTCTTCTCGAGCTTGGTGAGCAGCGGATACATCCCCGAAGCGGTGAGCTTGAAGTGCCCGTCGGAACGAGCGGCGATGTCTTTGGAGATCGCGTATCCATAGGAAGGCCCCGCCGCGAGCACGGAGAGGACGACGAGTTCTGAGTGGTCTTGCTTGAGTTTGAGCATGTGGTATTCCTCGGACAAGTAGTACGCGTCAGTATATATCAAATTTCGATATATCTCAATAATTTATCACAATTCATCCTCAGTGCGCTGAAAAGGGGTTGATTTGGTGCTTGATAATTCATATTCTCATTTTGGAAAATGAGAAATCAAATAATCACACTCCCCACCATCGCTCATGCACTCTCCGATACGACGCGCCTGCGACTGCTGATCGCGTGTCTGGACAAAGAACGCTGCGTCTGCCAACTCGTCGAGCTCATCGATCTGTCCAACGCGTCGATCTCCAAGCACCTGTCGACGCTCAAAGCCGCTGGACTCCTTGAGTCCCGCAGAGAAGGACGCTGGGTGCATTACCGAGCCAATCCCACCCCTGACCCAATCATCGCTGATGCGTACGCGCTCGTTCGCACGCACGCGATGGAAGACGACCAGATCCAAGCTGATCAGATCAAACTCGCAGAGATCGACTGCATCGACCCTGTCGAGCTCGCTAAGAAACAACGGACAGCATCGTGCTGCACCACAAACGACTGCTGCTGAGCAGTTCATGGAGGACCGTACACATGAAGACCAACGAAGAAATCCGTCAGAAAATCCGCACCGACTACGCCGGGATCGCGACCTCCAGCACAGTCACGCGCGATCAACTCTCAGGAGAGACCGAATCCAGCGGGAGCTGCTGCTGCGCTGGCGCGTGTGGTGTGACCGAATCGATTGATGCCGCGGATTTGGCGAAGCAGATCGGGTACACCAAGGAAGAACTCGAAGCACTCCCAGCGGACGCGAACATGGGGCTCTCCTGCGGCAACCCCACCATCATCGCGAATCTCAAAGAGGGCGAAACCATCCTCGATCTGGGATCCGGAGGGGGATTCGACATCTTCCTCGCAGGCCCAAAGGTCGGCAAGACCGGCCGAGCGATCGGGGTGGACATGACCCCTCAGATGATCGACAAAGCACGAGCGAACATCGGTCACTACCAGAGCACAACGGGACTGGACAACGTCGAGTTCCGTCTCGGAGAGATCGAGCACCTCCCAGTCCAGGACAGCTCGGTCGATGTCATCATCTCCAACTGCGTGCTCAACCTCTCGATGGACAAGCAGCAGGTCTGGAACGAGATCGCTCGTGTGCTCAAACCGGGGGGTCGCGTCGCGGTGTCGGATATCGCGCTGCTCAAGCCGCTTCCTTCGGAGGTCAAAGAAATTGTGGAGTCGTGGGCCGGATGCGTCGCTGGCGCGATCCCTGTGGAAACCATGCGTGAGCAGATGACTAATGCGGGGTTGTCAGAGATCGAGCTGACTCCCAAACCTGAATATGTCAAAGCACTGACTGAAGCGAACGATCCGCTCTATACGAAGGTCTCGGCGCTGCTGCCAGAGGGACAAGCCGCGGGAGATGTGATCACGAGTCTGGATATCCAAGCGAAGAAACCCTGCGGCTGCGGTCCGGGATGCTGCTGAAATACGCACATTTGACCGCCTACGATCACTGACCATGTCCAAGACCACCACCACGACCGGAACCACCACGACCCCGCTCTAAGGCTGGCTGGATATTGTTGAAAAACACACCCCACGCCCAGCCAACGCTGGGCGTTTTTCATAGGATCAACCAATCACCACCACGCTTAGGTAAGCCAAGGTTTCAGAAGCGAGCACACCCAATGCCCAACATCACCCTCCCGGACGGCTCTGTCAAATCATTCGACCACGCGGTCTCCGCGTACGACGTCGCGATGACCATCGGCGAGCGCCTCGCTAAAGCATGCGTCGGCGCGATCATCGACGAGCAGCTCTGCGACCTCTCCACCACCATCGATCACGACTGCTCGCTCGCGCTCGTCACGGAGAAGAACCGCGACAAGTCCGACGACCCCAACGCGCTCAACATGCTGCGCCACTCGACGGCTCACGTCATGGCTGAAGCAATCCAACGCGTCGTCCCAGGCGCGATGCTCGTCTACGGCCCGCCACTCGAAAACAGCTTCTACTACGACATCAAGTTCCCGGACGATCGTCCACTCAAAGAGGGCGACTTCGAAGCGATCGAAGCGGAGATGGGCAAGATCATCAAAGAAGACCGCCCCTTCACCCGCTACGACATGTCCGTCAATGACGGGCTCGAGAAACTCAAATCCGAGGGCTCGAAATACAAACTCGACAACGCGGAGCAAGCGATCAAAGCGGGCGCGGACTCGCTCTCGTTCTACGCGACCGGAGAGCCGGGCAAGAACTGGGAGGACCTGTGCCGAGGACCACACATCCCGAGCACCGGACGCATTGGTGGATACAAGATCATGTCCCTCGCGTCCGCGTACTGGCACGGCGACGAGAACTCAGACTCACTCACCCGCGTTTACGGCACCTCCTTCTTTAGCAAGAAAGACCTCAACGCGCACCTTGAGCGTCTCGAAGAAGCAAAGAAACGCGACCACCGCGTGCTCGGGAAGAAGCTCCGCTTGTTCCACATCGACGAGACCGTCGGTCAGGGGCTCATCCTCTGGACTCCCAATGGGTCGGTCGTTCGCAAGGAACTCCAGAACTTCATCGCCGCGGAACTGACCAAGCAGGGATACCACGAGGTCTTCACGCCTCATATCGGGAAGCTGGACCTCTACCGCACCTCGGGACACTTCCCGTACTACGCGGACTCGCAGTTCCCGCCGCTGGTTGAGCGTGACCATCTCGTCGAGCTCTCCAACGAGGGGTGCAGCTGCGCCCAGCTCTCCAACAACATGAGCAACGGCGAGATCGAGGGGTTCATGCTCAAGCCGATGAACTGCCCGCATCACATCAAGGTCTTTGACTCCGCGCCCCACTCGTACAAGGACCTCCCTGTGCGTCTCGCGGAGTTCGGGACGGTGTACCGCTGGGAACAGTCCGGCGAGCTCAACGGCATGACCCGCGTCCGCGGATTCACCCAAGACGATGCGCACCTCTTCTGCACCCCTGAACAGGTCAGCGACGAGGTGCAGGGATGCTTGTCACTCGTCAAGATCATCTTCGATGTGCTGGGGATGGACGACTACCGAGTCCGCGTTGGTCTGCGTGATCCGGACTCGGACAAGTACACCGGAGATCCATCGAACTGGGACAAAGCGGAGCAAGCGTGCCGCGAGGCGGCGCAAACGCTCGGCGTGCCGTTCACCGAAGAACCCGGAGAAGCGGCGTTCTATGGACCCAAGATCGACTTCGTCGTCAAGGATGTCATCGGACGCGAGTGGCAGCTCGGGACGGTCCAGGTGGACTACAACCTCCCGGAACGATTCAACCTCAGCTATGTCGGCGCCGACAACGAAAAACACCGCCCTGTGATGATCCACCGCGCCCCGTTCGGTTCGATGGAGCGATTCATCGGCGTGCTCATCGAGCACTTCGCGGGCGCGTTCCCTGTGTGGCTCGCTCCCGAGCAGGTCCGCGTGCTCCCGATCTCAGAGAAAAGCAACGACTACGCATCAGAAGTGCTCGAACTGCTCAAAGCGCAGGGCATCCGAGCGACCTGCGACACCGCGGATCAGCGCGTCCAAGGGAAGATCAAGAACGGCTCAGAGATGAAGATCCCGTATCTTGTCGTGGTCGGACCGCGCGATGCGGAGAACCGAGCCGTGTCCGTGCGTGCGTTCGGAACAGAGAAGGACCTGGGCTCGATGCCGCTCGATGAGTTCGTTGAATCCGTCAAGAACGAGTACGACACCAAGGGCAAATCGAGCGTGAAGGATTACTTCACCGCCGTGACCGCTTGATCGCGAGCTGGTTTAGTCGCTCAGGTGCTCACGGAACCACTGCATGAGCTCGGCGCTTGTGTACGCGTCGTCCCATGAGTTGTGGTTCACGCCCGCGAGTTCGGTGTATTGAGTGTCGGCATCAAGTTTCTGAAGTGCTTCGTGCAAGGACCGCGACTCGCTGACAGGGACGACGTTATCGTCGTCGCCGTGGAACAACCAGGTCGGGATCGCGCTCAGCGCCTCCGCGGCTTTGACGACCGTAGGATCACTCGCGCTGGCGCCGACTTCTTCGAGTCTTTGTTGTGTTTCTGATATCCGCCGATCCGTGTAGCCGCACACCGGAGCCGCGGCTTGAAACAGCTTAGCATGCTTCGATCCGATGATGATCGTGCCGTGTCCGCCCTGACTCAGACCAGTGATCGCGAGTCGACCGGGATCATACAACCCCTGCTCCGCGGCTTCATCGAGCATCTTGAGCAGCGCCGCTTCGTGATCTTCCCACTCCGTATTGAAGATCGGCTTCTGAGGGACGATCAGCACGAAGGGCCAATCGGTTGGGTTCTCCTTCGCGTGCTTGGGGAGACCAACGGTGAGTTGTTTTTCTCCATCGGTGCCGCACTCGCCGTAGCCGTGCAAGAAGAGGATCGCCGCCCCGCCCCTTTCCGCGGCTTCGTTGATCACGACCTTGCCCGCGTACTCCTGATCGTTGACCGTCATCGAGAGGTCAACTACCTCCGCAACCAACTCGTACGGACTGGATTCATCTGACATCGGGGGATCTGCAAAGAACGATCCGAACGCGAGGACGACGCTAAGCAGGTGTGTGATCATGACCAACATGGTATACCATGCCGCTGCATGACCGCTCAAACCCAACAGAGCAGCACTCGGATCGCGATGTGGTCCGGCCCTCGAAACATCTCCACAGCGATGATGCGCTCATGGGGCGCTCGTGCGGACTGCGCCGTCAGCGACGAGCCCCTCTACGCGCATTACCTCAGCACGCTCGATGAATCCAAACGCGCCGAGCATCCGGTCTATCAGCAAGTGATCGAATCGCAGGACACCGATCCGAAAAAGCTTGCCAGCATGCTCACCGGCCCAATACCAGACAACAAACCGATCTGGTACCAGAAACACATGGCACACCATCTGACCAACGACTTCGGCATGGATTGGCTCGCTTGTCTCACCAACTGCATCCTCATCCGCGAACCCGCCGCGATGATCACGAGTTTCATCAAGGTCATCGAGAACCCGACCCCAGAAGACCTCGGACTCCCGCAACTGCTGCGGATCTTCGAGTGGATTCAATCGCACACAAACTCACTGCCGATCGTGCTGGACTCAAAGGATGTGCTCACCGATCCCGCAAAGACCTTAAACACGCTCTGCGATCGCATCGGCGTGCCTTTTGATGACTCGATGCTCGCATGGGAGCCCGGCCCTCGTCCAGAGGACGGCGTGTGGGCGCCCCATTGGTACGCGACCGTCTATCAATCCACCGGGTTCTCGCCGTATGCCCCAAAGGATGAACCGGTCCCCGATCGACTCAGGGGCGTCCTCGAAGATTGCCAAGCGATCTACGATCAACTCGCACAACACAAGCTCTAGAGAACACCACATGCTCCAGAAGTTCAACGAGAAAAACAAAGACCTCCTCATCAACATCAACGGCAAGCTCATCCACCGCGACCACGCCGGGATCTCCCCATTCGATTCACTCGTCCAGGGAGGCGACGGCGTGTGGGAGGGACTCCGCGTCTACAACGGCAAAATCTTCAAACTCGACGAACACCTCCAGCGTCTCCAGCGCAGCGCCAAAGCCCTCGCGTTCACGCAGATCCCGACGCGCGACGAGCTCGTCGAGCAGATCAAGAAAACCCTCGCCGCCAACAACATGACTGACGGCGTCCACATCCGCATCACCCTCTCGCGCGGGACCAAGATCACCTCCGGGATGGACCCAAGACTCAACCAGTCCGGACCAACACTGATCGTCCTCGCAGAGCACAAGCCCCCGGTGTACCGCGACGCGGAGGGATCGAGCGGGTTGTCGCTCTCGACCAGCAGCATTCGCCGCTTCTCTCCCGACACGATGGACCCCAACATCCATCACAACAACCTCATCCAATCGATCATGGCCAAGATCGAAGCCAACGCATCGGGCGCCGACGACGCGCTCATGCTCGATCATCGCGGATTCCTCGCCGAAGCCAACGCGACGCATGTGTTCATCGTCGCCCCCTACCCCGCGCACGCTGGAGATCCGACCCCAGTGGTACAGACCTCGACCACCGCCGCGTGTCCAGAGGGGATCACACGCCAGACGATCATCGATATCTGCAACGAGCACAACATCCCTTGCATCGAGCGCGACATCTCGCTCACGCAAGTCTACAACGCCGACGAGTGCTTCACGACCGGCACCATGGGCGAGCTCGCATGGGTCGGCAACATCGACGGGCGAACCATCGGCACCGGTTCAATGGGACCGATGACCAAGAAACTCAGCGAGCTATTCATCGAGAAGACAAAGCACGAAGGCGTGCAGGTCTGCTGAGATTGCTCAATCTTGTTCTTGTTGTATACTCTGACCAATGAGCACCGAGCTGACATTGCTGTGGGTTATTGCATCGATCATGTCGTGCTGGTGCTTCTCAGTGATCGTCCGCACGCTGTCGGACTGGGTCGCAACCAAACGCAAACGGCTCGCACCGCAGTACAACAAGAAATCGAAATGGATCGCACTCGCCGTGTTCGTGCTCTGTGCCGCCACGGCGTACTTCACCGCGTCGTACGCGATCGAACTTGAGTCCGAGTATTCGTATGACGCAACCGGCATCTCCACCCCGATCGGGATCGTCAGCGCCAGCGTGTGTGTCTTTGCAGGCTTTCTCATCGTCTGGGGACTCATCGGCGATCGAGCGAGAGGCCGAATCCGATGCCCGCGTTGCTGGTACGACATGTCCGCGGCTCAGAACCTGACCTGCCCAGAATGCGGCAATGAAGCAAAGAACCAACGCGCCTTCACCAAATCACGGCGTCCCAAGTGGCCTTTCGTCCTTGCAGCATTCTTCCTCAGCACCGGCGGGTACACCTTCTCCGTATCTGATCGTGTCGCCGAGCACGAAGAATGGCTCGCGGCAGTCCCTACCTGGTTCCTGATGCTTGGGTGGGATCAACTTCCAGAGAACTGGATTTACTTAGACTGGAGTTCGGGGAAACGTGAGTATTACACCTGTTTAGAGGAACGTATGTCCTATGACGACTGGACCTCGAAATCAGTAAACAAGTGGTTTGGAAATCGACTCTTTCGAGGCATGCTCGCATCACCCGAAGATCGCTGGGATCCGATCCGGATAGCACTGGTCCAATCTGCCAGCCACGATATGACACACAACTCAAACAACGAGTGGAAGGGACTACCTCCAAAGACAGACGAGCTATACAAACTCAGCGCCGCCGACATGATCGTTGCGGTGACCACCAGTAACCCCAGCAAATTACATGTTCGAATCATGGAACTGATGGAATACGGCGATGAAAGCAACCCATACTCAATCGCTAGAAATCTGATCAGAGAAGAACTGATACAACCAGCCGACGAGATCGATTACAAACTTCTCGATAAACAAACGGTTCAATACTGCAGCAAACTCCTCACCGACTTTGAACACACAATTCTCTCTGATGTGTTCAAGCTGAATCTCATCCACAACTACGATGGACGGAATTACACAGCGTATTCCATCGCAATCGATTCTGGAATCGCTATGGACCTCTACGAAATCTACTTTGACTCCTGTCCGCACGAAGACCACTCCGATCTCAGAAGCCGAAGATTCGCACTTGCCTGGCTTACACAAGGGTTCAGTCATGAAGAGCTCAACGAGTTTTTTCGTTTTCTGACAGAACAAATTCGTTCTGATGATCCCGACACACTCTTGCTTGCTTTGAACACGCTGACATTCTGCCAACGTCTTACTCCTATGAACAGCAGAACACCCGTTGATGAGTATCACGAAGCGGTTCAGGCGGCTTTGGATGCGAGGGGACGCTCTGATGACTTAGTAGAACCTTCGGAAGATTGGTACACTAATGTACAAGAGTTGGTACTTCGTATCATCTCCCAAGATGATATGAGTGGAGTAGTTTCATTCCCGCTCATCAAAGAACAGCTCAAAGCCGATCCCTCACTTGCTCCAAACTTGTACTTTAGTGATTCGCTCCAGTATGAAATCGAAGTTGTCGGTTTATGGATTGAGTACTTCGGGGAGTTTGTCAACTCCACTGATCCTGAGCTTCAGAACTGGATCATCTCGAATCTACCTGAACAACTCGGATCAGAGTTCGATGAACAGATCGACCAGATCGCTGTCCGTTTTCTTGATCACCCCGACGAGTATCTGCGAGAGCAGGCAGAATACAAACTCAAGGCACGCCTCGCCGACCATCTGATCAATCATTAACTCCCGTTCGCGGTGTAACGAGCGATCATCTCGACCGCTTCTTCTGGGTCATCCGTCCACTGCACAAGGTCCATATCCGCTGGATCGATTGTCGCGTGTGAGATCAGTGCTTCGTTGACGAAGTCACGCATGTGTTCCCAAAAATCACGGCCCATCACGATGATCGGGAAACGCTCGATCTTCTTGGTCTGGATCAGCACGAGTGTTTCGAAGATCTCGTCCATCGTCCCGAATCCTCCAGGCATGACGATGAACGCTTTGGAATACTTCACGAGCATGACCTTGCGGACGAAGAAGTAGTTGAAGTCCACGAAGCGGTCGAGGTACGGATTGGGGAACTGCTCCATCGGGAGTTCGATATTGCATCCCAGAGACAAACCACCTTCATCACGCGCTCCGCGATTCGCGGCTTCCATGATGCCGGGCCCCCCACCCGTCATCACACCATATCCAGCACGCGCCAGCGCCGCGCCGGTAGCACGCGCCAGCTTGTAGTACTCGTGATCCTCTTCAAAGCGTGCGGAACCAAAGACAGTCACGCATGGACCAATGAAGTGCATCTTACGGAATCCACGGATGAACTCCGCAAAGACCTTCATCGCCGTCCAGAGTTCCTGACGGCGAAGACGCGGCCCCTTGAGCAGATCGTGCTCTCCCCCCTTTGGAGGACGCTTCCCCCAAGGGATATCCAAGCTTCGATGTTCTCTGTCTTGCTTACCCATAAAGAGACAGCGTAGCCGATCCATCGCTTGAGGGCAATTTCACGCGAACAATACCGCATGAGCATCCAAACCTCTGAATGGACCATCAAGAACACTCGCGGTCTCGATATCCTCGGGAACACTGATCACCCTGCCGGGAAACCCAAAGCGAGCGTGCTCTTACTCCATGGCTTTAAAGGATACAAAGACTACGGCTTCCTCCCGGTGCTTGCTCGCGCACTGGCTGATAACGAAATACTTGTCCATCGGTTCAACTTCTCATGCTCCGGGATGACCAATCAGATATCAACCTTTGAGCGCCCTGATCTCTTCGCGCAAGACACATGGAATCGACAAGTCGAGGATGTGCACTGCATCATCGATGCGATCCATACCGGAGCGATCGAAGGATCTGGCTTGCCTCTCTTTCTTGCGGGACACTCAAGAGGCGGCGCCACAACCTTGCTCACAGCAGGTCGCGATGAGACTCTGCATCTTGCAGGTCTTATCACGATCAACGCTGTGGATCGATGCAATGGACTAAGTGACGAGCAACAGCATGCTCTGCTCAAATCCGGCTCGATGACCACACCAAGCGCCCGCACTGGACAAGAGCTCCCGATCAACGCCGCTTGGCTCCAAGAACAAATCGATGATCCAGCGTCGCACGATGTCCTTTCGTTGTGCACAACTATTCGACTCCCATCACTTGTTTTGCACGGCACAGAAGATCCAGGCGTGCCATTCGCTGCTGGTGAACGAATCGCATCCGCACTCAATACGCAGGTGACTCCGATCCAAGGAGCGGATCATGTGCTCAATACGGCCAATCCTGCGCCACAGGACGGGCAAATATCACCCCAACTGAGGGATGTCATCGAGTTGATCACTAAGTTTGTGGACACGAACCACACCCAAACGCCGATTTGACTTTTATGAGGCGTATGTCCACAATTCCCGGTATGAGTCGGACACGATTCTCACAACTCGGTTTCAGCGTTGCGTGTGTGCTTGCCACGGCGCCATCAACCGCTTGGGCGTACTACGGCCCGCGCGTGATGCTTCATCCTGAAGGTGAGCACGCGAGTGTGATCGCAAACAGATCGCAACTCAAGTCGGAACGCATCACCATCAACACCAAACGATTGACAGATCTTCGCGCTCAAGGCGCTGATATTGAACTCGTCCAACCCAACTCAAAGAACAACGATTTCCGGATGACGCTCGACGGCACAATCCGTGACATTGACGATGAAGGTATCAAGGACCTGTTCTACTCGACCACTTCGATTAAATCTGAAAGCACAGATCTCCGCTTCTCAGTAGATCGCAATACAACTTTCAATGATGGTGACATATCAGGGAGTTCAGGTTCGCTTCCAGGATCCGACAACTCTGTTGCGTCACTCACACAACGCGAAGGCGAATACAACTTCTACGAGATGGAACTGGAATGGAAAGCCGCTTCGACAGGGGCGCTGGATTTTTCGTTGACTTCAGGTGTCACTGCGATTGAAGCGAATGTTTCGAAGAGCGTGCAAAGCGGTGGAGGCACCGACATCCTCGATGCAACCCATAAGGTCATCGCTGTGCCGACCATCGGATCTGCTGTTCGATGGAATATCTCACGCGATTGGTCACTCAGCGGCGAAGCAACCACCCAATCACTCAATATGGGATCGTCTTTGGTCGGATTCCACGCTAAGTCTGACTGGCGGATCTCTGATCGCGTTGGACTGAGTGCTGGATACCAGATCATCCGCTCAGAGTTTGACCTCGGAGCCGTGACGACTGATCTGAACCAAGAGGGTCTCTTCGCGAGACTCCAGATCCGCTTCTAAACAGGTTTAGCTGCCGCTGAGCAGGGATTCGAGAATATCGAGGCCCTTCTCCAAGCGATCGCGCGCCGTCGCGAAGCTGATGCGGAAGTGCGTATCGCGCTCGGAGAACGCACCGCCGGGGATCACCAACAGCTCACGCTCGATGCATTTCTCCGCAAACTGTGTCCCGCTGAGTCCGAGGGATTCCGGGACCTCAATAAACGCGTAGAACGCGCCGCCGGGAGTCGCGACCTTGGTGTGCTTGGAGAGTCGCTCGATGACCATATCCCGGCGCGATTCATACTCCGCGACATGGGCGCTCATATCCGTATCAAAGCTCGCGACTACTCCCGCTTGCAGCGGAGCGGGAGCACACACATAGGTGTACTGCTGGAGCTTGGACATCTGATCGACTATCGCCGATGGTCCCGCGACATATCCGAGGCGCCAACCGGTGCAGCCGTAGGTCTTGCCGAATCCGCGGATGAGCAAGGTGTCCTCGTGCGCCCCGTCCTCACGCGCCGGAGACGGGCAGCGCTTCATGGACGCATCACCCTTCGCGACATCACCAAGTGATTCGCTGAACACAAACTCGTCGTAGATCTCATCAGAGATCAGCAGCACGCCTTTGGACTTGCACAATGCTCGGAGCTTCGCGCCCTCTTCCTTGCTGATCACCACACCCGACGGATTCGAAGGGGTATTGAGCAGCACAAACTTCGTCCGCTCATTGATCAACGGCTCCACACGCTCCGCGGTCAATCGGAAATCCGGATAGGTATCACACGGCACCGCCTTCGCTCCACACAGCGTCGCGAGGTGCGGATAGCACACGAAGTACGGGTCAGGGATAATGCACTCGTCTCCGGGATTCAGCAGCGCCATGAACGCGAGCGTGAGCGCCCCGCTGGTTCCTGAGGTCACAAACGCGGTAGGTTGCCCCGCTGCTCCCTGACCTGTCACGGCACAGTCCCATCCCAGATCGAGCTTGAGCCAGTCGATGACGCGTGCGAGCAGCTTGGGATCGCCTTGCGTGAGTGTGTATCCGTTCTGGTGATTCGCGACCGCGTCGATCGCGGCACTGCGGATCAGTTCGGGAACTGGGAAATCGGGTTGACCGATCGAAAGGTTGATCGGGTCCTTGAGCGTGGACGCGAGGTTGAAGATTCGACGGATTCCGGATGCATCGATCGCGCCCGCACGATCCGCAATGAGCTGCTCAATCATGTCAACCTCTTTTCGTTGAGTTGTCTGAATGGAGAGACGAACCCCACCCGCTTGTGCTGATTACTCGCGGACTTTGGTCTTTGGAAGACCGAGCGCACCGTCTTTGTTGGTGTGCTTCTTCTCGTCCTTGAGCGCCGCGACACGCTCGGTGCGGGTCATCACAGTGCGCTTGGTGGTCAGGTTGCCTTCGGTCTTCAGTGAGGAGTGGATACTCATGGCGTGCTCCGTTTGTCTTCTCAAATGCTCGGGACTCGCCCGCTTAGTTGTACTTCACCCACTGCGTCTTGGACTCTCCAAAGTCCGATCCGCCGCGGCGTTCCCGCTGCCAACGCTCTCCGAGATTCGCGATCGCTCGCTTGTGCTCGTTGCGTTGTGACTCCATTGCGCCGAACTGAGATCCGCCCGGGACCGCAAGCCCAATGGAGTACAGGGTATAGCGGGAGGGATTATTGCCTGCTCGAACGCTCGAGTCGACTACTGGGACCCCGATGATTGACATCCCGTTCTCGTTCATAAACAGCACCGCGTCAGCCGCCTGTTCGGTAGGGAGCGTCGCGAGCTGCAGATAGTTGTTCCCTGAAACGCGTGGATCCGCTTCGGTATACCCCTGAGCGGTCATCACGGCTTGAGCCGGGCGAGCGGGGACTCTGGGAGGTTCCCCGACAACTGAGTCATCGACGGCAGGTCCAGTCGATCCCTGATTCACCACCTCATTCGGAGGGAGTACCAACGGCTTGTCTGAGATTAAGGTCTCCATCTGGCGTTTGCCGTCAGAAACACCGGTCTTGTACGCGAATGCCCACACCAGCACCACGACCACCGCTGCCAATGCGATCAGGAGGTACACGCGAGACATGCTCAATACAACCCCCCCCTCGCCTTGGGTGGGTTCTTCCGGCATTGTTGCGGCTGATCGTTCTGCACGCGAGACCCCAGCGGATCGCTGAGCTACACGCTCCTCCGCACGCTCACTCTTCGGCGTTGGAGTGCTACTGGACTGTTCTTGCTGCTCAGGTTGCTGATGCTCAGTGTCACGCCGATCATCAGGATCAGGCTGATCCTTATTGAGCAGTTCGAATAATGGGGGTCCGGGCCGGCGATCGGTCATAACTCAGAATCATAGCCGGCTCAAGATACTCGCATCCAAACCCACATTCTGGACGATGATCACTCCCCAACCCGCTCCGAGAGCCGCTATACTCACACCGATATGAGCATCCCAGACGACCAGATCAAAGACATCACCCCCAAGCCGATGACCTCGATGGAGGCTGTCTATCTCCCTGCGATTTTCGGGGGATTCGGGACCACGCTCCGTCACTTCTTCACCTCCTTCGGACAGGGACGCACCAGCTACACGATGCAGTATCCTGAAGAACGCCGCGAGGACCTCCCCGTCGAAAAAGGCGGGATCGAGCCGAGCAACTTCCGAGGGGTGCACCGCCTCAACAAAGACGCCGCGGGACGCGTGAAATGCGTTGCGTGCATGATGTGCCCCACTATTTGTCCAGCGAACTGCATCCACATCGAAGCCGCGGAATCCCCTTGGGATGACCGTGAGAAGTATCCTGCGAAGTTCGAGATCGACGAGCTCCGCTGCATCTTCTGCGGCATGTGCGAAGAAGCGTGTCCCGTTGACGCGATCGAACTGACCCCTCTCTATGATGTGGTCGGGAAGAGCCGTCAGGAAATGATCTACGACAAGACCAAACTCCTGTCTATCTACGACCTCACGATCGATCAGAAGCCGCTCTGATTCACTCCCGCGTTCATTCAGAAAAAATTCGCTCAGTCTTCGAGTTCCGTCTGTAACGATGGTTCTTTTTATACCGTCGGTCTTTCTGATACATGCAGCAGGGCACTCTCATTCGGTCTCTATTCTGAGTTGAATTTCTACATGATTATCGGACGCTCTTGATCGTCCTATATCTCAAAATCATAGGAATTCTGCCCAGAATGGTGGTGTTTCGGCTGTGTTGGTGTACTTGTTTACTCTCGTCGTGCCCTGCATTCGTCAGGGTTTGGGGATATCTGTTCGAAACCAAAGCCAAACGAATACATGAGGAACGAAATGAAGAACTCAACCATCATCGCTGCTGCAGCACTCTCCACACTCGCAGGTGCTGCACACGCTGACCTCGCGGCGACCTTCGGGTACACCGATATGGGCGCGAACTGGAATCAGGGTGCGAGCCAACTCACTGTTGGAGCATCAGCGACCAACACACTGAACACCTCTGGTGACATCACCAACTACCTCGGCGCTGGATTCCCAACCACCGCGCTCTTCAACTCGGGATTCGCAGACGGCTCGACCAGCGCTGACTCCCAGTTCACTATGGATCTCTCCAACATCACCGCAACCACTGCGGATGCATCCGGCACATTCATGATCACCGACATCAACGGCGACACCCTCTCAGGAACCTATGTCGGAACTTGGACCAACCAGTTCGGATTCGGATTCTTCGACGGTGAAATCACCGAAGCTTCCTACAACGCGACCGAATCCGGGAACTCCGTGTTCGAAGGAAATGCAGGTCAGACCTATGCGGTCCCAACCGACGCACTCACTGGTGGACTCTCGATGCTCCTCCAGATGCCAGAGTGGTTCGATTCCAACAACGGCAACTTCAACGCACGCACCACCCAGCTTGACGGCATCCTCGTCAATGTCCCAACTCCAGGCAGCCTCGCGCTCCTCGGACTCGGTGGTCTCATGACTTCACGCCGTCGTCGCTAAGACATTTAACCCCGCACTCTGCTCCCGTGGAGTGTGCTAAACGCAAGAGAGAGGCCGTGCGGTGCGAACCGTCGGCCTCTCTTCTTTTTTCAACTTCATCCTCAACTGAGCAGCGAAGCACACTCGCACGCAAACACACCCGCGGCACGACCAATCGAATCTGACCAGTTCTCCCCTGATTCACGGTTCGGATACAACACTGATCGTGATGCGTTGATTACTACACCCAACCCGCCATGTGTAGAAGCACCCTCGATACACATTGCATTGACATCCGCGATCGTGCCGCCTTGCGCACCGACTCCTGGGACGAGGAACAACGCGTGCGGCATTTCAATTCTCAAAGCTTGCGTCTCAGCCGTGTTGTTCGTCGCGCCAACCACCGCGCCGACCTGATCACCCAATCCAGTAATCATCTTCGCTGTGTGCTGCGCGAGTGTCACGCCATCATTCACTGTGAGTGTTTGCAACTCGTCCGCATCGGGATTGGATGTTCTGCATAACGCAAACACGCCGAGTCCTTCTTCGAGGAACGGCTCGATGGACGAGCGCCCCATGTACGGCGAGCAGGTGATCAGATCCGCGCCCATCGCTCTCGCCCCGCCCGCGTAATGCGCCGCCGATGACCCGATGTCTCCGCGCTTCGCGTCGAGGATCACCACGAATCCGAGATCCTTCGCGTGCCCCACCACCTGTTCGAGCACTCCATACCCCGCGCTCCCGAATCGCTCAAAGCACGCAGACTGCGGCTTAACAACCCCCACTTTCCCAACGATCGAGTCGAGCACTCCAAGGCAGAACGCACGCATCCGCTGGATCGGATCGCCTTCGATCTCATCCGGAAGTCGTTCAAGAACTGGGTCAATCCCGACACAGGCGCATGATCCTGCTTGATCCATCGCACTTCTCAGCTGTTCCATCGCGCCCATTGTGTGCCCTCCGTCTTGCGTGACCATACACTATCACCATGGGCACCAACGGAATCACTCCAGAGCATCTCGATCTCAAAAAAGACCACGGCCTCAGCGTTCGCTGGTCCGATGGGGTGGAGTCGTTCTATCCGATCGCGTACCTCCGCAAGATGTCCCCAAGCGCCGAGATGCGTGAACTCCGCAAGCAGATGAACTCCAATCCACTCACCATCCTCCCTGATGGGATGTCAGGATCTACGAACATCGTCGCAACCGATGCGGAAATGGTCGGGAACTACGCGCTCAAGATCACCTTCTCCGACGGACATTCAACTGGTCTCTACTCGTGGTCTTACCTCCGAGAGATCGATCCCGCGACCAATCCCGAGGGGAAGACCAAATCCGACAACGCGCCGGCGCACAACAACCCTCTAGGACTCTAACGCATTGGCCCTCTCACTGAACACCCCGGTTCAGAAGTTGCCGCGAGTCAACAAGCATGCCGCGGACAAGCTGATGTCGCTGGGAGTGACCAATCTCGCGACGCTGTTGACGCATCTCCCGCATCGTCACGAGTGGATCCGTGCACGCGCGACACTCGATGATCTGGTGCCGGGAGTGATCGGGAGTGCGATCGGAGAGATCAGCGCCATCAAAGTTGCCGGGTACGGGCGCAAAGCTCGGTTACAAGTTGTTCTGATCGACGACTCCGCACCCAACGCGCTTCAACACGGGCGATTAGATCTCGTCTTCTTCAATCAAGCATTCCTCGCGAAGAAGCTCGAGCCTGGGATGTATCTCAATGTGCAAGGCACTCCCAAGATCTTCGGCCCAGGTCTCCAGATGGCCAATCCCAAGTTCTCCATCATCCCAGAAGATCAGCTGGGCCAGCACCTCTCGACCGATCAGGGCGACGAGTACCGCCCCGTCTACCCCGCGACCGATGGACTCACCTCTCAGCAGATCCAAGAGATCATCAAGCCGCTCATCGACGAAGCATCCCAGCTCCTCGAAGATCACCTCGACGAGGAGTTCCGCAAGGAGCGCGCCCTCCCAACACTCGCTGATGCGTACCGCATGCTCCACGCACCCATCGACGAGGACGAGGTCGGCAGCGCCAAACGACGACTCGCGTACGACGAGCTCCTGCTCCTCCAACTCGGCGTGCACATGAAACGCGCCCACCTCCGCTCCACGCTCCAGTCTCCGGCGCTCCCAACCTCCCAAGAGATCGACGACCGCATCGCCGCTCGTATCCCCTTCAAGCTCACGGCTGACCAAAAACAAGTCTCCGACGAGATCGCACGCGATCTCTCCTTCACCACCCCAACCAACCGACTCATCCAAGGCGACGTGGGTTCAGGCAAAACCGTCGTCGCCGTCACCGCGATGCTCCGCGCCATCGCGCATGGCCACCAAGCCGCGCTCATGGCGCCCACGGAACTCCTCGCCGAGCAGCACTTCCTCTCCATCTCCGACATGCTCAAGGACTCGAGCACACGCATCGCGCTGCTGACTGGTTCCATGCCTTCGGATCAACGCTCAGCAACCCTCGCGCTCATCGAGTCTGGAGAGATCGACCTCGTCGTCGGGACTCATGCGCTCGTGTCCGATTCCGTCGCGTTCCACTCCCTCGCTGTTGCGATCATCGACGAGCAGCACCGATTCGGTGTCGAGCAACGCGCCAAGCTGCGAGTCAAAGGCGGTGCCGAGTCATCCAACGAGACCCCCCACGTCATCGTCATGACCGCAACCCCGATCCCGCGCACCATCGGACTCACCATCTTCGGCGACCTCGACATCTCCACCATCACCCACCTCCCCAAGGGACGCAAACCCATCACGACAAAGCTTGTCACTCCTGAGAAACGCTCGACGGTCTACAACTGGCTCAACGAGAAAATCAAACAGGGTCAGCAAGCGTACATCGTCGTCCCCGCGATCGAGCCGGTAGGGAAGACCACAGCGAACCTCCACTCCGACGGAACTGCCTTTGGAGGCAAAGCCCCCACACGCAACCTCCGCGACCTCCAGAAAGAACTCGAAGCCGCCGAGCTCCACGATGTGAAAATCGCCGCGATGCACGGCAAGCTCAAACGCGACACACGCGAACGCATCATGCACCGCTTCCGCAACCACGACATCGACTGCCTCATCGCAACCACCGTCATCGAGGTCGGCGTCGATGTCCCCAACGCATGCGTCATCGTCATCGAAGACGCGGACCGCTTCGGACTCGCGCAGCTCCACCAGCTCCGAGGACGCGTCGGACGCGGCGACCAACCCTCCGTCTGCGTCCTCGTCGCGGACCCGAAGACAGAAGACGGCAAACGGCGACTCGAAGCGATGGTCGAATCCACTTCAGGATTCACACTCGCGCAGCGCGACCTGGAGATCCGTGGTCCCGGCGATGTGTTCGGAACGCGTCAATCAGGAATGCCGCCCTTCAAAGTTGCGAATCCACTTGAGGATCATGATCTGCTCAACTTAGCACGACGCGACGCGGCTGAATGGATCAAACGATCCCCTGAACTGCACACACCTGAGGAAGCACTCATCCGCCGCCGATTGCTCAAAGCTCACGGGCAATGGCTCGGTGTTGGAGATGTCGGTTAAAAATCTATACAGATAAACTGTTCCGCAACGAACGATACGCGCAGGGTGAACTACCCAATCTGTAGGCATTTTTTACTATGCAAAACGAAACCGCTTCAGAATGAGGTATACATAGAACTACCTCTCTATATCCCTTATCCAAATGGTTCAATCGCTGAGTATGTGCATCATGACTGAATCTACAGAAGAACAAACGATCAATGATCGTGTCCACATCGCTGTTGGCAAAATGACCTACAAGAAACTTGGTCAGTTGACAGACACACACCCTGAAACTGTGCGCCGATACATGAATGGGTACGCACCGAGCGCCAAGTTCCTGGCGAATATTGCTCAGGAGTTCGGAGTCTCTGGTGAATGGTTGCTTACCGGCCGTGGACCGATGCTCATTGCAGACTTCACAAAGTATGTCATCGAGAACGCAGAGCCCCAAACACTCATGAATGCAGCAACCCAGCACTATCTGGACTCCATCCAATCAGCTTCTGAATAAACAACTCTTAGGTTACCAGATTTTTGTTTTAAAATTTTTTTCAACTCATTTTTGTGTCGTATCTGAAGATAACTCAGGTTTGAGTCTCCCATATCCAACGCAAGATCGTGGTTTCTGACCCAAAAATGAGCACCAACCCGCACAGATCCGATTCATACCCCTTCCCAGAACCAAACATTTGTGTATGCTGTGTCTATGAGCACTGCACACACCACATCCGCATTCCACGATCGTTTGAACCAAGCTGTAGGCGAAACCTCATATCGACAGCTTGGGACACTCACAGATACACATCCTGAAACGGTCCGACGCTACATGCAAGGCCAAGCCCCGAGTGCCGCGTTCATGACCAACCTCTGCCAGAACCTCGGCATCTCAGGAGAATGGCTCCTGTCAGGTCAGGGACCTATGAAAGTCCGCGACATCAAGACCCACGCGCTCAAGCATGCGGATCCCAACGAACTGATGGGCGCGATCGCCAACACCCTCACCCAGCTCATTGAACGCGTGGATCGTCTCGATCGCTTTGTGCAAAAGATGGAAACCAAACTCAACGCGTCATCAAACTCGCTTGTCGAGCACAAGCTGAGTTCGGATACAATCTCTGCAGACCAACAAGGGAGCAGCGATGACGCAGCAAGATCCGGATCAAACGAGAGAAGCGATGACAACACCGCGCGACGAATCGCGAGAGCTATCGCCCAACGACCACATGGCCCTGATGCTTGAACTCTGCAAACCAGAGTCCATGCCCCTCGTCCGGCGCTGGGTCGCGGCCCTCATGCTCGTCCCGGAAGATCAAAGAGAATCCATCGTCCAAGCCGTCGAAACGCAGATAGTCGCGGACTTCTCCGACTGATCCTCCCCCGATCCAGCACTACCATCGTGCATGGCTTTTAATCAAACCGCGTCCAACCTCTTCGCCCAGATCGCCCAGATGCTCGAACTGACTGGGTCCGACCGCTTCCGAGTCAACGCCGCGAGCAAAGCGTCCCGCGAGCTCAAAGCACAGACCACCGATCTCGAGCCCCTCGCCAAAGCCGAGGATGTCAAAGCCCTCACCGCACTCGAAGGCATCGGGAAGGGCACCGCGACCAAACTCATCGAGCTCGCCCAAACCGGCTCCATCTCCGAGCACAAAGAACTCTCCGAGCAGGTCCCGCAAGGACTCATGGAGGTCCTCTCCATCCCAGGACTGGGACCCAAAACCGTCAAGCTCATGTGGGACGATCTCAAGATCGAGTCCATCAACGACCTTAAGAACGAGATCGCCAAAGGCAGCGTCGCTGAGCTCCCACGCATGGGCGCCAAGACCATCGAGAACATCGTCGCCGCGATCGAGTTCATGGAAAGCTCCGGAGACCGCCTCCACCTCGGACTCGCGCTCCCCGTTGCTCAGTCCATCGTCGAGCACATGCTTCAGGTCAAAGGCACCAAGAAAGCCCAATACGCCGGATCACTCCGGCGCGGCGAAGAAACCATCGGCGATATCGACATCCTCATCGTCACCGACAAACCCGACGAAGCACGCGAAGCGTTCACCACCATGCCCGCCGTCACGCGCGTCCTCGCAAACGGCGACACCAAGTCCTCCGTCCGCTACGAGCTCTCGTCCACGAGCGAGCGATTCAAAGACCTCTCGACCCCAGCGGAGATCCAGATCGACCTCCGCATCGTTCCCGCTGAATCGTGGGGAGCCGCGCTCGCGTACTTCACGGGTTCCAAAGACCACAACGTCGCCCTCCGCAAACTCGCGATCAAGCAAGGCATGACCCTCAACGAGTACGGCCTCTTCCGCAACAACGACGATCGCAACGACCCCATCGCGTGCGAAACCGAAGAAGGCATCTACCTTGCGCTGGGAATCGCCTCCGTCCCACCAACACTCCGACAAGACCGAGGCGAGATCCAGACCGAAGAACTCCCCCACCTCATCGAGCTCAGCGACATCAAAGCCGACCTCCACACCCACACCACCGATTCCGACGGCAAGCTCTCGCTCAAAGAATCCGCAACGATCGCCAAATCCCGAGGATTCCACACCCTCGCGATCACCGACCACTCGCAATCCTCCGCGATCGCCAATGGACTCAAGCCCGATCGACTCAAGAAGCAGATCAAAGCCGTCCACAAGTTCAACGATTCGTTCGAGGGACTGACCGTCATCGCGGGATCAGAAGTCGATATCCTCGTCGATGGATCGCTCGACTACGACGACGACCTCCTCAACGCGCTTGATATCGTCGTCGCGTCCCCCCACGCTGGACTCCGCGCCAAACCCAAGCAAGCGACCAAGCGCCTGCTCAAAGCGATCGAGCACCCAAGCGTCCACATCATCGGACACCCCACAGGTCGGCTCATCCAGCGCCGAGCGGGACTCGAACCCGACATCAACGAGCTCATCGCCGCCGCGATCGAGCATGATGTGGCGCTGGAGATCAACGCCCACTGGATGCGCCTCGACCTCCGCGACACGCATGTCCGCGCCGCCGTGGAAGCGGGATGCAAGATCGCGATCAACTGCGATGTCCACCACGCGAGCGACTACGACAACCTGATCTTCGGCGTCCTCACCGGACAACGCGGCTGGCTCACGCCCGACCTCTGCGTGAATGCGTGGGACCACGACAAACTCCACACGTGGTTGACCTCGAAGCGATGAGATTCAATGATACAAATCATGAATACTCAGAAACACCTTATTGCACTCATTGCGACATGCCTAAGTTTCCCAGCATTTGGGACCCCCTCGCAAACTGATGCACAAATACCGACATACACGTACAAGACCGCCCCACAAATCGAGCTGGACATCTCTAGCACCTCGCCCCATGCTGCCGGCAGAATTATCCACGCATACAACAAGATTATTCAAAATCTTTACCCAACACCGATCACCTTCAAAACAACTTCAAGCTCATTCATAGCGCTGGATCGCGACATGTACAGACGCGGAGTTATGCGTGACAAAACGGACAGTTACTGCCAATGGCTGAGAGAAAGCCAGGACGTGATCGAAGACCTGATCACCTTGACCGAAACCACCGAACTCCTTCCCTCACAGGGCAACTTCATCTACAACTACGCCAAAGATGACCCGCGGATTCAGTTGCGGCCAGCACTGGTCTTTGCGAGCAACATCCTCACACATGACGCTATCAGACACTGGGTTGGAGGGGACCGCAGCGAATCGATCAAGCGACTAGTCACGATACTCCAGTTGAGTGAACTCGTTACTCAATATCGGAATAACGACCCCATTCTCATTGCCAGCTCAGCAAATTTGCAAAGCAAAGCACTGGAAAACTTCAAATGGATGATCAACACATACGACTGCACACCAGACGAGAAACTGCTTGTCAACCAAGCACTCAACTCCATCGACAGCGAACTCTTCGACGATACTTCATCCGCATTCGCAGTTCACACCCTATCAATGATTAACTGGTTTGATGTCCAGCTCCAAACACCCGAGACATCACTTGAGTTCTGGAAACTACATCAACAACTCAATGTAATCATATCGAGGGTATACTCCTCCCAGAACTTACCCAGCGATGCTCGTTTGAACCTCATATCTTCGTCAGAATCACCCGAACAACTTTTCCACAAAGCAGCATCGAAGAACACTGAGTTCGCACCAAAGCTTGAGCAGCTATCTGATAGCTACAACTCCGTATCAAAAGCTGCCAGAGCGGTCTGTGACGACCTGATGAATGGAGTAGTAAACCAGGAAAATATCTCCGTACTTGTGGCTCAATCGAATGCCGCCAACAACTTGATTCCTGATTTACTTCAAATTCGTATGTTGGACACACTGATTTCACAAGTTGAGTCTTCAAAGAATCTCTTCAAAGAACTGACCGAAGAGACTCAATCTACTTCACCGTAATACCTTCAGATACCGCCGAGCCTACCATCCCCCGGCTGCGGTCACGGCCCTGAACATCACAAACCAGTCGTGAGCAATCGCGGGAGTTCTGTATGTTCGATCGAGTCTCAGACAGTTTCAACAACGCGTTCCGCAAACTCTCAGGAAACGCTTCCATCTCCGAATCCAATGTCCGCGAATCCATGGACGAGGTCCGTTCCGCGCTCCTCGAAGCGGATGTCCACTACGAGGTCGCCGACGAGTTCTGTAAGAATGTCCTCACCGACGCGATCGGTCAGCAGGTCACCAAGTCGCTCAAACCAAGCCAAGAGATGATCGGCATCGTCCACAGAAGACTCATCGAGCTCTTCGGAGGCGACCCAAACGCCGAGGAACAACCCGCCCCTCCCGGCATCATGAAACTCTCCCCCGGCCCCACCGTCATCATGATGTGCGGCCTCCAGGGTTCGGGAAAGACCACCACCTGTGGCAAGCTCGCGGGAGTCCTCAAAAAACAGGGACGCTCCGTCATGCTCGCAGCCGCGGACCTCCAGCGCCCCGCTGCGGTCGATCAGCTCGAAACCGTCGCCAACCAAGCCAACACCGAACTCCCCGGCGGTTCCCAGGTCCACTTCTACGGCGAGCACGACAAGACCGCTGAATACGGCAAAGCCGTGGGCGTCGCGGTCCAAGTCTGCCAGAACGCGCTCAAGGAAGCGAAGGCCAAAGGCGTCGATGTCCTCATCCTCGACACCGCGGGCCGTCTCCATGTCAACGACGAGCTGATGGGCGAGCTCAAGTCCGTCCGCTCGATGCTCAATCCGCATCACATCTTCCTCGTCGTCGATGCGATGACGGGACAGGACGCGGTCAACTCCGCGAAGGCATTCCATCAGCAGCTCGAAGTCGACGGCGTGATCCTCACCAAGTTCGACTCCGACACGCGAGGCGGCGCGGCGCTCTCCGTCAAACAAGTCACCGGCGCTCCCATCCGCTACATCGGGGTCGGCGAGAAACTCGACGCGCTCGAACCCTTCCACCCCCAGCGCATGGCGGGACGGATCCTTGGTATGGGCGATGTCGTCTCGCTCGTCGAAAAAGCACAAGAACAAGTCTCCGAAGACGAAGCGAAAGCACTGGAAGCGAAGATGGCCAAAGGCCAACTCGACATGGACGACTTCCTCAAGCAGATGAAGATGATGCGCCGCATGGGATCCATGAAATCACTCATGGGCATGCTCCCAGGCGTCGGGTCCATGATGAAGGACATCGACATCGACGAGAAAGAACTCGATCGCACCGAGGCGATGATCCAGTCCATGACACCGAAAGAACGCAAGAAGCCGGACATCGTGAACCACAAACGCAAGCAGCGCATCGCCAAAGGTTCGGGAACCGATCCGAACCAGGTCGGGAAGCTCACCAAGCAGTTCGGGATGCTCTCCAAGCTCATGAAGAACATGGGAGGCATGGGCGCCGGAGGCAAAGCCGCGCTCGCCCAATCTCTCAGCGGCGGAGGCGGCATGGGACTCGGTGGACTCCCAGGATTCGGCAAAGGCGCAACCAAATCCAAATCCCGAGGCATCAAGAAGCGCAAACCAAAGAAACGCCGCTAAGCACACGGAGGTCCACCAATGCCACTCTCAACACTGGGTTTCAACGCCGACCGCATCGCCGAGATCGCCGAAGCTCTCTTCGAACTCGAAGACAAGGACATGCGCCTCCCACGCAAAGAGGGCGCGTGGTCACGCAAGCAAATCCTCGGCCACCTCATCGACTCCGCATCCGTCAACCATCAGCGCATCATCGAAGCACAAATCACCGGCTCCCTCGTCTTCAACGGCTACAAACACGAGCAATGGGTCGACCTCCAAGACTACCAGAACGCCGACTGGGAAGAACTCGTCACCCTCTGGTGCTCACTCAACATACACATCTGCGAGATCGTCACCAAGATCCCGCTCGACATACTTGATGCACTCCACGACACCCACTCCTACGACAGGACCGCGTACCGCGAACTCCCGGCCGATAAACCAAGCACGCTTGGATACCTCATCGAGGACTACTTCGCGCATCTGGAGTACCACCTGCATCAGATTCAGGATGTTTGATCAGTTCTCGATCGGCAACGGATCCTCGGCTCGCCCCTCGGCCCAATCCTTGAACTTGGGCCAGAAGATTTCTTGGATCAGGATCTTCACGCACGCCGCGATCGGGATCGCGATCAGCAATCCGAACACCCCAAACAGCGCCCCGCCCGCGAGTGATGCGAACAGAATCGTCGGCGTATCCATCCCGGTGCTCTTGCCTTGGATCAATGGCGTCCAGACATAGTCATCGAGCGCCTGTCCAAAGAAGTACAGAATCGTTGGTGCGCCAACAACCCAGTACCATTCGCCGCGCAGTCCCGTGTGCCCCTCAAGCCACAACAGCGAGATCGCAATGGGAACGCCAACAAGCGCAAGATACGGCACGATCGAAAGCACCGCGATGACAGGCCCCAAGATAAACGCACCTGGAACTCCGATCGCGAAGAATCCGATCGAGAACACAATCGCTTGGACAAAAGCGATCGTCAATCTACCACGGATGAATCCCGAGATCACAGCATCAAACTTGGTCAGCAGATCGATCACTCGATCGCGGTTCTTGTCAGGGAGCAAACTCGCGCCGAAGCCCTTGACCTTTACCCATTCAGTTGCGATGAAGAAGAAGAAAAATGCAGTGACGAATCCCATGAATCCGAATCCGAATGCGGCTCCGATGAACGAGAAAAACTTGTTCACCATATCAATACCCACACTCGCAGCAGTCTCGGCAACCTGGTCCTTATTCTCAAGCAGCCAATCGTTGATCGCTGCGAGCGACTGTCCGACCGCACTATCCTCGTCATCGGCGTTGCGGATTGAGTCGTGGATAGTAATCCATGCGCCACCAATGTTCTGGTCGGCGAGTGCTCGATGAGCGTTTTCAATGTCCGGGATCTTCTGCGCTTGCTGGACGGCTTCGATGTTGTTGATCATCCCCTGACCAAAGTTGACCATCTGCGCAATCCCGAACGATGCACCGATCGTCGATGGGATGACCACCAGTATGACCACGGCTGTGATGATCCCGATGACGGATGTCCGGCGTTTGATGCCGAACTTCCCCATTGACCACACGATCACCGGCTCAAACAGATACGCAAACAACAACGCGAGCAGCAGCGGCACAGTGACCACCGAAGCCTTCTGTCCGATGAGCACAAGCGCGAAAATACCGAGTCCCAGAAGAACATCGCGAACCGGCTGCATCTGCCAGAGATGGAGCTTTGACCACGCTGGATATGAACTTGATTGCGAACTGTCTTGAGAATCACTGGTCATAGGACCAGTATATCAAGACCCGACGGGTTCAGGAGACACAGGAGCCTTGGGTGAAGCGAACTCTTCATTGAAGTCGTAGACATCCTCGAAGTCCTCGATCGAATCCTCGTCAGTGGTCCGCATCAATCCGGCATCGACGAGTGCGAAGATGATGTTCCCGAAATCCTTGGTTTCGTAGATGCCCCATTTGTTGAGGACGGATTTAGCGAGCAATCCATAGCGATCGATCGCGTGATCACGCAGTCCGATGCAGAGTTGGGCGCCATCCACATGCCGGGATTCGTCGACGAGTCCGAGGTCATGGGAGGCTTGGTCTTCTGGTTGGCCGTGGACCATCTGTGCTGTGTGTGCGAGACCATCGCGGATGAACGGGAAACAGGCCGGGGAATATCCACCGGCGGCTTGGAAGATCTGTTGGAGGTCGATGGTGTGCTCGTGCATGACTTCGCTCCGATTGTTCCACATGGAACAATCTAGTACCAGAACAACTGCTGGTTGGGAATTGTATTCCCGTACTTCCCCGATCGGGGGATTGGGGGTTGGTTCTTGACCTTTTCGTAGCGCGGCAAGGGGTGGATTCTTGAAAAACAGCAGATTTGCGCACAAGAGTGGTTCTCTGCGGGAATACACATAGCACAGGGTTGTGAGCTGTGAAATTAGGCAAAGTCCTCTATGCTGCGTCTGCGCTGTGTGTCTCGGCGAACTCGGATCCAACTGAGGAGGTCACATGGGCGGTTCATTGATCAAGCGTTTGGGGGTTGCCGTGCCTTTGTTGGTTGCGGGGGTCATGTGTGTGTCGATCGCGTCGTGTCGATACCAAGAGTTGGGAATACGAGAAACTGAGGGCGCGAATGCTGCTCAGGTCACGGCGTACTTCCCACAGATCACCGCGAAGAACCTCAACAATGAGGAAGTCACGCTCCCAGATGATCTTGCTGGGAATCCGGCGTTGGTACTGGTCGCGTTCAAGCAGCGGCAGCAGATCAATGTCAACACATGGCTCGATCAACTCGAACTGATCGAGTCCACGATTGAGGGTGTTCGTGTGATCGAGACGCCGACGATTTCTGGGAAGAAATGGGGATGGATGGCGGGGTTCATCGACGGCGGGATGCGATCAGGGATCCCCGATCCAGAAGCGCGAGCGCGGACGATCACGCTGTACACCGATGTTGGGACATTCCGGCAAGCGCTGGGACTCAAGAGCGAGGACACAATCTACGGCGTGCTGCTCGATGAACGAGGGATTGTGGTCGATATCGTCGAGGGTGACTTTGAGCAAGCGAAGCTTGATCAGCTTGCTGAGGCGATCGATTAGTTCTTATGGACATCCTGTCGCGAAGGCGCTGAGGAACTCGGAGATGTCGAGGAAGTTGAATGAGCCGTCGGTATTGAAGTCGGCGGCGGTGTCCTGCGAGCTGTAGGCGGCGAGGAAGACGGAGATGTCGAGGAAATTGAGATCGCCTTCTTGGGTGAAGTCGGCGGGGCATGGGGGGCAGTCGGAGATATCGATGATTTGAAGCCCAGAGTACCCATCGGCGACATATGCAACATCACCAGTTATAAATACTGATGATGCGTCACTCGGAGTTGTATAGGAGTTCAGCCAAATAGGATTTGTCGGGTCACTCACATCAATAGCGAGGATTGAAGTCGGAGTGCTTGAGCTTGAACTGTTATCTGCCACATATGCCACAGTACCCTGAACTGATACATCACGAGCATAAGTGAAGTTGTTATATGAGCTCAGGATAGTCGGTGAAGCGATATTGCTCACATCGATAACTTGAAGTCCATGGTCCCAATCGGAGAGATAAGCAGTCGTGCCTTTGATATCTATTCCTGTGGCATTCCCAGGAGAGATCACTGAACTGATTTCTATTGGGTTCGATAGTTCTTTAAAATCGACTACGACAAGCCCAATGGAGTAATCAGCAATATATGCGGTGTTTCCTTGAATAACGAAATCCGAAACACTTCCAAAGGCATCAAAAAACCCTAACAAAATAGGTGCCGTCTTGTTACTCGAGTCAAACACATACAGACCTTGTGAGTTTCCGATGTACACTTTATCGTCTATGGATTGAACTACATCCGCTCGATTAATTGCGCTGAATGATCCGATTTGATGAATTGACAGTGGGTCAGTTATATCAAGGACAAGTGGTGGCGACACCCCATCTGCAATATATGCTGTAGTTCCTTTGACAGCTACATCTCTTGTGAAGCCAGGTGTGTCGTACGATCCGAGTAATGTTGGGTTCTGAGGGTTGCTCATATCAACTATGTGCATACCTGAAATGCTGTCTGCGACATAGGCTGTTGTGTTTACAACTTCGATATTCCTGGCGTAATCTGGTGTATCTAGAGACCCAATGTGCGGAGACATCGGGTGACGAACATCTATGATTCGTAGGCCGGTGTATTGATCTGCTATGAAGGCGGTATCGTTTGCTACTGAAATTCCTGTCGCCGCAGAAGGTGTATCAAATATTCCGATTAGTTGGGGATCACTCGGATCGCTTACATCTACAGCTACAACGCCTCCTACCGAATCAGCTACATAGACAACTGAATCTACTACAGAGATGTCGTACGCATAACCCCTCGTGTTGTAATGGCCAATTGAGGTGGGATTTGTAGGGTCACTGACATCTAGAATTCTCAGACCAAAGGAGTCGTCAGCCAAATACGCCGTCGAGCCCACGACGGCTACTTTTTTGACATAGTCGGTAGATGTAAAGGATCCTAGTAAGGTCGGCATAGCGGGATTGCTAATGTCTATAACAGTGAACCCGGCATCTGTGTTGGCAAGGTATGCGATCGTTCCAACAACATCTACGCCCTTTACGCTATCTCCTGTGTCATACGAGGCAATGAAGGTCGGGTTCGATGGATCGCTCACATCAACAATTTGCAGAGTGGAATATCGATCCGCGATGAAGGCTGTTGTGCCTTGGATCTTTGTTGAATGAGCATTTCCTGGAGTGTCATACGAACCTAAAAAGACTGGGTTGGACGGATCAGAAACATCAATAATTTGCAATCCGGCATCTCTGTCAGATACAAAAGCCACCGATCCTTGAACCGTTACATCGTATGCGTCGCCTGGCGTGTCATAAATGCTTTTCAACTCTGGGGAAGTTGGGTCTGTCACATCGAAGATCAACAAACCAGCGTCACCTGTTGCTACATAGACTACATTTTCAACAACTGCAAGATCGAAAGTTGAATCTGCGGTCTCGTATGATCCTAGATAGGCCCTGCTTTGACACAGCACACCGTCAGCAGATGCGTTGGTACACAAGAAGAGCGTCGCTGATGCTTGAATGATATTCACAAAGCGCTTGAATGCTTGCATGTCAGCTTAAGCCTCCTGAGTGTCGACAATGCGAATCCTAGTTTAATGCAATAGGCATTCTAAATCTAGCTTAATATTAACCACATCTCCTGTTTCTGATGCTGGATGTACTCCAACTGAGGAAGCAATCTTCGATCGGGTATCCAATATCGCTTGACTATCCGCCGGGAGTTATCGGGATGCTGTGTTATGCATATGCATGAAGTCCCGGCAGGAGCAGGTTGACTCCGAAGTAGGTCCAGAGCATCACGAAGAAGCCGATGACGGAGAGCCAGGCGGTTGTTAAGCCTCGGTCTTTGAGTTGCATGAAGCGGGCGTGGATGACGATGAGGTAGACGATCCAGGTGACGAGCGCCCAGGTTTCCTTTGGATCGAAGGCCCACCAGCGTCCCCAGGAGTGGTCGGCCCACCAGGCGCCGAGGAGCGTGCCGACTCCTAGGGTCCAGAAGGCAAGCTGGAGGATGGTCATCTGTGCGGTGTCGAGGTCTTTGAGGGTGCGTGCTACGCCTGCTTTGTTTTCTTCGATTCCGAGTGCGGCGTCGGCGAGGGGTTCTTCGGTTGGGGCGCCTCCTGCTACGGCTGGGGTTGGGGCTTTGAGGTATTTGTTGGCGTAGTGGGTCGCGAGGTAGAAGAGGGAGACGATGAATCCGAGGGTGATGAGGCCGTAGGACGTGAGGACGGTGGTGACGTGGTATTTGAGGAGGACGGAGGTGTTGAGGATCGCGGCTTCGCGTCCGATGTCTTCTCCTGGGATTCCGGTTTGGGTGGCGGTGATGAGGACAAGGAATCCTGTTCCCGCGGCGGCGGCGCCGAAGAGCCATTGGCGTTTGGCGAGCATGATAACGGATCCGACGATGGCGGCGAAGAGTGAGATGCCGGTCATGGACTCGAACTGGTTCTGGATCGCGAAACGCTGGGCGATGATGCAGCGGAGGGTGAATCCGAACGCGTGGAATGCGATCGCGATGAAGAGGAGGGTGACGCCGAGGGTGATGAGTGATTTGCGTCCGGTGCCGAACGCGAGGATGAGGGAGACGAGGGAGAGGAGGTAGATCCAGAATCCCCACTCGAAGGCGTTGGCTTTGTTGTAGATCGCTTCGACGCTGGCGTTGGCGCTCGCTTGGATCTCTGGGTGGATGGATTTGAGCTGGGTGGCGAGCTGGGATGCGGCGGCGTTGACGGCTTGGGCGTCTCCGGCGCGCCAGGCGTCGGCGAGTTGTTGGGCTGCGACGCGTGCGGGGTGCGAGGATGGGAGAGCGCCGAGGTGTTTCCAGGGATCGTCTGGCGCGTCGGGGGCGACGACGAGGAGGTTGGAGACGGAGTTGCGGAAGATGTTGGATGCGCGGTCGAGTTGTCCGACGGCTTTGCGGAATGGTTCGGAGTCGGCGTTGCGGTTGAAGGCTTCGGTGGTGTAGAGCTCGGTCATGCGCGGGGAGATCATGCCGGTCTTGAGCCAGCCTTGTTTGTTGAAGGTGCCGTCTTGTGCATCAGCGGCGGCGAGCTGCAGGATCTCTTGGCGGAGGGGGAGGTAGTTGATCCCGATGAGGGGGCGGTCGATGTAGTAGACGGGGTCGATCATGAGATCGAGCATGGTGAAGCTTGGGTCGAACTTGAGTTTCTCTGGGTCAGAGCCGTCTTGGACGAGGATGTCGAAGTATTTAGATTTGCCTGTGAGTCCGGCGGTGGATTCGCGGGCGAGGGTGTCGAGGATTTTGACGCGTCCGTTGTGGAACACGGCGGCGGTCATGAGCTCGGAGAGGTCCACTTGCTTGGAGAAGGCGTGCTTCTCGGAGAGGGACATGGTGGGCATCTGGGGTTGACCGAAGGGGTTCTCGATCTCGGCGGAGGTTTCGGAGACGGCTTGGGATTCAGGGTGCGCGTTTCCGGAGGGTTGGGCGATGGCGCTGAGTGAGAGGACGGATGAGATGAGGATGGCGAGAATGTGTTTCATGATGCGGCCGCCTTTGGTTGGTTTGCTGCCAGTTGTGCTTTGATTTTGTCGCGTTCTCTGCGGACGAGGTAGGGCTTGAAGTAGAAGGCCCACGGGACTCCGATGGAGAAGAGGATGGATCCGAACGCGATGATGTGGATTCCGGGGTTGTTCCCTACGCCGAGGATGGTGAAGTTGACGCGGGGTTTGTCGAGCTGACCTTGGTCAACGAGTTCTTGGGATTGGTTCCATCCGGCGCGGTCCCATCCGGACTGGGAGAACTTGAACTGTTCGGGGTTGAGTCCGGCTTGGATGCGTTTGATGGTGTTGGCGAGCCAGGGCTTGTTGGGGTCCCAGTGGAAGGGGGCGCGGAGGGGCGCGTTGAGTTTGACGATGTGCTCGAAGGTGTCGAAGTTTGGTGGTTCGGGGTAGAGACTCGACGCGGCTTGCTGGACGCGGACGAGGGATTGGTAGTCGCGCGGCGCGCCGCGGTGGTCGTAGGCGATCATCTCGAAGTCGACGAGTGCGACGGAGAATCCTGGGAATGGGCGCTGCGTGCGTCCGAATCCGATGAAGAGTGGCGAGCCGTCAGGGAGGGTGACAGTGACGGGTTGTTCGTCGATCCCGATGTATTTGGCGAAGGGGACCCACGCGATGTGGGACCAGTCGTTGTCTTTGTATCCGACTTTCACAGCGACGAACGCGTGGGTGTGCGATCCGATGAGGGACTTGTCTTTGTTCGCGTCGGGGGTTGGGATCGGGTGGGCGATCTCGCGCGCGTGCGTCCAGGATTCGGCGAAGCGGAGGTCTACACGCGCGCCGTCGTTGTTGGGGACGATGTCTTGGAGACCGTCTGGACCGACGAGGTCGATGACGTTGAGTTCCGCGGTCGCGGGTTGGCGGATGATGGCGCGGGTGATGCCGTCGCTCTGGTCGTCGATGTAGACCTGGAGGCGGGAGATGTCGAGGTAGGTGATCTTGATCGCGGGATCAGGGGCGGATCGCTGCGGGCGACCGGTCGGGGTTGGGGTCAGGTCCTGGTCGAGTTCTGGGAAGCGGTGGAAGGCCCAACGCGAGACAGGGACGCTGCTGGTTGGTTTGGTGACGTTGAGGATCGCGACGGATGAGGTCGCGTCCTCGTATCCCGGCGTGATGATCGGGAACGGCGGGGTCGGCGCGAGTTGATCGACGGCGATCTCGTATCCGGTCTCGTCGAGGGTGATCGTGTCCCCCTCCTGGATTGCGTAGGTCTTCTTGAATCCCGCATCTGGGATCTCGACGATGATCGCGTGGAGGATCTGTGATGGTGGATCGGAGACTGGGACAGCGGTGGTGAGTGCTTCCCAGCGTTCTTGGGGCATGTCCACGGTGTACTCGATCCCGATGACCTGGTTCTCGCGGATGCGATCCGCTGGGACATTCGGGAAGAAGGGGAAGCGGAAGAGCGGGCGGTCCTGCGGGACGCTTGATCCTGGGACGACGGCGTACATGTCGATCACGGTGAGCGGGTTGGGCTGCTCTCCGGGCTGGAGATCGACCTTGTACCAGTGGCTCTCGAGCTCGGCGTAGTTGGCGTATCCCACGATGTCGATGGTGATGTCGTGGTCGATGATGGAGTCGGGGCGCGTCGGGACGTTGATGTTGAGTTTGCGAGAGCTGAGGTCGCCGTGGTTGTGCGAGGCGCCGAGGGTGTCGGAGAGGGTTGGGGCGTCCTTGGGAATATTGATGTTGAGGTCGTAATCGTTGTAGCGTGGGAGTCGATGGAGCGGTCGCTGCTCGTAGCGGGGTTGTCCGGAGAATCCCATCTCCTGCGCGAGGTAGAGGACAACTTCTTCGCGTGAAAAGAATGAGAACTGCGGGACAGGTTGCTGGGTGCCGACCTGTGTGGTTTGTGGTGCGGGGAGGAGGACATCGCCTTCGAGTTTGTAGCGTGTGTAGAAGAGTGATCCGAGCGCGATAATGATGATCCCGGCGTGTACGGAGAGGACGCCGAGGTTTTTGAAGTTGAACTCGATTCGCCGGACGGTGGTGACGATGAGGTTGAGAGTGAAGAGGAAGAGCGCGGTTCGGAGGGGCCACCAGCCGTAGAACTGCATCTCGGTCATTTCGAAGCCGGGGAGTCTGCGGAGTGTGGTTGAGGGGTAGGTGTCTGAGAAGGCGCCGAAGAGTCGGATGCCATCACCGGTCGCGGGGTTGTACTTGATTGTTGGGAGGACTTGCCAAACCCAGATGACAGTGATGAGTGCGGCGAGCGCGAGGGTGATGAAGAAGGTCGCGAGGAAGCGCGAGGCGCGCGTCGCTTGGGTCATTTTGGCGCGGATGAGTTTGATGGAGAGGTAAGAGATCACCGCGAGGGGGATAACGAGCGAGAGCGCGTAGATGAGGTAGGTCGGGATCTGCGCGAGCATCCCGATGGGGATCGAAGCGGCGATCGCGTACAGCGATATGAAGGTCAAGAGAATGATCGCGAGCGGGATGGTTTCCAGTGCACGCAGCGGGATCTTGATGAGGGTAAGTGGGCCTGTGAGGTGTTGATCTTCCCAGGCTTTATTTCGGCGCCATTTTTGACTCATGTGGTTCGACTCCGTTCGTCGGGGATTGTATGAACCAGAGTCAGTCCGCTCCCATTTTCAAAGCGTTTTTCGGCGCAAACACGATCCAGTTGGGGGATGATCCTGAGAGCATGGCGCTGGACCACGGGTCTGGGTGATTCGCTTCTACGGCGAGGCTCAGGAGTCCGGCGGGTCGATGGCCGGGCTGGAGTTTGAACGCGTTTGGATCGAGTCTGAGTGCGTGTGCGGGGTTGGTGGTGGTCATCGAAAGGAGCGTGTGCATCGGGGTCTGGTCACGCGTTGCGAGCAGACGCATGTCGTCGAGGGTGGTGATGCGATCAGGAGTGTCGAGGTTGACGATGGAGTCGGTCCCGAGTGTCACATTGATCCCGGCGTCGAGCATCGCTTGGAAGGGGTGCGGCCCAAGCGTGTCGTAGTGCCCAAAGTAGGTATGGGCGCGAGGGCAGTACGCGACGGAGGTCTGGGTGGTCGCGAGGAGGGCGATCGTATCTCCGAACTCGTCGTCTGTTGGTGCGTCGTTGACATGAGCACAGAGCATCGGGAGTTGCTTCAAGACAGGATGCAGGTGCTTGATGGGGTGCTCGTGGTGTCCGATCTCACTCAGTATTGAGTCGTCCCAGATCCCGAAGCGTTCGAGGAATCCTCGTTGTGTACCTGTGCCTTGGGAGATGAACTCGCGTTCTTCGAGCGTCTCGGCGAGGTGGGTGCAGAGGGGGATGTTGTGTTTGAGGGCGAGCTGCGCGGCGCGGTGGTAGACAGCGATGGAGATGGTGTTGGTCGCGTGGGGGGAGAGTCCAAATGTAACACCGGAGTTGTGCAGATGTTGCTGGAGGGGTTCGAGGTGCTCGTCGAGGTAGGCTTGGAGTCGGTCAATGATGGTGGTCGCGGTGGTTCCGATGCCGAAGAACTCGAGATAGGAGGTGCCGAGCATTGGGGAATCGGCGAGGGTGCGGATGGGGATGTCTTTGAGGATCGCGTTTGGGGCGCCGGCGATGTCCCCCACTGCGATGGTGCCTCCTGCCAAGGATTTCTCGATGCCGAGGGTTACGGAGTCGGCGATCGGTTCGTCTTCGAGTATTCGGTTGGCGCGGATCATGTCGAGCCATGGCACGAATCCTTCGGCAGGATTGTGGGGCTGGGGACCAATATGCGTGAGGTCGAGGTGGGTGTGGGCGTTGATCACCGGCGGGATAATGATCTGATCAACGAGATCGATGGTGTGGAGATCTGATGGGAGATCGAGCTGGTCGATAGCCGCTTGAGTGTTGATGGCGTGAATGATCCACTGGTCATTGTCGGCTTCGAGGATGAGTGAGCCGGGGGCGAAAGAGTAGTGTGCATCGGCGATCAGGGCGGCGTTGATGCGGATAACACGCGGACCATCGTGGAGGTTCGGGGGCTGGATGGTCGGGGTTGGGGGGGTGAAGGTTCGGGTCATGCAATTCTGCTTGATTGGTCGATTGAGATGATTGGGCGTCGTGTTCTTGTGGGTCAGATGCGATAGTATGGGGTTGGAGCTGATCGGGTTATGGATTGGTTCTGACGAACGAAGAATCGGATGCGATCACAGGAATGATGCATCTCTGAAGACCAAGGAGGCTCAAATGCTGAAGAATGGAATCAAACGGGCCGCGCTGAGCACGACCCTCATCGCGATTGCTGGATTGGGGACAGGATGTGTGAGCCAGGGTGAGTACGACAAGCTCTGGGAAACCAATCGCTCGCTGACAAACAGGAACATGGAACTGCAATCGCAGCTCGACTCGATGAGCTCGGCGAACTCAGCACTCGAAGGATCCGCGGGCAACGCGGGATCGGTGATCTCCCAGCTCCGCAACGACAACGCGAATCTGCGTTCTCAGCTGCAGAATGCACAGAACGCGATGTCAGGGATCGAGGATCGAATGAACTCGCTCTCGATCGTTTCGATTGATCCTGCGACCGATCGCGCACTGCGTGATCTCGCAGCTCAGTATCCGGACATGATCGTGTATGAATCCGACCGTTCGATGCTCCGATTTGCATCGGACCTGACATTCGGTTCCGGATCAGACAAGATTCAATCCACAGCAGACGGCAGCTTTGCTCGTCTTGCTGAGGTGTTCACTTCGGGATCCGCGGCTGGGTATGACATCCAGATCGTTGGTCATACAGATGACGAGAAGCCGGGCTCGGTGACTCGTCGGAATCACCCAACCAACATGCACCTTGCGGCGCATCGTGCGATTGCTGTACGCAATGCGCTTGGGAATGCTGGTGTTCCTTGGGATCGCATGAGCGCGATGGGCTGGGGCGAGCATCGTCCGGTCGTTGCGAACAATGTCGGTAAGGGGACTGCGGCGAATCGTCGAGTTGAGATCTTCTTGGTCCCTGCGACGACTGCAGACTTCACGACTGCGGATGTTCCGACTGAGATCGAGACTTACGAAGCTCCGGCTTCGACGGGCATTGATCCGACCAAGTGAGTTGACATTGACTCTACAGAAACACCCGGAAATACCGGGTGTTTTTTATTGCTTACGCGTTGGTCGGTGGTTCGTAGTTTTCTTCGGTTACTCTTGGAGGGGCGATGGCGAAGAAGATCGCGACGATGAGCAGGAGCATCGATCCCGCGGCGGTTGGGAGGGTCCATCCCGCGGCGAGGAGACCTTGGTTCTCCATCGTGATCGCGGGTGGTCTTGGGGTGAGCTTGATCGCGGCGCCGTATTGCCATGTGTATTCGACGATCTCGCCTGGTTGTCGTTCTGGGATCGGCTGTCCTTTGAGTTTGGCGTAGTTTTGTCGACGGAGGAGGGACTTCCCGGATTCGGGCCAACGCAGTGGTTCGTGGACGGTTATGGTGCCGTCGGGATTGAACTCGTAGAAGTCGAAGAGCCAAAGGTCGCGACGGACTTCGCCCCATGCCCAGTTGCGTTCGACGGCGATGGAGTCGAACTTGGGGTCTTTGGTTGGTTCGGCGCCGAAGGGTGTGCGGGTTGCGAGGATGAGTCTTGGGGTGATTTCGCCGAGATCGATCTTGGTCTCGAGTTCATCGAGGGTCATTCCCGCGCGATCCGCGAGGATCATCATCGACATCCATTCACGCTGACGATCAAAGAGCGTCGGGAGCGGCTGACGAGGTGGGATGGTGACTGGGATCAGCAGTTCTTCATCGGCGTAGTTGATTTTGAGATGAGGTTTCTCGTCGATGGTGGCCTCGACGATTTGAAATGGTTGATCCTGAAACAGGAAGGCTTCTTCTTGTACATCTCGGAACGAGAACAATGGCGCGGCTCGATTGCTGTGGAACTGGTTGATGCGTTTCGCGAGCGCGTATGAGGAGAAGATGAGTGTGAGTAAAGAAAGACCCGCGATGATCCACAGGATCTTGCGCGGGTTCTTCGTGTGTGTTGATGTGGTCATTGTGTTTCGTTAGTGGTCTGAGTCGTCGCTGTGATCATCAGCATGATCGTTGCCGTGGTCGTCATGGTCGTCGCTGTGGTCGTCGTGAGCGTGTTCGCTCGGATCAACTGCATCGAAGAGACCTGGTGTAAGGCCGTGGCGTGGGATTGACTTGTTTGCGTCGGAGAGTTCGATATGGTGGTCGTATCCGAGCTTCGCGAAGTAGTTGTTGATGTCAGCACTGTGGCGATGGTGTGCGTGTTTCTTGTAGTAGTATCCCCAGAAAGCTTCTTCGGAGCCTTTCTCCTCGAGCTTCTGCTGACGGCGGAACTCGACGATGCTCAGACCTCCGGTGCTGACTGCTGGGGATGGGTTCGCATCGAAACGAGCATCGATCGGAGGGGAATCCAGAGACTTTCCGGTTCCACCCAATGACGCTTCCGGCTTTCTCCACGGCTCAACACGGTCGCGTGTGTCGAGATCGATCATTGAGAATCCAAGGAACAGCGCGACACAGAAGAGACAGAAGAGCATCGCAAAGGTATTGAGTGCTTTGTCGTACTTGAGTCCCATGAAGTACATGCAGACGAGGATCGCTTTGACGGTCGCGATGGACATCGCGCCGATGATGTTTACCCAGCCTGGGAGGTGGATTCCGAATGCGTGTTCGACCCAGCTCTCTGCGTTGTAGAAGAGGACTGTGGTGAAGGTGAAGAACAGCAGTGCGAGGAGGACACCGAGCTGGATTTGCCAGCTAACGACTGGGTGGCCGTGGGCGTGTTCTTCTGCGTGTGTGTCGTGATTACTCATGGGTATTCTCTGCGAATGAGTTGTGTTTTCGCGGTATGACGACTGAATAACGATTAGTGGATCAGGTACAGGAGTGGGAAGAGGAAGATCCAAACAAGGTCAACCAAGTGCCAGTACAGCGCTGAGTTTTCAACCATGAGGTACTCGGTTGGGCCGTAGGCTTGGTACTTCCATGAGCGGTAGAGGACCCATCCGAGCAGTGACGCGCCGATGAGCACGTGGAGTGCGTGGATTCCGGTCCCGACATAGTACAGGGACCACCAGAGGACTTCGTGTGGGTTTTCTGCGAACGCGTAGGTGAAGAAGACACCTGGTGCCTTTCCGTCTCCGAGCTTCACATAGTACTCAAATTTGAGTTTGATGAAGACGAAGAGCACTGCACAGAGCAGGGTGATGATCAAGTTGATCTTGAGCCACTTCTGTTTGTTGAGCTGTGCACAACGGACTGCGGAAGCGACGGTCCACGAGGAGATCAGCAGGACCACGGTATTGGCGGCACCGAAGCGCCAGTCGAGGTAGTGGCTGCCGTTGGACCACGCATCTGGGTAGAGCAAGCGGAAGACGGCGTATCCACAGAAGATCCCTGCGAAGAGGAGGACTTCGGTGGTGAGGAACAACCACATCCCGAACTTGGATGCTTCGAAGTCCTCGTCACGGTTCTTCCAGTGGTGCGCGTAGCCGCGGTTGCGCCAATGCGTTGGATGATTGGCGAGGTGCGCCGGTGCGGGGGTGGTATCTGCATCGAGTGTTGTTTGCATGTCTGTGTTGCTCCGGCTTAGTGTCTCGATGGGTTCTCAGGGAGTGGGTAATCTTTCGGATCCCAGTGCGGCGGCACTGTGGTCTCGAAGTCGTACGGGCCATGGGTGAGCACGGGCTCGTGGTGGAAGTTGTGCTCGATTGGTGGGGATTCGGTTTCCCATTCGAGGGTCAGACCACCCCAAGGGTTTGGAGGTGCTTTCTCTCCTGCGATCAAGGACGCGATGAAGGTCCCGAGATGGATGAGGAATCCGAGGAGGAGCAACCACGAGCCGTAGGTCGAGATGACATGGAGTGTCTGGAACTCATCGACATAGTTCGCGTAGCGGCGAGGCATGCCTTGTGTTCCGAGGAAGAACTGGGTGAAAAAGGTCAGGTTGAATCCGATGAACACGATGATGCATCCGAGGATGGCTGCTTTCTCGTTGTACATCTTTCCGAACATCTTCGGCCACCAGTGGTGGATGCCGCCCATGAACGCGATGACGGTTCCACCCATCATCACATAGTGGAAGTGCGCGACGACATAGTAGGTATCGTGCAGGTGGAGGTCGGTCGCGAGGGTCGCGAGCGGGAGACCGGTCAGACCACCGATCGAGAAAGTAAAGAGGAACGCGAGTGCATAGAGCATCGGCGTGTTGAGGACGATCGATCCCTTGTACAGCGTCGCGATCCAGTTGAACACCTTGATCGCAGTTGGGATCGCGACAAGGAAGGTCAATCCGGAGAACAGGATCGCGGCGAGCTCACCCATCGCGGTAAAGATGTGGTGACCCCACACAAGGAAGGACACGGCGGCGATCCCCAGCGAGGAGAACGCGATCGCGCGGTATCCGAAGATGTGCTTGCGTGAGTGGATCGCAAGGAGCTCTGAGATGATTCCCATCGCGGGGAGGATCATCACATACACCACAGGGTGGGAATAGAACCAGAAGAAGTGCTGGTACAGAACCGGATCGCCACCCATCGCTGGATCGAAGATCCCGATGTGCATCGTGCGTTCAAAGACGAGCAACAGGAGTGTGATCCCGATGACCGGGGTCGCGAGGACCTGGATGATGGAGGTCGCGTAGATCGCCCAAAGGAACAGCGGCATATCGAACCAGCCCATTCCTGGAGCGCGGAGTTTGTGAACAGAGACGACGAAGTTCATACCTGTGAGGATCGATGAGAATCCGAGGATGAACGCGGCGAGGATCATCAAGACCACGCGCCAGTGGTCCGCGTCGGTCGTCGTTGAATACGGCGTATAGAAGGTCCATCCGGTATCGACACCCCCCATCAAGATCGAGAGGACGCCGAACACACAGCCGGTTACATAGATGTACCAACTGAGAAGGTTTAATCGTGGGAACGCGACATCTTTCGCGCCGAGCATGATCGGGAGGAAGAAGTTCCCGAGCGATGCGGGGATCGATGGGACGATGAACATGAAGACCATGACCGCGCCGTGGAGCGTGAACATGCGGTTGTATACTTCGTTGGCGCTCTTGGCGCCCATGATGTCCTGGAGTCCCGCGAGGCGTTCACCTGTGGTGACGGTGATCATCTCTCCGGTTTCCATGTCGAGTGTTTGGACTGTGCGGACGGGATCCATGAGCTCGTAGCGGACAGCGAGTGCGGCGACGCCGCCGAGGAAGAACATGAAGAGGATGGCGAAGAGGTACATGACGCCGATCTTCTTGTGATCGACGGTGGACATCCACTGCCAGACTTTGGACAGCATGCCTGGGGGACCTGAGAAGTAGGACCCTTCGTCGTGGTGTGCGTGTGCGTCAAGTGTGGTCATTATCCGTCACTCCCAGCGGAATCGTCCGCCTGTTGATTGTCTTCGCCGCTCTCGTCAGCGTTTGGATTCTTGTCCGAGAGGGATTGAATGAATGCGATGAGTCCATCAATGTCGGTATCCGAGAGCTGCCCTTGGAAGGACGGCATCGCGGGGGCGTATCCCGAGACGATGTGGGCGTTTGGATCGAGGATCGATTCGCGGATGTAGTTTGCATCGCGCATCATCTCGGTGCCATCATCCATCTGCGCCATATAGCCGTAGCCGTAGCCTGTTCCGGTGCCCCAAGTCGGACCGGTGCCGGGTGAGCCATCGATCGAGTGGCAGATGGCGCACATGGTTTTCCAGAGCGTTTCACCGAGTACCTTCGGATCCTTTGGTGTACCCCAGAACTTGATTTTCTCGTCGTAGATCTCGCGTGGGACGATTCGGAGGGTCGCGGCCATGCGGGAGTGTTCGTCGCCGCAGTACTCGGCGCAGAAGATCCACATATCGCGTCCTGGGATCTCGCTGGAGATTCCTTGGTCATCCACTTGGATGACGGTGTCGCTGTCGCGGAGTTCTGGTGTCTTGAAGCCGTATCCGGTGTAGCGGTTGGGGATGACATCCATCTTTGTGCGGAACTCTGGGATCCAGAAGGAGTGGATGACATCTTGCGAGTGCATGCGGAGTTTCACTTCGGTGTCCTCAGGGACATAGAAGATTGGGTACTCAAGACCTGACGAGATCCCGATATCGGTTTCTTGGTAGGACAGGAACTTGGTTTCTGGAGACGAAGCGCCGTTGGGGTAGGTGACCTTCCATGCCCACTTCCATGCGTCTACTTTGAGTTCCATCGCGTCGGTTGGGGACACGGTCTTCATCGCGTATCCCTTGAATCCGAGCACGAACATCACGAGGAGTGATGCAGATGGGACGACGGTCCAGAGGATCTCGATGTGGAGGTTGTGGTGCGGGGATGGCTCTGCGGCAACACCTGGCTTGCGGCGGTACTTGATGCAGAAGTACACCATGAGTCCCATGAGCAGGACGAAGAAGAACGCGGAGAACCAGAAGATCATCATGAAGAGGCCGTCGGACCATGCGGCGGCTTCGGACGCGGCGTTATCGCCGAAGATGATTCTCTGGAGGAAGGACGCGTTTGATGATGCGAGCGTCGGGATGTTCATGACATATGCCCCGTGGAAACGCCGGCGACGGTGCCGGTTGATGGGTTTGAGTTTTGACTGTCTGTATCGGAATGCGATGATTGCTCATCAGCTTTGAGTTGTTGTGCGAGTCTTTGTGTTCGCCGACGATCTCCGATGAAGAGGAGACCAATGACGATCGCAAGGATGATCGCGCCGAGTCCTGCGCCGATCTGCATGACGCGGAACGCGACGAGCGAGTATGACCCCTCGAGCGGGTCGTAGCGGAAGCAGAAGTGCAGGATTCGATCTCCAATGGAGTCGGCGATGCGTCCCTCGCTTGCGTCGAGTAGTGTGAGTTTCAGGTCTTGTGTTGGATAGTCGTAGCCGTAGATGTAGCGAGTAAGCACACCTTCGGGTGAGATCGCCATGAGTGAGATTGGATGAGCGTACTCGCCTCCAGCGATCTCGTTGAATGCGAATCCGACGGATCCGGCGAGTGCCTTGATGGATTCTTCGGATCCTGTGAAGAACTCTATCCCATCACGCACGCTTGGGTTGGTTGCTGAACGCTCGTAGTTGCGGATGAAGTTCTCACGCTTGGCGAACGCTTGACCTGGGTTCTCTTGGTGATCAAAAGAGATCACGAGGATGCGGTAGTCTTCGCCAGCGGTGTAGTCGAGATCGTTGATGGTGTTCCCGAGCGAGCGGAGCACGGTCGGGCACACGATCGGGCACTCGTAGTAGACGAGCGCGAGGATGGTTGGTTTGTCGTCGAGGAAGTACTGCGCCAGTGCGACTTCTCTGTTGTCCGCGGTGGTGAAGATCTGATCCATCGGGAGCTTCGTCCCTTGGGATTCGAGGAGATCTACGCCGTTCAGTTGGCGGACTTCTTCTTTCTCGAGGACGCGCTGAGCGGATGCGGGAGCTGCGAGCAGAGCGATCGCCGTCGCCGAGATGGCGATGAGTACGGTGATCGGATTGTGCTTCGCAAAGATCATGGAGCGTTTAGTTCCCGTTGTATTCAGCGATGACTTGATCCATCGCGAGTTCGAGTGGTTGGCGTGCGTTTTCAGAATCGACCCAGCCGTAGGTGTCGAGTTTGGCGAGGACGGCTTGCTTCTCTTCCCATGTCGGTGCCGAGAGCGCAGAGGTCTCATCGATCTCCGCACGGTAGTTGGACATGAATGAGTCGAAGTACGCGACGAGGATGATGATCACGGCGAGGACGCCGAGCACCATAAGGATGAGGGTAATGCCCATTGCCTTTGGTGATGCGACTTCTGCGTGCGCCTGTTGAGGTGCTTCGTCGTGTGAGTGGTCGTGGAATGCATCGGTCATTGGTGTGTTCCTTGGTATATGGATCTATTCGTACGAGGTGTGCGATTAGACATAGTTCTTGTGTGCGAGTGCTTCGTGGAGCATCGGGTCCTTGGTTGGGATGAGTGGCGACTTAGTGATCTTGGCGGTCACGAACCAGCCGTAGGTGAAGATGACTCCGAGTACCGCGGCCACATGGATGATGTGACCTGGGATGGTTGGCTCCGATTGTCCAGCGTCGTTGACGGTGAGCATCGGGAGGATGATCCATGCCATGTCGAGGACGATCATCAGGATGAGGTACGCGCCGACTATCGCGAGCAGCTTGGGGCTCCGCTTGACGGGGCGCCAGATGAGGACCAAGAACGGCGCGGCGAAGTGGCCAAGCAGCATGACCTTGAAGAGCCAGTCGTATCCGATCGCTCGACGCGCGGTGAACCACATGGTTTCTTCTGGGATGTTGGAGTACCAGATGAGGAAGTACTGGGAGAAGGTGACATATGCCCAGAACACGACAAACGCGAAGACGAGTTTCCCGAGATCGTGGAAGTGCTCTTCGGTCACGATGCCTTGGAGACGACCAGCGGACTTGGTGAGTGCGGCGATGATCGCGACGGCGGATGCGGATCCGAGCGCACAAGACGCAAAGAAATACACACCCCACATCGTGGAGAAGAAGCGGTAATCGAGCGACATCAGGAAGTCGAAGGCGCAGAAGGTTGTTGAGAGCGCGAAGACTGGGATACCAAAGCTCGACCAGAAGCGTGCTTTGCGTCCGAGTGTGCGATCTCCGGTTTCGTCACACTTGCGTGACCATCCGAGGAGCAGACGCGAGAGGGTAATCCAGCAGATCGCGTAGACTATGACACGGACGATGAGCGCTGTGCCGTTGAGGTACGGTGCTTTGATTTCGAGGAGGTGATTGCCTTCGCGAACAGCGGGATCGAGCCAAGTCAGGAGGATGCCTTGTGACATGACCTCGATGATCGCGATCAGGATCAAGCAGACTGACGGGATCCAGATGAGCGAGGCAAGATTCTCAAACTGTCTACGGAGGGTGATGGACCATCCGGCGTTGAGTGCGTGGAAGACCATCGTCCAGAAGAGCGATCCGAGCGAGATCGCGAGGACTGTGAACAGACCGATCTCGATCCCGGCGAGCGCGTGGGCGACATTGATCGAGACGGCACCGACTGCGGCGACGACGAGACCAACGAGACCAAGGATCAGCATCGGGCGCCCGATCTTCGCTGCTGCGGATTTCGGAAGGTGGATGTTGTCCTCGTGCATGCGCGCGTCGCTTGCGATGCGCTCAAGACGATGGTTCCAATCATGATCGGACAAGCCGGTCGCGTCTGGGGATGGACTATTGGCGGCTATCTGGCTCATCCTTCACCTCCATCGTTTGCAGATTCGGTCGCGGGCTGAGCGGGTGGCTCACCAAGCAAGGATTGATCGACTGTTGACGGATCAACATTCTGTGCGGCTTGCAACACACGCAGATATGCAACGATCGCCCAAGCTTCTTCTTGGTTGACCGCGTGCTTGTAAGAAGGCATGCGGATCTGTCCGTCAGGGGTGTAGAGCCCCTCGCGGATGACATGGAAGAGGTAGCCGTCTTTCGCGGAGTCTTGTGAGCGATCGATGAAGCGTTGATCACCTGCAAGGTTTGCGGGAGCGATCGACCATAGACGGCCGACTGTCCCTGAGCTTCCTCCGAGTCCGTCGTAGCCGTGACATGCGGAGCAGTAGATGTTGAACTGTTCTTGCCCCTCAAGGATCAGTTCCTTAGTGACCGGCATCGGCATGCGATCGACATACTGGGGTGTCTCGGCGTCTGCTGAACCAGCGACGAGTCCGAAGTAGAAGGTCTCATCGTCCTTGAGCATGCGAGCGCGATCAGCGACGATCTTGTTTGCCCAGTCGGTGTTCTCGAGTCCCGAGGTGTCATGCGTCGTCGTTCCGAAGGGGATGGTACCTTCGACGAGATCACGATTGGAGTTGCCGTCAACGAAGAACTCTGTCTCTGACTGAGGCTTGAGCTTCGGTTGGTAGTCCATGTCGGGGAAGAAACGACGCGGCGGCTTATCGGTTCGATCTCCGCGGCAACCGGTCATGGCGCTCAGTGAAGAGCCGAGCACCACGAGTCCGAGGAGCATGGAGAGCCCCTTGGTCGCTTTGGATGTTGATGGATTGGTGTGATTCATCATGATTCCTTGGTCGGTACTCGGTGGTCCTTAGTCTTCGTCCTCGATGAGTGCGATCCCGGTGCCTCCGGCTTTCTCAAGCAGGGCGCGGGTTTCGCTCGGATCGAACTTTGGGTCTGTTGATTCGATAGCAATAAAGAAGCGGTCGTCGGAGACTTTGTAGAAACGCTCGTGTGAGAAGAGCGGGTGGTGGAAGCGTGGGAGCCCGTTGAGAGCGAGCATCCCGAAGATACACATGAACGCGGTCAGCAGGATGCCGAGCTCGAACATGATGGGGACGAACGGTTCCCAAGCTTCAAAGGGCTTCCCTTGCACGACGGTAGGGTAGAGGAACGCGGTGGTCCCCCACTGCAGCAGGACACCGATGCTCACGCCGGTGATCGCGGCGGCGCCGGCCATCATCGGGAGCTTGGTGGTTTTGATCCCCATCGCGGTTTCCATGTCGTGGATCGGGAATGGGGTGTGGACATCCCACTTGGAGTAACCAGCGTCACGGACGATCTCTGCGGCGTGATAGATCTTGGGAGTCTCATGGAACTCGGCGACCATGCCGTAGACGCGGTTTCCGGATTCGCTGACATACTTGGGTGCTGGTTTGCGGACCAGCATCGGGAAGTAATCGGCGACAAATGAGATCAGTTCTTTGGGGTTCATTCGTTGATCTCCTTCCTTAGTGGTCGTCGTGCGTGTGGGATTGAGGCATCACGACCTTGAGCTCTGCGAGCGCGAAGACCGGGAGGAACTTGAGGAACAGCAGGAACAGCGTCATGAAGATGCCGCACGAGCCGACGAAGGTGAGGATGTCGACCCATGTCGGGAAGAACATGTGCCATTCACCTGGGAGGAATGCTCGGTGGATCGAGGTCACGATGATCACGAAGCGTTCGAACCACATACCAATGGTCACTGCGGTTGCGACGATCCAAATGACGAGCGGGTTCTGACGCATCTTGCGGAACCAGAACAGCTGCGGGAAGACCACATTGCAAATGATCATTGTCCAGTAGGCCCACCAGTACGGTGCTTTGGCTGGATTGACACGGTTGTCCGCGAAGACGGCGAACTCGTATTCGTTGGCGCCGTACCACGCGATGAAGAACTCCATGCCGTAGGCGAAACCAACCATGGTTCCTGTGAGCAGGAGGATCTTCGCCATGTTCTCCAGGTGACGCTTGGTGAGCAAGTCTGAGAAGTTCGGGAGGATGATCCGGAGCGGGATCATCAACCAGAGCACCATCGCGAATCCGCCGAACACAGCACCCGCGACGAAGTACGGCGGGAAGATGGTCGTGTGCCAACCTGGGATCACGGAGGTCGCGAAGTCAAAGGAAACGATCGAGTGCACAGAGAGCACGAGCGGGGTCGAGATCCCTGCGAGGATCAGGTACGCCTTTTCGTAGCGGTGCCAGTGTCGACTGGAGAAGCGCCATCCGAGGGACATCAAGCCGTAGATGAGGACACGGAGTTGGTCAGGCTTAGGAAGCATCGGGAGCGGGATGTCATTCCCGATCGGCATCGGGAGCGCCATCGGACGCGAGATGCCTTTGGTCAGACGCATGTACGCACGGTCGCGGAGTGTCGCGACATCGGGGATCATGCCCATGTACCAGAAGAGGAGGGAGACTGTTGCGTAGGTGGAGACCGCGAACACATCCCAGAGGAGCGGCGAGCGGAAGTTTGGCCAGATCCCGTTGGAGTTGGGGAGCGGAGCAAGGAACCACGCGAACCAGACTCGACCCACATGGATGCCTGGGAAGATGCCTGCACAGACCACCGCGAAGATGGTCATCGCTTCTGCGGAACGGTTCACGGCGGTGCGCCAGTTCTGCTTGAGCAGACAGAGAATCGCGGAGATGAGTGTTCCCGCGTGACCGATACCGATCCAGAACACAAAGTTGGTGATGTCCCATGCCCAGTCGACCTGGTTGTTGAGACCCCAGACCCCGACGCCGGTGATGATCAGATAGAGGATCATGCCGGTCCCGAGTGCGGCGATGGACGAGGTGATGGTCAGTGCGGCGAGCCACGGCTTGGGCATTTTGGCTTCGGCGTATCCACAGACGATGTTGGTGACATCCTCGAAGGAGCGATCGCCGAGCACGCATGGAGCTCGTTTGCCTGGATCTTCGGAGAGAGTTCCGTCGTCGCTTGATCCTGGAAGGATCGGGTTTTTACGAGCGACGGGCTGCTCGCCTGGCTGGAGCCCGTGCATTCTGCGGGCCATGGATTCGTCTGGATGGATTGCACTCATGTTTGAGTTCTCTCCGCAGTCTGAGCTGCTTGGTGTGCGGCTTGGTTAGCTGATGACCTTGAGGCTCAGTGAGTAGCCTTGATCGAGGTACTGTTTGACTGAATCTGTGAACACGGACGAATGTGATTCGCCGTGGGTGTCTGTGCTTTCAGAATGATCTGCTCCGTGGTCATCGCCATGGCTCTTGCCGTGACTTCCTCCATGACCAGAGTGATCCAGTGGATCATGGTCATCAAAGACTCTGATCGCTGGATTCGGGTTGCGGACACGCATCATGTGTGTCGTGCGTGGACGCGTGTTGAGGTACCCGAGCAACGCGTATGTACGCTGCGAGTCGCGTTCCTTCGCGACGCGTGAGCTTGGATCAAGGATGTCACCAAAGGCGATCGCGTCGGTTGGACATGCCTGCTGACATGCCGTCTGGAAGAATCCGTCTGGGATTGGCCCAACCTGATCCTTGTCTTTCCAGATGCCTTGGATCTTGACTTCCTGACGCGCTTGGTTAACACGCTGGATGCAGTAGGTACATTTCTCAATCACACCGCGGCTGCGGATCGTGACATCTGGGTTGAACTTCATCTTGCTGATCTCGTCGAGCTTCTTACGAAGACGAGGCGGGATCAGGTTCTGGTTGAAGGTCTTGTCTTGACCAATGGTTTCATCGAATTTTTCAGCACCGGCTTTGGTGGTGTAGTTTGGATCCAAACCACCATTGAGCTTCGCTGGTGCGTAATCGAAGAAGTTGAATCGACGAACCTTGTACGGACAGTTGTTCGCACAGTAGCGTGTGCCGATGCATCGGTTGTACGCGATGTCGTTGGTGCCTTCTTTGCCGTGGGTCGTCGCATTCACGGGGCACACGGTTTCACATGGCGCGTTCTCACAGTGGACACACGCGATAGGCTGATTGAAAATCTCGTCTGGATTGTTGAGGTCATCTCCAGTGAAGTAGCGATCGACACGGATCCATGCCATCTCACGGCCCTTTGCGACCTCGGACTTCCCAACCACGGGGATGTTGTTTTCGCTCTGACATGCGACGGTACAAGTCACGCAACCAGTGCAGGAGTTCATGTCGATGGACATTCCCCACTGTGGGTTCTTGGAGAACTGTGATCCCGGCGCCGCGTCCGCTTTGGACTCGTTCTGTGGGTTGTCGTAGATAGAAATATTTGGTGGTGTGTGCGAAAGCTCACCCATCTGTTCCGCGACATTGAGCGAAGCGGTGGTGTTGCCGTAGATCTTGTCGGGGATTTCTTTGTTCCCCTTCTTTGCGTGCTTGTCGAACCAGTTCTTGTCCATGGCGCGGACGATGGTGTCGCGACCCTCCATGGACCAGTGGTTCTGTGTCGAAGCGATGGTGTAGGTGCCTTTCGCTTTCTTGATGGTCGCTCCCGCGGCGATCATCCCTGCTGGGGATTTGATCTTGTAGGAGTTGAATCCGACCTTGTTTCCTACTGAGCCTGCAATCTCACGCCCGTATCCGACTTTGATCGCAACGGTGTTGTCCGCCATCCCTGGGAGGATCCAAGCGGGCATGTCGATGGACTGATCATCAAGAGTGATGGTGACCATCTGCGCCTGAGGCATCTGAGATTTGGTGTACGGATTGAACTCGTCGAGGTGCGTGTGTTCTGGAAGGACTCCGAGCGCCTTGGCGGTCTTTGGGCTCATCAAGAGCGGGTTGTCCCAGACGACGGAGGTGCCGTATTCAGGGAGTTCTTGGAGCCAGCCGTTGTTTGCGGATTGACCGATGTTGTAGCGATCGGTGTAGAACATCACATCGAGATGTGACTGACCAGGTGCTTTTTTGCCGCCTTGACGAGCGATTGCTTTGACGAGGTTTTCTTTGTTGAAGTTCGGCTTCGCTTTCGCGATGACCGCATTGCTTCCCACGCCGTCGTGGAGCATCGACTTCCATACCTTGTCAATTTCTCCAGATCCGATGTTCATGATCTCTCGGATGGAGTCTTTGACGATGGTGTAACCGTCTGGTTTCTCGCCTGGTGCTCCGATGCGGATCAGATTCGAGATGAACTCGATATCTGAGCGTGCAGGATCGTAGAGCGGGGCGATCATCGGCTGCGTGACTGAGATCTGCCCATCAATGGTTTGCGCGGATCCCCAGCTTTCGAGGAAGTGGGTGCCGTTGAGTGACCAATCCGACGCTTCAGCGGTTTCGGACTGACCCACTGAGAGCGTGATGGTGTTCTTCGCTTTGGAGAATGCGTCACCAAAGTTCATCGCGCCCGGTGCATCAAAGACCGGGTTGGAGTTGACACAGACAAGCGTGTCGACATTGCCCTGATTGAGCAGTGCTGTCATACGCGCCATGGTGCGAACGGAATCCACCGCTTCCTGAGGCGACTTGATAAAGAACTCAACCGAACCATTGTCGTGGGCGCCAAGTGTCTCGTTGATGAGCTGGCACATCGCCCATGCTTCTGGAGAGATTCCGTCGGAAGGAAGCACGACTGCGTGATCGCGATGCTCGTAGAGATCGTCAGCGATCGCTTGGATATCCGCGGCGGACATTCCGGCGACTTCGACATCCGGCATGTAGTTGCCGAGTCCAGCAACTTTGAGTTGAACGGCTTTCGCGAGCGCGATGGTGAAGTTGTGGATCTGCGACGGCGCGAGACGGAATCGGTGATCCGCGAGCACACCGATCGAGGATGGTCTCGACTCGACAGCATACAAACGGCTCATCTCGTCATCTGCTGACATGACCTTACGGGATGCGGTCAACTCGCGAGCAAGACGCAGTGCTTCAGGACCTTGATCGATTTGACCTTCCCCGACTGCGAGGATGCGCTGTGCACCTTTGAGGTTGTATCGTGTCCAGTAGGATTTGCCAAAGATCGCTGCGGAGCCGTCGGTTTCGCCTCGTTGTTCTGCTGGATTCCAGACAGCGAACGCCGCGTTCGGCCAGCGCTGTTGCATCTGCACAAGCAAACGATCTCGAGTTGGATTTGATGTTTTGTCGAGGATAAACGCGAGCCCTACGCCTTTGGTCGCATCGAACTTCGCAAAATGCTCCTCGGCCCACATATCGAAGTCGTCCCATGTCGCGGCGAGTTTGCCACGCGCGGGGTTGTTGTAGACAGGGTACTTCAGACGATCGGGATCGTAGAGATCGAGGACCGATGCTTGTGCGTATGCACTGGTCTTGCCTTGGTTATTTGGGTGGAGTGGGTTGCCTTCGACTTTGGTTGGTCGGCCGGCATGGGTTTCGATGAGGAGTCCTTCAGAGCCTCCGCCTGGGAGTGGCATCCCGGTCGCGAAGAAGAGCGGCTTGCCGGGAACGACATGCTCTGGGACTTCCTTGGAGTATGGAAGAATCTTGCGATCCGGGCGACGGCAACCTGGGATGGTTGCGGCGCCAGCAAGAGCCATCGATGCGCCCATGACCTTCAGGAAGGAGCGGCGCGAGCTGTCGTCCATGATGGACGCGTCGATCGGGAACTCACGCTCGAGGAGTTCTTTGAACTCTGGAGTGGAGGAGTATTCCTCGAGACTGCGCCAGTACTTGCGGCCTGAGACGGTGCCCAGCTCTGGTGCTTCTTCGGGGATTTCGATCGTGTTCTTTGTCGATGGACATTGATCGAGTGTGCTCATGGTTTCAATCTCACAAGGTGTGCTTGGTCGTCTGGGTCGATGGTGCTCTTTGAAGCGGATCAGAAGTGGCAGGCGCTGCAGTTGTCAGGTGGGTTCTGCTTGAGCGCCTCTCGGAGTGCTTCAGGGGACATCCCTTGATGGACACGCTCCGAAGCTTCCTTCCCGAACCACTCGGTTTGAACCCAGTGCAGATCGGTGACTTTCTCGCGAGGCACGAGGTGCTCTTCAGGGTTGCGGTGGCAATCAAGACACCATCCCATCGAGAGTGATTCAGCTTGCGCCACGACCGGCATGTTGTTGATCGCGCCGTGACATGAGAAACAGCTCACGCCTGCGTTGACATGCGCGTTGTGTGGGAAGGTCGCGTAATCGGGAACGACATGGATGTTGCGCCATTCGATTGGTTTGTCTGCGGCGTATGCGTCGCGGATGAACTGGACTTTTTCATCGGTCGCTGAAGCGTTGGGTCCGAGCTTGCCTTCTTCGTGACATCCAATACAGGTCTTCACTGTTGGGACATTTGCGTGCCAGGAGTCTTCGACGTTGGTGTGGCAATAGCGGCAGTCCATACCCAGTTTGCCGGCATGAATCTGGTGATTGAACCCACTGCCTGGTTGTGTCGGCATGTATCCGACTTCCCAGAACTTTGGTGTCGCGTAGTACCAAATCAATCCGATCGCGAGGATCGCTACTGAATGGACCACGATGAAGAGCAGCGTTGGGATGCTGTTCATCCATTTGGGGAAGAAAGGTTTCACGGGTTGAACTCCGGAAATGCTCGAAAAGGCGTCTGCGGACACACGATCCGCCGAATACGAAAACCAAACCCTCCAAAAAAGGGTCTGGCATTCGGTCTGAGCGTAGCATGAGATCACTGAGAAGTTGTGCGGCTGGGCGATAATTTCCGATGTTTTTCGGCCCTATATTCTCAAACACGACGGCGAAATCGCAACTGCGACTAAGTCTCAGTTGCCAGATCCATAAAGGAGTTCACATCCCATGAATTCACAAGAGCTTATGACAAATAACCGCTCTACACCCCTTTCAGGGGCGTTTCTGGGGGTTTCCACAACGATTGGAGTCGCTGGAGCGGTCTTGATGGGGATCGTGAGCTGGGTATTGCTGCTCATCAACCGTGACATTCCAGTGCTGGCGATACTTGCAATTTCGTTGGTTTCGTTCGGGTTTTTAGCGTTCCTGTTTCTCAGGAATTTACATTCGCAGCATATGCGAGTCGGCGCTGCCTCAGGTCTGATTGGCGGCGTGATCTCGATGATCTACCTCGGATCACTCATGGTGGTCCAACCTGAGTCTCTGGAAGGGTTTGAATCGCAAGCAAATCAGTTCAGTGTCGGCGGCACACTCATGGCGATTGTGGTGATCGCACTGCTCGCCATAGCCGGTGGATTGATGGGCAAGCTGCTGAGTTCCAAGCCTCGATACGCATCAAAGGACATCGATTGGCGCGCCAGATTCGCGTGGGTGGTCGCGGCGAGCTACTTGCCGTTGATTGCCGTGGGTGGTTTGGTGACCAGCACGGAATCTGGACTTGCTGTGCCGGACTCGGTGACGACATACGGCGCGATCGGCGTGCTGTTCCCGCTGAGCTTGATGGATGAGATCAGGATCTACCTCGAACACTCGCATCGGATCTTCGGCACCTTCGCGGGCATCGCGACGATCATCTTGGTGGTGCGCATGTTCGGGGCGCCATCGCGTTTGCTTCCTCGCATCCTGAGCGTACTGCTGCTGATCACGGTCAGTGCGCAAGGAATCATGGGGGCGCTCCGCGTCTCGGAAGAATCTCAAGCACTTGCTGCACTACACGGCGTACTCGCGCAACTGGTCTTCGCGCTCGCGATCTCAACTGGTGTTGTTTGCAGCAGACGCTGGGAATCCATCGGTGCGAGTGACGAGGGGATCGATTCTGCGAAATCCACTCGACTCTTGCTCCTGCTCACAGCGATCGGACTCACGATCCAACTGGTCTTCGGAGCGATGACGCGCCACCTTGATTCAGGACACGCGCTGATGTCGCATATTGGATTCTCGTTCATCGTTGTTGTGCTCGTGATCATCGCTGGCGCCAAGTGCATCCGGCTCGGAAAGATTGATGACACACTCAAGCACATGCGCCGCTATGGCGCTGTCGTCCACGGACTCGTCATGCTGCAGTTCACGCTCGGCTGGGGCGCACTGGCGATGACACAGACCGGCGAAGAGGGTCACCCGACGCTCCCAACGGCTTCGGAGCTGGACAACGCTCACGGTATTCGAATCATGGAAACTGTGATTACGAGTTCACATCATGTGATTGGGGCACTGCTCATCGCTGCGATCTTTGGGGCACTGATGTGGGCAATTCGCGTCGCATCACGTCCCAAATCCTGATATTCTGGGTCCATCTCAGCACTCGTGCAAATCGATGCAATGAATCGATCGTTCGTTCGTTGGAGATGTGTGTGATTGCATACACACGCGGGAGATGGACTTATGACGATGAGCGGCATCGCTTCGGCACCTACCAAACGAGTGAGTGATTCGACCTCTCCGATTCGCGATGACCACTTCGGATACGCGCAAGCTCGGCACCTGCTCCTGCGAGCGGGATTCGGGGGAACCGATCACCAGATCCGCACGCTCGCGTCGTGGGGTGCTGAAAAGGCGGTCGATCATCTGGTTAACTGCGAGGACATCCCGGCGCAGAGTGATACAGCCGACGAGTTTGATTCGGGGATCATGCGGCCATTGACGCGCGAGGAACGGATGGCGCTCAATCGCGCTCGGCAGACGCAAGACGAGAACGCGCTGGCGCAGTATCGGACAGAGCGACAAAGACGGCAACGCGCCGATCGCAGACAGATGCGCGAGGTCGGACGTTGGTGGTTGACGCGGATGGTGCGCTCGCCTCGTCCGCTAGAAGAAAAAATGACATTGTTCTGGCATGGGCACTTCGCGACAAGCTATCGCACGGTCGAAGACTCGTACCACATGTACCAACAGAACCGGATGCTCCGCGCGAACTCGATGGGGAATCTTGGGGATCTGCTGCGAGGCATCATCCGTGATCCCGCGATGCTGCGGTACCTCAACAACAACCAGAACCGCAAGGATTCTCCGAACGAGAATCTCGGCCGCGAGCTGCTCGAGTTGTTCTCGCTTGGAGAGGGGCACTACACGGAACGGGACATCAAGGAAGCGGCGCGGACGCTGACGGGCTTTACCTATGAAGATGACTCGTTTATGTTCAATCAGAACCAGCACGACCAAGGGACCAAGTATGTGCTGGGGATGCAGGGGAACATGGACGGCGATGGACTCGTCGATGCGATCCTGCGTCAAGAATCGTGTGCGTTGTTCATTGTATTCAAGCTCTACAAGTATCTTGTGCGAGATATCCCGTTTGATCTCAGTGCACTTGATTCATCAACTCGGAAAGTGATCCTAAAACTGGCGCAGTATTTCCGCGCATCGAACTACGAGCTCAAACCACTTATCCGCAGACTCCTACTTTCAAGGCACTTCTACGACCCGATCAATATGGGTACGAAGATCAAGAGTCCAAGCGAGCTGTTGATCGGATCGGTGCGCTCGTTGTTGGTTCCGGTTCGTGATATCGGGGTGGTCGCGGACGCGATGGATCTGATGGGGCAGTCGGTGTTCCTGCCTCCGAGCGTGAAAGGGTGGGACGGCGGACGCAGCTGGATCAACACCTCGACGATGTTCGTGCGCCAAAACACGCTCGTCTATCTGCTCACTGGGGCGCTCCCGAACCGTTCATTGATAATGCGCGATCAATCGAACTTTGATGCGCTGTCGCTTGTGCCGAGCTTGCAGCGAGCGAGTGATCTGGAAGCGAGCGATGAGCAGATCGTGCGTGAGTTGTCGCTGTTGACCTTGGGGCATGACGACGACGAGGTCGTGGGATCCGTGCTCAAAGGCGCTCGCGGTGATGGCGAAGAGGGCACGATGCGAACAAACGATGCGGCGGTACGGGCGCTTGTGCTGCTGACCTCGATGCCGGAGTATCAGTTGTGCTAACTGGATTGGAGCGATGCGATGAGTAACCACCTGAATCCCGGCGATGTCAAGGCGTACACACGCCGAGCGTTCTTGCAGAACTCGACGCTGTTCGCGTCCGCGGCCCTCACGGTCCCGGCGTTCCTGCAGAGCAGCGCCTTTGCGCTCCCCCGCCCAATGGAAGGACTCAGCTCGATCGCGGGTGTCGATGAGGACAAGATCCTTGTTGTGATCCAGCTTTCGGGTGGGAATGATGGATTGAACACGCTTGTGCCGTTCGGACAGGATGGGTACCAACGCGTGCGGCCTCGGATTGCGCTCTCAGCGAATGAAGTCCTCAAGCTCGATCGCAATGGAGGGCTGGGTCTGCACGGCGCGATGAGCGGGTTTAAGAACCTCTACGACAAGGGACTCTGCGGCATCGTGCAAGGCGTCGGGTATCCGAATCCGAACCGCTCGCACTTCGCGTCGATGGATATCTGGCACACCGCGGATACTAATGGGACGGGCGATGGTTGGCTCGGGAAGTACATCGACTCGCAGTGCTGTGGGTATGGATCGGGAACTCCCGGCAAGAACCAAGCGCAGAACCAAGACCCCCCACCACCGATGATTGCGATCGGGAAAGAAGCGCCGTTGATGCTCAACGGCCGCACGCAGATGCCTGTCGCGATTGAGGACGCGGACATGTACCAGTGGACGGGCGACAAGATGGGCAAGGATTTGTCGGACGCGTACCACGAAGCGATCGACAAGAACAGCAAGCAATCCTCAGAGGACGACAACAAATCCTTCCTCGTCCGCACGGCGATGGATGCGCAGGTGTCGAGCACCAAGATCCGCAAAGCGGTCGGCACCGAATCGCTCGTGCAGTATCCCAACACGCGACTGGGATCGCAGCTGAGCATGGTCGCGTCGATGATCCGCGCGGGGATGCCGACGCGTGTGTTCTATGTCTCCCACGGCAGCTTCGACACGCACGCGAACCAAGGTGGACTGCAAGGCACGCACGCTCGATTGCTGCAGCAGTTGTCTGAGGCCGTGGACGCGTTTTATAGTGACCTCAAGGCGCAGGAGAATGACGGACGCGTGCTGAGCATGTGCTTCAGCGAGTTCGGACGACGCGTCGGACAGAACGGCTCGGGCGGCACGGACCACGGCACCGCGGCGCCGATGTTCCTGTTCGGACCGATGGTCAATCCGGGACTGCACTCGCGCTATCCATCACTGACCGATCTGGACAACGGCGATCTCAAATACACCGCGGACTTCAGGCAGGTGTATTCAGAGATTCTGGACGGCTGGCTGAGCGCGCCGAGCAAGGATGTGCTGGGACGCGGGTATTCGCATTTGCAGGTGCTTAGGAGCTAGCGGGTTTGGTTTCGATGTCTTCCCTAGAAAGCAGATAGTTGTCGAGCGAGTAGTTCGTGCCGCACTCTGGACAGGTGACACTCTCTGCAGTGCCCTCTGACTTGATCGTTAATCCGACCAGCGAGTACCCGCACTCTTTACAGTTTGCACCATTGATTTGCTTCCGCAGTTGTTTGCTTACCCATAGATCACGCGAGAGCATAATCATGATGATCGGCATCCCTACAAATCCTACCTGCATGAGCGTGAGGGCATCGGACATCTCCGGGAATACAGATAAATCGAAGATCGCTGACGCCGCAATCATGATTCCCAACCAGATCAGCAATGACAGTGGGACTACAAACAACAGAACGATGCCATAGCTGTTTGCACTCTCCCCATCCCACACACGGCGGATGTACCGCTTGCAGGTCTCATCATCGAACTCATCGAGCTCGGGGTACGCTCTGTAATTCTTTCGGCTCAGGAGTCTCATGATGCTTCACCGATCAACGTTGGATCGATGTCCGCTTCGGTCAGCCCCAGGTCACTTAGAAGTGTGACCTGTCCGCATTCTGGACAGTGCACACTTGGGGCTTCGGGGTTGTTGATCGTGAGTCCGATGAGCGAGTAGCCGCACGGCGGGCACTGGACGCCGACGAGTTGCTTGCGGATACAGCGATGCAGCCAGCGATCACGGATCAGGAGTACGGTGAACGCAGGCATCCATGCGATGCCCGTACCAACCAAGAGAAGAATAATGGTCTCTGGTGTCTCTGAGATATTGTAGAAATACTCATTGAGCAAGTAACCAGTCCCGAACATCACCCCGAGCCAAACGGACAATGACAACGGCAATGCGATGAGGACGAGCACCCAGAACTTCCACGCGTTCTGTAGACGCTTCGCTCGTTTGATGTAGCGTTTGCAGACATCGTCGTCGTACCGATCGAGCTCGGGGTAGGCACGCCAGATCTTGGTGGTCAGAAGTCTCATGGCATCACGATGTCGATCCGCACAGGAATCTCGATCGGATCCGAAGAAAGCGTGTCGCCGGCAACAACGGTGAGCGGGATGGTCGTCTGATTCCAATCGGTCGAATCCGAGCTGTCGGTTCTGTACCCCACTGCGATCTGCGCTTTATCAATCGTCGTCTCGAACTGATCGAGTTGAATCCCCCACTTGTTGCCTTCGAGTTGTTCAGGATGGCGGACAAGGATCGTAATATCCCCTTGCGATATGAGCACGATCTGTGCTTCGAGGGTGATCTCGCTGAGTTCTGGGGACGGGGTGTGCTCAAATGTCAAAAGCGTGCCGCCGGGCCAGTTGAAGCAATCCACGGCAGCGCCTTCTCTTCGAGCGTCGTTGGCCTTTGAAATTTCATCAGGGTCACGACCGGCAAGGAGTTGTCCCAGCGCGTTGGCGTTCCCGGTGTCTCCCGCGCCGGCGCCGACTGGGGGCTCGTTCATCAATCGGTCTTTGTCGAGCGAGACGAAGATCCACGCCATGATGAGCGTGAGGCAGATGAACGGCAGCGCGAGCCAAGCCGTGAGGATGAGGGTTTGCTTTCGCACACGCGATGGTATGGGGTTCAAGAACCCAAGGCACGGCTTGCCGAAGACGGACAAGCCGTGGCACCCCTCATTTATGAGAGCACACGAAAAACCCGGAGGGGTGCTCCGGGTTTGGTAGATTCATTCAGCTGGGATTACGAGCAGCAGCCCTCTTTGCCGCAGCTTTCTGGTTTGAACATGTTGTAGTACTCAGCGACTTTGGACCAGTCCACGACGTTCCAGAACGCGTTGATGTAGTCCGGACGGCGGTTCTGGTAGTTGAGGTAGTACGCGTGCTCCCAGACATCGAGTCCGAGGATTGGCTTGTGTCCGAACATGATCGGGGAGTCTTGGTTTGGGGTCGATCCGACGTGGAGCTTGCCGTTCTCGTCGAAGCCGAGCCATGCCCAACCTGATCCGAAGCGGGTCGCGGCGGCGTTTGCGAACTGCTCTTTGAACGCGTCGAATGATCCGAAGGTCGAGTTGATGCACTCCGCGAGCTCGCCTTCTGGTGCTCCGCCGCCGTTGGGGGAGAGGATGGACCAGAAGAGGGAGTGGTTCGCGTGTCCTCCGACGTTGTTCTGGACGGCAGTGCGGATGTTCTCAGGGACCATCTGGATGCGTGCGAGGATCTCGCCGTAGCACTTGCCGTCCCATTCCGTGCCTTCGAGCGCGGCGTTCGCTTTGGCGATGTAGCCCGCGTGGTGCTTGGTGTGATGGATTTCCATTGTTCTCGCATCGATGTTGGGTTCGAGTGCGTCGTATGCGTAGCCGAGTTCTGGGAGTGTGAATGGCATTATTTTCTCCTGATAGTCGAGCATTCGCTCATGCGCGGCTCGAAAGTTCTTGAATTGACAGAGAATCATAGGCACGGATTCACCGAACATATTCCGCACAAGATTATGCAGAATAAATGGATTATCGGGCGTGCAATTGTGGATATGTGGAGTTTTTAAGTCTGGGGTTGCCAAACTATCGGCCATGAGGTATCATGGCGGCTCGGAACAGCTTGTTTCACTTGGCGCATACTTCCGATGCCCTGAATCCGCAGGATAAGCATCGGGAAGTCAACAGAAGGTTGAGCTGTGACGACTCTAGGCGGCAGATTATCGGCCGTCAAGTTCAATGAGTTGGTGTGTGAATAGGCGACTCAATGAACACTTCGTGCTGATGCCAGGACGGCATCGGATTCCGACTTTGGCGGGTGCGCCGAGGTCGGAGAACGATCGAAGGAATGGTCGGGGACAACCACTGTCCGGAACGACGACTGTCTGCGAATCGCAAAGCCGTCAAGACCTGACATGTTGTGGTCGGCACCACACGCCGCCCGACAATTTGAGTTTTTGTTTTGAATTCGTACTGTGTTGGGAAACTCTGCCTCAGACAGTGCGTAAGACTTGGGACCGGCTCAACTTGAGTCGACTTGCAGTAGGGAATTACCCCTTACTTCGCCCGCTCTCGAACACCATTTCGGTCAGCGAGCGCCGATGAGCGCCTGACCAACTCTTTCGAGAAGCCGGCAACCTAGTGCTCCACACCGGATGTGGGGTGGAAAATGTGTTCTACAGGAAGATTTGGTTCAGCTGATCGGTTGATCTTCATGGACTGAGACAATCTGAGTCGCGGAGAAAATCTGAGTTTTTTCAGATTCGCAAAGTTCGCGATTTGGTGTGGTGGGATCGGTGACGACTCGTCGTCTCGATCGGTACGAGATTCGGTCAGGATTCTGACCAACAACACGAACTTTCGATCAGTTTGCAGGACTGATCAGTGAGACAAATACCGCTGCAGGACAGCAGCGAGGAGACAGCATGACGCAGGCAACGAGCCAAACGAAAACCATGGGATCGAGCCGAGGCCCGAGCCCACTTGAGCAGATGCGACGACGACATCGTGTCGGTGTTTCGCGTACATCAACGCGTGCGGGCAAATCGTCCAAGCAGCTCTCGCATGAGGACGAGCGTTTGCTCGCGACCATCATGCTCAAAGAGCAAGACTACATCGACTCCGAGGTCTTCTACGAAGACGACGCTGAACAGAACATCTACGAGGACGCTCCCGACATCGCGAAACCAGATACCACCTGGTATCACCCAGTGATGGACGACATTTCCTCGATCTCGCGTTCCCGCACCGTCAAGTCGTCACAGCAAGTGATCCTGACTGGTGCTGAGGAACGCGTCCTGTTCCATCAGTTCAACTACTCCCGGCATCGTGTCTGGAAGCTCCAGCAAGAGGTCTGGGCTCGTCCTGACAAGAAACCAACTCCTGAGCAGGCACACGAACTCCTCCACTGGTATCGCAAGAGCGAGCGGATCCGCGAGCAGATCGCGGAGACCAACCTCGCGCTCGTGCTCGCGATGGCGAAGCGTACTCGCATGAGCGAAGTGGACTTCGCGGACCTTGTTTCTGAGGGCAACATGGCGCTGCTTCGTGCGGTTGACAAGTTCGACGCAGGGCGTGGCTTCAAGTTCTCGACCTACGCGTGTCGTGCGATTCTCAAAGCATTCAGCCGTCAAGGCATGAAACTGAGCAAGTACCGTCAGCGATTCCCGACGGACTTCGATCCGAAGCTGGAGAAATCCAACTTCCTGGAAACCAAGCGTGCGGACTTCGAGAAAGACACCGCTTCTGAGGTGCGTGAGATCGTGATCGCGAATCGTGCGGATCTCTCCGATGTTGAGCGTACGGTGCTCGAGCACCGCTTCGGTCTTGAGACCGGCGGTCACGAGAAGCCGATGACGCTTGAGCAGGTCGGCCAGATCATCGGCGTGACCAAAGAGCGCGTGCGTCAGATCCAGAACAAGGCGATGGAGAAAATCCGCGTCGAGCTCGAATCGAACTTCCTCGGCACGATGGAAGACGAAAAAAAGCTTGAAGCCGCGGGCATGAAGTAATCGTCTGAATCACTCTGCATCCTTCTCACAAAGATGGCCCCAAACAGGGGCCGTCTTTTTGTTTTGATCCTGTTTCCATTGTGTTCAGAAATGGGAACCCAATCGCTTAGAAACACGAACATTGAGTCTCACAATGGGGGTTCTCGTGCGTTTGTTCGCATATCGTACAGACCTCCCCACCACTCCTGCGGAGCGATTTTTGCTCTGTGGGTTCTGTTCATGAATTAGAGGAAGCAATCACGATGAGTGTGACTGATACCCCAGCCAGTACCGCGACCGCGGGGCATGTTGACTTAGATCCGACTGCTGGAAAGAACCACGATCCGCACGCGACGCGATGGGGTGACTTTCTGAAAGCGACTATCAAGTTCGGCGCTTCTGACCTCATTATGAAGTCGGAGCAGAAACCAAAGATCCGTATGCGTGGTTCGCTCAAGGCAATGGATGTTGAACCCGTCACGGCAGTCGAGTTCTTCGAGATTGCGAAGCACATCCTCACTGATGAGCAGATGAAAGACCTCCACAAGTTTGGTTCCGTTGACTTCGCGTACAACTACGACGCAAAGCACCGCTTCCGTGTCAACCTCTTCCAAGCTCGCGGCACGCTATCAGTCGCGGCAAGAAACATTACCTCCGAGATTCTCCCGTTCGAGGGGCTGCACCTGCCTCCGATTATGTCGGACATCGCGCTGCAGCCTCAGGGGATTGTGCTGCTCTGTGGTGTGACGGGTTCTGGTAAGTCCACCACCATCGCTTCGATGCTCGACTATGTGAACGCTCGCAAGAGTGTGCACATCCTGACGCTCGAAGATCCGATCGAGTACATCTTCGAGGACAAGAAAGCGACGATCAACCAACGCGAGATCGGTCTCGACTGTCTGGACTTCAAGACCGGCCTTCGTGCGCTGGTGCGTGAGAATCCGGACATCGTGCTCATCGGTGAAATGCGTGACCAGGAAACCTTTGAAGCGGCACTCCACGCGGCGGAAACGGGTCACCTAGTGTACGGAACGATCCACGCTTCGAGCACGACGCAGACCTTCAGCCGTATCTACGGCTTGTTCCCTTCGGAAGAGGTCGAGCAGGTCCGCAAGATTCTGGGATACCAGATGCGTGCGTTCGTGTACCAGAAACTGCTCCCGACGCTCCACGAGGACATCTTCCGCATCCCGGCACTCGAGATTCTCATCAACAACGGCGTGGTCCAGAAATACATCCTCGACGAGCGTGAGGGCGAGATCCGCGAGATCCTCAACTCCATCGAAGCTCAGCAGCAAGGGATGATTGATTTCAACGATTCGCTCGTGAAACTCGTTGAGGACGAGTACATCCACATGCGGACCGCGATCGAGGCATCGCCAAACGTGGACGAGCTGCAGATGAAGCTCAAGAAGTTCACCTGATGCGTCTGCGGATACGCTCTGTCAGCCCCCTATGATGGTCCAGTCCGGCGGGTAAGCCCTGCTGGACATCATGATGATGAGATAGACCACCACCCCAGCAAAGGGTTTCAACTATGTCGATAGCACTTGCTTCTGTTCCCACGATCACACTCGCGGCTGATGCCTACATGCTGATGTCGATCTGGAAACCAATCCTCTTGTTCGCCCCCTTTGTGGGTTGGGCGTGGATGATCTCAACGGTCCTCGACAAGCACGCTCAACGCTTCTTCCTTGGTCAAGAGAAATGGAACGCGATCCACATCATCTTTGGTGTCGCGGCACTGATCCTCGTAGTCGCGCTGCCGGTATCAGGCATCGCTGGTTTCGCGGCGGCGTTCGTGGGATCACTTATCATCCTCGGACTCGACATCCTGATCTTTGTCTCGATCACCAACAAAGACACCAAGGTGCCTGAGGGTGAGCGTCTCACGCTGAACATGAAGGACATGAGCGAGAGTCGAGAAGCGAAGAAGGCGGCGAAGCAGATCGGCTCATCCGAACTCAACATCGTCGGCGCCAACAAGATGACTGTGCAACCTCCGCCGAAGGATACTCCGGAACTCGGAATCCGCGTCTCTGCTGAGCAGATTGTGATTAAGGGCTTTGAGGCCCACGCGAGTCAGATCGACATCCTCCCTGCAAACGAGAGCACCTACGCGGCTTCGTACTTGGTTGATGGTGTTCGTCAAGCGGGTGATCCGATCGCGGCCGCGGACGCGATTCAGATCATCGATTTCTGGAAGAAAACCGCTGGTCTTGATGTCAACGATCGTCGCCGAAAACTGACAGGACAAGTCACGGTCTCCGGCGGATCGATCAGCAGCGCGGAACTCAAGCTCAATACTTCGGGCTCCAAGAGCGGCATGCGGATGTCGCTGATCTTCAATCCCGCTCAAGCGGTCCGCCGGAAGGCATCGGATCTGGGGATGCTCGATCAACAACTCGACATGGTCAAGAACTGGGCGTCCGAGCTCGAGCATGTGGGCGGCACAGTGCTCCTGTGTGCCCCATCGGACAACGGACGCACCACGATGGCGTACTCGATCATGAAACTCCATGACGCGTACACCTCCAATATCCAATCGATTGAGTATGAGATCGAGGATCAGCTCGAAGGCATCAAGCAGATCCAATGGGACTCGAGTGTTGAGGGACCGGACTTCGCGACAACTGTCCGATCCACGCTGCGTCGTGATCCGGACATCGTGAGCATTTGCGATCTTCCGGATGTCGAGACCGCACAGACTGTCGCGAACTCGGATCTGGAACGCACGCGCGTGTATCTCAACATCCGCACAGATTCGGCGCTCAAAGGAATACAGACCTATGTCCAAGCGGTCGGAGATCCGAAGCTTGCCGCGAAGGGACTGCGTGGTGTGGTCGCGTGCAAGCTCGTTCGTGTTCTCTGTGGCAACTGTAAAGTCCCTTACCAACCGACCCCTGACATGCTCAAGAAGCTTGGCCTCCCAGAGGACAAAGTCAGCGAGTTGTTCAAGAAGGGTGGACAGGTCTTGGTCCGCAACAAACCTGAGACTTGCAGCGTATGTGCCGGCGTCGGATACTCAGGACAGACAGGTTGCTTTGGAATCTTCCCGATTGGGGATGAGGAGCGTGCGATGATCATTGAAGGCAACTGGAATGGATTGCGTGCGGTGATGCGGAAGCGTGGGTTCCCAAGTGTCCAGCAAGCGGCGTTGCGGAAAGCGGTCATGGGTATCACGAGTATCGAAGAAGTCACACGGATCACAGCACCAAAGAAAAGTAGCTCAAGCAAAGCAACGGCAAAGGCATAAGCGACTGAGTCAGAGAAGCGTGAGTCAGCTCACAACGGAGTGTAAACCATGTTCATGAATATCCTAGTAATAGTCTTTGTGCTCAGTGTCGCATACGCATGGATGACGCGTGGCGTCTTTAACGCGATGCTTCACGCGCTGTGCGTGTTCTTTGCTGGTGCGATCGCATTTGCTCTCTGGGAACCGCTCGCGATGATCGTCCTGGGTCTGAGCGACATGCCGCTGGTTGAAGGAATCGCGTGGGGCGTTTCATTGATTCTCCCGTTCGTCATTATGATGATCGTTTTCCGAGTGATTACCGACAAGGTGGTCAAAGCAAACATTAAAAACGCCACGGCGATCGATTATGCCGGTGGAGCGGTCTTCGGTCTGATTTCCAGCGGATTAACTGCAGGAGTCATGGTCATCGGGATTGGTTACATGCGATTGCCTTCCACTTTCCTCGGATACCAGCCCGTGTATTACACCAGTGATCGGAGTGGAGCGGGATCGCTTGTCAAGACCGACAAGCTCTGGCTCCCGGTCGATTCGGTCACCGCGATGGTTTACTCAAACCTGTCCGAGGGCTCGATGAGTTCCTCCGAGTCGCTTAAGAAGTGGTATCCCGACCTGACACTCACTGGATACGCCGCACGAATTAATCCCGGCGAAGGCGCCGCACGCAACGCAATCTCAGAGGACGCATTCAAGGTTATGTCCTCCTACACAATCGGCGATGCGACAGGCGCCGGGAGTCCGAAGTCCGATGTGGTTGGTGAGCACAGTTTCGTGGATATCAACGGCAAAGCGATCACCCCTCAGATGGCTGGGCATGTCGCGGGCTATGTCGTCGAGTTTGGTCCCAGCGCCAAGGAGAAAGGCAGCAAGGGCGGACAGGTAGTGATCTCAAATGGTCAGATCCGCTTGCTCACAGAGAAAGCCGACGGCTCGACTGGAACAATCTTCCCGATCGCGACGATTTCAGAATCCTCTGATCAAGGCCAATACGGACGCTGGTTGTTCGATAGTGAGGACCTCTTCATCACATCCAGCGGCGGCAAGAGCCGAATCCCGATGGGATTCGAGTTCTTCGTCCCTGCGGACGAAACACCAATCGCGTTGTTTGTGAAAAACATCCGCGTACCAGTGGGTTCGATCGCGGCGAACAATGAGTTCGCAACCGCATCAGCACGCGAAAGACTCATCCGCTCTGGAGAGTTGCTTACTGGACAGCGCGTGAAACGCGAGTTTGATTTGTCTGAATCTGTGAAGGTCGTTGAGCGAGGTGCTGCACGCTTTGGAGAATCGCTCGGCACAGTGATGCCTTCCCAGCTTGTCAAGCAGCGTGGCATGCGGATCAACGATGACAATGAGGTGACCGAGGGAACCGCGACTTTCTCTGACGAGGAGATCGGACGCTCCAATACTCCTCAAACGAAGTCTCTCCGTGTTGAGAAGTTTGCCTATGGCAACAGCCAACGGATGGTACAAGTCAGTGTCGGTAGTTCGGTTGAGGGCGGGTTTCTCTCTGAAGCCGCGAACAAAGCTGAAGTTGACGAACCGTTCATGCTCATTGACACAGATGGGAATGAGTACGAAGCTGTCGGATATATCTATCACGATACGAGTACACAGCTCTATGAAGTCCGCTACACACCCGGCTCGACTATGAGCGGGTTCGATGAAGACGGGCTTCCCAACATCTCACGATCCAAAGAAGGGCAGAACCTTACACTGATCTTCCTGGTTTCGACTAGGGTCGACATTCAGTACTACACCATCGGCGATGTCGTGCAGATGGAGTTTGATCCGCCGTTGGGTAGCGATTAATCCAACTTGTCATTCAACTCAAGGCGCCCTTAGGGGTGCTTTTTTTGTATGAGAAAAGACCCCTCCAAATCAGAGGGGTCTTTGTATGCTTTGGGATCAAGCGAGATTACTCAGCAGCAGGAGCTGACTCTGCTTCCACCTTCGCGGGCTTGTCGTCCTTGACGATCAGTTCGCCTTCGCTGTCAAACTCCATCTCTTCGGCATCGTCATCCTCGATGTGGCGGTCTGGAGCGACCCAGAGTTTGACATGTGCTTCGAGGTCCGAATCGACCTTGACGAGGATGTCGAAGGTGTCGATGCGCTTGATCGCGCCTGGTAGACGCACTTCGCGAGGAGCGACATTGAAGCCGACTTCCTTGAGTGCGCTTGCGATGTCTTGCTGAGTGACGGAGCCGTAGAGGTGACCCTGATCGTTGCACGCGCGGTCCATCGTGAGTTCTTGGCCGTCGAGCTTGTGGATCATCTCTTCGCGTTGCTTACGACGCTCAGCGACTTCTTTCTCTGCCTGAGCACGACGCTCAGCGAGCGAGGCGATCAGTTCTTCGGAAGGCTCGGTCGCGTATCCGAATGGGAGGAGGTAGTTGCGTGCGTAGCCGACTTTGACATTGACGACATCGCCGACGATACCGAGGGATTCGACATTCTCTGTGAGGAGGAGCTTGACTGTTTTGCGCATTTGGATGGTTCCTTTCGCTGTCCTGACCGACCGAGCTTCAACTCGGAACGGAGAGTTGAGGAGACCCTCACGGCGAGGATCCCCAACTAAGGGTTCCAGACGAGTCTGGAGTGCCGGCTGAGCCGGGTCCAGAGTGTAGGTCGCAAGTGATGGATTCTGAGTTGGTTGGGAACGAATTCATGAAAAAACCCACGCGGTTAGCGTGGGTTCGGGGTTCGATCGGACTTGTGAAACTCAGGAGGACGGATCAGAACGGGATATCGTCATGATCGATCGCGACATCATTGCCTCCGCCGCCGGCTCCTGAGCGGGCGTATCCGCCGCCCCCACCGCCTCCGCCGGAGTTGCCCCCGCCGTTTCCGGAATCGACGAACTGGAAGTTCTCGACAACGACGGAGAGCTTCGAGCGTTTGCCTCCGCCGTTGCGGTCGTCCCACTGGTCGAGCTTGAGTCGACCCTCAACGAACACTGGGCGTCCCTTGGTGAGGTACTGCGCCATCACTTCTGCGGTGCGTCCCCACGCTTCGCAGTCGATGAACGCGACTTCTTCGCGTTGGTCGCCGGATTGTGTTTTGTACTTGCGGTTGACGGCGATACCGAAGTTGCCGACCGCGGTGTTGGAAGGGGTGTGGCGGATCTCGATGTCTCGAGTCAGGTTCCCCATGAGCATGACTTTGTTGAAGCTACCGGCCATTGATGTCTCCGTTTCAGATGTGTCGTGATTGATGTAACGCGACTGGTGGGATTGGCACTGGACCGATCCAATGCCGATGTGCAGTATATCACAACCGCCCGAGTCTGGTCTGACCAGACTCGGGCGGGTTGATTGAAAACTGCCTGAAATGCGTGCTCTGCGGCTTATTCAGCGGCTGGAGCGTCCTCGTCACCTTCGGAAGCTTCCGGAGCGGCTTCCTCAGCGGCTGAGGCAGGTGCCTCTTCCTTGACTGGAGCGCCGAGGCGGACGGTCGAGGACTTGGCGGTTTCTTCCGCGGCGCCCTGCTCGGCGCGGAGCTTGGCTTCGGTGTCCAGACCCTTGCGGTCGTCGTGAGCCGCGATTTCCTCTTCGGTGAGGTGGTCAGCGGTGGTCACGAGCAGACGCATGATCTTGTCAGAGATCACGGCGTCGCGTTCGAGGTGAGCGACCATGTCGGTCGGGCAGGTGAAGTACGCGAGGATGTAGACGCCGCGCTTTTGCTTGTCCATCTCGTATGCGAGACGGCGCTCGTCCCACTTCTTCATCGCGATGACGGTCGCGTCGGCGCGTTCGAAGAGGTGGTTGATGTGCTCGACGCATTCACCGAATGCGGCCGCCGCGGCTTGGGTGACGAGGAACATGCCCTCGTAAGTACCGGTTCGTGCTGCTGTGTCAGTTGACATATTGATTTCTCCAAATCGTGTCCGGCTTTGGTCGCCGGATATTTGTGTTTAACTTGCGTTCTTAGTTTCTTTATCTTGAACAGACTGATCGTCGTCTGTGGAATCCTGCTTGTCGTTGGGATGCTCTTTACGCTTCGGCTTTGCGAGTTTCTCGTTGAAGGTGTTCATCGCGCTGACGATGTCCTCGCTCAAGATATGCTCGACGGCTTTGGTCGCCTTGTCGATGCTCTCGTTGAGCTTGTCCGTCTCCTCGCTCATGAACTTGCTGAGCACCCAGTCGGCTTGGTTCATCATCTTCGGGACCTCCCCAACACCGATGCGGACGCGTGGGTAGGAAGCACCTCCCAGCACGCGATCGATGTCGCTGAGACCGTTGTGACCGCCGGCGCCGCCGCTCTTGCGGATCCGGATGGATCCGACTGGGAGAGCGATGTCGTCAACGATGACCAAGAGATCCTCAAGCGGATCGAGCTTGAAGAAGCGGAGTGCTTCCCCAACGCTCTGTCCGGACTTGTTCATGAAGGTTGTGGGTTTCATGAGCAAGCACTTCTCGCATCCGATGTTCGCGTCGAGGGTGACGCTGTTGAAGCGAGACTTGGCGATCTGTCCGACGGCGAACTTGGTTGCCAGTGCATCGACGACCATGAACCCCGCGTTGTGGCGGGTCTTGGTGTACTGCATACCTGGATTTCCGAGTCCGACGATCAGCTTCATGATTACTCAGCCTTGTCCTCTGCTGGTTTCTCACCGATGACTTCAGGGCTCGCAGCATCTGCGGAGACTTCGCCAGCCTCGTCGCCCTCAGCTTGCTGTGCCTTCATCACAATCTGTGCGATGATGGTATCTGGATCAGTAAGAAGGACCATCGAGTCGAGCGGAAGCTTGACATCTGATGCGTGGAGCACATCGCCGACTTCCATGCCTGAGACATCCACATCGATGTGGTCAGGGAGGTTGGTGATGAGCACATTGAGTTCGATATCGTTCACAGGGTGCATCATGATCGCGCCGGTGGTCTTGAGACCAACCGCGTCACCAACGAATGTGAGGTGTGCTTTGGTATCGACACGCTCGTTGAGGTCCACACGCGAGAAGTCGGCGTGGATGATGTTGTTTCCGAGGTAGTCGTATCCGAGATCCTTGAGCAGGACATGCTGCTTTGAACCTTCGATGTCGAGTTCGAAGACCTTCTCGCCTTTGCGGAGGTGGAGCATGGTCTCGTGCATATCCAGTGCGATGGAAACAGGCTCTTCCTTGTGCCCGTAGACGACTGCGGGCAACGAGCCCGACTCACGCAGACGGCGGGAGTACCGCGATCCGGTGCGCTCGCGCTTGGTGGCGCTCAGCATTGGGGTAGTGTCTGACATAGTGTTTCTCCTTCACTTATTTCTTTACACTTTGTGCGTTTGGTACTTTGTCGATCAGCGTTTGGTCTCTGCGGTTCCTCGGAACATGGCGCTGATGGAATCGTTGTTATGAATGCGTTTGATTGCTTTACCGATCAGCTCTCCCACTGAGAGCACGGTGAGTTTGTCTTTGATTGGATCGCAACGATCTCCAGTCGGGATGGTGTCCGTCAGGATCACACGCGAGAACGGTGAATCAGCGAGTCGCTCGATCGCCTTCCCTGCGAGCACGCCGTGCGTCGCCGCGGCGATGATGTCCGAAGCCCCCTCATTCATGACCAGCTTCGCGGCTTCGCAAACTGTCCCACCGGTCGAGATCATGTCATCGAACATGAGGACCGTCTTGCCCTTCACATCACCGATCAGGTTCCCGACTTCGACAGTTTCCCCAGTGATGCGACGCTTGTTGATGATCGCAAGATCCGCGTGGAGCAGATTGGCCATCTTCTCAGCGACCTTCACATTGCCTACATCAGGAGAGACCAGACAGAGTTCACCCAGCTCGTCACGGATTGATTCGAAGTACTTGTAGAAAACCGGCATCGCGGAGAGGTGATCAAACGGGAGGTCAAAGAACCCCTGGATCTGAGCGGCGTGCAGATCAATCGAGAGAACGCGATCCGCTTTCGCAGCAGTAATCAGGTTCGCGACAAGTTTCGCGGTGATTGGAACGCGCCCTTCGTCTTTGCGGTCTTGACGCCCGTAGCCGTAGTACGGCATAACCATCGTGATCCGCTTCGCACTTGCACGACGCAAACAGTCACAGAACACCAGGAGTTCCATCAGGTTGTCGTTGACTGGATCACAGGTCGAGATCACTACAAAGCAATCACGGCCACGCACATCGTCATCGAGCTTGACAATAACTTCGCCGTCTGGGAAGAGGATGGTGCGTGCTTTCCCGAGCTCGAGACCTGCTGAGTCACAGACACGCTGCGCGAGTTCTTTGGTGTTGCGTCCTGAGAAGACTTTGATGCCGCCGTTGCTCATGACTGTGTCCCCTGTGCGGAATGTGCGTCTTGTCGACTTCGGTAGATCGCATCCACCTGCGCGAGATGATCGAGCGTGTTGATACTCAGAATGTCTTCAGGAGGCACCGCGTCGATGACCTCGACACGCTTGCCGTCGTCGAGCATGAACTCAAAGATGTCGGTGATGTAGTACTCACCAGTCAGTTCGTTGCGCTGCACGCGATCGAGTGCGTCAAACATCGCGCTGGCGTTAACGCAGTAGTAGCTCGGATTGACCTCGTTGATCTTGAGCTCGTCCTCGCTCGCGTTCTTCTGCTCAACGATGCGTGCGAACGAGCCGCTGTCATCACGGACGATGCGGCCGTATCCGCTTGGGTCTTCGATCCGGCTCGTCGCGAGCGTTCCTGCGGCACTCGTAGAGCGGTGCAGATCCAGCAGTTTGTTCAGTGTTTCGGTGCGGATGAGCGGGCCGTCTCCACAGAGCACGAAGATATCGGTATTGTCATTGTCGCTGCTTGCGTACGCGTCTTTGGCGCTCATCACGGCGTGACCTGTCCCGAGTTGCTCTTCTTGGACTGCGAACTCGACTTTGTCGCCGTAGTCCGCGAGTGCTTCGCGGACGAGCTCTTGCTTGTACCCCACCACCACGACGACGCGATCGCATCCCGCATCAAGACAGGTATCAACGACAGAACAGACCATCGGACGACCACCGACAGGATGACACACCTTCGGGAGATCGGACTCCATGCGAGTGCCCTTCCCTGCGGCGAGGATCACGGCTTCGAGTCGTTTGGATGAGTTGTTGTTCGTGTCCGCCATATGCAGTTGGCAGGACTGGACTCAATTTTGGTCGCGATGCGCGAGAGTGAAGAAGAAAGTTACCCCACCAAGATTCGAACTTGGACTGTCTGTACCAAAAACAGAAGTGCTGCCATTACACCATGGGGCAATATTCACTTGTCTGAATCACTCTATCGGATCATTCTGACCGATTCATTGAGCAGTGCTGCTCGACCTCCGCTGTCGTTGTGACCAAAGAGCGCAAACTCTGTGATCGATGTCTCAAACCTTCGCGGCTTGGACACCGATCGATTTGGTAATCGACAGTGGCATCGGCCGCAGCTCGTGTCGCCTTGGTAACACAACGAGTGTGATCACCAAGACTTGGAACTTGGACTCCTCCCGGCTGCGAAATCAATCCGATCTCATGGGAAGAACCCTTGCCCGTGCCTCAACTCTGGTCTTGCGACCTCGGCATCCGTCACGAACGGTTCCGCGTGAGGACAAGTCTAGACCCAAGCTTCGTTTGGTCAACCTGAGTGTCCCTCTTTAAAGGTCAGAAATCCCGATTCTGAGTGCCAATTGGCTGATTGTGGGTGTTGACGAGGATCAGATGTGCTACATTGGTGCTGAGCCCGAGTAAAACCGCGGATTCCTGCGAATTTTGGGCTTTTTGGGTCAAGTTCACTCTCTGTAGCATTCCCTATCGCCGATTGATCTTTACCCCACTGGCAGCAAACAGAAAGTACTCACACGATGACAGACCAGATGAAACTTCGGCATTCGCTCACTCTTGCATCGACCGCACTGCTCAGTGCCGCCGTTTGGGTTGCCGGATGTGCACAACAGACACGCAACGAGCCAACACCGCTCCAACCTGAGGGTGCGCGGCTCGCGCAGGGACTCCCAGCGAATCAACTCCCAGATCCGATCGATCTGAGCGATCCGAATCGCGTGGGTCGATTTGTGGTTGAGCCGACGATCATTGATACCAACGCGCTCGCTCGCAAACAGCAGATCACTGGTCCTTTCAAGGGTGAGGTCAGGATGATCAAGCATGTGCTCCCAAAGCACGGGCGGGACAAGACGCTTCGGACCGATCCAAACAACGAGCCGCTGCCTGTTGGACAAACGACCTCAATGGATCGAGTCGGTGCTGGAGCATCGACGGGATTTGAGGGGATCTCCCAGACTGAGTGGTCCCCGCCTGATCCGACGATCGCGGTTGGTCCCAATCACATTGTTGAGACTGTGAACGCCGCGATCGCGTTTTTTGATAAGCAAGGCAATCAGACCTTCTCAGCGCATCTTGGAACCCCTGGCAATCCTGGATTCTTCGAGGAAGTCGGCGCGAGCTCAAATTTTGTATTCGATCCCAAGTGTTTCTATGACCACAAATCGGAACGGTTCGTTGTCATGGCGTTAGAACAGATCGGAGACACGGAATCTTGGATTGATATTGCGATCTCCGACGACTCGGACCCCAACGGCGTGTGGTACAAATACCGCACATTCTCAGTCATCGGCATCGACGGCTCGAACTACTGGGTGGACTATCCGGGATTCGGATTCGACGATAACGCGTTCTATGTCACTGGGAATCTCTTCCTGCTTAACGGCGACGGCGATGGGTTCGGAGGCGCGCTCTTCCGGATCTTTGACAAAGCTCCGATGCTTGCTGGCGATCCGATCACCGTGATGGACATTGCGCCGGATGCTGGAGCATCGCTGCAAGTGGCGCAGATGTTTGGTGAAGCGCCGCAGCCGTACTTTGTCTCGCGTGCGGCTACAACCTCGCTGAAAGTCTGGACAATCAACAACCCACTCACCGCACCCACACTCGAATCGACCTTTGTGCATGGACTCGATCCGGTGTCTGGACCATCGCAGAACGCACCAAACCCCGGCGGTGGCGAAATTTCAACACTCGACGGTCGGCTCATGAATGTGCACTATCGAGATGGGAACCTCTACACCTCTCACGGCATCGATGGCGGCACCAACCAAACCGTGTCCCGCTGGTACCATGTCGATATGAACGGCTGGCCCAACGGCGGCTTCCCGAGTCTCATCCAGCAAGGCGAGATCACTGGGGACAACAACGAGCACTATTACTTCCCAGCAATCTACTCAGACAAGGATCATCATGTCGGCATGATCTCAGCAAGATCGAGTCCATCAGAGTTTGCGAGCGTGCAGGTCTCTGGTCGTATCCCGAGCGATCCGCTCGGGACCATGAGTGATCCGATCCAGCTTGCGATCGGGAACGCTGGCGCCGACGGACGCTGGGGTGATTACCTCGACATCGCTGTGGACCCCAATGACGACAAGACCTTCTGGATCGTGGGGATGTATCAAAAGGCTGGCACGGGTTGGCAAACTTGGATCGACAGTTTCACAGTCAACGCACCATGTCCCGCGGATCTGTTTGCGGACGGGAATCTGAACTTCCAGGATATCTCGGTCTTCCTCGTGTACTACGGCGATGAGGATCCGCTCGTCGATTTCAACAACGACGGGAGCTTCAACTTCCTCGATGTATCGCTTTTTTTGAACCTGTACTCGCAGGGATGTCCTTAAGCAGGACTAGTCATCGCCGTTGGATTGCTCTTCTTGCATGAGCGCGGATTGACCGATCAGCTCGTAGCAGGTCTGCATCAATCCGACGAGCGGAAACTTCCCAACGAACGGGCTCGGTCCCAATCGGCGCAGCAGCACGCAGTTGACCGGCGGGGGCGCAATCGGTGTGTCCAGCTCTGCGAGTTCATCACCCACACTCCAGAAGTCATCAATCTGATCTTCGAGCGGAGGACTCTGGAGATCGGTCACGCCTTGGATATGAGGCACAAGCACAGGAGTCGGTCCTGGCCCCTGGATCCCGATCGCTCGCTTCTGTCGCAGTCCATCGATGAGTTCCTGTCCCGGCATGCCGTGGAGATCAAACACGAGCATGGGTTCGTTTCCGAGACGCTCAGCGAGCAGCGCCGTCAAGCAGACCGCGTGCTTGCACCAAGGCTGATCCTCGCTCCAGTCTGGACAGGAACAGGTTGGTGAGAGATCGCTCGGCTCAGTCGGGAACAGCCGCAGATCGAGCGGTGCGAACACATCTTCGATGTTGGATGGAAGCTCTCCCGCGAGGAGTTTCGCTGCGTAGCGCATCTGATCCGCCATCGCGTGGATGATCTGCTCCTGATCGTGCACGCTGAACTGGTTTAGTTTGAGTTCAGTCTTGTAAGGCTTGTCGGATCGTCCCTGAATCACCCCTTCGCAGAGCGTGCCCTCGATTGTCAGGCGCTTGGTCTGTCCGGCGCGTGCGTACTCAAGACCCTCGCGATTGACCTGTCCCTCCGCTCCATCTTCAGCGACGCGGAGCAAACGCTGTGTGATCCATGAGCTTGGCTGCTCGTCGGGCTTGAGCTTGAGCTTCACGCCTCCTCGCACTCGACGAGGATTCGTCAGCGACTTGCGTGAAGAACGAAACGAAGCGTACTGAGGTTTGACCTTCTTCGGAGCTGTCGGGACATTCGCGGACAGAGTCGGACGCGCGATGATCTTGGTTTCACGATCAGCGGGGGGTGCTTTCGTGACCGCTTCGGGTTTCGAAGGCGCAGCTTTCTTGGTGGTCTTTTTGGTGACCTTCTTCGCGGCTGTCTTGGCCGTCTTCTTTGCGGTTTTTTTAGCCGCGGGTTTGGTTGGCTTGTTCTCTTCTGCCATTTACATCTCGTCGGAGATCGTGTCGGCACGCAGCGCGAGCAGACTCCGGAGTTTGTCGGTCCCGAGATCGGTGAGCCAGCGCTCGCCGTGCCCGATGATGTTTTCTGCGAGTTCGGTTTTGCTCTCGATCATCTCGTCGATGCGTTCTTCCAGCGTTCCACGCACGATGTACTTGTGAACTTGGACTGTGCGTGTCTGTCCGATGCGGTACGCACGGTCGGTCGCTTGGTTCTCGACCGCTGGATTCCACCAGCGATCGAAGTGGAAGACATGGTTCGCTGCGGTGAGGTTCAGACCCACACCACCCGCTTTGAGCGAGAGGATCAGGATCGGATTCTTCCCGGTTGCTTCCTGGAACTTATCGATCATCTTCTGACGCTGACCTTGAGCCGTGCCGCCGTGGAGGAAGAGGACTTCCTTTCCAAGCTCATGCTTGAGCATGTTTGAGAGGATGTGTCCCATCTGACGGAACTGTGTGAACACAAGCGCTTGATCACCCTCTGCGAGGATCTCGTCGAGCTGCTCCAGCAATCGCACACACTTGCCGGATCGTCCTGGATCGATGATCTTGCCGTGCTGCGGATCGTTGTCCTTGAGCATCTGCGCTGGATGGTTACAGATCTGCTTGAGCTTGATGAGCGCTGCGAGGACGAGTCCTCGGCGATGGATGCCCTCGGCGTGCTCAACATCGGTGAGCATCTGCTTGACGCATCCCTCGTAGAGCGACGCTTGCTCGCTCGTGAGCGGACACCACTCTTTGGACTCAAGCTTCTCTGGAAGATCCGAGACGACCGCGGGATCGGTTTTCACGCGGCGCAGGATGAACGGACGCACCATCGTGCGAAGCTTGTCCATCTTGACCTGATCACGATGGCGCTCGATCGGGAGCGCGAACTTCTTGCGGAAAGTTCCCGATGGTCCGAGGTACTGCGGATTGAGGAAGTCCATGATCGACCAGAGCTCGGACAGTCTGTTCTCCACTGGAGTACCAGTCATCGCGACGCGGCGAGGGACCTTGAGTGCTCGCACAGACATCGACTGTTTCGCGGCGGGGTTCTTGACAAACTGCGCCTCGTCGAGCACGACGCGTCCCCACTTGACCTTGGTGATGAACTCGTTGTCACGATGCACGAGCGCGTAGGTCGTGATGACAACATCGACTTCTTGAGCTGTTGCGACAAAGGTGTCGCCTTGCTTGCGATCCACGCCGTGGTGGACCTGGACCTTGATGCTCGGCGCGAAGCGCTCGAACTCTTTGACCCAGTTCCCGATTACCGACATGGGAACGATGAGCAGCGTTGGGTCCACTCCATCGGGGTTGCTGGCGCGCTCGTGGAGGATGAGTGCGATCATCTGGATCGTCTTACCAAGACCCATGTCGTCTGCGAGACACGCGCCGAATCCGAAGCGTTCCATGAACGCCATCCAACTCAAGCCGCGTGCTTGGTACGGACGCAGCGTGCCCTTGAACATTTCCGGAGTATCGAGCATTGGGAGCTCGAGCGAGACGCCTCCCTCTCCTCCGAGCATGGACGCGACCCAGCCCGTTGCTTCGACGCCGGTGACCGGGAGTCCGGTCTGCGAGGAATCCGATGCGAGCGCGAGCTGCATCGCTTCTCCGAGTTCCATCTCTCCGCCGGGATTCTCGCGCATGAAGCTGATCGCGTTCTCGACATCCTCTGGACGGATCTCGACCCACTGACCACCGATGCGGACCAGCGGCGAGTTCTTCTGCGCCAGCTCCTCGAACTCGTGGAGCGTGAGGGTGGTGTCCCCGATCGCGATCTCCCAGTGGTATCCGACGAGTGTGCCAAGACCAAGTTGTGCTCCAGCGGCGTCCGCGTCGGCGCCCTCGCCGAGCACCATTTCTGATGGATCCGAATCGATCTTGAGCTTGGTGCCCAATCGTCCCGCTTGCGAGTCCCACCAGCTCGGACATTCGACGCCGAACCCTTGCTCTTCGAGGACTGGTTTGACCTCGCGCAGGAAGCGGTACGCTTCTTTGGTTTCGATCAGCAGCTGGATCGGTTCGCTCTCGTCGAGCGCATCTTCGAGCTTCTTGTAGTATCGACTCGCACGTCCGAGCTCTCCCATGAGCAGCTCTTGCGGATTCTCGAGCGTAAGTCCCTCGTAGACAATGCGATCGCGATTGATGAGCCAAACATCAGCGCCGCGGAGGATGACTTCCTCATCGTCAAGCGACTGGAGGTAGAAGCTGAGCGACCACATGACGGACTCGTCTGGTTGATCGATGTCGAGCGCCAAGCTCTCGCCGATGGGTTCAGCGAGGCGCAAACCAAATCGCCATGTACTCGATTCGCCGCGGTCTTCGAGCTCGGAGATCCATTTGCGAACTGTGCGCGAGATCTCTGCACGCTGACCAGTGGATGCGGGGACTTCGATCCCGCTTCCGAGCAAGCCGTTGAGCCACGCGACTTGTTGATCCATCCCCGGATCGATCGAGTCGATGGTGTCGGTCATCTCTTCGCTGACCATGACACGTCGGCACGAAGCGTCGGTGATCTGGGAAAGGAAATCTACGGTGATCGACCACGCGTCGTGCGCGTGTCCATCGGGAACTGCACGAGCCGCGGCGGGCATCGAGCGGATCAGCTTCGCGACGCGTTTGGTCGTCATATCGTCGGACAACCAGGGCTGCCAGCGACCAGAGAGCATCCCCGCGGCGTCTTGATAGACCATGGGAACAAATCGGTGTCCCGCGATCAGGTGCTCCGCGAGACGACTTGCGGCGACGAAGTACTCGACACCTGGGCCGACATGGAAGTCCTCAATGGCATCCTGGCGATCGTACAGCGATTCGAGCAATGCCGGCACATGAGCCGGCTTGACCGCGACGGTCGGAACTCGCACATCGCTCAGTCCCGCGGCTTGATGATCCTCGGTCTCGACTCCCCCATACATCGCGAACACTTGAGAAGGCATTGGACGATCGCTGCTGACTGGGAGTCGAAGGACAACGGAACTTGCTTCACCATCAATCCAATCGGGGATGGACGCGTTGGGATGAAGAATTGTGTCGTTGTCGCATGTTTCGGATTCGCGATCCCACCACTGCCCATCGGGGCACTGCTCGATCCAGAAGTGCAGATGATCATCGGCCCAGTTCGCGTGGATGACTTGCACCACACTCTGGGAATCAGCGCTGATTGTTTCAGAGGGACTCGCGTTGATCACGAATTCAAGGCTCCATGCTGGCGCCACTTCAGGCGGAGGAATCTTGGAATAGGAGCGCAGGGACTCGAACCCTGAACCTGCGGCTTAAAAGGCCGATGCTCTACCGATTGAGCTACGCTCCTAAGCAGTTCTTATGACCTCAACGGATGCTGAGGGCATAAGAGAGTCATGGTATGCCCAATCCCTTGTCCAGATCAAGATTTCAACCAATTCAAGAGCAGTTCTGCATGGACTTTTGATGCCCCCTGATGCTCTGCAACGCATTCACGCGCTCGGATCCCCATCCGCATCCGATCCTCAGGAGCAGCCATCCACGCATCGAGCCGATCCCCAAGGTCTTGGGAGTCCACGACCTCGATCGCGTCCGATTCCCGCAACGCGGCTATCTGGGTCGTGAAATCCGAGTTTCGAGGTCCGATGAGGACCGCTTTGCCCAAAGCCGCGGCTTCGAGCGGATCGGATCCGTGCAGATCAAAGAACGATCGCCCAATCACGACCAGATCCGCGAGTTGATACATCGTTGAGAGCTCACCGATGGTGTCGAGCAGGAATCGGGTGTTTGCCCTTGATTCTCCGTCTGATCGTCGTGTGCAGCCTTGCATCGTGAGCGCGGCTTCCTCGAAGCGTTCAGGTTTGCGCGGAGCGCACACAAGCTGAGCTCCAGCCGTGCACGCGCGGTCCAGCATCGCCTCTTCTCCGGGACCTGTCGATCCCGCGACTATGATGGGCTTTGCAAGATCCAGTCCCATCTGCTCAGCAAGTTCGATCGCGGCTTCAGTCGGATTCGGGAGCGGCCCACTCACATCCAATGCATCCCATTTCATCGATCCAGTGACATTGACCTGCTTGGCGCCGAGCGCCTCGATGCGTTTGGCGTACGCATCGTCTTGCATACACACGAAAGAGAGTCGTGAGAAGGTTTTGCGGAGCAGTGCTTTGATCTTTCGGTATCCCTTGAACGATCGCGCGGACAAACGGCCGTTGATGATCCCGATTGGGATCTTTCGCTTCATACACGCTTTGACGAAGTTGGGCCAGACCTCGAGCTCAACTAAACCCACGACGTCAGGATCGATCGAGTCTAAGAACCGCTTGACCATCCACGAGCAATCGAGCGGATAGCGCACAACCTCGCAGGTCTGGGAGAACAGTGTCTGCGCTCGATTGAGTCCTGTATCCGTCGTCGCGGAGATCACCACCGTCGCATCATCAGTCAGCAGCGGGACCAACGCACGCAACGCGTTGACCTCTCCCACAGACACGGCGTGGAGCATCACAACTGGTTTGGATTCGCTTCTTGCCCCCCACCGCTCGCTGAGCATCGGTTCGATCTTGCCGACGCGCTCAGACCAGCCTCCGCGTTTCTTGCGAGCCCACAGCGGGGCGCTGAGAATCGCGATCGGCATGTACAGAAGGTCGAGTGCATTCATCTCGATAGAGGTCCACCTGTTTGGGACAGGGACTTTGAAATAGGCGGGGAGGGACTCGAACCCACGACCCATCGCGTGTAAGGCGATTGCTCTAGCCAACTGAGCTACCCGCCCGGGTAATCAGGTCACTAGTCTAGCACGCAAATCCACGCCGAATGCCCTACCCTAGTTCATGACCAATCCCCCACGCACATGCACCGTCGATTCTGTCACCATTGGAGAGGGCTACCCCCTCGCGATCATCGCCGGCCCTTGCACACTCGAATCGCTGAAACTGGGGTTGGAAGTCGGCAGACACTGTAAATCAGTCTGCGAATCACTCGGTCTCCCCTATATATTCAAAGCAAGTTTCGACAAAGCGAACCGCTCCTCGATTCACTCCAGGAGAGGCATCGAGATCGAGAAGGGACTGGAGCATTTCAAAGCAATCAAACAAGAGCTCGGCGTTCCCACCACGACAGATATCCACGCGCCGGAGCAAGCGGAAGCGATCGCGGATGCCGTGGATCTGATCCAGATACCAGCGTTTTTATGCCGACAGACGGATCTCATCAATGCCGCGGCTAAAGCCGCGAAAGCACAAGGTAAAGGTGTGAATATCAAGAAAGGACAGTTCCTCTCACCAGGTGAGATGGGAGGTCCTGTCCGCAAAGCCACCGAAGCGGGATGCGAGAACCTCATGCTTACCGAACGCGGCACCTTCTTCGGATACCACCGACTCGTCAACGACTTCATAGGGATCGTCGACATGATGGAACTGGACTGCAGCAAATTCAGCACACTCGGCTCGCCTCCAGTGTGCTTTGATGTCACCCACTCGACGCAGCTCCCAGGGAGTGATTTCGAGAGAAGAGATACTTCGGCTTTCGATAAAGCAAATGAACAAACCGGCGGACGACCCGATCGCGCCTTGCACCTCGCGAAAGCCGCGACGGCGATCGGTGTGCATGCACTGTTTGTTGAGTGTCATCCGAACCCGAAGGAAGCATGGTCGGACGGTGCGACACAGGTGGGGTTTGAGGTGTTTGAGCAAGTTCTTACGAGCGTGTCGAAACTGACAGTATGAGCTCGATCCCCAAACGAGCCCAGCACCTGACTATCCCGCTACCAGGAATCTGGACACTGGCCGGGCTTCTCGTAACTGTAGTGTTGTTGATTATGCTACGTGATTTCTCGAGGGGGTTTGGAAAGCCAGCAGTTTACATGTTGATCTTTATGCTGATGATCCCAATGTGGGTTGGGGTGTATTTCGACAGAAAGAATCGCAATAAAAAAATCTATCAAAAACTCCACTCATTTGGGATAAATCAATGCGCCCCAGATGCATTAGACGAGTGCTTTCTGGATTCTGCCTCTCTGATGAAACCAATAGCACTGATGAAAGCAAACATGAACCTCTCTGCGACCGGTGAATATCAAGGCAGAGAGTTGATTGTCACCCAACACACAATTGGCTCTGGTAAATATGCCCAACGCATTGTGTGCTGCGCCATTTGGACGCCTCATAAATGGCCCAAGACAATCATTCGCAAAAGAGTACTTATCGACAGAATCAGGAATGAGCAAGACCTCGGCATTGACTCCTTCGACAAAGAACGTGAGATCATTTCAGATGATTTGAGATTCGCGAAGCTCATCTTGCCAAGTATGATTGATTGGTTTCATATCAAAAAGCTGAAACCACTGACCTTTCAGATGATGCCCCCTTCTGGTCGTGCTGAGCAGTGGATTTTGAATGAGAACTGGATCATTCATGCTGACTTTGGGATAGCTGGTCAAAAAACCATCCGACCAATGCTTGATTTCTTGGTAGCATTCAATGATCAACTTGAAAATCGAATCGTTTCATCGAAGTAGTTCTCTATTCACTTGGAAACAGGTCCATGTCAAAAAACAAAGATCGATGGTCTATTAAAGATATACTGGGCGGCTTGATCGGCGGTGTACTCATCGCCATCGTTGGAGCTCGGATGATTATCAATCCAATCAGAGAGAACTCCAGCCAAGCGGAGGGCGGCGGCAACTTGATTGGAGATGTACTGAACTACATTTGGTCAACTCCAGGGGGAATTGCGCTCGTAATCGTCGGATTGCTCATCTCAGGAGCCTCGGTTCATCAAGTCATTCAACAGTCAGCCAAAAAGTAAAAGCCGCCCGCAATCGCGGACGGCTTTCGTTGATTCGGTTGGTAAAGTCAATCAACCAGCGTGTGCGGCGCGGTAGTCGCGGAGCCACTGTGGACGAGCGACATCTTCCTCGTATGGATCGACATGCACACGGCCATTCTTCTGGAAGACGACCTTGCCGGTCGCGACGGAGAAGAGCGTGTCGTCTTTGCCCTTACGGACATTGAAGCCTGGAGTGAACTTGGTGCCGCACTGACGGATGATGATCGCGCCCGGCTTCGCAGCTTCACCGCCGTAGAGCTTCACTCCGCGATACTGCGGATTGGAGTCGCGTCCGTTCTTGGTTGAGCCCTGGCCCTTTTTATGTGCCATGTCACTGATCTCCGTCGATCTGATCCGCTGTTGGCTCGTTCATAGAGCCGGGATCGGGGTTGATATTCTCTTGAGCGACAATTCTGTCGCGGGGGCAAGCGTAGGCGGGATGTGGGATTGAGTCCAGATCCCAAAGCCGTGTCCAGCGTCAAGTTGGACACAATTTCTGCGTCGAACCTGACTTACCGCTGGTCTTAACGCATGATCCAGCGTTCTTCGACGAGTTCGAAGGGACGCGCTCCCTGATCGGAGAAGTTCCCTGGAGTCGCGTATCGCAGCATGAGCGTCTTTCTGAGCGTGTAACGCTGAGGATTATTGGACTCTCGTCCCACGACATAGGACTCAAACTCGCCGCTGAGTCCGGCAAAGAAGATCGAAACCTCATCGACATCGAGCTGTTCAGCAGGCCAGATCAGCACGCCGTCACGGGCGTGCTCTTTGCCTTGGAGGACAGTCGAAACGATGTCGATCTGGGATTCCACGAGCGGATTATCGAGTTCTTCGAGGATCGCGTTGGTCACAGCTGTCGGAACATCTCGTCCGGACTGATAGACCTTGGTGTTGTCCGTCATCAGCGCGACATCCGGAGCGAACAGCAGATCCGAGCCAGAGTAGTTCGTCACGCGATAGGTCAGGAAGAAATACGGCTTGGAACCCTCTCCATCGTCCACCCATGCGAGACGCAAAGGTCCACGATCGAAGGTGAACTCCCAAGTGATCGCGACGGGCGACGGTTCAGGAGCGGCATGAGCCGTAGCCGCGAAAGGCATAACGATCAGTGCAAGAACGCTCAGAATCGAGCATTGGAGTGTCGCTTTGAGTCTTTGCATGATGATCTCTAGGTCCTCTGTGGTCGTACAGATCCGGCGATTCCGGATCGGATGGATTCTATACGCTCAAGAGCGGATTTGGAATCGCTCCACGCGGATGCATGGTAGTCTAGTGTTCCTCGCTAGGTTATCCAGATCCTGGACATCCGAGCGGGATGTCCCGATCCGCAGGAATTCGCCGATGGTTGCGTATCAGTCCAGACTCCGATCGACTCAACGATGAGCATACACCCCCACCATCACGCTCCCAAGGACCCCCAAGGGGTCAGTCAAACACCGATCGGTGTCCAGATCGAGCGTTCGATGGTCCAAGTCGCTCTCGAACGGCTCATCCAAACGGGGAATCCCAAAACTGGTGCGCAACGGCTGGTCCGCAACGCGAAAGCGCACGGCATCGATCTGGACCTCGTTTGGGGGGTACTGGGGGATGAATCGCAAAATCAGCCTGCCGTGCGACAGGTCTGTATGGTTGTTCCAGGAGCTGGAGGGACTGGGATGTGCTTTGTCTCGATCCCAGTGGAGGGTCCTCAAGCTGAGCGTGATCCCGCTCAATTCGGATCTCGCAAGACTCAAATCCAAGAGATCGGTGCGTCCTTGCTCTCAGCGATCGAGGAGCTCCCCAAAGCCGCGGGCGATCGAGTGCGAATCGCGCAGATGCTCTTCGAACCTGAGCAGTCGTGGACGCACGAGGTCTGTCAAAGAGCGGGAATGACGAGTGTTGGAACGCTCGACTACCTGCGTGTGGATTACAACCTCATCCGAACTTGGTCGAGCGAAGAGTTCGATTGGGGTGACGGGATCGAGGTCAAGACATTCCAAGAACTTGCGTGCGACGATCAACTCCTCGCGAATGCACTGGAAGCGAGCTACGAGGGGACGCTCGACTGTCCCGAACTGTGCGGCATGCGCTCGATGGAGGATGTGATCGCGAGCCATAAATCGACTGGAGTGTTCGATCCTTCGCGTTGGTGGGTACTCATGCAGCACAACACTCCAGTCGGGTGCTGTCTGCTGACGCATTGTCCTGCGAATGAGTCTGTGGAACTTGTGTACATAGGGATAAGTCCCGAGATCAAAGGCCGTGGAATGGGTACCAAACTGCTGCGACATGCGTTGCAATCACTACGCATCAAAGACTCAGTTCATGAAGTGACTTGCGCTGTGGATCGTCGGAATACACCGGCGGGCAAGCTCTATTTGAGTCTAGGATTTAAGCGTTTTGATGCACGCTGTGGGTATGTCCGTGCGGTCTGATGTGCATAAATCGGGATGCTTGTGGATGAAAAAAGTTTTGCGATCGTAAGTGCCTGTCATTTGTGATCCATCGTCGTGTGCGCGTGTTTGAGAGTGAACGAAACTGTTGCGGATCAACCGATCGCGCTCTACACTCAGCCTTGCAGGTTATGGAATGACCGGCGGGCAGACAGGACTCTCTCTGCTCTGTGTTTACAACCCGATCCAGCCAGTTCATGGCCCGTGCCGTCAGCAATCACACAGCCGATGGGGACACGCGGGCGAGTGAATGGAGATCAGGGAACGACGCGTGTTTAATGCTGTTTCCTCACACGCGGGACGACACAGAGCACCCGAATCAGATCGATCATCCAAGCAGGAATGGGAGTACCCACATCCTGATCGCGATCGCTGTGCCCGTGTGTGAAGGATTCGTTTGATTATTGATATTCATGATTTGCCCGCTCGGAAATGCAAGCGGAGCGCGATCGGATCGCGCTCGCATCTCCTGTGCGGTCCCGGACGACCAAGAGGCCTGCAGTGAACGAGCTTCGAGTACACGACGAAAAGAGCATCCCATGCAACACCACACAACCAGAGCACGCTCAAATCAAGGTCACACTCAACACGCAGCAGATCCGTTCAGGTCTTGAGTCTCGGCTCGGCGTCAGCTGTGTGCGTCGGTATCTCGGATCTGGAGTTGAGCTCGACGCCGACGAGCGTGGACTCCATGTGCGTGCCTCGGATCGGTTCACGCTCGACATGATCGAGCGTCGGCTTGGGAGCGAACTGCGAACAGAGGTCAGCAATCAGCTTGGTCGCGACCACGCTTCAGTCCACTTCTCACTTCAGAATCACGAGACCAACTCGAAACCGTCAGTGCCAGGACGACAAGCCGGATCACCCAGCAAGGTCGAATCCCTCGTCTCGCGTCAAACTCCTCAGCAGCAGCGATCGGCACAGCAGTCACCCAAAGCTCCGGCGTGCCCGACTTTCGAGTCATTCCTTGTTGGCAAATCCAATCAACTCGCGTACAGCGCTGTCAAATCAGTGCTCGAATCTGCCTCGGCGTGTCCTCCGATCTATGTCCACGGCGGTTGCGGGCTCGGAAAGACCCACCTCCTCCGCGCCAGCGCTCAACGCTATCGGCGCATGTTCCCTGGCGCCAAAGTCCGCTACATCACGGGCGAAGCGTTCACCAACTCCTTCGTCAACGCGATCCGTACCAAGAGCGTCGAAGCGTTTGAGAAGAAGTTCAAGGGACTCGATGTGCTGTGCCTCGACGATGTCCACATGGTTGCGGGCAAGGAATCCACGCAGCACGAGCTGCTCCAGATCTTCAACACGCTGTCTTTGAGTGGCGCCAAGATCCTGATCGCGTCCGATGCGCCTCCAAACGAGATCGCACGTTTGAACTCTGGTCTCGCTTCGCGATTCGTAGGAGGCGTGGTCGCTCGGATCGACGCGCCGGATCGTGAACTGGGACTGCGTCTTGCGAGGCAGATCTGTCTGCAGCGTGGGATCTCAATCGATGACGCGGGATTGGGAACGATCCTCGATCGCACCGGGATCGGGAGCGGTGCTTCTGTACGAGAGCTCGAAGGCGCGATCGTGCAAGTCCAAGCCGTGTCTCGATTGCTGGATCAGGATCAGAACGGCTCGATGAATCTGACGAGCATCCACAAAGCACTCCAACTCCGGAGCGGCTCAAATTACGCGGCTCAATCGCTCGGACCGATCCCGATCGATCTGATCATCCGCATCGTGCTCGAGCATCTGGGTGTTTCCCGCAGCGATCTGACAGGACGGGGTCGTCATAGGACTGTGGTCATGGCGCGTGAACTGATCGTCCACATCGCGAGAGAACTCACGGCGAGCAGCTTCCCTGAGATCGCGCATGCGATTGGTCGACCGAACCACTCGACCGTGATCACCGCCGCGAAGCGGATCAACGGACGGATCGCATCCAACGAGCAGTGCCGACCTTCAGATCCTGAATCGGGGATGACCGTCGGCGCGTTGGTGGATGAGTTGATTGATCGTGTGCGAAGGACGCATCGACAGCTCGCCGAGCGTGCGTGAACGGCGATTGTCGAGAGAATCAGAGAAATCCTGCAGAATCTTTTGCGTGGGGGGTTGTGCTGAGCGGGTGGTTGTGCCGACAATCTGAGTGATGTCGCATAAAGAAATCCCACTGAGCCGTCCGAACATTTCACGACACGAGGAAGAACTCGTGCTCAAGGTCCTCCGCTCCGGGAGACTGTCCATCGGACCGATGGTCGAGCAGTTCGAGGAGATGGTCGCGCAGCGCTGCGGTGTGCGCCACGCCGTTGCGTGCTCTTCCGGAACTGCTGGACTCCACATGACGATGGTCGCTCTGGGGATCGGTCCAGGAGACGAGGTGGTGACGACGCCGTTCTCGTTCATCGCGTCGTCCAACGTCATCCTCTATGCCGGCGCTAAACCGGTGTTTGTCGATATCTGTCCTCGGAGCTTGAACGCTGATCCCGAGCTCATCGAAAAAGCGATCACTCCCAACACCAAAGCGATCCTCGCCGTTGAAGCGTTCGGGAATCCTGAGCACATGGACGCGTACGCACGGATCGCCGCGAAGCACGAGATCCCGCTGATCGAGGATTGCTGCGAGGCGCTTGGTGCTCGATACAAAGGGAAAGCTGCAGGATCGTTTGGACGCGCCGGGGTCTTTGGGTTCTACCCAAACAAGCAGATCACAACCGGTGAAGGCGGGATGATCGTCACTGATGACGAGCGTCTCGCGGACCTCTGCCGATCGCTCCGCAATCATGGACGTGCCGTCCAGGGGAAGGGATCCATCGAGGGCGGGTCCACCGCTGGGAGCTGGCTCCATCACGAACGCCTCGGATTCAACTATCGCATGTCGGAAGTCTCCGCGGCACTCGGCGTCGCGCAGATGGAACGGCTCGATGAGATCCTCCGTGCTCGATCGGCGACAGCGGAGATGTACGTCGAGCGCATGGCGGGACTCAACGACTTCGTGCTCCCGACGATCCCGGATGAGTGCGAGATGAGCTGGTTCGTCTTTGTCCCTCGGCTGTCTACTGATTACACACGCGACGAGCGGGATCGAATCATCAAAGGACTGCGGATCCACGACATCGGATCGAGCGATTACTTCCCTTGCATCCATCAGCAACCGATCTATCAGCAAGCGTTCGGGTATCGTGAGGGAGCGTTCCCGATCGCGGAGTCGGTGAGTGCTCGGACGCTGGCGTTGCCTTTCTATGGATGGATGACCAATCGGGAGGTGGATCTGGTGGTCCAGACGCTGGAACTGATGCTCTCGAGGGAGAATCTGTCCCGACGGGCGTGATGGATCTTTGTCCAATCCAGAATTGGTGCATCCGAGGTGCTCACAAGGGCTTGCCTGAGCGAAATGACGGGCTATCATCGTGACCCGGTGCTCAGGGTGAGTGCCGGATTATTTGACGAGGTGAGCTATGCCCTACGAATGCCATTACACCGGCAAGAAGACAACCTTTGGTAAAAAGCGTGCCTACGGCGGTGCGAAGATCTCCAAGGGCGGTTTCGGTCTCAAGACCACCGGCATCACTCGCCGAACCTTCAAGCCTAACCTGCACAAGATGAATGTGGAGATCACCGACGACAAGGGCAACAAGCACGCCAAGCGTGTGTATGTCTCCGCTCGTGCGATCAAAGCGGGTCTCGTCACCAAGCCTCTGAAGCGGAAGTACGGCTACACGCGTCAGCAAAAAGAAGCTCAGCAGGGCTGATCTGACACGAAATACCCCCTATTTCACAGTAAAAAATGATACTTTGCCCACTCCTTTGCGAGTGGGTTCTTTTGTTTTGGGACCTTTTCGAGTATGATCGGAGTCCGAAGACGGACCGCATTTTGATCGCTGATCGAGTTCTCGCTCACCACCGCACGCGATCGCTACAACTGGGAGGGCACCGGATGCTCTGTGAATGTCAACAAAGGCAGGCGACGATCCATGAGGTATTGATCCAGCATGGGAAGAAAGTCGAACGCCACTTGTGTGAGCAGTGCGCCGCGAAACTTGGTGTTTCAACCGATCCCCACATGCCGATTTCTCAACTCATCTCCAACTACATTTCAGGCAAGAACTTGTCGATCCCGACCGTCGGCGAGAAAGACCAGCCTCGTCCTTCCAGATCCAAGCCCGGCTCGATCCCGCCTTGCCCCTCATGCTCGATGACCTACAGCAAGTTCAAAGACACAGGACTCCTGGGATGTCCGAACTGCTACTCGACATTCCAGAAACGGCTCTCGCCGTTGATCGCTCGAGCTCACGAAGGGGGTGAGCAGCACATCGGGAAAGTCCCACGAAGGGCGCTCGAATCACTCTCCCAAAATGAAGGCGGCTCGCGACTGGAGTCCCTGCTCGGAGGCGAGTCCGAACGCGAGCAGCGACTCACTGAAGTTCGCAAGCGATTGAATCATGCCGTGGAGCACGAGGACTATGAGCAAGCCGCGATGCTGCGTGACGAGATGACGCGCCTCGCGTCGCTCCCATCGGCTCAGGTCGAGATCCGATCGACGACTCAATCGAGTACGATCAAGGAATCAGAACACAGTTCGTAATCGTTGCGTTCCGCGTCGGTGTGGTTCATTCGAACCAGTCCCCATTTCTCCAGTCCCTGAATCCGTGAACAGGCGATCCGATCCATGCAGGCCAACGATTCATCAGGTCCCACTCAAGAGTTCCCCGATCCGAAAAAATCGGGAACCAATCCCAGGATCTCGATCGAGGGACAAGGCATGATCGAGGGCGGACCGATCCAAACGGGAACCACTGAATGGCTTCGAGGCAACGGCATGATGAGCGATGTCGTGATGTCCTCGCGAGCTCGCGCGGCTCGCAATCTTGCTGGATTCCCCTTCCCCCCTGCTGCGAGTTCTGCGGATCGTTCGCAGATCATGGAGATCTGCCGTCGATGTATCGAATCGCTCGGATGTCCGTCTGGATCACGCATTCGTTGGTTTGATCTACGCAACTCCGAACCGATCGAACGCCGACTGCTTGTCGAACGCCAGCTTATGTCCAGACAACACGCGCGAGGACGCTATTCCAACGGCGAAGGGGGCCCGGACTCTCCCAGAGGGGTCGCGGTGATCGAACCTGACGAACGAGTCAGCATCCTCGTCAATGAGGAAGACCATCTGCGTATCCAGGTCATCCGCTCAGGACTCGACCTCGCTTCGTGTCTCGATGAGATCAACAACTTCGACGACGGCATCGAAGAGATCGTCGACTACGCATTCCATCCCCAGTTCGGGTACCTCACCGCGTGTCCCACAAATGTTGGGACAGGTCTTCGGCTTTCGGTGATGGTGCATCTGCCGGCACTCAAAATCACAGGGGAACTTGAGAAAGTACGCAACGCGTCGAGCGACATGGGACTCGCCGTGCGAGGTCTGTACGGCGAGGGGTCGCAAGCTGCGGGAGAGTTCTACCAGATCTCCAATCAAATCACGCTCGGACGCAGCGATGAGATGCTCCTCCGCGAGATCGAGAGCGAGGTTGTCCCAAGCATTGTGCGCTACGAGCAGCACGCGCGTGCGCAACTGATGACTGAGAATCGGATGCTGCTTGAAGACAAAGTCTGCCGATCGATGGGGATACTGCAGAACGCTCGATTACTCAAACCCGACGAAGCGCTTGAGCACCTGGGGATGGTGCGTCTGGGCGTGCTCTGTAAAGTGATCCCCGATGTCACCCTCGCGACGGTACATGATCTGCTACTGATGATCCAGCCTGGACATCTCCAGCGTGTGGTGGGGATCGATCTCTCTCAAAGCGAACGACGTGTCGCGCGTGCGAAACTTGTTCGCGATCGATTGAACGCGAAGTAATCAATGAACACAATCGAGCAGATCGTGGACAGCGTCGAGGTCGAGTTGCTCGGTCGGCGCGGCTTGTCCTTTGCGAAAGCCGCGAAACGATTCGAGTGGGTTCCTGAACCGCGCGACTCTGTCTGCTGGAGGTGCGCCGGATCCGTCGGTCCGCACGAGACTGATGGGGATGGGTGCGCTTCGTGCCGATCGATCAAACTCCGATGGGATCGCGCCCTTCGGCTTGGACGCTACGAAGGGATCGTCAAAGACGCGATCCTGGATCTGAAGTTCCGCAGATGGCGCAAGACTGGAATGGAACTCGGCGCTGCCGCTGGGAATGAGCTGGCTGATTCGATCGAGATACTCGAATGGTCTCCCAATGAACTGTGCATTGTCCCGATCCCGATGACTCATCGTCGGCGGATCGCGCGAGGTGTGGACCACACACAAGTGATTGCTCTTGGGATGAGCAAACAGAGCAAGATTCCTGTCCGCAGATTGCTCGGAGCAAGGCCTCGCGAGGAACAGGTTGGACTCTCGGCAACCGCTCGGCTCAAAAACATCAAAGGTGGGTTCTTTGTCGATCAATCCAGACTCAAACGAGCTATGAAGACCCCAATCCGAGCTTTGGTTGTGCTCGACGATGTCCGTACTACTGGAGCAACCTTGGGCGAGGCATGCCGGGCTTTGAGAGGGGGACTCAAGACACTTCCGAACACCCAAAACTGCGAAATTTGGGCCATGAGCATCGCTCGAGCTGGCGAGCACGATCGAGGGTGAGTTTGGGGACTAATGGCAAGCCGAGGAATTTGGGCAAGAATTGACCTGTATCGTCAAAAGAGGAAGAAATTGAGCAATAAGTTGACTCTCAAAGTTTGACCTTGCGAAGTTGATGTCTATGCTCTCCCTCGCCACTCGAAAGAGTGTGCGAGACAATCAGACGGGCTTGATGCCCCCTGATCGGCTTCTTTGACAAGTGAACAGTTGGGTCCACCGCAAGAATGTGACGCGGCGACACCGGTGCACACCGGGCTCTATAGCGAGCATGTCGTTGTGTATACAAATGCTTCAGCAGGCATCACAACCTGTTGTCGTTACATTCTTGTGCAAGTGGAAGCCCTATATTTTCTAAATATAGAACTACACTTTGAGTGTAACAAACCTGAGACTTGCCGTCTCAGGCACAAACGAGAAATCGTATGTGATGACCGGCCCGGTACGCCCTACTTTGTAGGCACGACCGGGAAAGTCGGATCGGCTTCATTTGATGCGCATTGATGTAGGATTCGTCTTATATCAAGCAACAATATTCAACTGAAGAGTTTGATCCTGGCTCAGATTGAACGCTGGCGGCATGGCTAAAACATGCAAGTCGAACGACCTCTTCGGAGGGAGTGGCGAAAGGGCGAGGAATAGAATCGAATGTATCTTAAGGTAGAGGATAGCCCTTGGAAACGAGGGGTAATACTCTATGTGCTCTACGGAGGAAAGGTTTACCGCCTTGAGAGCAGCGATTCTCCTATCAGGTAGTTGGTGAGGTAAAGGCTCACCAAGCCGAAGACGGGTAGCGGGTGTGAGAGCATGACCCGCCGCATCGGGACTGAGACACTGCCCGGACTCCTACGGGAGGCTGCAGTAACGAATCTTCCGCAATGGGCGAAAGCCTGACGGAGCAATGCCGCGTGTGGGATGAAGCATCTTCGATGTGTAAACCACTGTCAGAATCCAGAAATACTGATCAGATTCAGAGGAAGGGCCGGCTAATTCCGTGCCAGCAGCCGCGGTAATACGGAAGGCCCGAGCGTTATTCGGAATCACTGGGCTTAAAGCGTACGCAGGCGGACTTGTAGGTATCTTGTGAAATCCCACGGCTCAACCGTGGAACTGCAGGGTAAACCACAAGTCTTGAGACAAGTAGGGGTCAGTGGAACGATATGTGGAGCGGTGAAATGCGTAGATATATATCGGAACGCCAATGGCGAAGGCAGCTGACTGGGCTTGTTCTGACGCTCAGGTACGAAAGCGTGGGTAGCGAACGGGATTAGATACCCCGGTAGTCCACGCCGTAAACGATGCACACTAGGTCGCGGTACCTCTCATGGTTTCGCGGCCGAAGGTAAACTGGTAAGTGTGCCGCCTGGGGAGTACGGTCGCAAGGCTAAAACTCAAAGGAATTGACGGGGGCTCACACAAGCGGTGGAGCATGTTGCTTAATTCGAGGCAACGCGAAGAACCTTACCTAGGCTTGACATGTATGGATTAACTTTTCGAAAGATTAGCCACGCCCTTTGGGTGGAACATACACAGGTGCTGCATGGCTGTCGTCAGCTCGTGCTGTGAAGTGTCGGGTTAAGTCCCTTAACGAGCGCAACCCCTATCGTTAGTTACTAACGCGTTATGGCGAGGACTCTAGCGAGACTGCCGGTGTCAAACCGGAGGAAGGTGGGGATGACGTCAAGTCAGCATGGCCCTTACGCCTAGGGATGCAAACGTGCTACAATGGTACAGACAAAGCGATGCGATACCGCGAGGTGGAGCAAATCGCAAAAACTGTGCCCCAGTTCGGATAGCAGGCTGAAATTCGCCTGCTTGAAGCCGGAATCGCTAGTAATCGCGTATCAGCTACGACGCGGTGAATACGTTCCTGAGCCTTGTACACACCGCCCGTCAAGTCATGGAAGCTGCTAGTGCCCGAAGTCACCTCGTTTCAGGGGTGCCTACGGCAAGAGTGGTGACTGGGACTAAGTCGTAACAAGGTAGCCGTAGGAGAACCTGCGGCTGGATCACCTCCTTTCTAAGGGATTTCCTTAGACTTGATTGTACGAAACCATGATTTGGAATCGTCCCGGTGAGAACCGGATCAAGACTATGAGCACATTCTTGCCCTCCACACACATTGATCTCTCGCGAGGTTCAATGGGAGGATAGTGATTCAGTAATGAATCGTGAAGATGGACCCAACTGTTCACCGGTCAAAAGCCGCGAACGAAACCTGCTTACCCAAGCAGGTTTTTTCGTGTCTATACATTTTAACCTATGCCCCCCCACTCGTGTCACCCCACCTCAGTCATCGCACACCGCGTGAGTCCACTGAGGGTTGGAGAGTGAAGACCAAATCTGTCCCTCCGCATCCACCCCTGAGATCGGCAGATCATTGATCCTTAGCTCCAGGTCCAGCACACGATCAACCGCGGGATTCCCCTCAGCGATCACAGGATCTGTGCGGAAAATGACATCCGTTGTCCCTTGCGCAAGCATCTGTTTGATTGCTGACTCTGCACGGCGAACTACGTCTTCATCCTCCGTGTCAACTTTCCAGTCCACCATCGTCCCGAACGCCCCTCCGAGCCTTTGCTCCTGGATGAACTGATCGATCTCGATTTCTTCACCATCAACATCGAGAAACACGCGCATCGCGACTGGGATTGGAAACCCCTCTTCAGCAAAGATCGAGAATCCGAGGATCGGTCTCCAGGACTTGTGGTCTTGACCGATTTCCTTGTACACCGCAACCTGCGAGCCCCTGAACTGCTTACACAACGACTCGGCGATCGCTTGATCCTGGATCAACTCGATAATGGGCTCGTCTGGATCGATTACGCGAACGGCCTTTAAATACTTGAATGTCTTGTACTTCTCTTTCTCTTTGCTGCCTTGCTTGGAGAGACGGAACTCAAACTCAACATCAATCTGGAGAACAGATCCCACCTCAGCATCGATAGTCCCTACAGCGCGTTTGACATCGAGTTGGCCTCCCATGGTCCAGCTGGATCCCTGATCCGGGACATTGACGCCGTAGGATCCGAGTGAGTTTTGGATCTCGCGTGTGTGCGCGTATCTTGGTGGATCGCCTTGGATCTTCGTGCTGATGACTCCCATCTCGAGACTCACCCCAGACTGAGCACGATACACGCTGTGCATCCGGCTCGGCTTGATGCGAACGAAACAGGGGATGCTCTCAGCACCCTGGCGCACGCGGTCTCGGATGATGATCTGCGTCTCGATCGCGTTGTCGAGGTAACTGACGAGCTGCTCATCGCTGAATCGATCAAACATCCACGCATTGGCAAGGACCTCTCCAAGCCGTGGGTCCCACGGCGCCATTGGGTCGGCTTGCACACTGAGTGCGTGCACGATGATCTTGTCCCAGTGCTGATCGCTCATCATCTGCGGCCGAGTGAGTCTTGGGACCAGTTCATCGAGAGCATCATCAGAGCCGAGCGTGGTGAGTGACACGATGATCGCATCAGGGAGCTTTGCATAGAACGCTGACTTCATCCCGCTGGACCCAACGCCGATGAGTCCTCCCCCCGCAATCAGCAGCACGAGTCCCAGCAGCAATCCGATGATGGACTTCCGTCGAATCTTGTTACTTCGACTCGCGGGGTCTTGGAGCGAGTTGCCACATTCTGGGCATCGTCTCTCGGACGCTTCGGGGAGTCCCGCGAGGTTGAACTTGCACTTCCGACAGAACTCGCCGCGCTCATAAACACGCCCGCGCCACGAGAGGACTATGAAGACCACTGAAATGAATGTCAATACAGCACCGATCTGAATCATGCGATCAGTGTACTGTATGTGAGTAAGGGATGATCCTGGATTCAGAGTTACGAGGACGCCGGTTTTTTCTTCTTCCGAGGCGTGTGGCGAACAATATTGCCGGTCACCAGATACAGGATCCCCTCAGCGATATTCCCGAGCAAGTCCCCCACTCGTTCGAGCTCGCGTGCGATGCGATAGATCAGCATGTAGTTCGATGCGTTCTCTGGATCATCTTCGATCATGTCACTGATCTCATCGAACGCTTGCGAATCAAGCTTATCAATCGCACGATCCTGCTGTACGACGGACTTCGCGAGCTCCGCATCGGTGTTGACCACCGCTCTGAGCAGCTGCTCACACATGACTGGGATCCGCTCACCCATCTCGCGCAACGATTCGGGCCATTGGAAGTCCTCGGAATCGAGCTTGCTCATGATCTTGTTGATCGATGACGCGTGATCCGCGACGCGTTCGATGTCGGAGTTGACACGAAGGATGAACGCGATCAAGCGGAAGTCCGCCGCGAATGGGTTTTTGAGCGCGAGGATTCGATAGCACTCCTGCTCGATGCGAACTTCCTCCTTATCGATCTCCTTCTCGATCTTGGAGATCTGCTTACGCGAGGATTCGTCCATATCCCAGAGCGCGTTGATCGCAAACTTGATGATATCGATCGCTTGCGCCGCTTCGCGGATCATTCGTCGGCGTACTTTGGCAAGGTCCTCGTCTAACGCGATCTCGTTGGATGCTAAAGGCTCCAGCGCGTCGGTTGTCGTATCGGTCTCGTGTTCGTGTGGCATGATCGTCCTGTGAACGGCCCGCGCCGGTCCATCGGTGCGGATTGGAATCACCAATCATAGTAGAAATCGCGGATTTATACCTGTTTTCTGCACGCAAACCAAAGAAAAACGAACGAATGCCCCTTGTACAAGGCTTTATCCACCGGGAGTGATCCATTCCAGAATCCCACGAGCGAGCGCCATCGGTGAGTTGAATGGCTTGTTGGGACGCAGGTAGATCTCCGAATACGCCTCACCGGCCGCGGTCCGCGCATTTGTCTGAGCGAGATCCGCACCCACCACGCTGACCTTGATCGGAGCTCCTCGGAGTACATCGGAGACACGATCAGGGTCCGCCGAGAGCAGGACGATGTCGCTGCCGCGCGTGCTCATCGATCGGATACTCAGCGACTGACTCGCGGCTCGGACCCTCGCACGCACGATCAACCTCCGGACCAG